TAGTCCACTTATAGGAGGCCTGTGTGCGGGTAATAAACACAAGAATCTGCTGCCACAGCTAAACATATTTAGTAATATTATTAGCATCTATATATACCTGCAGCAGCTAATACAGGGGCACAGCTCCGGCATTAGACTGAACCGCGGCAAATTAAATTAAAAAGCTATTATATTAGACTATCTGCTGGTACTTGCGCACGAGCTATTCTATTATTATCCATAATTAATATACCCCCCGCTTAACCAGATCATTAGGCGCCGTAATATTCTCCTCAATCTCAGGCATAATAATACTATGTGTTAAATTATAGGGGGCAATACCTTCCAGATATATAGTCCACCCGGTTATCCAGAACCACAGGTTCGCGTTAATAATCTCACATGCCTAAATAGTCTCCTGCACCTTACAGGCAGCCTAGATCTCAGTCTATATAATCTTGACTTCTTACAGCACCTGCTCAATCACATCAGGATTACTAGGAGGGAGATCCTCATCACAGATAATAAAAATATTCTAAGAGCTATGCCGGGTAAGAAATATGCGCTAGTACGAAACTAAAGTATATGCTTGTGCGAGCTAAAAATCAGCTTATTCCTACTCGGTCCGGAAAATCCGGCTATATCTGGGATATTAGGACTATTAATATACCTTGCGCCAGTATTCGCGCATAATTTTAATATTTCAGGTCATGTACTAGTACTAGGAGCCCTGTTAGCATAACAGTCTATTAGTATAGATTAGTAATCTAGTAATAAGCTGCTCTAGCTACTGCAACCAATCAATTATAGTAGGCTTATAAACAAGGTTAAACTACTGCGCGACTGCTTTGCTGATTTAGATAATATCCTAGTATATTACTAATAGATAAACTCCATTTTTTAAATAACGCTAAACTTCCTTAGACCATACCCCATGCCGGCATATTTTACAGATGATCACTAGTAATATTTCTACCTATATAAAAATTTAATGTTCCATGATAGCTGGGTCAACTGGCGTAGACAAAGAATAATAAGCTTAATATAAAATAAGGATTAAAAATAAGTCAGTTCTTGCAACAGGGTGTCTGGGGGGACAGATATATATATATAGATTTACAGGTAGGTTATTATCCCGATCGGTACCCTAACAAAATAATCTTCTACTGAAAACCGGCTCCTACAAACATGATTCACAATAGACTAGCCTTAATTTTTAAATAATTATAAATAAGTACTTGATCAATATCATATCTGATTTTAGAAGAAATCAGAGTATAGAAACTAAATAAAAACCATGTGACAAATTAAAGGAAAACCATATCATATTACTAATCGAGCAGCCAATCACAGGCCGCCTTGCTCGGCACCCTAAATATAAATCACATATTTTTCCCCAGGGCCTGTGGGTTAGGAATGTTCTGGGAGCCGTGCCGGGTAGGAAATATGCGCTGGTACGAAACCAAGGTGTATGCTTGTGCGAGCTGGGAATCGGCTTATTCCTGCTTGGTCCGGGAAATCCGGCCATGTCCGGGATACTAGGACTATTGATATATCTTGCGCCAGTGTTCGCGCATGGTTTTAATATTTCGGGTCACGTACTGGCACTGGGGGCCCTGTTGGTATAACAGTTTATTAGTATAGATTAGTAATCCAGTAATGGGCTGCTCTAGCTGCTACAGCTAATTAATTATAGTGGGCTCATGGACAAGGTTAGACTACTACGCGACTGCTTTGCTGATCTGGACGGTATCCTGGTGTGTTACTAATAGATAAGCTCCATTTTTTAAATAATGCTGAACTTCCTTAGGCCATACCTCATACTGGCATATTTTACAGATGATCACTAGTAATATTTTTACCTGTGTAAAAATTTGATGTTCTATAATAGCTGGGTTAACTGGCGTAGACGAAGAATAATAAGCTTAATATAAAATAAAGATTGAAAATAAGTCAGTTCTTGCAATGGGGTATCTGGGGGGACAGACATATATATATAGATTTACAGGTAGATTATTGTCCCGATCAGTATCCTAATAAAATAACCTCCTACCGAAAACCGGCTCTTACAAACGTGATTCACAATGGACCAGCCTTAATTTTTAAATAATTATAAATAAGTACTTAATCAATATTATATCTGATTTTAGAAAAAATCAGAGTATAAAAACTAAATAAAAACCATGTGACAAATTAAAAAAAAACTATATTATATTACTAATCGAGCAGCCAATCACAGGCCGCCTTGCTCGGCACCCTAAATACAAATCACATATCTTTCCCCAGGGCCTGTGGGTTAGGCTTAGACTTGGGCTCAGATTATATAACTAATATTTATAACTGCTGCTATCACTTATACTACTAGAAAATTATTTTATATAAAAGACTAATTTACTTGTAGAAGGCCTATATATAAATAATAAATATAAAGATCCGCTACTATAGCTAGATATATTTAATAATATTATTAATATTTATATATACCTGTAGCAGCTAGTACAGGGGCATGGCTTTAATATTAAACTAAATTATAATAAATTAAATTAAAAAACTATTATACTAAACTGTTTATTAGTACTTATATATAAATTATTCTATTATTATCTATAATTAGTATATCCCTTATTTAACCAGATTATTAGGTGCTATAATATTTTCCTCAGTCTTAGATATAATAATACTATATATTAAATTATATAAGATAATATTTTCTAAATATATAATCTACCTAGTTATCCGGAGCCACAGATTTATATTAATAATATTATATATTTAAATAATCTCCTATACCTTCTAAGTAATCTAAACCTTAGTTTATATAGTCTTAACTTTCTGTAACACCTGCTTAATCATATTAAGATTACTAGGGGAAAAATCCTTATTATAAATAATAAAAATATTCTAAGAGCTGTATTAGATAGGAAAAATACATTAATAAAAAACTAAAATATATATTTATATAAGCTAGGAATTAGCTTATTTCTACTTAGTCCGGGAAATCCGGCTATATCCGGGATACTAAGACCATTAATATACCTTATACTAGTATTTATGTATAGTTTTAATATTTCAGATTATATACTAGCACTAGAGGCCCTATTAACATAACAGTTTATTAATATAAATTAATAATCTAGTAATAAGTTACTCTAATTACTGCAGCTAATTAATTATAGTAAGCTTATAAATAAGATTAGACTATTATATAACTGCTTTACTAATTTAGATAATATCTTAATATATTATTAATAAATAAACTTTATTTTTTAAATAATATTAAACTTCCTTAGACTATATCTTATGCTAGTATATTTTGCAGATAATTATTAATAATATTTTTATTTATATAAAAATTTAATATTCTATAATAACTGGGTTAACTAATATAAATAAAAAATAATAAGCTTAATATAAAATAAAAATTAAAAATAAGTTAGTTTTTGTAACAGGATATCTAAAAGAATAAATATATATATATAAATTTATAAATAAGTTATTATCCTGATCAGCACTCTAATAAAATAATCCTTAATTAAAAACTAGCTCTTATAAATATAATTCATAATAGATTAGCCTTATTTTTTAAATAGTTATAAATAAATACTAGATTAAAATTATATCTAATTTTGAAAAGAATCAGAGTATAAAAACTAAATAAAAACTATATAATAAATTAAAAAAAAACCATATTATATTCCTAATCAAGCAGCCAATCACAGGCCATCCTACTTAACACCCTAAATCTAAATCACATATCTTTCCCCAGGGCCTATAGGATAGGAAACCAAGGTATATACTTATACAAGCTGGGAATTAGCTTATTCCTGCTCAGTCTGGGAAATCCGGCCACATCCGGGATACTAGAACCATTAATATACCTTACACCAGTATTCACGCATAGTTTTAATATTTCAGGTTATATACTAGTACTAGGGGCCCTATTAGCATAATAATCTATTAATATAAATTAATAATCCAGTAATAGGCTGCTCTAGCTGCTACAGCTAATTAATTATAATAGGCTTATAAATAAGATTAAACTATTATATAACTGCTTTATTAATCTAGACAGTATTCTAATATATTATTAATAAATAGACTCTATTTTTTAAATAATACTAAACTTCCTTAGACTATATCTTATACTAACATATTTTACAGATAATCACTAGTAATATTTCTACCTATATAAAAATTTAATATTCTATAATAACTGGATTAACTAGTGTAAACAAAGAATAATAAGCTTAATATAAAATAAAGATTAAAAATAAGTTAGTTTTTATAATAGAATGTCTAAAAAGACAGATATATATATATAAATTTATAAATAAGTTATTGTCCCGATTAGCACCCTAATAAAATAATCTCTTACTAAAAACTGGTTTTTATAAATATAATTTATAATAGATCAGCCTTATTTTTTAAATAATTATAAATAAATATTAGGTTAAAATCATATCCAATTTTAAAAGGAATCAGAGTATAGAAATTAAATAAAAACCATATAATAAATTAAAAAAAAACCATATTATATTACTGATCGAGCAGCCAATCACAGGCTGTCCTGCTCGGCACCCTAAATCTAAATCACATATCTTTCCCCAGGGCCTGTGGGATAGGGTAGGTAGTCTGATAAGATTAGGCGGGCTAGGTTTATAAGGTTTTTAATTATTATTATAGTTAGACTATATATAAGATAATAAATAAGATATAGCTTAAAAAGCTATAATAAAATTTTTAATATTTAGGCTTTTAAGCAGTCAGGAGATCAGGATCATGGACAGGTTTTTCCAGCTTGGTGGTTCTGTCTGGTTCTGGCGGGCTTGGCGGTGCCCTCAGGTCTGCACCGTGACATAGGGCATGCATGGCTAATGAATCCCCTGTCTAGTTACCTACTTACAGTACGCAGTAGGTAGTTGCCTAGCGTCCGGTGACTAAGGACTTCTAAACAACCAGGCTATAAGTTCCCTAAAGTCAGACCACTCCCGCTTTTCTCCCCACACATTTACTTCGGCCATACGCACTCTCATGATTGTCCCCCACGAAGCTTAGCACCACAATAATGACATTGGAAGACGGGCCTGAGTTCCCATTTTTCTGCCATATATGCGGCGCACCCCCAACATGGCGCGGTTTGCTCGCAGACAGCACTCTCCAATACCTCGACCCAGAGGAGGAATACTTTGACCAGAGAGCGTATAGATACATGGATTTTATGCCCGGCCAGCGGAAGTTTGGATACGACGTAAGATTACTTCCTCCGAAGCAAATCAGGTGGCTTGACGCTGTACGGCTCGTCACGAATAAGATTATGGACTCGGTTAGAGGCACGGAGACGGAGGTGCCGGTGCCGTTGTTGACTCGGCTGGTGAGGACTCCATTTTTTGGGCGTAAACAGAATCATACAGCTATACCGCTGGGCGTACTCTGACTTTCTGACTCGAGTGTTACTTAGGCATTGCATGTGCATATCGACAATGGCGCTTTCTGCTGTCCCGATAATGACAATGATAGCAAGAAATTCAGTTTTATGCGCTGCAACGTCGATGGGTACTTGGTACACGATACATGCTTCAAGATGTTGGAACGCGTTCACCAACATCTACAGGCTACCTGGTCAACTCAGGATCTTGACCTGGGGCGATTATGGAATTTGTTGCAGCTCGGTCTGGAGGATCGCAACAATGACCTTGTCGATTGGGGGTTCGGGGACGCATTCCATGGGAGTGATCGAGGTTCATCAGGCGCAAGGTTTAATCCCTACTATCAGGAGTGGCATCCGGTGAAGGGGTCTATGGTAAGTTCTTAGATTGGATGAAACAGTACGCAAGCTGAAGCGTGTTGACAAGAATTATCTAACTCGACCGCATCTTAGTGGGCAGTAATGGACCCCGAGGGTCCCTTCAATTGCCAACCTCTACTCGACCGTGCATCTGCCAGTACTCAGCCAGGCTATTCCTTCACCTTCAGTGTCAAGCCCACTCAGCCAAATCCGCCAGCTCACCTGCATCCCGAGCCCAACATGAACTTCCTCTCATTACTCCCGTACGAACTCCAACTGAGCATCCTGGAACTCCTCCCGAGTTCATCTGTGCTAAGCCTCCTCCTCGCAAGCCCCGACTTTAGGCGTTGCGCAGAGCACCTCTCGTCTGGCTTCTGGAAGTCCCGTCTCTTCTTTGACGTGCCGTGGTGTGCGGATATCATTTCGGCGCAAATAGAAGCAGCCCAGGGCAATGAAACATAGAGAGATAGAATCCAGTTTGACAGGCTTTTGCGCTTTCTGAAGGAGTTTTATGTTTCTCCTGGGCAGGAGCCTGATGTTGAGAACCTAGAGTTCAAAGGGCTGAGGAACCGGCGTCGTATTTGGATGAATTGTGAACGGATTGTGAGGGAGATGGAGTTGCAGTGCGGCAGTGGCTGTGACCATGGAGACGAAGTTGAAGGTGAGGGTTCTAAGTCAAACACACAGGATTGACACAGATAAAGTCTGTTTGGCAGCTAGTATCCTCATTTCATTCACTTATCTTATTTCTCTGTCGCTAGAGCGCAAATGTGCTCCTTTATGTGTGTGTCTTTCTTCACACCTCGGAGGCTGCTCAGTCTCTAATTTGGGATCTGGATCTGCGAGAAGCTGGGCATTCGCTAGGCGTGTAGGTTTCTTGCCTGAGACGGAAGCATATATTGTTTATTTGTGATGCGCGAACATGGCGCATGACACAAAGGGTGAATCTAACAAAGGAGATAACCATATAAACTAATGATGCCGTCTAGGAAAACAATTCCCTCGAGGAGAGCTCATCTCCTCTAACACATCAGTAGATCGCCCACACTGGTTGTCGAACACTTTGCCAGACTTCATTTCTTCTTCTCGCAGACCACGTCTTGATACTTCTTGCATACGAGTTTCCCGACAATATCTCCTGCCTCAGTATCCGTCAGGCGCTCGTCTCCTTATAGGTTCAAGTATCCTCGAGCACTGATATATCAGCCATCGTCTTGCCCAAGCCCCCGTCGTTGTACTCATCTATATCTTCCAGGGTAGGTCTCCATGTGGGCGAGACGTCGCACCTGTCCTTGGACGCGCCGTCCTCGTCTGCGTACACATACAAGGCCCAGCCGGCGTAGCACTCGGGGTAGCCCTACACGGCATCGTATTTGGTAAGAATGGGGTAGAAGTCGGTCTCGTAGCAGTCGGCATTCAGGGCTGATGCGTCCTCGATATTTAGGCATCACTTGATGCCCTTGGATCTCTTTCGTATTAGAAAATGTGAAAGTGAGCGTTTTGTAAGCAGCACTTACACTCCCTGCGCTCGCTTTACAGGTTTATTTCCATTTCGCTATGACGAATCTTTCATCTCTGGATCATGGCATCATTAGTCAGCTGATGAGATACAAGAGCAAAGATATCTCTGTCGAGTTCCGAGTTCTTCAACGGAAGCTCACCGTCACAAAATTGCCAATGACCCTTGGATTTACAAAGAAGCCTCTGCAGGGTCATTCCCACAGGAGTGGCGTCTCGCTTAAACTGGGTATAGACTGGCTCAAGTTCTTTTCCACCGTCTTCAAACTGCACTGGCAGCTGTACTAGCAATGTCCGCAATTTTCCATGACCATCTATTGCTGACTTATCCTTAAATGAGAAGTAGTAAAACGCGATTCTTGCCCTGGCCCTTTTCCTGTTAATGACATTACACCAGTTGTGCTGTAGTGGAACCGAGCAAAGAACTGGTTTGCCACATTCTGCAGATTCATTCAGCCAGAGAATCAAATTTTGTTCCATCAGCATTTTGAAAATTGATGCCTATTGATCGGCCAGGTGCCAGATTCTGGGTCGTGCTTTTCATAAGAAATGTGTCAGCTCAATAAGGGTTTTGACCCTGGGCATCTCGTCCGCAGTTCAATTGTGGCTTTGGGAACAGGTTCTAGCGCATTCTGTCAATATCCGCTCCAATATTTTGGATAATCAGGGTATGGCGACACTATTTCGAGGCTTTCCAACTTCTAGGAGGACTCTCCAGGGATCGAAATATACGATACAGATAATAGATATCTTGAGTTGTACCAGTAGATCTAGTATCGCGTCTTGCTAAAGTCAAACGAATAACACATTTGCTACGCATAAAGAATTGGTAGCAGCATTGCGTAGTCCAAATCGAGGCAATACATTTAGGAGGGGGCGAAGACTCAACCGACCATTACTATGACGCTATAGGCTTCACTTGTTCTCTCCAAAGAAATGCTTGGGGAGCTGAAAGCCATGCTCCCTCAAGACAAACAATGGATGGTCTATTAAAAGCAAACCCAAAAACCACTCTCCAGTGGCTTGTCCACGCCGCGCATTCAAAATGAGGGTTGATAAAGCCAGACTTGAAGTCGATCGAACAAACAATACTGCGAAACCAAAAAAGGAAAAAAAAAATGACAAGAGTGGGATTCGAACCCACGCCATCGTGAGATGAGTAGGAAACTCAGTGAGTTCTGAATTAAGGTATACCTTAACCTACCGCCTTGGACCGCTCGGCCATCTTGCCATTGATGCCTGAATATCCGCCACTTTTGCCTTGAAGACTTTGGCTGCTTTGAATTTGTGCGAAGATTCGCCAGTCTGCACGGTGTGAAGGCCATTCGACCAACTCTGTATATGTAAATAGCAACGAACCCAAGGCATTCCAGCCATTCATTGGATAAATATCAGCTACCATTCAGTACATGGACTATTAATGCGATGGGATAGTAGTATTATCGGAAATGTTCATTCTATTATTAGAAACTTTTAGGTAGATAGGAGCATGCCTGATCCAGCTTTCAGGATGAGGAACGGCTAGAGCATTATTCAACATGGATAGCCGTAGCCACAACGCGCTGGATTGTCATCCGCGACTTTCGCCCGAGTAATCGACGTCCCTGGTGCAGACAGGTGGCAGCACGCCTACAGAGATTGTTTCCCCCTCGTTTCAATCGGTAACAAAACCATGGCGATGAACGAAACAATCATGAGCGCGCCAGCAGCATAAATGGGAGCGCTCGGGTCGGCATCTCCGCTGTATATGGCGATGATGGGGGCACAGAGCCCGGCGATACGGTTAAGACAGCTTGCAACGCCCGTTCCGGTGCCACGGTTCGGGGCAGGGAAAACTTCGGGTGTGTAGGCATATAGTACGCCATACATAATCATCTGGAAAAAGGATTCGAGAGCCGAGCAGACCAGTTGAGAATTCGCATCTTTGGCTGCCGTGAAACAAAACAACAGGATTCCTGTGATCAAGGTGGAGATGGCCATGGTTCCTTTCCTGCCAATGTACTTGAGGTCGACGGTGAAATGAGCAACAATAGGACCCGGAATCCCCACGACGGCCGTGATGGCGTAATTCCGGTAGGTTTCGTAGACCGATGCCGAGGTGCTCAGATACTGCGGCAGGAAGGCGTTGAAAAGCGTGTAGCCCATTCCAATGGTGGTCCAACAGAACCAAATGAGGATCGCTGACCAGACAATGAGTTTAAATGATAGAATTAGAGGCGCTGATGCTTGACTTACTTGTGATTCCCAGCCTCTTGGTCGCAAAAAGAGGAGCCACCTGCTGGAGGGAGAAGCGAGAAAGGGATCTGCGAATGATCTGCGCATACGACAGCTTCTCGTCTGAGGTCTCTTCTGGGTAGCCCCCGATCTCATTGAGAACCTCGACGGTGAGCCAGGTCTTGGTCTTGTTGCGGTATGCGATACCCTGGACGGCAGCGACAGCCTCCTCCTGGCGACCCCGAGACACCAGGAATTTCGGGGATTCGTAGAGAGTGAACAGGAAGAATCGACACAGAAACATGGCAAAAGTGATAGCTCCCAATGACAAGACCAGGTATCTCCAGCCCATGTTGTCTTCCCTTGTACAGGACGCGGCGTCGGCACACGAGAAGTTGGGAATGAAAGCCCAGGCCAACATACTGCCATATTGAAATCAGTCTCCGGACCATGAGGGTTATGCGAGACTCCTGGAAAAACAAACCTAGCAATTAAAGTACCCACAGACCACCACGTGGCAAGGGAGCTCAGTATACTACCTGAATCGAAGGGCAGGAATTCGAGAAAGATGGCGGCATCCACGGGTAGGTTACCACCAACTCCCAAGCCAAGACAGGCAAATAAAGCACACGCTCTGCTCCTCAGTCAGCCATTAGGAGCCGGGCAATGCTAGTTGCCAAGTACGTACCCAACCCAATTAGGAGCACCACCAGAGGCCAGGCCAAAGGCGCCGCAGAGGAACAGCGTCGCGTTGAACGCGGGTCGGCGTCCAATAGCGTCGGAGGCAAGACCCCAGAAGGAGGCACCGATGATAAGCCCAACAAATAGTGAACAGGTCGTGAAGCGGACATAGGAATCAGACACGCCAAATTCCATAGACAGCGAGTTTAGCGTAAGGGCAACTCCCTGCACGAGGTTAAAATCCGCCGTCCTTTTCCCGGCTTCAAAAAGATGCTGGCAAAGTCAAGCTTCTCACCTGCAACCAGAGACTGCACGGCGGTTAGCACCTTTACGACTTCATAAGAACAAATCAATGAATTTTCTCACTTGTCTGCAACCCAGCCGAATCCGCAGAGAACGTACAGTTCCCACTGGTATCGACCCATGCCGATGTCTTGGATTGCGCGATTGAGGATTTTCGCCTTGCCTATAGTCATAAATGGTTAGAAACTTCAAGCTTTTTCGTCATCACCCACGGTGGCTCTCCACCAGGCATAGACAGGACAGGCGTGCAGCCCCAAACGGTGGGCCAGACGCCAGTTGCACCTACGGTCATAAGCACTGTCCACACCCGAGGCCGTGACGGCAGACTCGACCTCCGCTCGCAAGCCTTCAAGGGTTAGCACGTTAGATGGCGGAACGGGACTGGCCCCGTTCTCCTGGGAGGAGGCGCTATCGAGTCTGTTCAGATTAGCCTTCGCATCGGGGTTGGATTTGGTCTCCGCGTTGGGCTCCGAGTAGGCAGGCGCAGGGGCATCCGCAAGGGGCACGACAACGTCGGGGAAGGATTGTCGGTCTTTCCACAGAAAGCTGAGTTTGTCCATCATGGCGCAGGGGGCTTCAAGTCGCAAAGGGGAAGCAAGATTATCCGGTTCGGGCTGTGGGAGGCGCAATGGTGAGGTGTCGCAATCGAAGTTATGGAACTTGCCGCGGGGCTAAATCAATGCTGCTTGGGTCAGAATCGTTGCTGCGGGGAGAATTCGATGAGGCGCTAGGCTGGAGAAATAGAGCTGCTGCACTGGACGGGCTGAAAGCCGAGGGAGACCGTGGAGTCGATTCGAGGGCGCAATGGTATTATGACAGTTGGAAAATTCCACTGGCAAATAAGATCGCTGTCGGGCTGAGATGGTGGCGCGCTTGGTTTGCGTCGTGGCGCGAAGGGTTGCAAAAAAGTTATGGAACCTGCTATACTCGTTTAGAAACATCGTTCTCCGCAAGACCCGATTCTGCCATGGGTCCGGGGAATCTGAGAGGGAAATGGATGATTACACGTCGGTCCCGTATACCGCAGGCAAAGAGAAGCGTCGCGAATGGGGTGGCTCTATCTCGAACTAGAGGTGCTGGAATACGAAGCCAAACAACCAAATGCTCTCTATCGGACAATAACAAACAACGCGTGATTTTTGATCGATTCAACTTTTGTGACTGCGTTCTATACTCGAGGCAAGAAGCAAAGGCGACACGTCGGCAGCACGTATGTATCCCGTGTTTGAACGGGGGGAGGATGAAGGAAAGAGAAAGACGCGGTAGGTAGGAACTTTCCACCGGCAAAGGGGGGCCTGGGAACGACGGTGACCTATTTATGCCCCCATCTCAGGTCATTATCGCATCTCCACAGCAAAACCGGATGAGCGACGGTGGAGCAAGTTTATACCCGAACGAGTAGTTGGAACAACCAGGGCCAGCACGAGCCAATCTGAACGGCGAGCGCACGGTGGGCCACCGGTCAGCCCAGGTGGTGTTATTACTCCGTAGTGATCATTATTCTTCCGAGTACGGCGTATGCAACGCTTCATGCAGGAGCCATGACAAAGAGGTTGACTCTGGTGTGTACCGTCCATTTAGTGCGGCGCAATTGCTCTTGGCCCTCAACCCGGCCGAGAATGCCAGAGCAATTTTGCGTTGGATTATTCTCTGACTCATGAAAAAAATTTTACGCACGCAGTACAGATACCGTCTCCCTACCTGATATGCAGAAAAATGCAAACGACTCTCCAGGGACGCCGGTAAAGGTCAGCGGTGCAGTCGGAGGTCGAGTTGATCCAGTCAAACCCAGCCGACGGAAAATCTAAGCAGGCTGAAGGGTCAAGAGCACAAGCAGACGGTGCACGACACAAAAGGCATGCAGGACAGATGTCAAAAGTGGATATGAAGGCTGACGGGAAGTGACCATTGATCCGAGCAATTCAGGTTCTGTGTTACTCCTAATGTCATATAAGAAAGCAACTTTGCATAAGCATAAAGGTGTGCCTGGTCTTTGTACGGGCGATCGAACTTCCTCTTTTTTTTTTTTTTTTTTTTTTTTTTTTTTTTTTTTTTTCAACTTTTCCCGTTCGCCTTCTTTTTGTTTCCCGAGGGGATGCGTTGAATGTGCAAACGCGCGATCTACTCCGTAAAAAGCTCTCGCCCCCCAACTCGGGGGGTATGGGCTACTCCGAGTCCGGACCCCTCGCTGTGGGTCGCCTTTTTTCACAAATCACGGGCTAGGACTCCCCGTGTGCTGTGGCCCCTGGTCATTATTAGCGTGGACTTCCACCTCTGTGCTTCGTTGGTTGAATCGGGGCCAGTCACCGTTTGTCGTCACGGCTCCACTCCACAGTAAACTGGACCTGCTCCGGTCCCTCCCTGGACGACTCCAACCGAGCTCCATTTTCCCCGTCGCTGCCCGTGTTTGCCTGCGCAGACCAAGTCCGCAAAATGGTCACGAGTACGGAGTAGACGCCGTACATGTTGTTGTTGACTTCAGCGGCAGTCACCCGTCTCGATGCTTGTCGCTCTGGGCACGTCTTCACGGCCAGTGATGGTGACACCAGGAAGGCTAGTGGACTCTTGGCCTTAGGGCTAGGGCTATCCTGTCCTGGTCGCGGGGGCTAAAAGCGCCATGGCGTTAGCGACCGCCGATCGGTAGAGAACCAGTACACCGAGACATGGCCATGGAGGGTGTGTGCCTCGAGATGGTTTGTCTGCAGCGCCTCAGCTTCTCCGCTTCTCAACTCCATACGCAGTAGAACTGCCGGCCGGTAGCCGCTAATCCCCGAAAGGCAGCCAAGACGGATCCGGTCCACTTTCTTCCACCCGACATCGACCGCCTTGGGATTCTTCAATCGTCTTGCTTTTCGGGTTTGGTGTTCCCTGGTTGCTGGATTTGGTCATCTCCTGTGTGTCCTTCTCACGTGGTGGATTCTAAACTGTGTAGGTAGGTAGGTAATGTAGCTTTTGAAGGGGAAATGACTGTGGTGCCTGAGCGTGGGCAGATCACTCAGCATGGTAACAATTATATACTTCCACCATCTAACTCAACTACCGCGAATATATATCACAATACCAAGTACTAACCACCCCGCAGAACCAAGGAGTGCGATCCAGTAGGCATTCTGCATTATAACTTCCTTGACCTCGTTTTTAGGGCTGGGAGCAATCTTGTGCGACGGATGATGGTTCTCGGTCAAATGCATGATCACCTCCTGTGGACCTGCTTTGTGGACTCGTCCGTTGATCAGGATGACATTAAGTTTCTGATGATCTTGCAGGATCGCGATGTCCTGCAGCGGGTCCCCGTCAACTAGAACGCAATCGGCATAGTTGCCCGGTTTGATCTGACCCAGTTCATGCGATCGCATGAAGAGCTTGGCTACCCCGTAGCTGGCCGCAATGATGGCTTCGTGCGCCGTGAAGCCTAGGAGCTCGGTGAAGTGCTCTAGGTCGCGTGCGTACGTTCCGTGCGGCGTCCAAGCAAAGCCATAGTCCCTACAGCGATATTAGTGGTGAAGCTGACCTGCACAAGGTAGTGGGAATTCTCCGAGCCTACCCGCCTGGCAAGAGTACAATTCCTCGACGATGCATCTCCCGAAGTGCGACAATGGCAGCGCGAAGCTCCTTCTTGTAGCCGGCCTTTTCGGCCGATGCGGTGGCATACCCGAAGGGTTCCGCCTCGTAGAGAGTCGCAACCAACCAGTTCAGGGCGGGTACGACCACATGTTGGGTTCTCTTTTGTTCCAGGAGGTCCATAGCTGCATATACAGGATGAGCATGCCTTCACACCCCCGTAAGATCCACAACCGTGGGAGCTCACATTCTTTGTCCATGTACGAGGCATGGTATATCACCTCAACTCCGTAGTCAATGCATTGCCGGATTGAGTCACGGGCCCGCGCATGGGCACACAACCTGATGCCATGTTTATGAGCCTCGTCCACGCATGCGGCCGTCTCTTCGGGGCTAAAATAGCAGTCCTCAGCATCGCGAACTTGGGTGATCTGATCTTCGATTAGCAGGTCATGACGTCGCGGAAAGCGTGTCATACCGATTCCCCCGACATCGACAGCTTGACCTGATCTACTCCCACGGTCACATGTTCATGGATCCTGAGAGGAGCATGTAAGCGTGGCATGGGACAGCGCATTCTAATTTTCGGCATACACTTGGCGCATTTCCTCCGGCCCGTCGGCATAGGCCGTGATTCCGGGCACCAGAGCACCATCTCGGCGGGCTATCTCTTGTTCGTTGGCGAGGCAGCGAGGACCAGGAATATCCCCCCTGTTGATTGCGTCTCGGACGACCACGTCCAGGCGTTTCTGGGCCGACGCAGCCCCAAAGCACCTAGACGCCGAAATCAACCGGGGTTTCCAACCGAGTTCCATGTTCAAAGTATGACCTACATTGTGTACCCCGAATCGAGGAAGCAACGAGCACTCCTGGCCGTCAACAGAGTGTGCTCCTCGATGCCCAGCTCACCCAGACGCTCCAGGTCGCCTCCATTCCAAGTGAGATGCGTATGGGCATCACCAAGGCCGGGAATCAAGGTTCGGCCGTTCGCCTGGAAGACCCTGACGTTGGGATCTGCCAACAGGTACTGCTTTTCGGGGATTTGGCCGACATGCGTGAAGCGTTCGCCTGGGAATGGGTCAGGACCGGCGTTGTCTTCCCACAAGTCTCACATACCGACAATCAAGACATCTCCGCGGTAGGGTGCCTTCCCAGTGGCATCAACTATCTGAGCGTCCAGAATCAAGATCCTCGATTCCGGGGGTGTTCCGGCGATTGAATACGGCCTCGGTTGCAGTCGGTCGTCAAACTGCAGTTGATCGATGAAGGCGACGTTTCTCGGAGGCCCGTCGTATGACGGACATGGGTGGCTGACAGACATCCTGCTCGGCTTTCTCTTGCAGCTATCTCGACCTCAATGGTGGTGAGGTTGAGGGGGGAGGGGGCATGACTGACGGACACTGCCCTCTATGCCAGCCGATCTCAGGAGCCGATATCGAGTGACATCCCATCACATTGCAGGAGACCGAGCGGAGAGACGTCTGCGGGCACCAATCACACGGACTGGACCCATGGGGGACGAGGGAATCCACGCTCGGGTGCTCGTGCAGAAGTACGAATGTCTTCGTCCCGTGCCCATTCCAGGGTCAAGGGGATTTACTGCCTTCGAGCTTACTGCCTGCACCTTACCTTAGGGCTGGAATAGAATACCAGCGATACCCTGCAACACCGGGATGACGTCATCGCCGTCCCGGATTGCGCTTGAAGCCGGTCTTCTTTCGTTTCTTTATCGATTGATCTTGTGTTTCTACATCGTCCACTGTTAGACATTCCCCGTGATTCCCTTCGGTCATGGCCCCGTCCAAGATCAACTACTGCGTCTATGTCGACCCGACCGCGGGAACCCCTCGGGTCGGACACTTGGTTTTCGGCGAGGAACAAATCACCCCGCTGTCCTTTTCCTCCGGCACGCGTGTGTCCGATCTCTATCAGGTCATCGAAGCCGGCGACGAGAGGATCAGACCGGCGCCCGAGGAGGCCCTGTCGCTCTCCCAAGTGCAGTTGCTCCCTCCCATCTCCGGTCGCGACATTCTGGCCGTCGGGAAAAACTACGCCGAACACGCCAAGGAATTCAACTCGTCGGGGTTCGATGCCTCCGACAAGAATGACCAGCCCACCCGGCCGGTGATCTTTACGAAGCGCGCAACATCCATTATCGCCCACGGGGAAGAAGTCCTGCTGCACCCGGAATTCACCGAGACCCCGGACTACGAGGGCGAGATTGGGGTGATCATCGGCAAGGCTGGCCACCGCATTCGCGAGGCCGAGGCCATGGACCATGTCTGGGGATATACCATCATCAACGACGTGACTGCGCGCGAGAGACAGCGGGACCACAAGCAATTCTTCCTGGGCAAGTCCCCCGACACGTATTGCCCCATGGGACCCGTGGCCGTTCGCAAGGAGCACTTGCCCACCAATCCGCGGCTGCAGACCTTCGTCAACGGCGAGAAACGGCAGGATGCGACCCTGGACCAGCTGATTTTCAGCATCCCGACCTTGATCGCCTGTCTGTCGCAGGGCCAGACCTTGCAGCCGGGCGATACCATCGCCACCGGCACCCCCGTCGGAGTCGGGTTCGGATTCCGACCCATGAAGTTTCTGCAGCCGGGAGATGAGGTGCACGTTAGTGTGACCGGCCTGGGTACCCTCGTCAATCGCATGGCCACCGCCGATGCCCCCAATACCACCATCCAGCGCGTCCAAGCCCGATCCGCGATTCCACGGTTCAACCAAAAGACCCGTCAAAGGCACGGCCTGCTGCAAGTGGGAGGCAAGGAGCTGTTCTACCAGTTTCAAGGACATCAAGAGGGCGCGCCCGTCATTTTCATCCACGGCCTGGGCGGCTCGTCCGGCTATTTCACCCCGCTGGTAACGAGCCTGGCCGCGACGCATGCCCTATATCTGACCGATCTCGAGGGCCACGGCCTCTCCCCGACCAGTGCGCTGAGCGAGCTCACCGTCGCCTCGCTTGCCGCCGACGTCCGCGACGTCTACCGTCAAGCACGACCAGACCGGAAACCGGCCACGGTGGTCGCCCACTCGATGGGCTGCCTAGTGGCAATGAAGCTGGCCTTGGAATATCCGGAGTTGATCACCGGACTGGTTCTTATGGGACCTCCTCCGTCACGACTATCGCCGGCGGCGCGATCCGGGTGTTACACTCGCGCAGAGACGGTGCGCAACAAGGGCATGTTCGCGGTGGTAGATGATATTCTGGACGCCGGTCTGTCTTCCGCATGTCGAACGAAGAACCCCCTGGCAGTCACAGCCACCCGTCTGTCCCTGCTCGGTCAAGACCCCGAGGGATACGCAAAAGCATGCACGGCACTCGCCGGGTCAGCCGACGAGATTTTGGACCCCGCGCAACTGACTTGTCGGACCCTCATTCTGACGGGCAGCGAGGACGTCGTGAGTCCGCCTGCCGTATGTGATGCTTACGCAAACGCTATCCAGTCTTCTCGAATGAAGGTGCTTGATGAGGTCGGTCACTGGCATCTATTTGAGAATGATCGGGATACGTCCGATGCTGTGCTCTCTTTTCTTGCCGATCAGCAGTGACATTTCCGGCCAAATACACTTTTCGGAACGGGCCCGCGTTGGACTCGATGTAAACCAATTTCCTGCCACTGGGAGGATGGTACCAATCCCTACACCTAAGAACCCCTGATTGATTGAATGCTTTCATAAGCTGTCCAATCTACGAAAGAGAACGTAGATCAGCCAAAATCAAATGTAGCAAAGCTTGGAAAAGAACGATCTCCTCGACACAATTTCTTGCCAGTCAAACCCCGGAACATGGTGCATTTTGAGCGACAGAAAAAGTGACTAGAATCACTGCGCAGAATCGGTACATTTGTATCAGATTTCAAATATATTACTTTATTCTGACAAATAAGTCCTAAACCATGTTGGCTTGTCCAAAGCTGCCGCCGGCCGAATGAGCCCCGGGTTGATTGCGTCCTGGCCGAGCATCCGGCGAGCGCGACACCAGCACCTCTGTGGTCAGCGTGATGGCGTCCGGGTCGCGAGACGACAGGATATATTCTTCGCTGGAATTGTTGCCGCCTTTATGAGGATAACTGGTCGTCGTGGTCGTCGTCACGTATTCTCGCGAGGCCTGATGCGGTCGTTTCTGATCCGCCTCGGGTTCCCAGCCGCTCTGGTTTGCGCTGCGCAAGGTTTGGGAGCGTTGGTGACCGGATTGTGACAACGAGTGTAGGCGATAAGGCTTGCTTCCGTACGTGTACGGTCGAGTTTTGGATCGCGAAGCGTAGCTGCCCAAGACCTGCTTGAACAGCGGCTTCAGGGTCGGCAGACTACCAGCCATGATGCCCATGTTGGACTCGACACTGGACACGAATGAAGAGTCAGAACGACAGGCAGGAGATGGACGACGGAAATATATCTTACACAACCCAAATCGTCAGATCGGAATAGTCCCAGAGGAAATCGCCCGTGCGGCCGTAGTTCGGCAGGACGGAGACTTTGACACATGCGGCGGCACAGGCGCTGTGTGGCATCTAGTTAGAATGGGTGCATGCACAATGAAAGACCTGGCAACCTACAAGATTCCCAGACCCAGTATACACATCAACGAGGCTTTCACTCGGCGATTGACTTGCAAGTGCCTGTTCGGAGGGCATCGGTCAGCAGGTTGCTCGGGTTAGACCGGGGGATTGGAGGCATACCTCAGCATAAAGACTGGCAAGATGGCAAAGACAAGATCGGTGAGGATGTTGAGTGCTAAAATGGTCAGAATACTGACGTTCTGAATCCCTTGAACTATGGATCTTACCGGTGTTGGTATAGCTCAAGGCCAGCAGCTGAGGAGGCTTAAAACACTCGGACTTGACCGACTGGTCCCAAATCGACCGAATGTCCTTGCATTGAAAGATAAGAGTCTCGAATGCGTTAGCTCGTCTGCGATGTGCAGCATGAGGGTGCGATTGTTTCACGTACAAAAAAGCAAATGGCAGTATATAGGAACATCAGGACTTCTCCGAATTAGCGCCGCAAGTGAGAAATCATGGTTATCTGACTCACCGATCACGACCCATATAAAGACCTTGTATCCTCTACGCGGCGCAAATCGCAGCAGAAAGAGCCCGATGGAGATTTTGACCAGCCCAATTGCCCACATATAGATGGCCTGTGTGGCGAAATTCAAATGCGTGGCCATGGTGGCCGTGTCCAAGACGTAGGCTGTATGCCGGCCTGCGCCGTACCGAACCTCGGGGATAATAATGGCCCATCCAGCGAGTGACTGTGAACCATCGAAGCAGATTCATTAGCCAATGCCCTGTCACGACCTCGGATGTCTCTTACCAGTGCCATCGTTAAGATCATGGTGTAATCCTAGGTACAAGTCAGCGGTGGGTGCGGCGCCAGTGGTCCCCAGGCCAGGGTTCCTCACATCGAGTCCAACATTTCGAATGACAAATAGTCGAACGTAGACGCGGGCCAGGACAGTAATGAAGGCGCATCCGGTGGCTATCGTCGTGGCGGCGAGAATTCGTGGCCCTTGATTATCGTCCGGCAGGCCCGCGCCTGCTGGGTGAGCAATGTCGGGCATGACAGCGGCGGATCTTCGAAGGCACTCGATCACGAATCGATCATTGGAAAGGCTTTGGAAAAGAAGGCAATCTTTCAGTCACCCTGGCAGCGACCACCTTGAATTATAACTGGAACAGCTGGTGGTGTTCCAAAGAGAGTGTTCGTTGCGACGCTGTACAGCCAGAGTCCCAGGGCATGTCAAAATGGGAGACTCAAAAGTGAGGCCCACGAATCCAAAAACACGAAAAATTCAGGAACTGTCCGGTCCCTGGTGCCAGAGCTGATTTTGCAATCGATCAGAGAACCGCCCTGGATCCTGGATCCTGAATCCTGGCCCTACGATATGGCGCATCTCGACCAAACTCTCTGTTTTCTCCCCCAAAGTTAAAAGTCCAACAGATCCAGGGGAGCTATGGGTGACCCTCTGTTGCTGGCCAGTTTCCCTCGGCTAGGCAACCTTCTCGATCTCGCCTAAATTAAGCGGTCGATTTTGATTGCGTCCGTGGAATCGTGCGTGCAGCCGAAATTATGCCGCCGCCAGATATTGAGGGAGAAGGCCCGGCGGTTTCAGACCCCTGCATCTTTGGAATAGTTGATAACGGCCACGATTCCACGGTGGACAATGGCAATCTTTTGGCCAAAGCCGGCCAAACCTGACCAATGGGCCGCCGAGCTAGACAACTGTTCCATGCAAATGAGAACTTTATTGGGAATGACAAGGTTCACGCTTAGTTCGCCACCCTGGCCCTGGGCTAGTGGCTACTAGGCGGATTATGGCGTCCAGCGGAGAGCGAAATCGGAATTCGGGCGTGTCTAGAGAATGACTGGCCGCTTGCTAGGCTATCCAGCGTGATATCGCACCAGGAAGTCCAGAAAGAAAGCATCACCCACGCCGTTCGGAGCGATAGACGGCGATCCGTTTCGATCGCGGTGAACGGACTGATCTCCAGGGATGTCAATCCCCTTTGGCCATCCACGGAACCAACCTGCTCGGCGACCCTGGTTCCTCGGATCGCATCGCGCATGCGGTGGTGATTGGCGCCTGGGAGAAATGGGACCACATCGCCCGGGACCGGCGCAAACCCTATACAGCTCCACTCTCTTCGCAGATGCAACCCTGAGCATCCGCCCAGGCCGAGGCTATGGCATCTGGACCACCGCCCCTGGCGACTTGCAGCTGGTTCGGATTTATCCATCCCGACTCAAATTAACGCTCGTCGCTTCGCCCCGACAGGAAATCAGGGCTTTGGGCCGGTCAACCGATACCCAGCAGTAGCGTCGACCCTCCCTGCAGCGCCGCAGCCAGTCAGAGGCCCGACCGTGCATGTCGAGAGCATGGCACGATCCTTTCAATATATGCTTAGCTGAATTGATCCGGCCGTGATAGATGCCTCTCGCTGTCAGGAGACCGGGTGGGTAATTCTTTAAATAGACACGTCTTCCCCGGCCAGATCGATCTCTCGGCCTGTGCAGGTTTCAGCTGTCCGTCGTTCCCGTGCAAGCTCACGTCTCTCATTCGTGCCTCCCAGGACCTTTGGATCATCATGGTGGCTTTGCAAGTTCTCAGTCTGGGGCTGCTGGCGTCGCAGGCCTGGGCCATGCCCGCCGCATCGCAGTCCTCTGCCACGCCCACGCTCCCCAGCAGCGCCTCGAGCTCGACCGCGGTGGCCGCCTCCCAGCTGGACCAGCTGGCCGACTTTGCCTACAATGTCACAACGGACAGCGTCGGGGGCGGCTCGGAGAGCAAGCGTGGAGGGTGCTCCTTGCAGAACCTCCGCGTGCGACGTAACTGGCGGGCCTTCTCCAAGTCCCAGAAGAAAGACTACATCAATTCCGTGCTGTGCCTGCAGAAGCTGCCTGCCCGCACGCCGGCTCACCTGGCCCCCGGCGCCAAAACGCGATACGATGACTTTGTCGCGACGCACATCAACCAGACGCTGGAGATCCATTACACGGTATGCCTGCTGCCGCTGGACCTGACGGGGTGACGTGAAACTGACCGCGATCTAGGGCACCTTCCTCGCGTGGCATCGATACTTTATCTACGAGTTTGAACAGGCCCTGCGCAATGAATGCGGATATACTGGAGACTACCCGTGAGTACTGCACCGATGAAATGCCGGAAGTCGACGGCCGACTGACATCTCTCGTCCACTTTCAGCTACTGGGATTGGGGCGCCGACGTCAACAGCATGGAGCAGTCGCCCGTCTTTGATGGCAGCGAGACGTCCATGTCGGGTAACGGGGCTCCCATCCCCAGCCAGCCCGACGTGAAGCTTTATCTGGGCGACTATCCGGCCATCGACCTTCCCCCTGGCAGTGGCGGAGGCTGCATCACGAGCGGTCCCTTCAAAGACTATCGCCTGCACCTGGGCCCGGCTGTCCTGTCACTGCCCGGCGGAAATACCTCGACCGTGGACAACCCGCTGACCTACAACCCGCGCTGCCTGAAGCGCTCGTTGACGACCGAGATCCTGCAGCGGTACAACACCTATCCGAAGATCGTGGATTTGATTCTGGGCAATGACGCCGTCTGGGACTTCCAGATGACGATGCAGGGCATTCCCGGCAGCGGCTCGATCGGCGTGCACGGCGGCGGTCACTACTCCATGGGCGGCGATCCCGGTCGCGACGTGTACGTGAGCCCCGGCGACGTCGCCTTCTGGCATCACCACGGCATGATCGACCGAGTCTGGTGGATCTGGCAGAATCTGGACCTCCCGCGGCGTCGCAACGACATCTCCGGCACCGGCACGTTTATGAACAACCCTCCTTCGCCCAACACAACGCTGGACACCGTCATCGACATCGGATATGCCAACGGCGGCCCCATCGCCATGCGTGATCTGATGAGCACCACCGCAGGCCCGTTCTGCTATATCTATCTGTAATATATGGTTCAGGGGGCTGTCAGGTCTAGCGGGATTTGACGTGCCGCAATTACTCGTCGGCTGTCATCGCTAATAGATAGTTATAGTGTAGTATAGAGACTTAGACTTCTGGAGTCTGACTCCTCCACAACTCTCTTCATTAATGCCTTCTGAGTTCTTGATTTACGTCTTACACTCTGTCGTATCGGAATGGATCTCAATTCGTGTAAATTACAGTAGACAGCTGCCAGGACTGTTAGCTTGTTCTCTTTTCTGGATCAGAAGCCTGAGCTATTGTCTGCGAGCCTCGGCTGATGCAAAGTTTATCGGCGCATGGCGCTAGTCTCACCCTCGAAAGCCTCAAAATTGAGACTTCATCATGTCCGACGGACACGGCATTCTCCTATCTGATCATTTCTTAGGCTCGCTGATCAACGTTGACACTCAAACGTTGGCAGATCATTGCTGATCTGTCATCCGTGTCTGCGGCAGGGCTTCAACTTCCGATTCTCCCCCGTACGAACAATGAGCAATATGACACCACTTACCCTAAAACAAGGTCTGGCGCCATGACAGAACTCTGAAAGAGGCTGTTTGAGCAAGAACCTCACCCGGCAATTCCACCAATTGACGGCGCAACGTTTGCTGTCCGGCGCGAAGTGACTCTACAACATTCCTAAGAATGTACAAGAATCTAGCGAGCCGAGGATTTGATTTCTTCATGGGAGATCACGACTTTCTCTGTGAAGTAAGGGGGGGCTTTTTTCACATCCCATCGTTCCGCGGAACCCAAAGAAAACATTCCGAGGTGAAATCCTGCAATATGCATTGTCTTCATTGGCTATTATAGTAGAACCAGTCCTTTTCACCTCGATTCTTTCAAGGCTTTCATAATTCACTTGAGCTCTGTGGGTAGTCACCGTGCTAAACGCATTATCCAGGCCATGCGTACACATTCCCGCCCACAACAAAAAGGCCTGGCTATAAGCTGATCGAGAACCATTTTTCCAAGATCTCAGCTTGTTGTGTCTTCGGGTCGAATTCTTGAATGACTTGTGTTCGGTCCCCCATATTGATCTTCAATAGATGGTTGACCATCATGATTTTGCCCACAACACGCACCTCATCAGCCCCTGCGCAATCAACAGCATTTGGCGCACAATAGCGAGTATAATGGCCCTTTTCGCCACTTCGCAAGAATCTAACTGCAATCACATTTCCTCTCTCCCGCACCTCCCAGCTCGTAAACCGATTGATCACCTCGAAGTCGTCGGGGAACCACTCTAGTTCTGCAAAGCAATAGAAGGACATCCATTCCTTCTCGGGGCCATTTCGGTACTGATAGATCCACATTTTCTGGTCGGTTCGGGACTGATGAGGAATGCTGTCGAGGACGAGGCGAACCTCCTGCATTCCTAGATTTCGAACCGCATGTCCTGAGATCAGTGGCAGCGGACTTGTCGGCCCGTCGCCTCCAAAGGCCGCATCCAGATGCAACCGGGCGCCGGTGGGCAGCTGGACAATATTGACGATGTGCACCCTACCTCGTCGACGAATCAGCTTCTGCCTCTTTCAAGCGTCTGTGGCTTACCATCCTTTGAATTCTCCCACCGGAGCTCCATCCTGTCGATCTCGATTCCTCGCTCCTGTCATGTACACCTGGGATCGCAAGCCACGGAGTATATAGTAGAAGAATATGCTGACTTCCAGACAGTATCCACCCCGTCCAATCGGGTCGGCATCATTGGCGCCGAGCATTCTCTGGTAGAGCGCATCGGGTTCCAGTGAAACAGGATCGCTAGAGGAGTTATGTAGAGCGAGATTTTCATATGGATATCGGGTGAGTTGGCATCGGAATAAAACCGTCAGGGCTTCCTCGGTTTGGGGGAATGTCCACGGCGCTGGGATGTATCGCCCGTAGGACGGCGGCAGCGCCAGCGACTTCAAATAGCTGACAAGCTGCGCAGTGGAATAGGGTGACTGCATTCTTTCACGGCGTTGTCAAGTACTATGACAAGAGACTTTTACTTGGTGTCAGGTTGGCACGCTGTCTTCAAGGGATTTACGACGCACTGTGTAGGATGCTTGGCACGGTGAGTCACTGGCTTCATCGTGGAGCGCATGGTTTATGCCACCCAGCAACAAAGCAACATCGGATCACTCTGTTCCACTATAATGATGTTCACAAAAGCTCCAGTTCAAACTGCAATTCGAAAGATCCAGAACAGTTGGAACTTCCCCATACGTTAGGCCAGAGACCCCCAGTCACACAAAGACCTTCTCTGTAGGCTAGTAGTGTGGCCAGATTCCTCGAGATCCGATCTCGACCACATTTCCATCCGGGTCTTTGAAGTAAACACTACGCCCGCCTCGCTCCCAGTCCACGCGGCTCAGAATGGGAACCTCCTGGGCCTGCAAGTGTAAGTCCCATTGCTGCACCTCTGAGCGATCCCGGACGGCCAAACAAAAATGCTGCCGGAGAGCAATGCCCTCGCCATGGTCGGAGAGGAACTGGGAAAGAAGCTGTGGGCTAGGACCGTGTCGAGGAATGCTCCCGCCCTCGGTCTCAACGTCTGAGACGGTTTTGCCCAGTCCAAAGAGCAGCAGCGTGATGGGCCCTAGGGCAAATCCGGCCGACCGATCCTATAAATCCGTCAGCCTAGAGTACGGGAACACAAAGCAAATCCGGGACTTGCTGTTTCTGAAAAGGGTTGTAAGTTTAAGGCGTGTTGGTAAAATTGCGACGAGGTTCGGACATCGCGAACGTAGATGCAAGTCTCCAGAAGATGGGACAGTGGAGGAGGTCTAGTCATTTTGCAGCAGTTTTATAGGTTTTGCCTCTGGTTGGAGTACTATTGGTATTGAGTAGCGAAGTCTTAAATAGCACGACTGTTCCGGGGGGTGGTGGTAGATCAAGCTGGCCCAGTGAAGTATATATTCTTATGCAGCAAGCTTCTAGAGTTGCCTGCTTGGTCATCTTCGTATTCGGGAGATGGTTCAATCCACGCAGTCATTGCCGGAATTGAGCGGCTGGAGCTATGGGAAATCCAAGGATCCTGATCCCAGGGAGCACTGATCCATGATGAGAAACTGCCTCGTAATCCATGATACCAATGCAGTTCATATTGTGTTGATGGCCCCCTGCTCAGGTGACGGATGAGTCAGCCCCCGTAAGGACCGCGCATACCGCCAGCCGCATCGGGAAATCCGCTCTCGCTCCCGTCCGTCGGTCTCTCCGTCTCTCTCGTTCTCTCTTCCTCTCTTCCCATTTTCTCTCGACTCTTCCATCCAGCTCGTCTCTCCCCGCATCTTGCTTTTTCTGTTCCCATCGCGTCCTGTACTCGTCTAACAACGAGTGTGTCTGCGGCGAGATTCCTGACATCATGGATCCTGCAGCATGGGATCCACGTGCAACGCTACCATGGATCGCTCGCTGACATTGACGTGGACGCAGGAGTCGGGGGCCCTGATCCCCAGACAAAACCAGCTTTGTCAACGAACCAACTCGCCGGAAAAATGATTCCCTGCACCTGAGAGCCAACCAAGGGGCGACGCCCCGACCAACGGGCGGGCTACGAAAGGCAAGTGGCCCCGTCAATCGGCGCTCCCTCCACGTCAGTTCGCCGCGCATGATATCATCGTTCCTCGGCAAACACCCAAACTGTACAAAACCCGCACCTCCGTTTGGTTTGGGGAAAGGCCAAAGGAAGGGTCGGTCTTCATTCCCCTACCGCACAGTATCGCCAATTATCCGTATGGGGTCCCAATATTTCGAGAAGAAGTCCATTGCCAGCTTCTTGCGGGTGCTGGTGCGCATGCACACCCCCGTCGATCCTCACCCCGACGACGTCCTGGCCGTTCCCTCGCGCGACCCCGACCGCACCATCAAAGTCCATTTCTACCAAGACCCCGATGCCGTCGACGCCGCCAAACCCGCTCCGGCCGTGGTCAACTTCTGCGGCAGTGGATTCACCTTGCGATATTTCGGCACCGACGACGACTACTGTCATTACATCTCGCGTCGAACGGGGCGCGCCGTGCTGGACGTCAAATATCGCCTGGCCCCCGAACATCCGTTCAAAGCCGCCTTCGACGATGCCGAAGACGTCGTGAGCTGGGTGCGGTCGCAGCCCGATCGCTTCGACCGCTCTTTTCTCTCGCTGTCCGGCTTCAGCGCCGGCGGCAATCTCGCCTTGGCCGTGACTTCGTCTTCGCCGCTGTTCATGATCGGCGACGATCTAGACTCCCGACCAGAGTTCCACTCCGTGCTGGCCTTCTATGCCCCCATGAACCTGTCGCAGCCCACGCCAGAGAAGCCGCAGATTGACGACCGCAACCTGATCATGCGGAAGATCTTCCCGCACATCTCACACTTCTGCCACAAATGCCTCAATCCCGGGAGACTAGACACGGCCGACCCGCGCTTTTCGCCCATCTTCGCAGACCCGCACAATTTTCCGTCGAAGGTCCTGATCGTCACGGCTGCACAAGACCCATTCGCCATCGAGGGCGAGGAGCTGGCCGAGAAGATACGCCATGCCGACGGACACCACGTCGTCTGTCAGCGCATGGAACGCTGTCCTCATGGTTGGGATAAGAAGGCAAAGGACGGTACTCCGCAGGGCGATGCCAAGCGTGAAGCCTACGACCTAGCTGTCGACATGCTGCGCTCCTAAGGCAAGACGTGAACGGAAAGCAGATTGGTTGCCCCGTGTTTATGGATTCCGGCAATAGACCCACTTCATCGATGCTGTCTTATGTACAAGATCTCTTTTAGATACCCATAATGCATGACTGAACGATCCATCCGGTAATTGATTGACTCCCCCCACCCCCGATTCTCCCTGGTCTCGAAGTGTCTTGGCACTCACTGTTGGTAACAGGCAGAGACAAAGGAAGCCCGTTGGCTGCTTGTCGGCTGTCACATCCTCGCCCTACCTGGGAACTTCACAAGCGCAGTTGACTCGAGGACCTGGCCGACGTGTAGATTGTGGATTTCTCGCACGAGGTTGCCGAAATGTGGTCGAATCGATCTCGGATCCACGGCAGATATTGTGCCTGAGCCGCGATGAACGCCGGGTCGTGATCCAGGCCTGGATACCGCAGATATTGCGCTGTCGTTTCGGGGAACGCATGGCAGGTCCTATCGAAATCCTGCTCCGCCAGGTCGGCATACGTTAGAGTGTCGTTGAGTCCCTGGAGGACGAGCATGGGCGCCGCGAGGCGGTGCGGACCCACGCCGTTGTATCGTTTTTGCCAGTCCACGACGTCGGGGTGATGCAGCCAGCTGGTGTTCTTGTACAGCTGGGGCACTGTCAGGTTCCCGTACAGCACATCTCCCGTTTGCAGACAACCTTGCTCGGCCAGTGGAATGCGGCTGGCCACGATATCACTCACGTAGTCCTCCACGCGGATGGACGGCACGAGGCGTGCAATCGACTGCAGTACGTAGATGGAGACCACGTCACCCACGGGCCCGCCGCCGGCCAGACGGAAGGATCGCGGGATCAGTGACAACGGACGCAGGGCAGGGGCGCCGGACACCGCGCCCAGGAATCCACCCACCGCTGACCCGGGTCGCGCCTGGCGCTCGTTGGTGCGCCAGGCCGTGAGGCCGCCCTCGCTGTGTCCAACCACCACCCATTCGTGGCTGATCCGCCCGCGCAGCACCTTGCGAGCAGCGACGATGGCCAAGCTGACGTCGGCCGCGTGCAGGGCCCCCGACTCGTACATGAACCCCTGAGGGATGTCGCTGCCTTGTCCGGCATAGTCCGGCGCTACGACCGCATAGCCCTGCTGCACCAGCGCGAACGGACCTTCCCAGGCGTAGTAGAGCTCGCGGTGGTTGGAGGGCGCGCATTGCCGCGTGCCTCCCGCCGTGCCGTGGGCCCACGCGATAGTTGGAAGCGGCCCTTCGTCACCGGCAGGATTGGCGTACGGCAGCAAGACGAAGCCGCTGGCGGGAATGGGGCGACCGTCCAGGTCTTCGCTCATGTACAGGAACCGCGAGAGGGTTGTGCCCGGCGGCAGCGACCATTTGTCAGACATGACGTCCGGCGAAAGATCCTCCCACCGGACGATATCGCCGGCTGCGTAGGCCGACAGGTTGCTGGGATTGGCATAGAAAGGATCGGTGGAGACGTTGCCACTGACCCATTGGGCTTGCTCGGTGGCCAGGGCAGTCTTGACGCTGACCTGGCAATCTGCATCACAATTGTCGGGGAAGTCGACTCGGGGTGATGCATGGCAGGCAATGACCAAAGAAAGAAAGGCTAGACCAAGTAGAGAGCGATACATTTCGTCTGGACAGACAGGGCTCAATTCGACACTTTGGATGTACAGACCAGAGTCTAGGAGAGCGATAACAGATGTGAAATCTGCAAACCGGCCAGGACAATTTATACCCAGCGACTGAGAAAAACTGCCTCGGTAGACCGTGATGTCTAAATCCCGACATTCGCAGCCGTCCAGCAGAATAAGAGACGATCAACGATGCGGAGAAGCAGATGATTCCCCTCGTTGCTATCTCCAGTTCGTGGACGTGACGCTGACGGCCACCTTCGCGCTAGACTGCAAATAGCAGGTCGACCCATCGTGAAGATCGACGGACTTCGTTCGGAGCAGTTTCCCGAGGACCGTGGGCCCAGTAAATGGGTCTTGGATTCTTCGTTCAACGTACTACTGAAGAAAGATGGCCGGTTGGTTATGAATCATGATGCCCAGGAGACCTTAAAAGTCTCCGGCCTCCCATGAACATCGCCACTGATTCGGATCCTGCACGGAGTGCTGTGGACTCTGGCGCAGTATCCTCCCAATGTACCCAACGCGAGCTCACACTATTCGTCCTTTTCTCTCTCTAGATTAGGGAACACGAGCCCTACGAACAGCGATGCGAGAAACCGCCGCGAGTCAGGCATGTCATTCCATGCGACTGGTTTTGCCACCAAATACTCTCGGTCTCAGCACCCCAGGCTTATTGCTATTTATGTATCTTTAGTCCTCTACACGATCCTCCTGTCAGATAATATCAGCCGAAAGCTAGTTCGTGGCTCCAATTTTACGGTCAGACTGACTCAATGGTGTATCACGCGTTGCGCAGAACAGTTCCTTGAGGATTCTGCATGGTGAGTCGACTCATCTCTGACAGGGGTTTCACAGCAATGCCACGAGATAACGGGATTGGTCCGAACCGGCGATCCCACCTCCCAAGCCTTGCTTCGAAGTTTCAAGTCTTGCACATTTCTAGCAGAATCAGACCGGAATACGAGCGATGAGCCTTGTTAGTGCCACCCCGGTAGCTCTTGGCGTCCCAGAGGAGAGAGCAACGGCGCCGATCTGCCAGCTGAGAGGCTACGCACCTGTGTCTAGCGGGTCCCTTGGTGGGGATCAGGGAGCCCAATGTGCCGGGCGGCTTACAGCGAGCAGCATGATGAAAAGACCCTTGGTCTCGTGTCGAAGATTAGGAGGTTTCGTGATAAGATGGTTTCACCCCAAAATATAAGACCGCCGACCGGATTCTGCGCCGAGTGACACATCCTCCTCTTCCACGCCGGGCTGCAGGTCCTGCTCCCTTTCCAGCAATCGGTTCTGCTCATGATTTCGATTTTTTTCCTCGTGTGCTGGCTGAGTCTAGCCCTGTCCGTGCTGGCCGCCCAACCATGCTATAATCTCGACGGCTCCCAGGCCAAAGCCGACGTTCCTTGTCGCCAGGGCGAGACCTCGAATTGCTGCAACACAAACGATGTCTGCATGTCTAACGGCCTCTGCTACCTGCAAGGGAAGCGAGGGCTTGGACTTTCCCGCGGAAGCTGCACCGACCGCAGCTGGGGTGCTAAATGCTATTCTCCATGCTGTACGTGAACATATCAGTGGAGTTGAACTGATGTAAAGGCTGACCGGGTTTTCATCTTTAGCAAATGATAATCGGAACACCGGAATCCCAATCATCAACGTCGGGTTCAATGGCAACAAATCGGAATATTGCTGCGGCGCTGTGACGTGGAATAACGGCAAAGCAGGGTGTCTTCACGGTGGCGATCCATTCAAATTACCCTTCGGGCGTGCTATCGCGGGCGTCGCGGCTTTGGCGGAGGATAATGGCAACGGAAATGGCTCTACGGGAAACAACGACACAGTCGAACCTCAGCCAGGAAGTTCAAACCACGACGTTGCCATCGGCGTTGGGGTAGGTGTGCCCCTCGGAGTGCTGGCCTTGACGGCTTTCGGTTGGGCGCTGTGGGAACGACGTGCCCGACAGTCGCTGGCACACAACATGCCCATCCAGAATTATGCGCCGATCAACGACCCAGGCGTATCGTATCACCAAAGTGGCCCACTGGCCGAACTGCCCAACACGGGACTCCCGGCGCAGGAGCTAATGGATACGGGGAGGCAGGCCAAACCGGACCTTCAACATCGATGATGTCAACTGCACATGTATAAGTATAGACCGGACATTTATTTAAACCGATAGATTGCAAAGCACAACACGAGCTTGATCGAATTGATACAAGGACTGGATATGGCCGTTTTGGGCTAATCGCTTCAACCGAGCTCGCTGTAGGTGTCGAGTCGACGTCTCCATGGACGTACCCGAGGATATCATACACACAACAGCAACAAGCAACATATTACTTGTCGTTATTATACCCAGGTAAGTTGGTGGGCTACATTGTTATCTTTGACACCCCTCTCTTATCATTGTCTCTTTTCTTTGGTTCAACGCTTCATTTCCTCACCTCTGGACAGCAGTTGGTGGCCCGGACGAAATGGCACTGACATGGGAGACATTGGACCGCCCATCGTACACTATGATTTCTTCCTGACTGTCACTCGCCTGCTTTTCCCGACGGAATCCATTCTTCAGCGGATACGTGTCGCGAGCTCGACCGGACCGCACACCGCTCGCCGTCGTCGACCTTCTGCGCCATTCGCTGCCTGGGTTTGACGCGCCGGCATACTGGGCACTGGACCCCCAGACACCCGGGGCAAAATGCGTCAACAAAGAATTTAGCGCGGTGGCCGAAGCCGTCACGATGGCGAGATTGACCTCCACTCCCGATACGGTGTGTCCGATGTTGTACGTCGGGTCCGGGTTACCGGGCCGGAATCGCTGCGCGTAGATGGCCAAGCGAGCGATACTTAGGGCAGTTACACTGTTCATGCGGAGTTAATATTGCCTAGCAAAATGTTGCCAGTGTCACTTACATGACTCCTAAGCAAAGCACGCCCAGAATAGCCAGTTTCTTTCGCCGGCTCATCTGCAACTGCCAAACGATGATGCAAGGAATCACCAGCAGCCAGATATCTGTGACTATCGTCAGGCCCGCAGACCCCAAGAAGAAGCCAATCTGGTTGAAGCATTTCCCTCCTGTGATGGGCACCCCATCCTTCATCCCGTTCTTGTCCGCCCCTGCGGCTCTCTGTGCCGCCAGATCCATAGCCGGGGCTTCATAGACGTATCGCAATGGAGTGCACTGGAACAGATCGGCCACGAAGATGGCGATGAGCAATGCCAGGTTAACAGCAGTTAAGGCCCATAGATTCCAGCGCACGACAGGGCGACGGTCCTGGAGACGAAAAAGGAATATAATCACAGAGGCCTTCACAATGGCCAAGATAGGGTTGTACAACAGCTGATTGGCGAGATTGTACTTTTGGCCGGTGATCTTTTGCTCGATGGACTGGGGAGGAATGTCATAGATGTGGTATCCTTGGTAGGTTAATCTAGTGTCTGAGTTCTGTTAGCCGAGGCAAGGCGATCGGATTGGCCATGGCCCTTACAGATCCAAATTGTCACCGTCTGACCTACTGCCAGCAGCCAGGCTATAACAATGAGACTGTCATCTATAGAGTCATGAGAAGTTGTCGACATAGGGCCGCAAGCAAAGACCGACTTACCCCAGCCAAACTGCCGAGTCAGGCCTCGGGCCCAACATCGCAAGCCGACCACTAACGTGCTCAAGATGGGGAAAACGAGGATGATGGCATACGCAGCATCTTGGATATTCTCAGGCATCGCGACTTGCGGCCATGCATTATTATGCCTGCATGGAAGAGTAGGGGAGTAGGGAATAAGGGGTGGTCGCGACGAGAACGAAGGAGAATTAATGACATCCTCTCCAGGACCTTCCCTTCGGCTAGAAAGTGATCAGAATTCCTTGCCGTCTGCAAACCCGGAACACCTATAATGGCATGCATCTGGATTTAGAACCTCCGCAGCACAGGGATGGACATCCTGGTCGCGGTGGGTCAATCCTTGGGGGCCATCATGGCGTGAATCCACCGAATCCGCCGTCCTGCCCGGCAGATCCAGCGGGATTCCGGTTGGCTCCGTACAAACCGACTCGTTTCCACCCTCGAGATTGCAGTCTCCACCGACCTTGGCCAACTTAATCCCAAGCGACCATGGTCTGATGGCGAGCGGCGCCTCTCCCCGGCCACGGTGGTTGGTCTGAAAAACCCCGAGTTCCCCATCGACACCCTGGTCAAGGGAAAGAAAGGACACCCCCCTGCCGGCGATCCCCAACTAATAGTGGAATCCTGCTCGTCATGAAGTCCCCTGCCCTGGCCCTTACGGCTGTCCTCGTGGTCGAGGCGATTGCGGCAGCATCCTTTGACTTCGAGAATCGCCAACTGCGAGCAAGCGATCTGCAGCATCTGGACGAGCGCGAGGCGGCGATCTTTCGCTCGGATCAGAATGCGACCGTGAGGTCAAGCTGCAAGGTTTTCCCGGGCGATCGCAGTTGGCCACGGCCGCGGACTTGGGATCTGTTGGACAAACTGACGGATGGAGGCCTCATTGCGTCTGTCCCGCGGGCCTCGTCCTGCTACAGCGGGCCAAGATACGATGCAGACGACTGCAAATTGTTGACGGATCAATGGACCGATTCATACTTCCAGTAAGCGTCTCTTATTCCAGAGGTAGGGAAAGACACCTCTGACCCAGAATCCAGCAACAATGACCCCATTGAGATGCTCTCGCCCGTCTATCAGGGGCTGACCTGCCAGCCGACCACGAACCCGAAGGACAACTGCACGCTGGGTGGGTATCCAGCCTACGCGGTGAATGTATCCAGCGTGGCTGATGTGCAGCTTGCCATCAACTTTGCGCGCCACACTGGCGTCCGCCTGGTCGTCAAGAATACCGGCCATGACTTTTCGGGCAAGTCCGGCGGTGCTGGCGCGCTGAGCATCTGGACGCACAATCTCAAGGGTATCGAACACATCCCCGAATACAGCGCGCCAGGGACCAATTGGACGGGGGCAGCCTTTCGTGTAGGCGCCGGTGTGCAGGCCTACGAGCTGTACAAGGCTGCGGATGATTACAAGCTGATGGCTGTGGGCGGGGAAGGACGAGTAAGCTGCCGAGCGATATCTGGGAATAGAGTTGTGCTGACGATAAATATAGACTGTGGGAGTTGCAGGTAATAAGCCAAATACCTTTTGACATTGATATATCATGAGTCCATAGTGCTAACGGGATTGCAGGCGGTTATGTTCTCGGAGGAGGACACTCCCCACTTAGCTCTCTCCACGGGCTCGCGGCAGACCAGGTATTGTCCATGCAGGTTGTCCTACCTGATGGACAGTTCGTAACGGCCTCCTTCACCGAAAATATCGAACTATTCTGGGCTCTCCGCGGTGGTGGTGGCAGTACCTTCGGCATCGTCACTTCCGTCACCGTCAAGGCCTTTCCGACCATCCCAGCAACTTCGTCGACCTTCACCTGGTCCACGGGGGCCAATCTGACGCACGAAAACTTCTGGGCGGGATTCCGTGCCTATCTGGACCTGTTTATTCAACATTCCGACGCCGGGATTTACTCCTACTTCTTCATTCTTCCCTCCGACGGCGAGTTCACCTTCCTGATGCAGCCATTCTTTGCACCCAACAAGACCGTGGCCGAGACCAACGCCCTCCTCTCGCCTTGGTTCAAACGTCTGCACGAGCTAGGCATCCAGTTTACCCCCAAGACGCAGTATTTCAACACGTTCTACGAGGCCTGGAACGCTTCCTTCCCGCTGGAGGTTGTCGAAAAGACCCATGTGGCCACCGGATCTCGGCTGTTCCCCCGTGCGAACTGGGAGGATGAATCCAAGCTGAATGCGACATTCTCCGCCATTCGTGCTTCCTCCGAGGCCGGTCTCACCTACATTTCTTTTAACATGGCCCCGACCCTCGCCCGCGGCGGTAACCCGGACAACGCCGTCAACCCTGCCTGGCGCAAGGCCGTCATGCACGCCCTGTCCAGCGTCAACTGGAGTGACGACTCTCCGGTGTCAGAGATCAAGGAGGCACGTCACAACTTCACATATGGACACATGCAGCGGTGGCGCGACGTGAGTCCTGGGGCGGGGTCCTACCTGGGCGAGAGCGACCGGATGGAGCCAGATTTCCAACAGTCATTCTACGGCGATCATTACGATCGCCTGCTCCGATTGAAGCGAAAACTGGACCCCTACGATGTCTTCTGGGCTGCTACGGCCGTGGGAAGTGACCGATGGACGGTCAAGACGGAGGATGGCTTACCGACGGAGAATGGGAAATTGTGCCGCATCTCGCCATCGGATATTTGACGAAATATGGGCTAGTAAAAATTAATAATGCATATCCTTTTACTGGAACGAAGCAGCCTAGGTGGGCAAATGTCTAATGCTCCATATACTCTCCGGCCCCCGCCTGTGTGCTAGCCTGAGTTTGGGTTTTTCGCCGAGTCTTAAAGCACTCCTACCAGCCAATGTCTTGTGCACTGGGCGGTTTGGGCCTGGTTGCAACTCCGTATTCGCGTGGCAGCTGCCAGAATCTAACGAAAGAGCACCTCCGAGGGCTCCGGTCGCATATTGACCAGCCGTGCTAAATGATCGGGCGCGCAGGATAAATTGCTTTTTATTCCGCCGTCGCTCGCCCAGCCCACTACGCAGTAGTTAGTCGCATTAGTTTTTGACAGGGAGGCGCTAAATCCTGCTGCTGTCACTAAGTTCTTTCCACGCTGCTGATCGCAATCAAAGATATTCGCCTGTCGCTGAGTTTTGTTCATTGGAAAAATGTCTGTCCGCATGATGTTTGTTATGCGTATGCACGTATGCACGTATGCGATCAGTCGGACAAAACGGACAAAATCCCTCCCCGGGAAACTAGTCCTCTGCTGTATGATGTACCAGAGAGAGGGATTGATAAGGTCGGAAATCGGGTTAGAAGACATGACGGGGCCTGCAGGGAGTCTCGCTTGCGACATCCCTGTGATTAAACGTCTTCTTGCACTTATGCCGGCAGCGAAGCCAAAAGCGCCATCCCGAGGCCCTCTGGGACGGTATTTGATGTATCTGCCGCGAACTAGCAAGGATCATAGAAGGCAATTATAGCCAATCTCCCCATATTGCATATTCTTCTGTACTTGGAATTTTATCGCATAGTCTGGCCGCATAATGTCAGTTGCGGATTCTGTTGCTGCAGAACAATATCAGCTGGAATGCCGCTCATGCTTGCACGGCGGGTAGGTAGAATATATAATTTTGATCGAGGGAAACTGCTGCCTTTCCCACCCTTGAATCAAGGGGGCGAGACTGGCGGAATCCATGGCGCAGTGATTAGACCAATGCCAGAACTGGATTCTAACCAAAGCAGAGCACTGAAGAAAACATAAAACGGGAGCTACATGCGCCAGCTCCGGTTGCAGAAAGGCTGAAAATTCCGATCAGGATACACATGGTGGCCACCTGTGTTAGGGTTCTATCTGAGCCAATGAATGCGAAGTGACAGAATACCTGGAAGACCCGCGCTTTGGACGTTTTGGAAAATGCTTCCCATCGGCCAAGAGAGCGGCGAAGAAGCCGCTCATCTTTTCCTCGAGCCCTCTTTCCTTACTAAACCCATCGGACGGTGGCTCGGAAACGACTATTCTCCATTTATACGAGGCTATACCCGATTCTGAGGTAGATCCTATACCGAAAGCCATGACAGTTTCACAGCATCATACGAGAATGAGGGATTTTCTTTGCAACTCAAGAAATGGCAGCTTTCATTGACATCTAACGAGTGGATGATATGATACTTTCGGCAAAGAAATCAAAACGAATACAGTACTATCAAACCGGCCTTATATCCAGAAAGGCTACTTTCTCCCAAAAGACCTCCTTAATATCGAGATCCGAGGCTTTCGATATGCTACCTAGGAGTAGTAGCAGTAGCAGCGCCTAGGTGCAATTGTCAGCAGATGTTCTTGCGGTGCCCTCTCCAAGGTGGAACTTACTGCCAGCCCAATCCACCACACTCGCCCTTCTTGTAGTAGCCGCTGTCGCCCTTGCACTTCTTGCACTGCGGTTTCATTAGTGAGATCCTGGTCATGGCATTTCGGACAACATACGCGGTCATTGCACAGATCTCCACCCCCGGAGCCAAAGCAAACGTCGTCGATGTTACAGGCGCGGGCCTGCAGAGTGTGCGTCTCATGCTCAGTGTTTACGGCGGCACCGTAGGCCGAAATGGCAAACATAGTGGTAGCGAAGATGGCAGAGAGCTTCATTTTGGATATCTGGTGGATTTGAAAATTGACTTGATGATTGATTTGTAGCTTGATGTAGAGATGTGAATGATTCTAATCGATCTAAATTGAAGACCCTGATGAGGGATTCGGGGCACTATTTATGTCTTTTGTTGAGCCTCTGATTTCTGAGCCTTCCCTGTCTTTCATGGTTCCACTTCTCTCTATACGAGTCGCTATTTTCGGGCTCGCATACACTGTCGAACCACGGCCCTGCGCGTCGCTGAGTCTGTTACTAGCAAGGGGGATTGCGTATTATGAGACACAGATCGCTGCGAGGTATACCGAATTCAACAGACACATGCAAAGATAACACCTTGGATATACTACCGGGGTTCGTATTGTGGCTGTCGATCATCATGGGGAAGTGACACGGTGGATCGTCCCTTGCAGGCCGCCACTCAGGGCCTGTTTAACACGAGATCGGCTCTCTAAGCCTCTTCCGCGATTTATGTAATTTTCTAGCATCAAGGTTCGGGCAAGACTCGTATTGCGGCTTCTTGAAGACCAATTGGATTAGATAAGGTGGATGATCGATCACATCTTCGTCATGAAGAGACTGCGGTTATGTAGTCCGTAAAATTGGTCTGTCTGTGGCTCATGTTCAATCATCAGGCTGTGTCTAACGACTGCTGAGTTCGGAAGTATTTTGCGAGGATTTGACGTACTCATCATGCAGGTTATATGTCATCAAAAGCTACGACTACCATGTAGATTAGCTCGACAAACTTGGCATGCGGCTCCAGATATATATCTAGGAGCAATAGCGAGCACAGGCGCGGAGAGAGCCGAGGAATGCCAACCGTTTCTATGAAATCAACAAGGGCCATAGAGTGCGTTTAGCAAATTGGGAGGAGGGTATCCATGCTCATGGTGTGATCTTTGCTCTCTGGTTGTTTGAATGCACTTCTGCCGCCTGAGGCACCAAGGCAGCCAATTGGGACCCCACAGATGGCCCCAACCCACATTGTCGAGATGCACGACAGTGATTGGCCCTCGCAGTGCTATCTTTAGCCCAAACTGTCGATCCCTTTCCCAATGCGGTGTCAATTCACGAGTTGGTCGGGCGTTCCTGAGGCCAAGAGCCCTCCTGGGCTCAACATTGGTGAATGAACTCGCCCGGCACACTGCTACCACACAACTTTCGGGCTGAGTATTTCTCAATACGAGCTCTCGACGATCTTGATGACCGTCCATTGAGCGGCAGGCTCCGCATCATATACGAGAATGAAATTAGACTCGTGTTTGTGGAATTGCCTTTGTCGGGTACTATGATGTAGAGAACCGGGCTTGAAATAAATGGCACCCCATCCCGCTGAAATCAGCATGTCAATCTTCAACGATCTTTGCCTTTCTCAGTTGTGATACCCCCCTCCGATCAAGAACAAACCATGAAGTTATCTTGGGCTTTTACTCTCGCATCTGCTCTGTGCGTGCAGGCCAGCTCATGGCGCGCTTATTATGGCCTCTCCACGGACGCATACCAGGCTAAGTTCGACGAGATGGTCGAGCAGGGATATCGACTTAACTCGGTCGATGGGTACGAGAAGAACAATGAGCCAGCGTTCGCCGTGATCTTCGAGAAAAGACCCACCACAGCTTGGTGGTCTCATTCAGGCATGACATCCGAGCAATACCAGAAGAAGTTCGATAAATACCTCAACCAGGGCTATCACGTCGTCCAGGTGAACGGCTACACCGTCAACGGGAAGGATTACTACGCTGCAGTCTGGGACAAGTCTCCCGTCGGTCCCTGGGCTTCTCGACATGGCATGTCGACCGAATGGATGCAGAAACACTTCGACGCCTATGTGGAAAAGGGCTACCGTATGACGCATGTGAGCGGATACGAGGCAGACCAGGAGGCGCGGTATGCTGCGGTGTGGGAGAAGAGCGATGACAAGGCGGCGTGGGAGTCGAGGGGGAACTTGACTTCTTCGGAATACCAGGCGACCTTTGACAAGTATGTGAGCAAGGGATACAGGGTGGTCGATGTCTCTGGATATCAGGTCGACGGACAAGTATATTACTCGGCCATTTTCGACAAGTCTTCTTCCGGTCCGTGGGTTGCGCGTCACGGCCTGGATTCACCCACCTTTCAGGCCGAGTTCGACAAATACAAGACCCAAGGCTATGTCCTACGGACCTTCAGTGCCTATAATGATGGAGACGAGCCTCGATTTGCCGGTATATGGGTGAAGCCAACTTAGACTTGGCCTCGTCCTTGAGGAAATTTTCGGTCTCGCACTATGTGGTTGAGTTGTTTCATGCCGCAGCTGGCCAGTTCATGATATCCTTCCCATTGGTTGCTTGGCTTTTGTTCAGAATGAAAATTTTGTTTTCTACGCTGAGTGGTATCACTCCAGACATCCGCCGCAAATCAAGTGTCCTACCTATCATAGCACCATATTGCACATAGAATTCATAGGCTATCGCTCCGTCGCGAATCTGTCACCACCCAGGTTCTAGTTTCCCGAATCATTCCAACCTGACTTGACTGACTGTTTGCATCCCATGCGGATGAGGTGGAAATGGTCGTTTGATTGCCCTGTCCGGGGGGGATCGGGACCAAATCATGAGCATTGCCAGAGCCCGTTGTCTGCTCGGTGCGCTGCGAGTGTGAATTGGAGTATTTGCCGTAGGTAGATTGATATTCGGCACCAGGGATACGCATGCCATTTGACTTCATCTGGTTGAGAAATGGTTTCAGCTGACCCCAGCATGCCGTTGCAATGCTCATGCATTGGACGACTTCCATGGCGACGGTGTTGAAGCAGTAATCGTAAGTAGGGTCGGCGAGGTTGGTGATGTCTTGGATAAGGACCAGCTCGGCGATGATTGCACCGATAACCCTAAAGACAGCCAAAGTGTCAGAAAGCAGCAACAGCATGTAAATTATGTAAAGCGATGGCATGTCGTACAGCACACGGGTTAAGAAGATGCTGGCGAAGAGAAACCGCTTCTTCACAGGCGCATGAAGTCGCACAATGAGAAACAGGGCTTGAAGAATTATAGACAGGTCGGTCACTAAATTCGAGCTGCAGAAGAAGTAATGCCATTTGGCCTGTCCGAGTGGGACAATTAGCAGTGTATTCTTCACAATCCTCGCGCTACTCACAGCGACTCACTGTGTTGATACAGCTCCCCTGCCAGTAATCCCATGTGCGAGGAGGATGGCATTGGAAGACCGTTACGAAAAAGGTACTCATCGCCCATGCCGCTAGAATGATCTGGACGGTATTGGAAAAGAAATGGTCTCGCGGTTTGGGAGACAAATTCCGGATGAAGAGACATAGGGATAGCTTCGATGTGTATAGACTGGCAATATAGAGGATGTTCGCGGAGTACTGTGCCTGGGGATTGTATATTGCCCGTCAGAGCCAGAGACAGCAACCAAAGGAGACAGAAAACAAGACAGCAAACCTTCATAACGACGTCGAATTGACTTTGCGAAATCTCATTGAAGCGGTCCCCATAGCCATTGGCCACGGCAATGGAGACCGCGACCGACTGGGCGGAGCAGAATACCTGAACCCGTCAATAATGGAGTCACGGGAGGATTTAGAGAAACCGAACGGATGGACCCATACCACCGAGGCGATAATCAGATAGTCATCGCTGGTGAACCGATGGACGATTCGATACTTGCTGATCAGCCGTGACAGGACGCTGAGAATCGCCGCCGTCAGAAGCGCCCAGGCCGAGGCGTTCACCGTAGGATCTCGACTGCCATTTGCAAACCGTCCCATGAAGGGCAACGTTGGGTCGCTGCAGGAGCATTGAGAGACATGTTGCGGTCTGCAGGACTGCCCAGATGCACCCGACTATACATAGTGATACATAGTGGCCGTCAGCCTCGGGCGCACTTCTTCTCTCACACCCCCTCTTCCGAGCGATCTGGCGCTTCTCGCGTTGATTATGCCGTGTGCCAAGCGACAGGGGATCGGGGCCGGATATCCAACGCCAGCTCCTTGTCCGTTGGCCGGTTTATGATTGATTGTTTCTCGACTGGCAACGCGCATCGCCCAATGCCCGTCCCAGGCACCCTTCCTTCCCCACGGCCAGCACCCTTCGCATTCGCTACGGGGAACAAGGACCTGACAGGGCATCGAGTCCTTCATCCTGCATACGCTAGCCTTTTAGTGCGACGGTGGACGGGAAGATCCTGGTTCGTGAGCCGGCCCATGCGCGCCGGCGTCGAGAGATCGTCGGCACAAGAGCGATAACCCCCTCGCTCGCAAGAAAGGTGCCAATAACATCGAGGCCTCCTGCGCTTGGCAAAGAAGCCCAGCACATCAAGCCTCTGCTTCGGGGCTTGATCACGCAATGCCGATAGATATCCCGGTAGCGTGGCGAGAAGGACCAGGTGTCCTGCAGGAAAGCACGCAGAGTAAGCCACGAAAGGGCTCCACTGTACGGAATACGCTGGAGACTCCGATGTCAAATGTAACCGTCTCGAATGCTAGAAGGAGGGAGCTGCAAGGGTGCCCTCCCTGGTCGCATGGCTATCCTCGGGCGGTCGTTGCTCGAACAGCAAATCCCCCGAAACGACGCGACACCCGCTAATTATTAAGATTGTTTCTCAATTTTCCTTGGGGCTGGCTAATAAAACTCCTCTTTATTCCAACTGCCGGCGCGGTGTCAGTCTCACTGAACGCTACCTTTCCTCACATTCTCCGCCATGGCGTCGTATGAATTGAAAGGGCCGTCTGTGAGTCGCGAGGTGCCGGCATTCAGCTCTAAGGATCGCGACCACCACGAATTGGTTCGCTTGGGGAAAAAGCCCGTGTTGAAGGTGAGTCTTGCGATCGACATTCGATCTGCGCCCGTCAGGGAAATTGCTAACGATGCTGCGTGTCCGTCGGTAGCGAACGTTTGGAATTCTGTCCATTCTCGGCTTCAGCTGTACGATCCTTGCGACATGGGAGGGTCTTCTAGGGTAAGAAGCCACTCAAGGTTGGCATAGGTCCATTCTAAATACTGATATTCCGCTGCAGGACCTTTACCATCCCTCTACAGAAGTCAGTTTGACCAAGACCCGCGATCGTGATAATGACTAATTGCAGCGCAGTGGTGGATCGGCGGGCGCAGTATACTCCTACATACTTGTCTGGATCGGAACAGCATGTTGTTTCGTAATTATCGCGGAGATGGCGTCGATGTAGGTGGCTCGACTGTCTTTGCGTTGGATGAGGTTGACGACTTTTTAGGGCTCCGACGTCAGGTGGTCAATACCACTGGTGTGCCATGCTGGCCCCGACAAGCATGATGAAGTTCCTCAGTTACATGACGGGTAAGCCACCGATATTTTGCATGTATCCGCGCAGCTTCGCTAATGGGACTGTGACTTACTTAGGATGGCTTACCGTCATCGGGTGGCAAGCAGCCTTTGCCTCTGCGTCGTATCTATGCGGCACCGAGATCCAAGGGGTGGCGATCATGGCCTATGAAACCTATAATGCGGAAGCATGGCACGGGACCTTAATTCTATGGGCTGCTGTGGCCTTAGCACTGGGAATTAACCTTGTCGGAGGAAAGCTTCTGCCTCGATTGGAGACCCTGGTATTGGTTGTTCACATTTTGGGATTCTTCGGAGTGCTGATCCCCTTGACCTACATGGCCGAGCATAAGTCAGCGAGGGAGGTGTTCAAGGAATTTTCTAACGGAGGAAATCTTCCGGCCGATGGCATATCATTTTTCGTTGGCATGACAGGCTGCGTTTTCTCATTCGCCGGTGGCGATGCCGCTGTCCACGTAGGTGGTTTCTGCTGGTCCTGATATAAGCAACACTGACAGATAATAGATGGCCGAGGAAGTGAGCAACGCGTCGATCGTCATCCCCCGGGCAATTCTTCTGAGTGTGCTCATCAACGGCACGTTGGGATTTAGCATGTTGATTGCTATGCTGTTTTGCATGGGGGACGTGCAAAGTGCATTGGACTCTGCCACGGGCTTCCCATTCATGGAAATCTTCTACCAAGCCACCGATTCCGTGTCGGGGGCCGTCGGAATGTCCTCGATTCTATTGATAATTGCCGTATGCTCGGTGATTGGTATGCTAGCAGCCACCTCGCGGCAATTCTGGTCTTTCGCGCGAGATCGTGGTATTCCCGGATGGCGCATTTGGAGCCGGGTATGTCCTTCGCCTATTTCACTGTGGTTTCCTTTTCTTCCCATTTGCCGTTATGGTCGACCTATGGGCCACAGCAGCTGACACGCAAGAATCAGGTGTCCAATAAAACATGTCTCCCCACCTACTCGATTCTCTTGACAATGACTGTGTGCTCACTCTTAGGCCTCATCAACATTGGCTCGGCAGTCGCGCTCAATGGCGTCCTCTCGATGGCTGTGTCGGGTCTCTACCTTTCATATCTGACAGTCGGATCCCTCCTACTCTACCGACGCTGTACACGCGCCATTTGCGCATTTAACGACTCGGCTGACGAGACTGTGAACGTCCCTGGAGCTAAGCTCGTTTGGGGCCCTTTCCACGTGTCGGGGCTCCTAGGGGTCTTAATTAATGCCTTCGCAGTGATCTACATGATCATAGTGGTGTTTTTCAGTTTCTGGCCGACCGAGATCCCAGTCAATAAAGAGAACATGAACTTCAGCGTAGTGGGAACAGTGGGTGTGGTCATTCTGGCTGTCTTGTATTACGTTGTGCGAGCAAGGAAGGTCTATCAGGGTCCGGTCATGGAGGTGGCTCTGACGTCGGCGTCGGGGATCTGGAGCTCAAGGTAGAGATGTCTCGGAACTCGCGCGAAATTATCAAATGGCTGCAATCTCCTGAAACCATGGGACTCACTGAACGGATGCTTGGGTGATGGAAATTGGCAAGAGCTTAGGAATGACTCCAGCCGCCCCGTTATAGTATGGGAGAAAACAGGCCAGTCCAAAATTGATAGTTGATCCCTCATTGAGGTATTCGCCCAGTCTAACCCTCCCATAAGTGGGTTGCTTACTACGGGTCAAGCGGCTCCCTTGAGGCAGTGAGATTCACAGCAGCATTTTGTCATTTGTTCATATTCCTGGTTTCTTCTCACCGAAGCCCTGGGTAGTGTGTTGTGCCATTATTTACCATGGTCGGGCGAGACGTGAGGATTTCTATCGCAGTTTCGTTGCTCTGCTCTTGACTAAATCTCACATGTTGATGAATCCGGTAGTATTGACAATCACTACCTACCCAACAGATAGAGACCCGTCTTCGTATGCACAGTCTGTGCTCACCGCAGCTTACCCTTCGAGGCCCGCTGTTTCCAACACAGCCTCGATGGAAGCGAAAGTGGATAAAAGTGTCACTCGCGGATTTCAAAAATCGCCCCCTGCTCAAGGGGCCGAATGTGAAACCTTTTCCTTTCTAGAATAGACTCGTAGCCAAGCTAGGGTCCTGCCAAACTATGAAGTAGAGCTTGGCCGATGTGAAACGCCCTTAAGCAGCCACGCGATTCGTCTGCAGAGGCTGAGAGTTCCTCACAGGAGCGAATTGTGGAGAAAGACCCTGAGGATTTGCAGTCAAACTCCGATAGGTTTGTGTGAGCGTCCTGTCAGGGGCCGTTTTTGGAGACAACAGCCCCCAAGTCGGGTGCGAACTAGCCACCGGTGTCGCTCATCATTGGGGCCAATTTCCTACGCGAGCCTGCCTACCCACTTGCCTGTCATGGGGAGGGAGTTTGTATAGAGATAGATGGTCAGTAAACAGTATAAATAGCGCCGCGATCCCTGCATGCTCAGGACGATTCCCAGAGCAGTCACTCCTTTCTCTTCTCTCGTTTCTTTCGTCCGCTCATTACAGTCTTTCATTCAGTCTTGGCTCATAATATTTCTTTTCGTTCGGTCTCTGCTGGCATAGGCCATCATCAAGATGATTCCCAAAATTTGCTATCTCTTATTTTACTTCTTTCTAAGCCTGGTCGTCGGCTCTCCAGTTGCCCTCCAGGCACGAGCCCCGCCATCCCTGGGCATTACCAAACAAACCATTCAATCTGGAGGCCGCAACCCTTGGACAGCGTTTGGCTCCGTTCTGACCCTTGAAGAAAATGCCAAAATTTCGAAGGAGCAGCTGGCGGGCATCGTCAAAGCTGCCTACGGCGAAATGAGCACGCTGGAGCCCGATGTGGCCAAACGTCCCAACGTCATGACTGCCCTCCAGGTGGGCAACGAGGTTATTCTGTCGTCCAACATGAAGGGTGGCGGTGGAGTCTACGTCTATAACATGCAGGAGCAGCCCCTGGAGAACAAGAAGAACCCGAACGAGGACGTGGTGGAGAACGGCTACGGCGCATTCACCGACGTGCTGGAGAAGAACGCTCGCGAGGTCAAAGATGTCCTGGACAGCCTGCGCGAGACATCGCGAAATCTTCAGAACAGCCAGCAGTCTTCCACTCAGCAGTCTAATGGCAAGCAGCCCGCTCAACCCTCGAACAACGGCCAGGGCAATCGTAATGGCCAGAAAGGGTCCGCGAGAAAGTCACCAAACGACCTATCCCAGGAGCTGAAGGGGAGTCGCCAGACATCCTTCCAACACAAGAACGACGCCAACTGCGGCGAGGTCATGGCTTCCATCCGCTACAACGCAGTGCACAAGAACGGAAAGCTCAAGAACCTGACTCCCAAGCCCATGGTTGTCGCCTGGAGTGAATCGGAGAAGAACGGAAAGATGGTCGGCAGCATCCGGGCTCCCTGTGAGAAGGGGCAGACTCTGGACGGTAACTCGGACCTGTGCGGACTCAGCTGGGGATGCGGTGCGTTTACCGGGGCCCAGGGCATGAACTGGGACGTCGTTGCCACCAACACGAAGCCCACCGAAGTGACCGACGCGAAATTCCCCAAGTTCCAGTCGAAAGCGGTCGACCTGCCTGCTCCCACGATCAAGAAGAAGACCAACAACAACAACGGTGGCGGCAGAAACACCAATAGCAACCAGCCTGCGGCCGCTCCTAACCAGCCGGCTCCGAAGCAACCCGCTCCCAAGCAGCAGCCTGCTCAGCAACCTGCCCCTAAGGCTGATCCCAAGCCCGCTGGAGCCCCTGCTTCGGCGCCGAAGACCGACCCTAAGAAGCCGGGAAAGAAGGGTGGAGGCAAGAAGACTTAAGCAATGTCAGGATAGGCCGATAGGGGTCGGAGAGTCGGAGATTGGAGGCCGGGTTGAATGTGTGGTATAACCACTGGTTGGACGTGTAGTTATAGAAACCCATAGAAACTCAGACGCATATAATTATTCGAGTCGGCGTTGGCGACTGATCCATTATTAAGTAGAGATGAGCACGGAACCTAAAGGCCTAGACTGTAGATCCTTTGAGGCACATAACGACACACAGAACCTTCAGTTTCCTGGTCTGGTGTCAGCAAATCCCCACGGCCTCGGGCCTGCCGGGACTCGATGAGCTTAATGATATGTCGTCGATATCACATGGACAGCTTTTTCAGAGTTCACCTATGCCGCTCTTGCCTAGGCGCCTACCCTGAATTCATAGAAACACAGAAAGGTGAATTATTAAAGGCTCGCTGGTGTCAAATTCAAGGATCTAGAGTCCACAAGCCCGAGCCGAGATCGTCGACCACAATCTGCAATTCCACCCCGGCATCGCTAGCTACCGTTTGCAAGCGTTCTTCTTGGTCGCGTCTCTGTCCGGTGTAATTCTGATCCCAGAGGCGCAACGTGATGCGCTCCAGGGATGGCGTATGAGACCTCCAGTCCTGGAGAAAGGATTCTAGCAGCAGGATCGCACGGTCTTCCGACCATTCAAAATCGTAAAAGCTGCGCAGATCATCTCGCAAGCAGAGATGCGAGAGGCTACTAGGTAAAAGGGGGCCGAGATGGGCCGATTCGCCCCAATACCATCCCAGAAGAAGCGCTAGAGGGACCTCGGCCGTTCGAAGGGTGGTGAAGTGCGTGAGGAATTGGTGAAAAGGGTCGAAGGCCGGGTCATCCGCCTCGTTCCACTCACGATCGCCGAGGCTGGAGGGATAGCATTCGACCCCCAAGGAGAGCTTCTCCAACGTCGGCCGGACGGCCTCCAATGCCTGCACGAAGACCGGAGAGTCCTGTAAAACCGCCTCGCCTGGCCAGGCATAGGCCAGCGCTGCGTGGAGACCCTTCAGGTTCGGTGTTCGCGAAAGAAGAAAATGCATATGCTGCTCCGTGGCCGTGCTGCGTGCCATGACGAGCGTTTCCAGGTTGCTGAGATCCAGGTCCGGCCGGGCTTCCTCGAGGCCCTCCAGATCGCGCAGCCAGATGTTCAGATGACGCAGCGAGGGCAGGCAGAACCAGGCCATGAACTGCTCCGGGTTGTACGGAGGGTATCCGTCGGGCACCTCGTCGTCATCGGGTCGGTGGGTCTCTGCGATGGGCACATTCGCCCCGTACTCGACCGTTTCCAGGTGCTGGAATGTCGAGAACACTCCGTTAGGACATAACAAGGCCTGCTTCAGCATGATGCCCGGGTATCCGTCCCACCAGACAAACGAATAGTCGAGGCGCAGGGACTTGAGATTTGGCAGCTGCGAGAGGAAGACGGTGGCGAGCGTATAGATATTTCCTCCATAGATGGGCAGATGCCAGTCATCGGCGTCTGCAACGCCCGCTCGTCGCACCAGATCCATCGCCTGGTCCAGGACGTCCTCGAATTCGCGCCGTTCGGTCTCCCAGTCCCCCACGGGCTGCGTGTCGTCCCACGGATCGCCAGATGCCATCATGCTCACATGCTGGACATACGATGCACGCTCGGGGTCCTTGAAGATGGTCTGCAGGAGTTGCAGCACCTGTCGGCGCGGTCGGCTGGTCCAGTCCATCGAGACATCTCGCAAGACAAACGGCACGGAGGACGCCTGCAGGTCGTTGCAGCTGGTCGACAGCGACAAGGCATCGTCCAGGGCGAGATGCTCCAGGATACCGCCCAGACAGTCCCTGGGTAGCTGGGCAAAGGGGCTTTTTCTGTTATTCTCAGCGAGATGCACACCGACCGGGGATGGTTGAGGTTATCTTACCCCTTGCGTTGCGGCGGTGGCGGGCGACTGGCGTCCATCGTGTACGGTCGCACTGACAGTCGACGGGATAAGAACAGTGCGAAGGATGATGATCGTCTGAACGAAGTCCGAGAAGTTTTGTAGGCGAGGCGCCAAAAGCCACTAGTCGGGGGGCCGAATTGTGGGCCGCGCAGGGGCATGTTTGCTCCGTAGAATGAAGAGAGGAAGAAGAAGAGGAAGAAGAAGAAGAAGAAGAAGAAGAAGAAGAAGAGGGGTCGGCCGTTTTATTTTCTTTTGGACTTACCAGCTTGCTCTCTCCTTTATCCTTGATTTGAGGCTATCCCAATGCCTTCGATTCTCCCCCAGTCAACCACAGATCCTCCGCAGCCACGTTCTACGCTGGTCAGGTGCCATAAATCGCTTGAATGAATCCTTTGGATGAGTCGTTAGTGAGAAATAATATTCTTTTGTCCCCATCATATTTTTCGAGTTACTTAGGAGGACCTGTTATGGGGGACTCCATGTAAGGGTTGACAAGGGGTCCAGCATTATATATAGCCGGTTGGATAACAGAATCCCTACCAAACCCACGATGGTCTTTTCGGTTCATGACTGCAGATTACCTACACTTTGATAGTCGAGCGACTAACGCAAGGAGGGCTGCCTACAGTTCTTCAAATGTATACAAATTCTCCCAGGTGCAAGGCAGGCTTTCTCCTGGTGATTCCCACGCTTCCTCCCACTCTCCAAGCAAGACAATGACACCATTTGCTCCACATGCAACCTCGTCCATCCCCAAACCGGGCAGGATGAACACACTAGACGTGCTAGCAGATGCCCTCATGCTGGATAAGCCTTCCGACTCTCCCTTCCTCCGCCTCGCCTGCCAATCGACATCGCCGTCGACCCGCCATGAGGCCATCCAAGCTTTGCAGGCGTGCTTGGTCGCAGTCAACAAGCTTCCCCTCTTCGTTTAATCTCGGGCCTGTGATCGGTGAACGATGCCGTTCCCCGACGGTCGTCCGTTCAAGACGTTGAGAGCCTGCAGAATGCCCTTTAAAAGGAGGGTGCTGGGCTCCGGTCGATCCGATGCGACCGTGAGAAGCACTTCGGAATTGCCTGTGCACCATGTATTTTTCCACGGCGATTCTCTCGCTGCTGCTGGCTGGCAACGCCTGGAGCCTCCAAAATCCCCATCGCAAGGCTCTGCGACCGGCGCGTCCACACTCCAGCCTGGCTCCTCGGGCGCTCTCGACGGAGCACAGCGAGTACAAGCACCTTACCAATGGAACCCAGAGTAGGTTGGCCTGCCCCTTCATTCGCGTCGCTCCGCTCTCACAATCGAGGCAGGATTCCTCGTCAACGGCACTGGCATCCCCGACGTGGACTTTGATGTCGGCGAATCCTACGCCGGCCTTCTTCCCAACACACCCGCCGGCAATTCCAGTCTGTTCTTTTGGTTCTTCCCCTCGCAGAACCCCAAGGCCACGGACGAGGTATGTCTGGTCCCTTTCCCGGCCTATCCTCGCAGTCGTGCGCGGTCGACATTGACGCGTACAGATCACCATCTGGCTCAATGGCGGTCCTGGTTGCAGCTCCCTGGATGGCCTGCTGCAAGAGAACGGTCCATTTCTGTGGCAATCGGGCACCTACAAGCCCCTGCGCAACCCCTATTCCTGGACCAACCTGACCAACGTCGTGTACGTGGACCAACCCGCCGGCACCGGCTTCTCGCCCGGTCCGTCGACGGTGAAGGACGAGGAGGGCGTCGCGTCCCAGTTCAAGAGCTGGTTCAAGCACTTCTCCGACACCTTTGGTCTGCACGGTCGGAAGGTCTACCTGACCGGCGAGAGCTATGCGGGACAGTACATCCCGTATATCGCGTCGGCCATGCTGGATGAGGAGGACGAGAAGTACTTCAACGTGAAGGGAATCCAGATCAACGACCCATCCATCAATGATGATTCCATCATGATATACGGTATGCCCCATGGGCAACCCGTGTCCTTCGATTGATGGCTGACTCTCGACAGCGCCCGCGGTGCGGCACTTCAACCACTATGCCAACCTCTTCGCCCTGAACGACAGCTTCGTCTCCGACATCAACTCTCGCGCCGAGAAATGTGGCTACAACCAGTTCCTCGACGAGGCCCTGACCTATCCGCCGCCCAAGCACTTCCCCGAAGCACCGGATCCGTATCGCGGGGACTGCGCGATCTGGGACGACGTCGTGGCCGCCGCCTACGACGTGAACCCGTGCTTCAACTTCTACCACATCACGGACTTCTGCCCCTACCTGTGGAACGAAATGGGGTTCCCGTCTCTGGCTGGACCCCCCAATAACTACTTTAACCGCTCCGACGTGCAGAGGGCCATCCACGTCCCCCCGACCGATTACTCCGTCTGCGGCGGAAGTACCATCTTCGCCGACGGCGACCAGTCGCCTCCCAGCGCTCTGGGACCATTGCCCAGCGTCATCGAACGCACGAACAACACGATCATCGGCCACGGGTGGCTCGACTATCTCCTGTTCCTGAACGGCTCCCTCGTCACCATCCAGAACATGACCTGGAACGGCGTTCAGGGGTTCCAGAAGCCCCCGGTGGAGCCGCTCTACGTGCCATATCATGCCGGTTTGGCAGAGCTGCCGAACGGTGATGTGTCCACGCCCTTCATCTGGGACGCCGGGGCTGGGTATCTGGGGACGGCGCATACAGAGCGCGGGCTGACCTTCAGCACTGTCTATTTGGCAGGCCATGGTGAGTCCCACCCGTCGCGGTGCAACATTCGGGCTGCTAACGACGACGTAGAAATCCCGCAGTATACCCCCGGGGCGGCATATCGCCAGTTGGAATTTTTGCTCGGTCGCATCGACAGCTTGCAGGACCAGACGGGATACACGGCGTAGCGGGAGGAGAGTGTGTATGTATGCGTAGCAAACTTGGTACTACATGGACCCCTAATAGGCGCCACAATTATAAATCATGAAACAGGGATGCTTATACCACCAAACAAAGAGATGCCCGTTGACTGCGCCCAAATGCCAAGCGAAAGCTGCCGTGGGGGCCATCATCGTCGCCCCGTCGTGTCAGCCTTGTCGCTATTCATCTTCATCGTCATCTCCATCTCCATCCTCTAAATTTCTGATCCATTCCCCCATTCCGCTGACACTTCAATCTCCATCGTAATCATGTCGTGGCTTTTCCCTCAAGACTTCGGCGACGAGTATCGCCAGCAGGCGCGGACGCTGCGAATCGTGGCCCTGGCCTGCTGCTTCCTGGGCCTCTTGTTCCTGAGCCTGCACAGATGGAGCTCCAAGAACCTTGCGGTAGGGCGGCCTGCCTCTTCATCATGCACACTGTCAAGTGATAAACTGACCCGCAGCTGCGCAGTACCTCTTCCCTGTCATCTGGTCCCTCGTCGACGGCGCGTTCATCGCACAACAAAAGACCATCCATCCGCTCATTCGATCCGTCTGTGACCTTCTCTCGGTCTTCTTGTTTATTATCGTTATCCCCATAATGTTTGCCGTGGGACTGCTCTTCTTCAGCCTCCTAACTATGCTCATGGGCTGGGTGTTCACTGTCGCAGCGTACGTGCGCGCCTTGTCATCTCCTAGGATGAAACTCTCCCATTCGAGACATGTAGAAGGGCTAACTGGTTTCCAATGCAGGTGCGCCCACGGCATGTTGTGCTTCCGCGCAGGCGTGGAGTTTTGGCGGCGGTTGGGGTTTGGCGGCAACGTTCAGTTGCCGGTGTAAGGGCGTTCATACGTCGGAGGGAGCCTGGAATGAAGAGTGGATTCTGGTTGGGGAGAAGGGATAAAAGGGCGTATACTTCCGGCATGAGAAGTCAGCCTGTGTCAAATATAATGTGTTGTCTTCGTCGGAGCCACCTATTTCTAGTTTATGGGTCTCCTGATCTGGTCCGGCAGAGTGTCTGTATGCATACTTGACTCTTGCTGACAACATACCCCGGCCCCTAGCCATCTTCTTTGACACCCTTTGCGCCTTATCAGCAAGCTTGGCCCACCTTCGTAGCTCGTTCTGACTGTTAATCGTAGAAGGGTTGTTGAATATGTATGGGAGTATTCAAGAGTTATGAAAAACAAGAAAAGTGTTGTCTTTGCGCAGGCACACAACCTTCCGTGACACGATAGCATAATTTTCGATAATTTCTTTTCTTTCAAAGCTTACTACCTAGAAGGGTAAGGAATCCCCACTATACAAGAATCTAGCATGAGGTCATTCCGCGATATGCTTTACTTAGTATGTTCCATATAGCCTTTGGTGGGCTAAGGCTATCCATACTGCAGAAAGGCTACTAGATATATGTCTAGTCCAGTGTTCTATATTATTCCCGAGATTGGACCTTCTCTTTTCGCTTCATACGGAAAAGGACAATTGGAGTTTATCTGCATTCCTACGATGCTTTATATCTCAAAAGAAAAAGACCAATTGTTGCAATTACGTTCAATTTGCAAAGGACCGGATAAAAATAACCGGACTATTCAGATATAAGATCCTGCCAGTTCTACGATTTTCTACGCAAACTGAACAGATCCTTGATGTCAGAAATTTGATAGATATTTAATTCAATGATTTACTTTCCATGTGAATGACAAGACTCTATGCGTCCCTTTTATTAAGTTGGTTTGAACATAGAACGCTTACCTCCCACTGTAGAGCAGCCCTTTCCGGCCCATTCTTGGTTAGACTAGATGAAGTAAGTTCTTACTGTGTCATCAAAATCATGGGAAATGGACAAGGTCAGATTATGTCGGCCAGCATGGCTCAGCCAGAATATGAGCACTGAATATTAAAAGGTCTATTTATAAGTCCGCCGCATCATCATACAACTGTACAATCCGATCAAACATTACATTCCGCCTCTAATTTACAGGTAGACGTAGCAGAAAGGACCCCCGGTGGTGTCCAGTAGCTCACGAATGGTGCGGCGCGGCGCCAGCGTGGGCATGTCGATGACGGTGTCCAACGTCGTGTCGTTGCCCGTGTCCGCACCGAAGCCCGGCAGGACGGAGGGCCCCTTGACCACGTACGTGCGGTTGCGGGGGTCCATATTCTGCCAGGTCCAGAATACACGGTCGATGGCCGAGTGGTGCAGGTAGAAGGCCGGGTCGCCGGGGGAGGTGTAGAGATCCTGGTGGATTATTAGCGTTGGATGACATGGTGGAGGGGAGGGGATTGGGAGAACTTACACCACCGGGGTCACCGCCGATCGTGTAGTGACCGCCGCTGTGGATTCCGACGTAGCCGGAGTCGGCGTCGCCCTGCAGGCGGTTCTGGAAGGTGTAGATATCGTGGTGGTCGAGGATCAGGTCGGTGATGATCTCCGTCGTGGTCCAGTTGGCCGAGTAGACGGAGATGTCACGACGCAGGCAGCGCGGGTTGTAGTCCAGACCGGTGCCGTTCTGGCCCTTGGTGACGTTGAGACTGGGAAGAACGGGGCCCAGGTTGACCGTGAAGTCCTTGAAGGGACCCTCCATGACGCAGCCACCGCCGTTGGCAGGCGGCAGGGTCAGGCCCTGGAGCACCTGGGGGCCGTTGTGAGGCACGTAGGCGCCGTCACCCGACATGCTGGTGTCGGAGCCATCGAACATGGGCGAATCCAGCGGGTCGGCGGCGTACTTGTTCCAGGCCCAGTAGGGCTGCGAGCCCTTGTAGCCACATTCGTTGCGCAGTGCCTGCTCGTAGGCCCAGGTAAAGTAGCGGTGCCAGGTGAGGAAGTTTCCCTGGTCTGATTAGCACGGAGTCGGACATGCAGATCAACGTGAACGGAGACAAGGAGACTTACGGTCATGTGGATGTACATGGTCTGGTTGATGTGCACGGCGACGAAGTCATCAAACCGCGTGCGAGCCCCCGGAGCAAAGGCGGGATCGGACTTGGCCGGCTTGGAGATGAGGCATTTCACGGCTTCAATGTACTTGCGACGCTCGTGCTTGCTCAAAGAACCCCTGCAGAAGAGGCTGCATTAGCTTCGGCTGATGAAGTCCGGGCTCTGGGACATCAAATTTCCGGAAGGTCTTACCATTCCTTGCGAACGGTGGCGGTCATGGGCGTGCAGCTCAGACTGGCTTCGGGGTTGGAGTAATGGTATGACACCTGGTTGATCAGGGCCTTTCCAGCCAGGAAGTCCCACTCATCGACACTCGCGGCCGGCGAGGCAGCCACCGGCGAGAGAACTGCCAGCGCGGAGGCGGCGAGCACACTGAAACGCATGCTGGATAGGATCCTCCACGAGGATGAAACGCGAGCGGAGGAAAAGAGACGGCAAGGGCAAGGAAGGGGAGGGACGGGAAAGGGAACTGATCGCCAGACAAGAAAAGAGGAAGGGGGAAGAAGTGAAATAGTGGTTCTGGTCCGGCTTTATGAGCGCAGCACGACCCCGTCTATCGATCCGGCCTGGCCGTTGAGAGGGAGGAAAGGATACTACTCCGTACGGCGTAGTGATTCTGGACTACGGACTAGGGCTACTGGCTAGCACGAGGCAAACGGCTCCACTGCATGGCGGAGAAATAGGAGATTGGAAGGTACACTGGTGCCTGTCGTTAAGTTCAACCATGTGCAGGCCAGACTAACTCAAGATTATGCCTGCTAGCGTCCACTGCGACAGTCGGAATCCGGCAATGTTTCCAGGCGTAGCCCTAATCTGGATTGTTCGGATCCTGTGGGACGGTATTAGCCTGGCGTCCTGCGTGCTATTCAGCCTAATGCGCCTAAGCGAGCACGTAGAGGCCTCGAGGGATGCAACCATCGCCTGATTCCTCTCCATCCGTGCCCATGCGTCCAAATGGCAAAGACAGATCATGCTCCGTCTGATCGGGTGCGATCCTGATCTGAAGCAGATGAACCGGTGGAGGGTGGAAAGCCCCCCTTATATCAGGTTATGCCCCCCCCCAAAGGAAGGAGACGATCACTCTTCCCAAGACGATCAGCGCGGGAATTGGGGCCATGTTGGTCACGGACGAGGAATCGGTCGAGGATATTCACGAAGGAGGAAAAACCACGCAGCCATGACTCGTCCGGTGGAGTCGACGCTCCCAGACGGCCTAATCAGCATGAAGGAACGCCATAACAGCCAACTCAACCAGCGATAGAAATGGTAAATACTGTCCGATATTAATCACCATATAAAACTCAACCCGCAGAGCCACACGCGTGCACGATTGGGGAAAAGATGCCCAGCCTCGAGGGTTACATTGCCAGCATTCCTCCGAAACACCCGCCTGTAGCTTCGACGCCATCGCCTCCACTGCCAGTCCATTCCAGCCTTTGAGACTCGCGCAATCTCGGACGGACTCCGCCTGGCCGACGCTACCGCCGGACCCTGGGATCTTCTGCGGATCCGATTCCTCGAGAGCCAACAGTCCTATGAATAACGTGCTCCACTCTCGCCACTAGGGCTGGACAGGCCCGGGGCTAAATGTTTATTTCCCACTCTAACACGCCTTCCCCGTCGCCAGTGGCTGTCCGCTGCGACCGTCGGCGTCGCAGGGGCTGTTATTGGCCGCGGCATTGTGCGCCATCCACCGGTCTTTCCATCGTGAGTCCACCCTGGGCCGCAACTTTCCAGCAAACGTTGTTCGTACGGCCATGTCCGATCATCCGCCGTGATTGTCGTGGATCTTGCGCGAGGACCGTCCGAATCATGCCAGAGCAGGTCGGGTTCAGTCGGTGGTCTGTCCAGGACCCGGTTGGGTGGCCTTCATAATGGCCGGCCGACATTAATCAATCATATGCAATATCAATATCGGTCCCGCTCTTGGCTCGGCCATGGCTGCAAGCCTAGATTAAAAAGACCAGCCTGGTTCATTTCCTCGTGCTACCGAGAAGTCCGTACTCCGGAGTAAGTGCTGACCTGCCGGCACAACGACGAGAGGCAACAGACCGACGATGCTGACCCCTGCTAGTCCGGGTTTCAGGCTTTGATAGCACGCAACCCCCTGCACGGAGTGGCCTCTCATGTCCTCGAACCGGCACTTCGGCCGTGTTAGTCCTCGTGGCGGACCTTTCTGGATCACTTCCCATTAACCTTCCCAACTTGGCTGCTAAGAATCCTGCGGGCCAGATCCAATCCTTGCCCGCCGAGACGGCACCATGGATGCGCCCGCGAGCAATTCAAATCATTTCGAGTAAATGCAATGATGGCACTCGATCGGAGTAGGATGCCTGCGAAAGCTCCGTGGGGAACGCGCTGCAGTCGACAGTCACAGCAATAATGTTCCGGAATTGCATGCCCCCCCCCCCCCCCCCCCTGGGCCCCCCTGCTCGTATTGAGTTCATGCTAAACACGATACTCGGTAGTTGTGTAGTTGGTTTCTTGTGTTGTTCCTTCATGGAGCCTTCTGTTTTCTTTTGTCAGGAGCGTGGCATGATATATCACAAAAGTCCCGGACCCCCCATGCAGCATCCACCCGTGAACGATTGATTTCTTGCAGGATGGCGACGATCGCCCTTGCGCCACGAGAGACGCCCTCTGAGGGCAGTCGAGCCCCCCATATCCTCTCCATCGTTGGTGCGTTGACCGGTCTGTCGGCCTTGTTGGTCTTCCTGCGTTGCTACGTGCGGCTGTTCATTCTGCGAAAGTTCCATCTGGAGGATGGGTTTATGATTGCATCTCTAGTGAGTCTATATAACCCTGTCCTCGATCGGACTCCGGTGGATCATCCCTAACCCCACGGCATAGGCCTGCGCAGTTGGTCTCCTGGGCTGCTTCGTCGGTGAATCGCATCATGGCGTTGGCAGCTGGTCCAAGGACATCAGTCCGGCAGATTCGGCAAAGCTGGACGAATTTATGTTCTACCATGCCATCGTAATCGTGCTGGGCATCAGTCTGGTGAAAATCTCGATCGGGTTCTTCTTGTTACGCTTCACCTCGCAGAACAGGATCCTGAAGTGGTTCATCGTTGGCACCTTGGGTAAGTCAACTGCCTTGATCATGTTCTTGTTCCGTCTGACCAGGCAGTCTTCCTGGCCTTGTTCACCATTGCATGCATTCTCGCATTGGTCTTTCAGTGCTGGCCGGTTGAGGCAGCATGGGATGTCGAGTTGAAAAAGACAGGGAAGTGCTATTCAGTCGACGCGTACCTACGCATCGGCCAATTCAACAGCGGTATGCTCGATCACTTCCAGTCCTCCATCACAGACTGACTTGACTGTTCAGCCATTAACATCATTACCGATTTTATCTTCGCCACCCTCCCGGTGTTTATGTTCGCCCAGATTCAAGTGAACAAGCGGACTAAGCTGTCGGTGATGGGTATTTTGAGCTTGGGATACTTGTAAGTGACTCTCGATGCTTCTTCTGCTTCGTTGCTCATAGCGACCCAGTGCCTGTGCCGCGGGAATCGTCAAGACAGTCCTTCAGAGTCGAGTATTTGGAGACACGGAGTCTTACCGGTAAGTCGTCTGTTCGATATTTTGCGCTGAGGATGCTACTCAGACTAATCCAACGTAGTGAGAGTCAATACCTAATTTGGAACTTGTATGTCCCATTCCTTCCGATACGATCCTGCTTTTCCTTTCCAGTAAATCTCACTAACATCACCCATTAGCGTCGAACTCGCCGTAGGAATCATCGCCGCCTCCTTCCCAACGATCAAACCCCTCGTGAAATCCTTCATTGGCAGCACCATCAGTCTGACCAGCGGCCGCCGCACCAAACGCACCGGCCACGGCTACGGATACCACAACCAGTCCGGATACGCGATGCATTCGATGTCACGCAGTCACCCCGACCGAGAAGACCAGAAATACGCCGTCCACATCGGATCCGTGGCCGACCGAACGTCCGGGTCGAGCGAGGAGAACCTCACCGCAAAGCCCAGCGCGCCGTCGTTTCCGCCGCATATCATGCAGACGACGGAGGTGACGGTGCAGAGCGAGGAGGCAGCCGACATGAACGGGCGAATGGGACCCAAGTGGACGGTCGACGACCGCATATAAACATCTCTGGGTTTCCTGGGTTACGGACTGTATGATAATTGGACTGGGATAGATGGGCTGAAGGCGACGGAGTTCATGTTGTCACTGAATTGGTTTCAAAAAATCTTGTTTATATCGAAAACGGCCGTATTAAATATACATATCACCGTACATAGTACTAATTGATGAGGCGCTCCATATACCGAATCAAAAAGGTGGCCTATGTTGGCGGTAGGACCTGATAATACTAGAAGGCAAACGATCTATGCCCTCAACTCACTCCACCAAATTCCAATACTTGTTTCTTCAGGGCATCTGACATCTTCAATCGGGATCATGCTTGACCAGTCCATTGCCCGAGAGGTGGAATGACAATACGATTGAGTCGACATACGCTCATGACGACACCCGGTCAGCGACCGAGAGAATGAGCGCGCATTCGCCACTGCCTCAGCTCCAGTGGCGGTGTCAAATTGCGCTCGGTGAATCATGCATAGAATCATAACAAACAAACGCAAGCGAAAGACGCCGAGGTCCAGAAGGCGAGCCAAGATGTGGCGAGAACCGTGGCTCCTGTCAGCGTTGGTCTTGTATCCACATGGACATCCACCATCGCCGCATGAGACATAGTGCTTAATATGGAAGCGTACAAGATTTGATCCGCCCCGCCATATGGAGTCCAGGAGTCTCGATAATACTCCGTAGGATAATTCCAATGGAGAATCCTGCTGGATCTCCAGCACGAAGCGAAACGGGTCTCCTCCGTCCCTCGGACCCGAACAGTGCGAAGCGAGTCAAGGTCTGGCTGTTATTGGAGATTGGAGTGAATGGAGTGCGCCGGGGACATTACTCTTATTCTTATTTTTCTTTTATTGGATTCTTGTCCTTTCTGGTTCAAATTAATCTATTTTCGTTTGGCCCCATTGCAGGGCCTTGGTGCCTGGCACGAAATGACAGGATGCAGCTGTCGGCTTTTCCGGAGGTCGTGGATCTTCAAGAGTTCTGCGATGCAGGTATTATTCCATCTATTCTAGTCGTGATGAAAGCGTGCCAGAGGATGCTGATGACCAACCTCATTTCTGTGGTCGCTGATGATTGTGTCCCACAAGTGAACAGACTCGTCAGCATGGGTGCCCCTATCATGATAGCTTCGGGGAAAAAGAATTCCGGCTGAGACAAGAAGAATCCTCTCGCCCATCCGAATTACTCTCTGTAAAGCTGCTCTTCGCGGATTGAGTCACAGCGGATCACCATGCAATCGTTCTGTATAGCCGATGGAGCGGGAACCGGATTCCGAGTGCCTGTATGTATATCCCCACGCCGGAGCTCCCTGTGAGCTCACGGAAGGATCAAAAACCCAAAAGGTCCGCACAGAATGTCTCTTCTAAATGTTGCCGTGGTGGGATACGGCTTCTCGGCCAAAATCTTCCATCTGCCCTTCATCCAGCACCATCCGGGGTTCCGTCTGCATGCCGTCGTGCAACGGACGCCTCGAAGTAACGATAACCCGGGGACGGACTTCCCTGGCATCCGAGTGTACCGGGATGCTTATGAGGCGATCGAGGATGAGCAGGTCGATGCGCTGGTGGTAACTTCCACCAACGACACGCATTTCCCGTTGAGTCGGGATGCCTTGGAGAAAGGAAAACACGGTTCGCTTCCTATCGCGCCAACGATGGCAACGGAGTGGGATTGACCGAAAGCAGTGATCGTGGAGAAGCCATTCACGGTGACCTACGCAGAAGCCGTTGCTCTGGCAGATCTCGCAGCGAAGAAAAGCCGGCAGCTCGCCGTCTACCACAGTAATCCATGCCGGCCCTCTCGTCTGATATTCGGACTAATGCAGGAACAGATCGACGATGGGACTCCGATTTCCTGACGCTGCGCAGCCTGTTGGGCAGCCCTCACCAGCCGCTCGGTCGTATCGTTCGTTTCCAGTCCAATTTTGACTGCTCGCCCAACTCTGAAATCGGGATGGGGGCCAAGGGATGGAGACTGACGGCGGGAGTTGCTGGTGCCGGCCTGCTGTTTGATCTGGGAAGTCATTTGCTTGATCAAGCGGTCGTCCTCTTTGGGGCGCCACAGAGCGTAACGGCGGTGTTACTGGACGAGGCCGGTGGAAAGGGAGTCAAGGAGGAAGGCTTTATGGACGATGCATTCATGATCATTCTACAGTTTCAGGCAGGAGTAACTGGTAAGAACCTCCGTGTTATATCATCGCTCGCGTGGGCTCACCTGGCATTAGTCGAACTGCAAGCTACCCAACACTCGGTCAGCGATCGGCATAAGCGATTCGAGATTCGCGGAACAAAGGGGCGATGGATCAAATACGGCCTTGACGGCCAGGTGGAACAGCTACAGACGGGGATTCATCCGGGAAACGAGGACTACGGCGTGGAGAAGCCCCAGAACAACGGTAAGAACTCGGAGTCGACCGGACGTTCCGGATGAGCTGCACGGCCTCTTGTGCAAAGTGCTAACATTGACCAGGGACTCTTCAAGTACTCCAGCCGGAGTCAGGTGTGAGGACTGTCCAATGGGAAGCAGAGCGTGGGGGGTATGATCAGTTCTATCAGAATGTGTATGAGGCCATTGCAGGCCGGGCGGAGCTGGCGGTGCAGCCCAAGGAGGCAGCGTTCGTGATGCGTTTGATTGAACTCTGTCGACAGAGCGCCGAGCAGGGGCGAACGGTGGGCGTTGATATCTAGATCGCAATGCCACTAGATGGCCGGGAATTATATGATCTTCTTCAATGTGGTGCGCCGTGTTCTTTATGCAACCAGGAAAGACAGCCTCAGAGCAGGAATGGAACCATCAGCGTTATCGCTATCCCCGTCGCCATCACCTCCGCCCCGTCTGCCATTTGCACTGATGGGGAATGTTAATAGAAGCAGCAGGACGCGGAGAAGTGTTCGTGACAACATGATCCCTCGCAGAGACTGTGTTCTCAACCAAAGCCCTGGTTGATGCAGAATCGTCGTCAAAGGGGGTGCAATTTCATTCTGCCAGAATAGCAGGAGTGTCCCCTTCTCGCCGTGATCAGAGCGCAGCGCTGCAACCCGAGCCCTCGTATTTCTTGTCGCGCCGTCTTGGTATCAGCCTTATTGGACTGTTTGAGAGTAGCCAAGGGATCTAACACTGATTTGCCCTCTTCGATAACCGCCTTTGGCCGACCGTTGCGTTCCAAGGCACCCGGTCAAACCGTTCGGGAATGGGACTGTTCAAAAGGGGCTGGAACGTGTTGAAGTTTGAGATGCGCACCGCCGAGAAGAACTAATCATGCAAGCCATTGATTCAGAGAGATATTGAGTAAATACTGCAATGGACAATGGCTAGTGGGTGGGCGCAGGTATGATTGTCCTTGCATCTCAGGACACCAGTATAAGTTCACCTTGACGCTAGAGGGCCATGCACACATTCCTCTTATCTCTGAGTCGGACGAGAAGCAAAACCCGGTGGGTCGCTGTTCCTGACCCCGGGATTTGCTTGCATCGGGCTTCTCGACGACGCAATGTCTTGTTCGCATCGCGCCATCGCGAAGCCAGTGAATTCCCACCGCGACGGCTCGATGAATCCTTAGAGTGGAGCGCCCAAGCATTGGCTGCACGTCGCAAATATAGCAGCCCGAACTATAAGAACGCAACAATGATGACACTACGAGCGAGAAGCCCGTTGATCAGCAAATTTCTCCGCTATCGTGATGGTTCGCGCAGGTGAAGTCAAGAAAGTCGCAATTGTCGGCGCCGGTCCTGCGGGCGCCATTGCTGTTGATGCTTTTGCCCAGGAGAAGGCCTTCGATGTTATTCGCGTGTTTGAGCGCAGGGAGAAAGCTGGCGGTTGTTGGTAAGATCCTGACGTCTTCAGTTGCCCCTAACTCTCATCCTAACGGAGAGTGAATCCAGGCTCTACGATGACGAACAGCCCCCGCCGTTGACCGACTTGGATGCCCTGGCGTATCGCACAGCAGACAAGCCTCTGGATATTCCTGACGCGCTGCCCCGATCGGTTCCTCGATCGAGTCTGCCCAGATTCACAGATACCCCGGTCTACCCGGCTCTCGAAGCAAACATTGACGCATCGATTATGTCGTTCTCACAGGAGCCCATTCCCGTCGTTCGCAGCGAGGCATCGGTCAAGGTGCATGGCCCCGACACGCCTTTCCGGCATCATACGGTCATTCAGAAATACATTGAAGGGCTATTGGATCGCAACGGATATCAGCACTGGGTGGAATACAATACAACCGTCGAACGCGCCGAGAAGACAGATGGAAAATGGACCTTGACACTGAGAAGAGGCGCTCGAGACGCAAATGAGGATTACTGGTGGCAAGAGGAATTCGACGCCCTGGTCGTGGCATCAGGTCACTACAGTGTGCCGTATGTCCCGAATACGCCAGGGTTGAAGGAGTTTGCAACGCGATATCCTGGCAGCGTGGAACATACGAAGGCATTTCGGCACCCTGAGAAATACCAGAACAAGGTCGGATGCTCCCATCTCCAGCTTCAATTAAAATCTGACGTTTCTAGCGTGTCGTGACGGTCGGAGCTTCGGTGTCTGCAGCTGATACAGCGTTTAGCCTGGTCGATATTGCGCAAACACCAGTCCACGCCGTTGTGCGCGGCAAATACAACGGCTACTTTGGAGATGAAGCATTTAAACATCCGAAAATTCAACGTCACACACCCATCAAGCGAATCGACAGTGATGATGGGCAACGGACCGTTTTCTTCGAAGACGGAACCTCCCTCTCCGACGTCGACCACCTCATTTTGGGGACAGGATACTCCTGGACCTTACCTTTCCTACCGCAAATCCCCGTGCGAAATAACCGCGTTCCTGATCTGTACCTCCACATCTTTCATCTGCAGGATCCGACATTGGCTTTCATCGGAGCGGTATGTATAGGTTCATCATGGTTGTCGATTTCCACACTGACGGAGATTGTAGGTCGCCGCTGGCTTCACGTTCAAAGTCTTCGAATGGCAGTCCGTGCTGGCGGCGCGAGTATTGGCCGGTCAGGCTACACTACCGCCACTTGAACAGCAGCATAAGTGGGAGCTGGATCGTGTGCAGAAACGAGGAGATGGTGTGGCATTCACTCTCATCAGCCCGGACTTTGAGGATTATTTTGAAACGCTCCGGACGATGGCAGGAACTCCGGTCGCCACCGAACCTGGACGACGACTGCCAGTATTCGACCGTAAATGGGTGGAAACATTTGCCTCCAGCCATCAGCGTAGAATTAAGTTGTGGAAGCGTGCGAATGAGACTGCACGAGCGAGGCTGGACCAGACTGCACGAGATCCTAGACCGGCGAAGTTGTAGACTCTATCGGTGATAGTCGAATATAAGAGTGGTCATTATCCTGGAATGAAGGAATTAGTGTCTACCCAGGTCGCTGGTACGCTAGAGCCATGCGCATCACGCAATCGCGCCATGGGTTTGTGAGATCCTTGTGCCAATCTTTTCAAATCCCGGGGTGTTGTCGGGTTAGGGCTTTCATGGGTACTTCAACCCAGCTGGATGTCGACTTGAATTCCTCATCCCACAACTTAGTTGGGTAGGTTGTTCAGCTTCTCAAGATGTTGATAGCCAAGTCAAAGGGCGATCTGGAAGATCCGAAATACCCCAGATCCCCAAGTCCAAGCAGCACATGGAGTGCTACCGATGAGCGTCAAGCTCGACGAAAGTGAGTTCTCTTGTGACGCATACTGGAGAATTGCTCATATCCCTTCTTTCAGAATCGACTTTTCGGTCTTGCCATTGCTTTTCCTGGGCATGACAGTGTTTCAGTTGGATCGTATGAATGTCGCCAGTGCCTTGACGGGTGGGTTTGGCGATGATATCAACGTCAACCAGAATACCATTAATCTGGGAAATCAATTGATGTTCCTGGGTATTATTGTTCTGGAGATTCCCTCCAACATCCTACTCCAACGGGTAAGCCTTGACACACTCTTACACGTCTCGCTGCGTCGAGGAGGCAATTGACGTGCTCTAGATCGGCCCCGAAAAATGGATGCCGACGCAGGTGCTCCTGTTCGGAATCATCGCCATCTTCCAGGTCTTCCTCAAGAACAGAACCGGGTTTTTAGTGATTCGTGCTCTGCTCGGTCTCACGGAGGCTGGGTACATCCCGGGATCGGTCTACACTCTCTCGACCTGGTATGTCGGACCGGAACTGGCGAAGCGCGTTGCCATTCTGTTCTTCGGGATGTTTGGAGGGAATGCCATTTCCCCATTACTGGGGGCTGGTATTCTTCGACTGGATGGACGACACGGTCTGAAGGGGTGGCAATGGATCTTTCTGGGTATTATTCTCACTCGCTTGACTCGACGAAAAAGAACGCTAACTATCCTGTAGTCGAGGGCTTGATGACGATCGGATCCGCAATTCTCCTGGTCGTATTCCTCCCGCGCAGTCCGGATAGACCACGGCCATTCCTCGTCAAACGGGGCCTCATCGCCTTCTCGGATCACGACAGGGAGGTTCTCACAGCACGAATTCCCAAGAATACAGGCACTGGCCGACGAACGCTGCCGTCTTCTCTCATCATCAAGACGTTGCTTAACTACCGACGTTGGCCACACTTCATCTCCACTGCCTGTGTCTTCTCGACCTGGAGTCCACTCACAACGTATACTCCGTCAATCGTGATGTATTAACCTTCTAAGCGCCATCCCCAATGCTGTAACGACTAACGTTAGACGTAACCAGGGCACTCGGTTTTAATCGCATTCAAGCGAACGCTCTCAGTGCCATCGGTGCATTCATGACCTTGCCTTTGGTGTTCTTCTTTGCCTGGCTCAGTGATAAGACCGCAAGACGTGGTCTCGTCGTCATCACCGCGATCTCCTGCTATTTGATTGTCTTGATAGTCGCACGCGCCGTTCTCCCTTCTGTCGGAAAATGGAATCGATTCGGCATCTGGACTGTCGTTAATGCCTTCGCCGTAGGGTACCACCCTATCCATAACACATGGGTGCAGGTCAATTGTCGTGATGCGGGTGAAAGAAGTATATCTATTGCGTAAGTTCACTATTGTCGTTTCTCGGGATGACTTAGGACGCTGACACGATTCTCCGTAGAATGTGTAAGTGTTTATATCGCTGTTATCCATTGGACTTCATGACAACTTACGCAGCTCTAGGGGTGATGAGTGCCATTGCCGGGCTTATGGCTGGAACGCAGATCTTTCGTGCAAATGATGCGCCAGAGTGAGTGCCCTCCCATTTCACTGTATTGTTGGAACAGCACCTAATCACTATGTTGCAGCTATCTTCGGGGCCTCGTAATTATGATCGCCCTCGTGGCATCGGGACTTGTGCTGGCCTCCACTCAGGAAGTTGTTTATCTCTTCCTGAACCGTCGCGCAAGAAAGCAAGGCGAGGAGGCGATTTACGTGCCGTGAGGATGAATGGTAGACTGATCATAGAATTCTTCTTTCCTATCATTATTCTGAGACTATTGAAATCGAAATTTTGCTTTCCCCAGGAGAGATATGTCCTCTATTAGTTCTTTAGCTGTCGAGCGTTCAGCACGTATCCAAACGCTTCATCCAGAATCTCCAATCCTTCTTCGATCTCGTCTGGCCGCACAGTGACTGGTGGCGCCAATCGAAACACGCCTCCCATTCCCGGGAGATTCACGATGTTGCAGGAGAGACCGCGAGCCATGGCACGGTCCGATACTTCCTGGCCCAAATCCGACCCGGGGGCCTTTGTCTGCGCGTCGGAGATGATCTCGATTCCCTGAAGAAGCCCGCGCCCACGTACATCACCGATACACCAGTACTTCGACTGCAGCTTCAACAGTCCTGCGCGTAGCTGCTCCCCCCGTTCGGCTGCGGCTTGACACAGGTTGTCGCGTTCCACCACCTCGAGCACTTTGTTTCCGACGGCCGCCGTGAGCGGGTCGTTTAGATGTGTCGTCAGCCATAGGAAACCGGCTTCGTTGCATCCACGTTCAATTTCAGCCGTTGTGCTGACCGAGGCCAGCGGCAAACCGCAACCGAGCGTCTTCGATAGCGCCAGAATATCAGGAACCACGTCGTCGTGCTCAAAGGCAAACATCTGACCAGTCCGGCCTACTCCGGTCTGAGCTTCGTCGATAATAAGCAGCATGCCTCGCTTCCGACACTCGTCGCTCATGCGCTTGAGATACCCCCGGGGCAGGTCGAGAATGCCGCCGGTCGAAAGAATTGGTTCCAGGATCAAGGCAGCCAGCGAGCCAACGCTCTGACGATCGATCATCGACCAGCCAAATTCCACCTCCGTTTCCCAGTCGTACGATCCGTCGGACTTGCGGAAGATGGAGCGATAGGCGTAAGGCGCCGGGAAGGCGAGCTGGCCAGGCATCGTGGGACCGCCATTCTTGCGACCGGCGGAGTACGTGGCGGACCCGGCGCCCTGCGTCAGGCCGTGGTAGCTGGCCGAGAAAGCGACGATTTCAAATTTACCAGTATACAGCTTGGCCATCTTGATCGCAGCCTCGGTGGATTCGGACCCGGTATTAAGGAAAAACGACTTCTCCAGCGGGGCTGGCAGAAGACGAGCCAGGCGTTCGGCCAGATCGACGACCGGTTGAGTGATCATGTTGCTGATAAGGTGGTCCAATTCGCCCACGTATTGGCGCACCACCTCGACTATCTCCGGGTGCGAGTGGCCCAGGAGCGAGCTCATTTGGCCGGAGGTGAAATCCAGGATCTGTCGGTTGTCGGTGGTGAAGAGTCGCGTACCTTGCGCCTTGGAGATCACGACGGGCGAGAAAGGAACGCCGGTCGACATTAGATACCGGTCGGCCTTGGACCAGAAGGGGGCGAGATCGGAAGCCATGATGCGAGGGTGTGATGGTAGATGGGAAGTGATTCGATGGTTGCAGATCGAGCTTGCGATCGTGGCATGTTATATAGGTCGCAGCTCCTGTGGTGCATCTGTGCGCGGCGAGACTGTGTTTTCCGGCGGGCATCATCCGATATGGAGGAGGAGAGATGTTGTACAAAAAAACCAGAGTCAAGATCTGCTGCTGTCGCGATTCGCCGTCGCGTATCTTTTCCGCCGGACCAGGAGGACTTTTCCGCCGGACCTGCAATCAGCGATTACAACGTACGTAGATTTCCGATCGTGTCCCGGTCACCCTATGGGTCTTGAAATTCCAAGATGCTCGAGTTATACGTGTTCTATTTCCAAGGCAGGCTGGTAGATCCATTCACATTGGGTGCAGGGCAGCATCGCTGCATGGTATCTATCCAAATCTTCAGGCGGCCAGCCTCACAAACGCAAAGAAAATAGACAAATCATGTCAGGCCCTGAACAGGGAGCAATCAGGCTTCCTCAACCTCGTACTTGACTTTGGTCTCCACCTCGTCCTCGAGGATCTCGACCTTGGCGGGCTTTTGCTCGACCTCGGTTTCACTATCTTCCTCCGTCGCCATTATGTTCTTCTCCTTGCCCTTGCCCTTCTTAGTCGGAGTCTTAGGCGGGGCAGCAGCCTTGCGCTTGCGGGGGGTCGCGCTGGGGGTGGTCTTTGGAGTTGTAGATGAAGAGAGCGAAATGGAATCGACCTGGCGACGCAGACGAACGAGGCGGTTCTCGATGGCGCAATGGGTACAATCTATTAGAGTCAGCCAGCGTTCGACATGCCTGCAATCAGAACGACGGTGCATACCAGGACCCATGTAGGCAGCCAGTGCTTCATAGTCAAGCTTGGACCTCAGGGGTTTAAACTGCGCCAAAACCCCAAGGAAGAGCTGTTTGTTGATGGTTTGAGTTAGATCACACCTCGAGGTGAGAAAGGAGAGGGGAGCAACCTTGGCGTCAGCATCAGCGTTCCAAACCATAGGCATCTTGATGGCTTTGACTTTGTGATAGATAGTTGCTTGAGCTTTGAGGTTGTAGATATCAGATTTGAGGTTGGAATGATGGAGAACTGAGAGTGGGTGGACAGATGAAGATGGGGGATCGAGAGTAGAAGACAGATGATGATGGAGAAGGTGGAGAGTGATAAGGAGGCAGGAAGGCAGGAATACAAGAGAGCAAGAAGAAAATGGGGGCACTGGCGGATCTCTGATCAGTGGGTGCGACTGGTTGGCACAGTGAATTGCAGTTGATGCTGGCGTTACGCGGACGACATCATGCCTTCACAAGTGAATGGCCAGCAACAAGGAGCGATCAGACCTTGCTGGAAGAATCACCCTGGTAGTTCTTGTCTGTCATTTTGGTGCCCACAGCAATGATCGAAATAAAGGCAACAATGGATATACTTGATACGGTGAATTCAATGCAACAATACCCCCATCGGTCGTTTGGTTGAACCACGCCACGGTTATCATGAATCAGAATCTGCGTGTCAGTAGAGCTCAATTAAAGAGGACTCCCATCAGATCGTCTCCACCCACGCTGTATCCGATTCAGACGATCTCGATGCAGCGTGACTGTATCTGTGCCCAAGCCATGGGCTCCCAGGTGATGCTCGCTGTGAAAGTGGTGGACAAAGGCTCGGTTCGACAGGGTTATATAGAGATGCTAGAACGGCTGCTCGGGGACGCCATAGAAGTCCGGAACAGAACGACCATCTCGATTGTCAGAGACACATGTATCGGTATTGGTTCCAAGTGCCGATGAAGAATATGACGTTCATCTCGTTGCCCCATTTCCTGCTCGGCGGGAGAGGTTTCCGTTTTGCTGTTACAGGAAAGAGATCTCTATCAGAGGTCGTAGTCCTGATCGAGACGATGATAAGAAAACATTTGCTTCCTGCCAAATGTCTCCGTTTACTGAGACCAGTCTGGATGACCGCCGCGTGACGGTCCTCCTTGCAGCTTCCACGCTGGAGCCGCCATCACTGCGTCGGATGCAAAAGCCGGAATAAGGTCCCGTCTTCTGAGATCGAAATAAAGAAAAGGTTGGTGGCTCCCTGCATTAGGTTCTTGACAAACTAGCATGTCATTTGCTCAACCAGGTATGAGCCGACCCGATGTGCCATGGCTCAATCCGGTTTACTTCATGAGGACACACAGCTATGACACACTGTCAGTTCTGAAACCTTATGGTGGCTTCTCGTAAGGTGGTCTTTTCTATCTAACATCTTTCTACGCTAGAAGCCTTGAAACCTCTTCAAACCATCGCACACACTCAACGACTGAATTCTCCTCCGGTCCTTCAAAGCTCGCTTATATCCATTCCCTCTTTCCGTGCCAAAATGCATTTGCGAAACATCGTGGTCGTGACAGCATTCCTGCTTACGAGTGGTTTGGCAATGCCCACCAGCGCCACTGCAGGGGTGTGCCAAGCGAACACGCCAAACCGTGTCTTCCCTGTGGTGCAGATGGAATGGTAGACTAACGCCGGTTTACACATTTGCTGTGCAGAGCAGCGCAGCCATTGGTAGCACTGTGGCGGAGCCTAAGAAGCAGAACAAGCAGAACAAGCACCCCAAAACCGATCAGGCTTACCGGGGAGGACGTTGAAGCCAACCGCGCTTACCGAGGGAATGTTGGTGCGCTCAAGCACGATGACTAAATGGTCAGTCAAGACTATAGTGTAGGATGGCTGCCATTTCACACAAATAAGACGTGAAGAGAAATTTTGAGGGCAGGTATGGAGGCAAACTATGGTCGTGTGGACGAAGGAAATTATATGTACCTGAACAGAAGTGCGCCGTGGAATGTAGCGGTTTCTCCAGCAAGAAGACACACTCCGTCTCCTTTGATCCAAAACAGGCCTGTGCTGTAGAGTCATCCTAGCCTTTTCTGGCGTTCGTTATCGGTATTCAGCCACTGTATCGTGCGAAGAAGCATCGTAGAAACATCGCATGTGCATAAAGAGTTGGGCTGCATAACCTTACGTAAGCAATGGCATAAATCCGGGTAAGCTGCCGTATTCGGCAATGCGCAAACAATGCAAATCCACTCCGGTCGACCTTCCTTCTCTTCCTTCTTCCTGCTTCCTCATTTTCTCCGTTCGCGACGTTTCTCAGGATCTACAAGCTATGCCAGGGCTACCATACATCTGGTCAGGCTCGGTACATCCCATCGTACACACTGCCTACCTATCGTCCAAGGAAGAAGGAAAACGCGGAAATGACGCGAGGAGCTGATAACAACGCGTCCGATCCATTACTCTGGAAGGCAGAGAATACCCCCATCTCCTTGACATCTTGCACGATTTCAAACTCATCGCAGCAATTCCGACTTTCGTGATTCCGGCTGAGCCGATCGCCGAAGTCTGAGAGTTCTCGGTGGTGTAATCTCGACCATTCCGCATTTCGTGATGAATAAAATAAACCAATGACCAAGCTCGGTGGTGACAGGCCATCCCAGGACTCCTTCGATTCGTTGTCTGTGGTACGGACTATGTGCACCACTCTGGAAGATGCCTCAAGTCGACGCTCAGCTCGATCGCTAGATGAAAGTCGTCTATGTCATACCATGCACTACCCACCATGAACCTCTTGCCAGGGTCCTTTCACCCGACATTTTGCAAGTTGCCCTCATGCCACTGACTACCTTCCTGATTGGGGTCGTGCACGCCGAGATGCTGGTCATATCAACACAAGCACATTTAGGCAGAAGACCAATTGCTTTGCCCAGAGGACTTGCCCTGGGGACTTGTGGAAACACCCGTCCGAAGCCCTCAGACATCACAACGAACAGGTTTACCTGCGGCCCAAGCGCTTGCTTTGCTAGTCTCACGTTGCTCGTCGATCCCTATACTCGGACAGACGGTCCCCAAACGAACCCCTCTTCTGAACTGCCGTGTTTCCTTTCCGTTTACAAGCTGTGTCGTTGAGATTTGTCAATATGTCTAGCCGGAAAGCCCGAGGTGGGTCTGGCGTGGGGAGGCATGACCTGTGTCCCCGGTCAAACTTCCGGATCTTTGACCGACAAGCATTGCTTGTCATATTGATTTCAAATCGTGACTCAGGGAGGCTTTTGGCCAAGCCCATGGCATGTACGCAACTCTCACCTGCTCTACATGAGGAATGCTATTCGATCGGTAATGCGACGACTAGCCCGGCGTGAATTATTCCGCAGATGGGGGCAATCTTCCCAGGGCTAACGCGGCCATGGCGATGCTGATCGGATGATGCTTTGCCGAGTTCTCCTCCTTCCCCAGACTTCAGCGTGTGGGGTTTGGCGGAGAGTCGCCCGTCAAAATGCGGGGAGCAGACCGGAATGTGGAGATTCCTCATGCACCTCTGCTTCTCCATGTTCGACATGCAGTATCCTCCCTCACAACTCCAGATGACAACGTCGTCATCTGAGTTTGCTATGCCGATGTTCTGCCGGTGTGATGCAACCCTGGACTCGTGATGTAGTGGGACAACAGCATCATTCAGCCCGCCAACTACCACCCGCCGGTGAATACATAAATAGCCGGCAAATTCCAGAGACTGAGAGTCCGTGGTGCACAGTCTTTACGAAAAATGCGCGGTATACTTGTCAGTCTTATTGGGGTGGCATCTCTCTCCCAGGCTGCCCCAGCGCAGTCGAATATTACCAGTGACACATATTTCTATGGCCACTCTCCGCCCGTTTACCCCTCCCGTATGTCCCCCTAATGCCATTTTTCTCTTTTCGTGGACTGACATCTCTAGCCGAGGGTACCGGTACTGGCGCGTGGGCTGCGGCCTACGAGAAGGCCAAAAAGCTTGTCGCGCAGCTCACTGCCGAGGAGAAGGTCAACTTGACGGCTGGAGTCAGCCCAACCAGTGGCTGTTCCGGTACCATTGCGCCTATTCCTCGCTTGAACTTTCCCGGTCTTTGCGTCTCCGATGCGGGAAATGGCCTAGTATGTGATGAAACATGCCAATCCCCATGTCTGTCCTCGGATCAACTAACGCCTAGTCCATAGCGAGGCACGGACTATGTAAACGCCTGGTCTAGCGGGATACACGACGGTGCAAGGTTGGCCTCCATCAACTAAGAATCCGCATTTTGCATCAGACACTTATTTCGGCCAGCTGGAACAAAGCCCTGTCTCGTCAGAGAGGCGCTCATATGGGTAGCGAGTTTCACAAAAAGGGGGTCCATCTTCTCCTCGGCCCTGTGGTTGGTCCCATTGGCAGAGTTGTTGAAGGCGGCCGGAATTGGGAAGGATACTCCACAGATCCCTACCTCAGTGGCGCCTTGGTCTACGAGACCGTCCGTGGAATTCAGTCGGCTGGTGTTGCTGCTTCTACAAAGGTAAGCAGGCTCATTGTAATGAGGAGTCTTGAGTCTTGAATGCTAATTCGCATAGCACTATATTCTCAACGAGCAAGAGACGTATCGCAACCCGCAGAAACTCAATGGTCGCAACGTCGCTGCTCTTTCGTCGAACGTTGATGACAAAACGATGCATGAGCTTTACTTATGGCCGTTCGCAGATGCCGTGCGAGCAGGCACAGCCTCGATCATGTGCTCGTACCAACGTATCAACAACTCGTACGGATGCCAGAACAGCAAAGCTCTTAATGGGCTTCTAAAGACAGAGCTTGGATTTCAAGGTCAGCATTCTGCACTCAGGATCGAGCCCTTTGGCTGACAAGTGCCAGGATATGTTATCACCGACTGGGGTGCCCAGCATGCTGGAATTGCTGCCGCCAATGCTGGGTTGGACATGGTCATGCCGACAACGCAGCTCTGGGGATCAAACCTGACCAAAGCAATCGCCAATGGAACCATGGAGGCGGCTCGTCTGGATGATATGGCGACTCGGTGAGCAGGCCATCCTATTTTGTGGATGAAGCTATCTCGCTAACTGAGATAGAATAATTGCGACATGGTACCATCTGAATCAGGATACCAATTTTCCAGGCTCGGGTGTTGGGATGCCCAAGGACCTCAATACGCCTCACCAGGCGGTCATCGGAAAGACAGCAGACTCCAAAGAAACGCTCCTCCAGACTGCAATTGAGGGTCATGTATTGGTCAAGAATACTAACCACGCTCTGCCACTCAAGTCCCCCAAGTTGATCTCAGTATTTGGCTACGATGCTAAAGCACCCCACAAGCTAAGCATGAGCTTTCAGTTCATGAGCGTCAGTCCCGCAATCCAGGAGAACCACACGTTGTACGTTGGTGGCGGGTCAGGGGCCAACGCACCGGCCTACATCAGCGCGCCCCTGGACGCTCTTCAACAGCAGGCGTACCAAGACGGCACATCACTCCTATGGGATGTAACCTCCCAGGATCCCGACGTTAACCCGACTACGGAGGCCTGCCTGGTCTTCATCAACAGCTACGCGACCGAGGGCCAGGACCGCCCCGGCTTAGTCCACGAGGGAAGCGATAAGCTGGTGACAAACGTTGCCAGCAAGTGTAACAACACCGTCGTTATCATCCACAACGCCGGGATCCGCTTAGTGAACGCGTGGGTTGATCATCCGAATGTCACTGCGGTGCTCTTCGCGCATTTGCCCGGCCAGGATTCTGGACGGTCTGTCGTGAGTCTTCTCTACGGCCAAGCCAACCCGTCTGGTAAATTGCCCTATACCGTCGCAAAGAAGGCTGCGGATTACGGCAAGCTGCTCCATCCAGCCCAGGCAAACGAACCGTACGGGCTCTTCCCGCAGGATGATTTCGCGGAAGGAGTATACATCGACTACCGCGCATTCGATCGCCAGGGGATTGATCCGCAGTTTGAGTTTGGGTTTGGGCTGTCGTACACCACCTATGACTACTCGTCATTGAGCATCGACACGATCAGCAGCAATCCAGGCCCCTTTCCCCCGGCAGCCGCCATCCAGGAAGGTGGAAACCCCCATCTCTGGGACGAGCTGGTGAAAATATCTGCGGAAGTGAAGAACACTGGCAAGGTAGACGGTGACGAGGTGGCCCAGCTGTACGTAGGCATCCCAGATGGCCCTGTTCGCCAGTTGCGAGGGTTCGAAAAAGTGCATGTCTCGGCCGGTTCTACAGCAAAAGTCGAGTTCTCGTTGACTCGACGCGATCTCAGCACTTGGGATGTGCAGGCCCAGCAGTGGCGGTTGCAGACCGGCACATACCATGTGTTCGTTGGCCGGTCCAGTCGGGATCTCCCCCTTCAGGGGCAGTTTGCTATTTAGGTCACAACTAGAGGTGGATTTACACGCACTGGATCGGTCTTTTTTGGTCTTAACCTAAATGTCAACTTATTTGTGGTCGTCGTACGCTGGGCGCCCTGTAGCCTATCGCCTCCATCTGCACTTTCTTGTTGCATTTCCAATCAAGCGGGGTATAGCAGGGATCCCTGGTCTCTCTAGCTCCTTGCAGTACTTCTCAGACGTTGTCCACCAATACCGGTGGCAGTTGGTTGAGGGGTTGTTCTTGACCTGCATCTCTAGTGGCGTCACTGCCGAGTCACCGTCGAGAGGGGACGGTCGTCACCACCGCGTACAAGAAGCCAATCTGTTGCCCTCCCTCTCGTCTCCACCACAGCTGCTCATCATGCCACTCTCCGCCATGAAAACCGATCTTCGTGACTTTGCCGATCGACAAGGCTCGAGCGGCCCCAACGCCGACAATCTCGAGCTTGATGCCTTGATCGTCGGGGCTGGGTTCAGTGGCATCTACTTCCTACACGAGCTTCGCAAGCTCGGTCTCAAGGCGGTCATCTTCGAAGCTGGCCATGATATCGGCGGCACGTGGCGCTGGAATTGCTATCCTGGTGCGAGAGTCGACTCCGAAGTCCCTGAATACCAGTTCTCGATCCCCGAAACCTGGGAAAACTGGACTTGGTCCACGAACTATCCGGCGTACGATGAGATCCGCGCGTACTTTGACCATGTCGAGCGTGTCCTGGATATCAAACGGGATTGTTCCTTCGGCACCTTCGTCAATGGTGCTAATTTCGACACGTCCTCAGGGCGATGGCATATCACCACAACCGATGGCCGACAGGCCTCGGCAAAATACTTGATTGTGGGCACTGGCTTCGCGGCCAAGCGGCATATCCCAGACTGGCCGGGAATCGAATCATTCCGAGGCGTGATACATCATTCTGCCTTCTGGCCTGAAGAGGGCGTCGACCTGACGGGCAAGCGCGTTGGCGTGATAGGTACCGGCGCATCCGGTGTCCAGCTAACGCAGGCTCTTGGTCCCGTTGCTGGCTCGCTCAAGGTCTTTCAGCGAACGCCGAACTTGGCTGTTCCCATGCGGCTGCGGGAGTTGACTGTTAAGGAGCAGGAGCAGCTGAAGCCCATCTATCCGGAGTTGTTCTCGCTCCGCGAAAAGGCCTTCGGAGGGTTTTTCTACACATTCAGTGAACGAGGTACTTTTGAAGACAATGAAGAAGAGCGCGAAGCCTTCCTCGAACGGCTCTGGCAACCCGGTGGCTTCCGGCTGTGGGTGGCCAACTACAAGGATAGCCTGCATGATGCAAAGGCCAATCGCGTGGTCTACGATTTCTGGGCTCGTCGAGTACGCCCACGCATTGAAGACCCCATTACTCGAGATCTTCTCGCTCCCCTCGAGCCTCCCCATCCTTGGGGTGTGAAGCGACCAAGCATGGAAGTTGATTACTTTGAGCAGTTCAATCGGCCGACGGTCGAGCTGGTCGACATCCGAAACAATGCCATCGATCGCATCACCGAGACCGGGCTTCAACTGGCCGACGGCACCCACTATGAGCTGGATGCAATTTGCATCGCCACCGGGTTCGACGTATCCACCGGCGCTCTTGTGAACATGGGTCTCCGCAGCATCGAGGGCACAGAACTTAAAGACGAATGGGCCACGTCAGTCCACACATACCTTGGGCTGGCGATCAGTGGGTATCCAAACCTCTTTACGACGTACGGACCCCATGCCCCGACAGCTCTCAGCAACGGACCGACGTGCATCGAGGTGCAGGGTCGGTGGGTCGTCGACGCAATTAAGCAGATGGAGCGTCAGGGCATCAAATCGGTCAACGCAACTAGAGCTGCTGCGCATGCGTGGAAGCATCGCATTGACGAGTTGTCCAATGCGACGCTTTTTCCAACGACAAAGTCAACGTATATGGGTGGAACGCTCCCCGGCAAGCCCTTTGAGCAGCTGAACTGGACCGCTGGGGTTCCAGCTTATCATGCAGAGATCCGTGCTGTTCTACCGTCCTTTAAAGGGTTTAATGTGGAAATGGAGTGAGTGTTTCCCGGCCATATCATGACGGCATCGAACAGCAATTTTGATCGTTCAAATCCCAAATGCAGTTCTCATTCCGATTCATCTCCCGTTCTTGCACGATTTTAGTATATCGGTCGTATTGCATGCAAACAATTAGGAAAATGGCTTGTTTTGAAGTCAGCCTACTTGACAAATCGCTTCATGATAGTTTTCTCGAGCCCCGCAATTCGCATCTGCCTTCACCATCTGCGTAAAAAGCCCATTTCTTGCCATTAACGTCGCTGGAGGTCCGAATTCTACTACTTCTCCATTATCCAACACTAGCACCTTATCGAAATCAGCTATCGTTTGGATGCGATGCGCGATCACCAACAACGTAGTTCCTTGGCAATTTGCACGAATAGATTGCTGGATAAGCTCATCCGTATCTCTGTCCACGGCCGAGGTCGCTTCATCGAGAATCATGACTGCTGGTTTCGCCAGCATAGCTCGAGCTAGACACAATAGCTGGCGTTGACCGTGGGAGCAGTTACTCCCTTCTGTAGATATTGGAGCATCCAGTGCATTCGTAGAGGGCACACCGGCTAGCTTAGTCCAGTGGACCTGCTCTAGAGCATGAGACAATATGCCATCCGCATACTCTCCGAATGGATCAAGATTTGATCGCACAGTGCCAGAAAGCAATACTGGACTTTGGGGAATAATTGCCAGGTGGCGTCGCAAATGCCCCAGGGCAATGGTCGATATATCTATACCGTCTATACATATTGCTCCTCTAGGCACTTCTAGGAAACGGAATAGCGCTAGAGCCAGTGAGGACTTTCCTGCTCCTGTTCGGCCGACGATTCCTATACGCTCACCGGGTAGGGCTTCAAAAGTCACATTGCGAAGCACAGCTGGAGAATCAGCAGCATATGCAACTTTGAGATCGCTGACAGCAAGACGGCCCCCGGCGGGCCACGCCGAACTTGGGATATGACCACTCCCATCTTCTGTGGGGAGGTCTGAATACTCCAATATGCGATCCACGCCGTTCATATCCATCTCAAGGGTAGCATATGCGCGACTGAGTGATACTAGTGCAAAACACAGATGATTGGTAAACACGAGGGCAAACCCAGCCATTGAACCGGTCACGTCCTCTCGCCAGATAACTGCCAATGCGGTCACGAGAGAGAACAAAGCACCCAAGGCATTGATCCGAAAGGTAAACCATTGATTGAATAGAGCCAGGTGCCACACGGCCTGGGCGTGCCTTTCCACCTTTTCCTGCATTTGCGTCACGTAATGTTGAGTACGTTGAAAGGCTCGGATTGTCACGATCCCTTCCATGGAGGAGCTGAAATGTTCGTAAATCGGACTTCTGGCAACACATTCCAGGCGCTTGACTTCCCTGGCTGCCGCAAGGTATCTTCCAGTATACCAAAAAGCCCCATAGAGCAGCAATGCGCCGAAAAGCAACAATATGGGCTGGACTATAACCGCACCCATAATCACACCGATACAGTCCATCCCCGAACTCAGCAGAGTGGTCAGGTCAAGCCCCAATCGAGAATCCAGGATGTAAAAGTCTGCCGTGAATCTGTTCAAAATACGCCCTACGGGGACTGTGTCAAGCCATTGCATTCGAGTCCGGAGGACAACATGTAAGAGTCGGCGGAACAGGTGAGACGATGCCTGGAGCGATATAGTCATGGCAATGTATGACCGAAGTGCTCCGACCAGACAAACAATCACTGCAAGGCCAAGATAGATTCGAAAATAGTACCATGTTTCAACATAACTTGCCGCGGACTCGCTGCCCGCAGTCCAGATATTCATCCACCAATACTAATCCACTGTCAGCTATCCGTCATGCACAAATGAGAAATTCTGACTCGCGTGACATACCTGAGCAAGAATCAATATATTGTACGCCACATAACAACCTGCCAGGATGGACCAGCGGGGCCAATCGCCGCTGTATTCGATGTAGCGACGGAAAAGCAACCACTGAGTCGCGCCCTGTCCCCGATTCTCTTCCTGAACAAATTTCTTCTCAGTCCCCGGCATGATGAGGTTTTCAGCTTCCCCATTAGTAACATTTCCGACAGTTGACGGCTGATGCTTATTCGTTCTCAAAGGTACCAGATCACCGCTTGAGTGCAAGTCCTGAATTTCCCCAGCATACTTCACCTTCCCATGTTCCAGCTGCACCACATAATCCGTCTTTCCAAAAGAAAGATCGACATGATGTGTAACCAGAACCCTGGTTCTACCTTCTGCCAACTCCCCGGTCAGGGCGTGTTCAAATACATGCTTTGCCGTGTGCACATCCACAGCGCTGAAAATGTCATCCAGAATAAGGATTCCAGCTCTGGAATACAACGCCCGTGCCAAACTGACTCGCGCTTTTTGCCCTCCGCTGAGATTAACGCCACTGGGGCCAATATCGGTGAGGTCATGATCTATGAACTCGTTCAGGTCGTGGGTCAATGCGCACGCATTCACTACTTTTTGATACCTTTGGACATCAAGAGGCAAACCAAATAGAATGTTTGCACGTACCGTTCCGGCCTCAATCCAAGGGACTTGAGCAACGTACGCCATCATGCTGTCGACGATCCAACATGGCTCGGAAGGGAAGGCAGTATATATCTTGTTGGACAAGGCCGGCTTCGGTCGTTTGACAGCTCCAGTACCAATCTTGCACTCACCGAGCAGAGCCGCCAGCAACAGGCTTTTCCCAACACCGGTTGGACCACATATCAAGCTCAGCATCTGATGCGGAAACCTCAGATCAACTTGGTTCAATACTCCAACCTGGTTTGAGGAGTCGTCGGAACCATAACTCAGACTTTCGGCACATATTCCAATACAATCATTATGCGACACATGCCGAACTGTCTCAGGGGCCTCCAAGAATCCATCCACTCGTTTCATGCTCACGCACGCAGCTACAATTCCGGAAAGCAGTTCCGGGATAATACCAATAGTGAATTGGAGATATCCAAGTATGGAAAATGCAGGAAATGCCACAGATGGCGTCAGGCGACCATATAATCTGCCATACATCCCCAAAGAAGCCGCCGAGACTAGCACTGGGCCCAGGAGGTGCAGTGTCAAGCTCAAAACCTGCCAATGGAAGACAAACCTCTGCGCTCGCAGCTCATTATCGCGCAGTCTATTGACTTTTTCTTCCCATTTGCTCTCGATGGCAGAAAATTTGATATAACGGATACCATGAAGTGCCTCGGTCACCGTGCTCATCTTGGTGTCCCGACAGCTCATCAAACTGTGCTCCGCCGTCGATATCCTTTTGAGGCATGCCGAGTGAAGTGGTGAAATTAACACTAGGCACATAAGGCCTACCGATAGGCTTTGCCATCCTAACAGTTGGCTCAGTAACATGCAAGCGACGATGACTTTGAGGGGTTGCAGCATGCAGCTGTACAGGAACCCGGCCATTGTTGCTATTCGAGCGGCATCAATAGCCGCTAGATTTATGACATTATGAGCCTTGGTAGAGCCCCTCTTATTCTCATCCCCGTTGGGAGACGTGAGTCTAGTAGCTTTGTCGAAAAGTGCGGTAGATAATTGTTGCCTCATGGGAATAGATATTCGGGATTCAGCAATCCACAACAGCCAGTTTTCGAGCCACGATGACAGTCCAATACCAAGTCCAAGTACCGCCGCCCATTTGACAAGTAGAAAAGCGTTAGTCTGTCTCTCGGTGGGTGATTCAAGCAATAATAACATCTGCCCTAGTGCCACATGCGGTGCGAACGCCAGCGATGCTAGCGGTATTGACAGAGCAACTTGCCAAATGAAGTGCCTTCGGTACAAAAGCGGCAGGATCTGCCACAATGTTAGATTTGATGGCTTCATCTGTCCTTTCGCCAGATCAAAGGCGGCTTGGAGTGTGCTCGCTCTAACTCTATCATTTAGTTCGGGAAGCCGTTCAAGCCCAATGGCTAAATCATTGCCGACTCTTCTTAAAATGGGACTCGCCCAGCTAAACGAAAGATGTTCGAGAATGGACGAGGAACTTTCGCCGTCGACCGTCTTGCCTTCACGGAAGGCTTGATGACGGCGTGGGATAGAAAAGCTAATCAGTATTGCCATGAAACCCAAGGCAACATTAGAATAGAGCAGAATAAATAGTTCATTGGCCGGTGCCCTTGGACCCGGCATTGTACAGAGCTCAACCGTTGTAAGAAGAATTGTGACAGTGCAGCCAATGTCTCCTTTTAAGCTCAGCACGTACCGTGCGGTATCCATCCGCTCCGTGGCTATTGCGATGTATTGAAGCAACATGAACACCTTCATGAAATGGTCAGCCTCTAGCTCCACCAAAACCTTTGGTGCGTACTCACCCATACTAGGCATTGCACCCAGGGTTCGGTTGCGAGCTGCCTACTCTGACGGTTCACGGCACGGACAAAAGCAACGGCACAGCCGCCAGTAACCACAGCTACCAGGATCCATGGTCGCATCTGCCTTCTCGTTGCTCCGCCTGCATGCCAGGACGTCTTTTCGTCTCCCTCGCCATGTCTACCATCGCACCCACGGGCCGAGTATCCGTTGTTGCGAGTGAACAGGCAGAGGACAGTCTGCTTTATGACCGGCAAGCATAGTTGGATCACCAATGCCAGACCGATGAAGTGGAGAATCGCGCAACGCGTTTCAACACTGGGCATTGTGTGTGGTGAGTGACGCATTGCAGACTCAATCAAGGGGGAGGAAAGGTAAACAAGAAGGCTGGGAGGCTGGCATTCCCTGGTCACGAGACAAGGGGTCCTCCCTCCAGTACATCCTCAATTTGCTTGATCGGCTCTGATTTGTCGTTGCAGTTCCGTGCGGCACATCGTCCAAACTGCTTGCTACTATTTGTGTTCGTCATGCCCTCGACAGTGACTTGCGTGCGGTCAGACTGAGTGATATTGGTCTTGGCATTCTCTGCACCGCCTCGTGGACGTTATCCCAGCAAGGCTGCATGCAGGATGACAGACCAGCACCCAAAAACTCGAAGGATGGGTTACGAGCAGCCTTGACGACGACCGTAAGGCCATATCGAATGAATGAAAAATGAATGAAAAGGCACGCATGTTGGGATAGGGGGTATAAAGCTGGACAGGAAACCTGAAAGAGGTGATTGAGTTTGATTGGTTTGATGTCATCTCGGGTCATAAAAGGCTCATTTATAATGAAGCCCGATTCCTAAAAATGGGTGGCCTTCTTGTATATATTCATGGGTGGAAACGAAAACGAGAGACTAGTCTCGGCGTCTCCGCACTTGCGCCCCTTAACTTGGGTGATTGGGGCCCAAGGTTAGCAGAGCTGCAATCTACCTCGTCCATTATCATTCAAGACTAGTATTGGAGAGTGTATAGGCAAGCAACCAGGGCTGATAATCCATCAGAATCCGGTTGAATTTGTCTTCCCTCCGTCCGGCGGTGTGCAGGTCATGTGATTGATTCTGGGCATTCCCGCTCACGTGCTGTTTGTCCTTGCTCTGATGCCTGAGGCGTCTACGGACAGACTGACTCAGCCGCCCCGATGATCAGATTAGATATCACCCGATCTGATAATCGTCGGATGATTCCTCCTCCTTCCGCTCTCCCGCTTTCTCTCATCGCGACAAACCGCGCAGGTAATCCGATCCCGGGGCCAACTTGGATATATGAACCCTACGGACGGATTGTCTCTCTGCAATTTACCTTTTTCTACTTCCCATCCGGCCTACTAGATTGATTTCGAAGTCCTGCTCGACCCTCGCCGGATCCGCCGATTCTCCCGTGATGCCCCGCTGAAGTACTGCCTTCCCTGCGCTCGCTCCCTGACCCATATTCCTGGTGGTCATACATCGCAGCAATGCGTGGACTATGCTGGCTGTTGCTGGTGTCCAATATCTACCTTGGTGCTTCCAGCATCATTCCGTCTGACGAACGCTGTGTCACCGCCATTTATACCGCATATGGATATATCAACTTTGCTGGAAGCCCGTCTGTTGGGTTCTGGGATACACGCTGCCTGAACCCCCTGAAAGTCACGTCAATCTATGCTTCATCACAAGTGCACTGCTCCCCGTCAGAGCAGGCCGCTGGCCTTTCCCAGCTAGCTACGCTATGTCGCGAGGTTGCCGGTTTAGATTTGATTCCTCGCGACCAACTCGCCGCCAACCTGACTGAAACTGCTATCCAACGAATGCAAGTAGTGGGTTATGGGGAAATACCTAGAAACCTACCCCTTGACGCTCCCGTTGTACTCTCTACGTCACATTATGATCGAACTTTTCGAACAATTGTGTGTTTTTACCTCCCCTCGTCTATTTTCGATTGGCTAATCGCCGTAACCGGCAGGATGCTTGGCAATTCGAAATGTGGTCACACTTTGCGTACGGGTAAGTCGGCACTTCACCTCAGCCCTGACGCTCAATGAAGAGAATCTGACAAAAGAAAATAGTTTCGCTGGGTACGGTTTCTGGGCCGCAGTCCTGGCAGTCGGAACTCTACATCGTTTCATCCAGCAATTCCTTCTGTCCCGACGCGCTTCCATGGGTCGTCAACAACATCCCTTGGTCCGTACCTTCGGCAGCCCGTTTCGAAGAATGTACAGTTGGATTCATACCCATCTTGTCGTTGCTAGCCCTCTGCCATCCCATGGTCGACACATTCTTTGGTGGACGTTTCCTACGCGCGTCGAAGCCGTAGTCACCTTTACTTTCTGGGTAATTAGTATTGTTCTATGTATGGTGGGCTACCGGACCTTTTCAGGCAACATCTAGTCAGTACCTCTCGGTTGACTTTCGCTTACCTTTCTAATATCATCCAGTTGGCCAGATATTTCTGCCCAGCTCTTGCGCTATGCGGCGGATCGCACGGGTATTCTCTCGTTTGCAAATCTTCCGTTACTCTGGCTGTTTGCCGGTCGCAACAATATATTTCTCTGGGCCACCGGTTGGAGCTTCGCGACATTCAATATATTTCATCGTCACGTAGCTTGGATAGCCACCATCCAGGCCCTGATTCACACCATATTATATTTGATCCTGTTCATTCAAAGTATGTCTATTTTCCGATTTGGTTTTACTTTCCCTTCTCCTCACACTGATCTTTCTTGTAGATGGAAACGCCTGGAAGAAACTTCAAAAGCCATATTTATTCTGGGGTACCGTGGTGAGTATTTCTTTGAATCCACATTGGCTATTCGTCTCTAAGTAACTCGGAATGTTTGTAGGCAATGGTGGCCATGGCGCTCGTTCTCCCTTCGGCTGTGGATTGGTTTCGGCGTCGAAGTTACGAGACGTTCCTCCTGCTTCATATTGCTTTCTCGGTGGCAACTGTCATCGGTTGTTTTTAGTACGCCACCCCGTTCTATCTTTTTGACGTCTGCTAACTATCTCATCAGCCATACGACTATTTTCGAGGGCCATGAATATTGGCTCTATCTTTGGCCCGTCATTGGGGTCTGGGCCTTTGATCGATTCCTACGATTAGTTCGCCTTATATACTGCAATTTTTATGTTCGAGTCTATGCTGGGAGAGAGCTTCAGTATAGCCGCAGCCTGGCAACCTACGACGAAGCTTCCGACGTGATTCGGTTGGAGGTGATGCCTGGGTCCACGATCCTCCACCCAACCGCTGGGCAGTATTACTATCTATACCAACCTTTTCGGCTAACTGGGTGGGAAAGTCATCCATTTACCCTCGGTACTTGGTCGTTTGAAACGGGTTCTCGCACATCATCCGTTCCATCGGATGCTGCGAAACGCGATCAGACAGTAGACGTCTCTCAGATTCCTCTACTGGCCGATTCTTCTGGCTCTGAATCCCAATCTTTAGATGAATCCTCACAAGAAAGCAATCAGCTAAAACTGATCTTCTGGATTCGGCCTTTTGACGGTTGGACACGTTCTCTTCGCCACCAATGCAAAGCCTGCCCGGATCGAGGCCTAGATACAACTATTCTCTTGGAGGGCCCCTACGGTGAAGAGTTTCCGCTGTGGAATTACGAGTCCATTCTCTTTGTTGCTGGAGGAACGGGAATTGCGGCAATAGTGCCATACATCCAGGACCACCTTGCCCGATGTGCCACCGCAGATGGTAATGCAACGCAAATCCAAGATATGCAGCTCGTTTGGACGACTCGGCAAGCGGCCTTTGTGCGACAACTTGCAACCGGTGAGTTGAATACGGCTCTCACTCGCAGTGGCTTCCATGCTTCTTTCTACGTTACCTCTCCCGGGGAAGGCCATATTGGCGTGAATTCGCACCCTTCTAGCCAAGATGATGGGCTGCTGGATAAAGACCTGGAGATTCATACCGGACGACCTGATCTTCAAAATCACATCTTAGCTCACGCGCACGAAGCGCAACTCCGGGACTGCTCAGCGCTTGTCTTAGTATGCGGGCCGCCCGCCATGGCCGACGAGGCTCGATCTGCGGTGTACAGGGCGATGCGCCAGGGCTACCGAGGTATTCGGTACGTCGAAGAATCTTTCAGTTGGTAAATAGTGGATTACGAATGGGCACGATAAACGCATTCTGGGATAGACTTTCTTTTTCGGAGCTTGGATCTTTTCATCTTTACTTTCGGTTCGCAAGAAATAGTTACTACATAGAGACATCCCAACAAACTCATCATCGCGACGAGAACAGCCGGTAGCAAGTAAGGGATCTTTCAGTAAAGTAAAATTATTTACTGTTACACAGCTTAAGGTCGACCGCACTGTCTCACGTTTATTTTTTCTGTCCTTACAGAAGGCGCTCGGGCCCAGTTCGATCCTGACGCAACGGATGTGATATATCAACCCCTTGCTACAGTAAAAACGCCACTAGTGGCTCTTTGCAGGTAGCCAAGGCGTCCCGGTGGAACTATTGAATCTGGAAATGTTTGTTACATCGCCTAAGCCTTCGTAATCTGTGGGGTAATCAAAAGCTGGAGGTATGTGGCTACCCTTATACACAATAGTAAACGCGTACTCCAGACTTAATTCTGCCAACTGACATCTCCATAACAAATGATCTCAATACACCGTAATATGCTACTAGTATGTATTTGTCCAGGCGATTCAGCTGTGTGCAAACTGGAAAGAGAGAGCAGAGGTCGCCACGGAGCTTTCCGCAGTGCTCAGAGCGCCCCTGATCGGCAACCAAGTTAGGGATAATTGCCAGAGCACTCGGAGAAATAAACCCAGTAGGCTGCAGGCGTGCCCCTGGGATCGAATTCTTGCCAGCCGCAGGCAACCGGTGCTCTTCGACTGTTCAGATCGGTTCATCGATCTCCATCTCTGCGCCACCCTGCAGCCTCCCTCTCGGCCAGTTCCTGGGCCAGCCACTCCGATACGGGGAGTAACTATGCAGGATAGCGATTACTATCAGCCGTTATGACTGCGTCAGAGAACTTTATTTCACCGATCTTGTACTCACCGACAACGATCGGCCATCTCTAGATACTAGCGTTCTTGGGTGAGGACGGTTTGACGACTAGGCAATCACATATCGTGTGTTCAGATGTTTTTACTATCTCGAGAAAAGTCATCCTGTTCGTTCGCAAAACCGGTTCCTGAATTTTATGTAGGTTGGTCCTTACGTAGCGAAAATTGGGAGGCACTGCATATTCTTCTGCAGGGGAGACGTGTATCGCCTCCCCTTCTCCTACTCGCCGCGGCCGAATAGCCTCGGGGATGCATACCACTCGATGCAAATGGTAGGCCGGGGCTGTAAGTTGGAAAACCGGATATTCCAGGCCCCAGGTAGAGCCTCCAGGGCCATTGATCCACCAGGTAAGGGATATCTGCCAGGGTCGAGCTGGAAGCATATGCCGCCTCTCAGTTGGGAAGTCTCTCCTCCAACACGCACTGGGCAGCTTTGAACGACCGGTTCACAAAGATATAAAAGCCATCCAGATTCCCGGCATCATTCTCATTCTCCATCACAACCATTCAAATCATCTTCCTCCACTGTCAATCCACTCTCAACCTTCCCAACTTCTTCAAGTTAGTCCAACCGACTCACCAAACCAACCATCACAATGAAGTTCTTCGCCGTTGCCGCCCTCTTCGCCGCCACCGCGCTGGCCCTCCCCGAGACCGGCCCCAAGGTTGGCAACTCTGCTCAGGAGCTGTACGGAAAGTGCTCCAACGGCAAGCGTTCTTGCTGTAACTCCGACCCTTCCAACGCCGAGCTGAGCTCTGAGGAGCACGAAAGCCTCCTTGGCCTGCTTGACGGCTCCATCATCCCCAACCTGAACACCGGCCACTACAGCGGCTGCAGCGATCGTAAGTCTCTTCCCAGCTAATGGAACCATCTGGATCTCGCTAATGTTGGCCCTTGTAGTTGCCAACCTCATCCCCGGTGAATGCCAGGGCAGCATTGCCTGCTGCGACAACAACAGCGTCAACAATGGTATCAACGTCGTTGTTCCCTGCGTTGGTATTCCCGTCGGCGTTTAAGCGGTAAACATGCGACGAGGGGCCGTCTGTCAATGACGAGTCTTGAATCCTAGTTCGAAGGAGGAATCGTGACGGACATTGTGGCTTGTACAGTCGTACTATCGAGCGGTCGCCGAGATGATAATTTCGGGTCGGATGAGCTTTTTGTATTGAACATGCAGGGGACGCTAGTTGCATTTGTTTTTTGTCTTTCTCTATCGCTGTTGTACTCGCATTGGTTAGCATTGTGAGTACAATCAACATCAAAAGCAATTTAGCAACATGTTATTTGGCTGGAACCTGTTTCTTTCAAACATTGTAGCAAGGGGGTTGCACGGAATCAGCAAGCAAGAGAAGTGAAGTAGAGCGCAAACGAATGCTGCCTCAGGTTCGGAACGACACCCGAGGCAGCCACCGCATGCCAAGCCCGGCCGCCTTCCGTCTTTCTCTTTCTTCCCCTTCGACTTCCTCTTTGACTTCCTCCATTCATTCATCGCTCCTTTTTCATGGACCATCCAGACTCGTCCCCCAATCCTCCCCGGGGGCAACCCCCTAAAAGGCCGACCAAACGCCGAAAAATTGCCGTCGCCTGCGATGAATGCCGGACTCGCAAGGTCCGGTGCGACGGCATCCAGCCGGGTATTCCAAGCCTCCCCGAAATCAAATCCGCTCTACTAATTCGCGCTCCGTGCTAGTCTGTGGGCCGTGCATCAAGAGGTCGGACCACGGCGTGCAATGCGTCTATACCGGAGAGCCGGAGAAGAAACGCGCCGTGCGAAAGTAAGATGTCTAATAAATCTTGTCTTCGGGTGAACCAATTGCTAATGCTATGGCAATCCAGCTATATTGCGACTCTGGAAAATCGCATCAAACATCTGGAAAGCCCGGAATCGATCCCGACGGCTACAGGACATGCTGGTGATCAGGAATCAGGCCACTCCAGGGTCCGTAATATCCTTGCCATCGTACAGTATTATCGCTGTGGCTATAAGATAATCACAGAGGTTATTGGTAGTCTGATTGACTTCACAGGATTTTGCCTCTCTCCAAAGCTCCGTGTCACCTCTATCTGCCGATCAGCAGGAGGCTAGGAGAAATCCTCCAGGCTATACTGCCGGAGAATCGTCTTTTTCTGCGGACAATCTGCCGCAGCATAATTCTGGAAGAACTTTCGCCAGGACGCAAAAGCCGGCTTTCCCTCCATCTCAGAACTCGCCAGCGCGACCACTTCGGTCGGAAGAATGCGTAGACGGCGTGAATGCAATGATGGGGGCAGTGGAAGAAGAGCAACCAACTCAAGGGTTTTTTGGCAGTTCCAGTGCCGCCAGCTTCATGCGCCAGATAAAACAGGCTGTAGACAAACGGGTGTCGTCGCCATGTCGACGAACTTCAAATTCGGTCCTGGGCGTAGCGCCATCCCCAAGTCTTGTTGCCAGAAAGAAAGCAAGACCGTCCATCGTGCCTAATTATGTTCTGCCTCCAAGAAAAACGGCTGATAGTCTGATGGAGGTCTACTGGTGCTATGTCTTCCCGCTATATCCTCTCGTCGATGGTCTTCATTTGCGAGCGGAATATGAAAGGATCTGGACGGGCGAGACGCTCGAGTCGGATGAAAATATGCTGATGTGCACGTTCAATGTTATCTTTGCTCTGGCTTCTCAGTTGGCAGATTTCATTCCCCCCGAAGAACGGGAAGCCTCGGCAGATGCCTTTTTTTCGCGGGCGAAGGACCTGTTTCAATTTAATCTTTGGAATACTGGATCTGCTGGCTTAATCCAATGTCTTCTTCTCATGGCACAATATTTACAAAGCACTGACTCCGCGCATCAATGCTGGATAGTCACTGGTTTGGCTGTTCGAAACGCGCAGAGCCTTGGTTTGCACCTTTCACAGACCGTTTCTCGCCTTCAAAATCCGCAGGAACAGCAGCTGGCGCGCAAGATCTGGCATGGCTGTGTACTTATGGATCGGTATGCCCATAAACCACGTTTCATTCCAGTCTGTCGCTGACAAGTGATAGAGTTATCTCTATGACCTTCGGTCGTCCAGCTATGATATCGAAGGCGTCAAGTACTTCAGTTCCACTACCAGACGCCATTGATGAAGAGTACATCCCAGCGGCCTCAGGTGCCCAAGCCGAACAGCCGACCGATCGTCCGTCCATCATGGCTTTCTACGCCAAATCGCTCGAGTTGTACGAGATCCTCAACGACGTTCTTTTGAGTTTATACAACAAGCCTATCTCCGATGAAAACCCCGAAGACATGTATGACTTCTATTTTGACAAAGAGATAGCCCAAGGAGAGCGGACAATCTTTGAACTAGATCGGGCCTTGACCAAATGGACCCGGACCCTCCCCCTGCATTTGCGCGACCCTTCGTCTCCTCGATCCGGCAATATTATCTTTCAACGGCAGAGTGTAGTTCTACGAGCTCGGTATGTCCTTGCTTCAATGAAGTCCAATGAAATCCCGAGAAGCTTGGTTACTAATATAGTATCAGGTTCCTACACGTCCGCATGCTCCTATTCAGGCCTATCCTTTCGAAGTACTGCACAGCACGCGATATCCCCGAAACTGATCCGCTGATATCCCTGACTGACTCCTTTCCCCATCGCGTTGCGCTTCAATGCTCTGTGATATGTGTCAAAGTAGCTCAAGAAATCATTGATTTGATCCATGATAATATTCCTGCCAATGGCAGCTCAGGTCCACTGCCAGCTTGGTGGTACAAAATTCTCTGTGAGCATTCCAGGCTGTATTCTAGTATTTCATCCAAGGCTAATGTGTTCAAGATGTATATACCGCGGCGACAGTCTTGATTGCAGGTCGTCTTTGCCCGTCTGTTTTGGAGGAGATCACTGACTCGGCTATCTCGCGGTCTTGGAACTGCGCGCTCGAGATTCTGCGGAAATATCAAAGCTACAGTACGTCTGCCAGGCGATGCGTCGCAGCCCTCGAGATTCTATATGAGAGGGTTGCATCTGAAGCACCCCCATCCTATTATCAACCACCCAACTACCAAGTATCCGGTGCGGCGTTAAACGCGACGAATGATATGTCCCTTGGAGAGGGCATGAATGCCATTCTTATTGATAGCTTTGACTTGACCGATCTTCAAGATATGTCCTGGTTGAATAGTGTGCCAAGCAGTCTCTATTGACTAAAATGGGTGCGAGGAGTGTCTTCATCATTTCTTGTTTCCGCCTATCCCCCGACTCCTTATTCATCTCGGCCAACCTCCATCAGCATTCTATCTATTGAATCGATTTATCTCTCCGTGCACTAGTGTCTAAGCTTGGTGGGTTGAACGACTCGCCACCGATTGAACCGCAACGGTTGGAACCAAAGCGCAAACTCCGATGATCGCACACATAACGCCTGCCGCACCGGCGAAATGCAGGGTTTCAAACATAGGAGGGAAATAGAATGGTCCGATCTAGCTTTGTCAGTGAACGTCTCTCGGTGGTGGAAAGGGAAAAGTCTCACAAATCCGTAAATGTGGCGGAAAAGGTTTATGCAGACTCCAACATTGGTTGACTGCTCCTTATAGCTATCGACCGCGAACGAAATGAGTATTGTCGTGATGATTTGGTTGCCAAAGCTCGCGATTGCCGCGCCAATACAGGGCGTAACATTCCAAGACGTGGCCTTGTCCAACTGAAAGCCCCAGGTCAGAAGTCCTGCGACCACGGTGCCGAATCCAATATAGGAGAGCCATAACCGATCTGCTGGACGAGTATAGCCTCGCCTTTTGCTAAGCCCTCTCAAGAACCAGTCCGAGAGGGGCCCACTCAGTTGTTCACCTAGGAGGCATCCAATGATGATGGCAATGAATTGTAGCCCTATCTGCTGAGCATCGAAGGCGAACTTTTCTCCGAATGCAATTGGCATCTCCACGATCAACGCGATGTTACCATAGCAGAATACAATGGAATGGGCAACCGCAGGGATCAGGACCGCATAATATCGGCAAAGGAAGATGGGCTCAATGAACTCGCGCATCCTGAGGGAGCGTGCATCAAGTCGTCGAGGAATGAGCTTGTTGAATACACCTTTTCTAGCCTCGTTTGTCTGCAGGGAAGCATCCTTTTGAGGCAGATACATAGTTTCTGCACCGAGGACTAGGTACGCGATGAATTGGACAAAGTTGATTATGGCGAAAATCCAAAAGATCCATTCGATACCAATGTGCTTGGCAACAAACCCCATGATGAAAGGCCCGCTAGGCGTGCCCAGCGTGATCATCACAGTCCACCATCCTAGCTTTTGTGCTCGCTTTTCTGGTTCACATAGCTCTGTGATCACGCCACTTCCGATGCCTATTGGCGGCGAGATGAGAATCGAGGTGAGAATCCTCGTCCCCATTTGAGCTCCATATGTTGTGCATCTTGCGCCTCCAATGTTGCATACCATGCTCCCCAGCACGGAAAACAGAAAGACGTGATACCGGCCATAGATCGAAGTGATGGGTTTCCAAACAAAAGGGCACAGTCCTAGAAGCAAGATCTACTGACAGTAGGTGTAAGCACAGGTTTACAAAGCGGATCAAACAACATCAGTGTGCCGAGGTCATACCTGAATAGAAGTGAGATAACTGGCTTCCGGCACAGTGACATTATATTCTTCCGCCATGGTATCATATGCCGGAATGATACCAGCAGCCATGAATGTTGCTGCCATTGAGTGGAAAGCCACCACGAGAATCTGCGCGTTCTTCTTCCATTGCGGCCAGTTGCGAGGGTTGTTTGGAGATTCACAATGCCATGACTCCTGCGGAGCAGACGAAGGTACATCCTCCAAATGAATAGACGTCTCTGAATTGGCCCCCTTCAAATTACCAGAGTCCGACGTCTCTGGCGAAATACCTGAATTTTGTTTTCCCATGTTTGAAAATGCTCGGTTGAAGCCAGAGAATTAAATGCGATAAGAAACAACCGGCAGGAGAAACAAGGCAGCGCCGCGTCGACATTTTATCTCTATCTTGCAGATATCTCCTCGGCTGTGATGACATCTCAAGCATTGGCAGTCTCATCTTCCGAAGTCAAACGTCATATCCTAATTCCGTCCTGCGGTGGGACTGGCTCCCCATGGGGGGAACGGGGCCCTGGGCAGCCCCATACCGCAACAATTGCTAGTTGCATCAAATCTTATTGGATTACACTGAAGTGATATGCACTCTTGGCACTCATATTTGAGAGGAATTGTTTCCGAAAACTCCAGATGTGCCTGTGCTGTACCCGAGGTTATATACGACGACGGCGTCTCCGGGTGGTGTTCCGAAGAGCGTCCCGAAATCCGTCGGATGCCAGTCCGGACACAAAGTTGAGCTTGACTTAAAGACGGGCTTTGTCTAGTTGCGGGTCGAACCAGCGAAGCCGATTGATTGCATCTCAATTTAAGTTCGCGTTCGCCACTGCGGTAGATAACCATGGGTCTCGTTCGGATCGGTTTGCTATCGGATGCAGTACTGTGTCGATGGCAATCTTTCGGAATATCTGGTCTATGGTATTATCTGCAGATCTGGGAAGGAACTCATCAGTTATGGGTGATTCTTTAAATCAAGAGTCCTCCACTGACTTTGGGCAACGGATGGCTCATATCATCCTGCAGACCGCAATTCCTATTCCCTTGGTGCGCCTTTGCTTCTGTCTAGTGTCCAATTCCTTTTGGAAAGAAATATGACGGTTAATTGCTCTAGCTGAGACAGTGTATAGTATCTCCGTCACCATCGTGGGCAGTGGTAAATGGTGCCAAACAAAGCCATTCATCAAGAAAGCAACTACCGACAAAGACATAAAGGCATTTAATTTAAAACAACGCCTTCTCCGCACGAACAGGCTGCATTTAATCTCCCCTCGTCGGGCGAATGCTGGCCGAATAATTCTTCCGTCCATAAAAGCCGCGAGACTGCGCTTCCCCCGCGTTTTCTCCCCAAATCCGGGGCTCCACATCCGACAGCTTCTTGGCAGGAGATTCGCGAAGAGTTCGCGGTGACCTCGTCGCTATTCCTGCTTATCTTCGAATTGCATGATCACTAGTCCTTAATGAAAGGCTTGGTCGCAATCTCGGGGTAACACCAGCCGGCACGATGGAGCCTGCGTAGCCAGAGGCCAGGAGTTATAAGGGAATTGGTCCTCCGCAAGTATGCGCCCTTCGCACACGACTGCTCGCCCGTCGCAAGAAAATTGAATTTGCGAAAGAGGCAGGACCCTTTCATTTGCCATCATGCATCTAGGGTTCTCCCTATCCGCCCTGCCCATCTGGGCAACCCTTGCCTCCGCAGCGCTCAATATCTCCGAAACTGACAGCAAAATCACTCTTGCCAACGATCATCTCACGGCGATCTTTACGAAAGCCAAAGGCCGCGTCGAAGACCTCTTCCTTGACGGCCAGGACCTCCTCGGTCCCCAGTCCGGGTCCAGCGGTGTCGGCCCCTATCTCGACTGCTACTGCACGCCGTCGGGCTTCTACACCGCTGGGTCCACCAACCCGGTGCTTGAGCTCGTCAACGGCACCGACTCCACGGGTACCAAGTACGCGGGCGTGATCCTCAACGACACGTACACGCCTACGGGCCAGCAATTCCAACAGTACTGGTTCCTTCGCGATGGCGAGACCGGCCTGCACATGTTCAGTCGACTGGCGTATTACAACGAGACGACGCCATTCCTGCGCAACCTGCAGGAGTTCCGGACGCTGCTAAGGCCGAACACTAATCTCTGGACGCATTTGACCTCGAGTGAGGTGCAGACTGCTCCGTTGCCGAGTAAGGAGGCGATTAGCAAGCAGGTCGTAGTGCAGGATGCAACCTGGAGGTTTAACAACACTCCCGATGATGAGTATTACTCTCAGTTCTCGGAGTATTTCACGAAGTATACGTTTTCAAATAGTAAGGTTTGGCCTTTCTTTCTCTGTGTTGGTACGGGCTAAAGAATTGGCGCAGAGTGGCGAGACAATGATGTCCATGGTTTATACGCTGATGGCTCAACCTCGGACGGAACGACGTATGGGGCGTGGCTTGTGATGAATACGAAGGTTAGTCGCGCCTGTCCCTTTCAGCGGTATCTACTTTACTAATGCGATATCTTAGGACACATACTACGGCGTCAGTAAGACCACTCCTGTCTTGAAACCCAGAAGCTAACTAGCACAGGGTCCGCTACACTCCGACCTTACCGTCGACGGTATCGTCTACAACTACCTCGTCTCGAACCACCACGGTGAGGGAACCCCCAATATCACGAACGGCTTCGATCGTACCTTCGGTCCGCAATACTACCTTTTCAACGGTGGAAAGGGCTCAGCCTCGATCGACGAGCTGCGATCCGAAGCCAGCGCCCTGGTAGACCCCGACTGGAATGTCGAATTCTACAACTCGATCGCCAAACATGTCATCGGCTATGTGCCCTCCAGCCACCGAGGCAGTGTCCAGGGTCGCGTCAAGCTACCTCGCGGAGCGAAGCGACCGATCGCTATCCTTACGGTCGCCGGGCAGTACTTCCAGGATAACTCGGTGGATGCATCGTCGCACCAATACTGGACGGAGATTGACCAGAACGGGCGATTCGAGATTGATCACGTCGTGGAGGGCAAATACCGACTCACCGTCTACGCCGATGGCATCTTTGGCGACTTCGTCAAGGACGGTCTAAATGTGCGGGCCGGGAAAAAGCTGAAGGTCGACGAGACATGGAAGGAAGAGTCGGCGGGCGTGGAAGTCTGGCGTCTGGGCACGCCAGACAAGTCCTCGGGAGAGTTCCTGCATGGCGTCGCGCGCGATCAATCGCGACCACTCCAACCCCCGGAGTACCTCATCTACTGGGGTGCATATGACTGGCAAGGGGACTTCCCCAGCGGAGTTAACTACACGATCGGCAGCAGCGATCCGGCCACGGATTTCAACACGGTGCATTGGTCTGTGTATGGCCCGACTCCGGACAATGCCGACGTCGAATACAACACGACCCATGACTGGACGATCAACTTTTCTTTGACCCAGAAACAGCTTCGACGACGAAAGACGGCCACGCTGACCATTCAGCTGGCCGGGGCCAAGACGGCGTCCGGGAACACCGACGAGTACAAACCGGACGAACCATACAGCAATCTGGCGCTGGAGAGCTACGTCAACCAGCAGGAGGAGCCACTCACGCTGCTGGTGGGATTCAACCAGTCCAGCAGCTGTATTGTGCGGTCGGCCGTCAGTTGCTACCAGGTGGCGTCCCGGATGGAATTCCCCACGGACTGGCTGCAGGTGGGCGACAATTCCTTGCGACTGCATCTGCCGTATAATGCCACCGACGTGGAGACGGCGATCCTGCCTGGCACGGTGTATGTGCAGTATGATGCGTTGCGACTGGAGCTGTCATAGGTGTTGGTGGCTGGACGGTGACGGACTAGAAAGGGCATAGGGCCGGTGTACTTCGTATCACCTAGATGAGATGAATGATTAGTGATCGCTGGATGACCTGATGACGTTGACGAACCGAGGTCGCTACCCCGGCGTAGTTTGAAGGAGGCTGGCTGGAGTGGTCAAGCAAAGTCCAGACAATCCGATAATCGAGAGCGATGAGATAATCTGTGGCCTGACTGCCTGGGAGCCTGCCTGCCTGGGAGCCTGTCGGCCTGGGCGCTTTCCCGAAAAGGCAACAACCTCGGCTGCCGGCAACGTCCGTAATCGCGGCGCCGTGATTGGCGGGCGCGTTCTGCAAACTCCATGGGGGAATCGCGAGGAGACGCCGGACTGCCGGAGCTTCAAAGTTCAGGCTGTGAATGGCGCAGGTATTTCCCTATTTATATCTCCCCCGCAATTCCTCCCGCTGCCGTTCCCCATGCTTTCCCACCTGCATCGCTAACCCTTCTTCATCATGGCCAAAGTGTTCTCCCGCGACGAGGTGGCCAAGCACACCTCCGATGACTCCATCTGGTGCATCATCGACCACCGCGTCTATGACTTGACCGATTTCCTCGATGCCCATCCCGGCGGCAGCGTCGTGCTGGCCCAGGTGGCCGGCCAAGACGCCACCGCTGCATTCTACAACCTCCACCGCCAGGAAGTCCTCGATAAATACCGCGACGAGCTCTGCGTGGGCACCGTCGCCGGCGAAACCCCCGAAATCACCACCCCCGAGCCCGGCAGTCTCAGCGCCGTCCCTTACGCCGAGCCCCTGTGGCTGCGTCCGCAGTTCAAGAGCCCCTACTACAAGGACAGCCATCGTCGGCTACAGCGTGCCGTGCGCGAGTTCACCGATCGCTATGTCACCCCGGAGGCGCAGGAGAAGGAGAAGGACGGCACCTACATCAGCCAGGAGTTGATTGATCGCATGGCCGAGACGAACATCCTGGCGATGCGTCTGGGTCCCGGAAAACATCTGCATGGTCGCAAGTTACTCGGAGGTGTCGTTGACGGCGAGGAGTTCGATTACCTGCATGACATGATTGTGTCGCAGGAGCTTGTACGAGCGAACGCGCGAGGTTCGTCGCCTGGTCCCCCATATCGCCCTTCAAGTCACCGCGTCGGCTAATGATTGTCTCCAGGCTTCCAGGATGGAAATATGGCCGGAATGGCCATCAGTTTGACGGCTGTGCAGCAATGGCTCCCCAATGCCCCTCTTCGCGAGAAGATCACCGCGGAAGTCCTGTCCGGCAAGAAGAAGATGTGTCTGGCTATCACCGAAGCGTTTGCAGGCAGTGACGTGGCTGGCCTTCGCACCACGGCCGAAAAGACTCCGGATGGCAAGCACTACATTGTGAACGGGACCAAGTATGCATCAATTCCTTTCCACTCCTTCGAGTTGGTCTCTGACAAATTGCAACAGGAAATGGATCACCAATGGCATGTTTGCCGACTACTTCGTCACGGGCTGTCGTACGGAGAAGGGATTCTCGGTACTCCTGATCCCGCGCGACGATAACGTGGAGACCAAGCAGATCAAGACCTCATACTCGACCACCGCAGGCACGGCGTTTGTGCAGTTTGAGAATGTCAAGGTCCCCGTGGAGAATCTGCTAGGCGAGGAGCACAAGGGCTTTATTGTCATCATGAGCAACTTTAACCACGAGCGATTCATGATGGCCAGTGGCGTTATTCGCATGTCAATGACCGCGGTTGAGGAGTGCCTGAAGTGGTGCAACCAGCGTCTGGTCTTTAACAAGAAATTGATCGAGCAGCCGGTCATGCGACAGAAGTATGGTTCTCCCCTTTAGTTTTGCAACTTCTTAAGACAAATGTTAACCATGTGGTCTCACAGGCTCGCTCGGATGATCTCTCTCTGCGAATCGAACCAGGCATGGTTGGAATCCATTGCTTTCCAGATGTGCAACATGACGTATGCCCAGCAGGCCTCGAACTTGGGCGGACCGATTGCTCTGCTCAAATCGCATGCCACTCGATCGGCGCAGGAAATCGCCGATATGGCCACCAACATCTTCGGCGGTCGTGGAATCACCCAGACTGGCATGGGTAAGGTCGTCGAGATGTTCCATCGCACTTACAAGTTCGATGCCATTTTGGGAGGAACCGAGGAAATTCTGGCCGACTTGGGCGTGCGCCAGGCAATGAAGAAATTCCCCAAGGCCATGTTGTAAAGTATTTTTGATTGGGTGTCTTTCTTGATTTCCACCCGTACAAATAGGATACCAAAGTTAGAAATCGATTCATGCTTTTTACATTCTCGCATCACACTTCATGCCCCAATCCAGGTATAGGAGCGTTTCGTCTGTGGAGAGAATACTGGCAAGTTCTGCCGAGTGTTGATTATATCTGCATTGAATCATATCAGAGGACATGGTTTAGGCTGAAGTGTCTATGTCTCTCTATTCAAGATCCCCTTCGATTTCAATCCGATTTTCCTTCTCTTGCACCTTGCTCAGGATCCATACTCGTCTCGATGCGCCGAATGACACGGGCGGGATTCCCGGCGGCGAAATGGAACGGAGGGACGCTCTAAAGTCAGAAATTAGCACAACGCCCACGTGCCTCACTTGCAGAAGGACATTTTCAACATACCCTGGTGACAACCGACCCAGCTCCGATCGTACACCCTCGGCCAATCGTCACGCCGGCGAGGATGATCACACTGCCGCCAATCCACACATCATCCCCAATGTGAATCTCCTTGCCTCCTTCCGGGCCCTCGAGGCCTTTCCGCACCGCCGGGTCCATGGGGTGCGTGGCACCGTAAAGGGAAACATTCGGCCCAAACAGCGTCCGTTCACCGATAGTGATCAGGCAAGTATCCAGGACCAGCATGTTGAAATTCAAAAAGGTGCCCTTGCCGACCTTGAAATTCAATCCATGATCTACAGAGATCGGAGGATCGACGACGGGGTCCGTCTCAGTGAAGAGCTTTTCATCTTCTTTGGGGTCGGGGTGAACTGGTGGAAGGGGGCGCGTGTCGCCGACAATGCTATCCGGGCGTCACTCGTCAATACTCAAGGCGCAGATAGCGATGCAATTGAGATACTACCGCACTTACTCTCGCCATAGCTCAGCCCTCCGGCGTCTTGACACCTGTCCTGCTTCGTTGAATTGCTTGCAGGCCTCTCTGCATCGATCGCGATTGGCTTGAAGGTCCTCATCCCAAGCCCAGTAGAGCTCGCCGTTCAGCATCTTCTGCCATTCCTTGGACGACGTCATGGTGCCTGGTCCTCGGGGGGTTGAACGGGGTAAGTTGAAATGAGCGCCATATGCGTTGGTTTTGCTCTTTATATAGGGCGCATGACGAGGCGAAGTGGGGGAGGGGAAAGGGAGGAGGACTCGAGGGCATCGAAGGACGCGATAAGGGTCCCGGCTGGCTGACCTGCCCGATTGGGAAAGCCACGCCGCCGACACTTCGTCGCGCTCCAATTTTCTTCTCTTGTCATAGCTTGAGTTCTACATTTCTACGGAGTATGATGTAGTATGATGGGTCGAGTCGGTCGCACTTTTTCACATGTTCCCATGGATTCATCGGTATACAGTCGTCGTCCTGGCATTCATTGACTAGTACACGCAACCCACATATCCATTCAACACCAGGTCAATTCGATGCTCCTAGATATGTGTCTCCAGCCAATCTCTTCACCTCACCAACCTCGAAGTCTCGATGTACCTGAATGCTACCAACAGGAAATATCAGTCGCTACCTTGAGCGGCTCGCTCGAGCTACTTCCGATCACTCCTCCTAAGAATTTCAGCCGGGTCTTATTTTCTCCTTTCGGTTGGAAATTAAGCAAGATGGAACCAAATGGTTTGTTGAATGGCAGGTTCATCCGGGTCCTAGTAGCCTATCTCGTTATGTCTTGGTTGAATTAGCCTTGACTTCGCCTGGCAGTGGATTTCGGTCGTCGTCCGCTCATAACCCCCTGCATGATCGGATACTTGCCATCTATCAACATATTGGTCTTGTTTTGGTTGCCAACGGATTTCAGTGAGGGTTTGCTTTTGCTTCCTGGGTGCAATCAATCAGGGATCACGGACATGAAGCCGTTGTAGTCGCCAGTCTACTTGCTTTGTTATATCAGATACGGAGCGTGAAACGCATGCAGCCTCAGAAAGTGCAGTCCTTGACTGGTTCAAGAAAGCTCGTCAGAAAAATACTTTCAATGGTCAAAAAGACCGACACAAAATCGGAAGGGTAAAACTGCTAGCTATTTTGTATCTGGTTCTGTCTTGACCCTGTCAGCGGGTCTCATTAGAGTCATCATTGTACATTAAATTCCTGCTTCTTCAGAAGTCATGGTTAGCAAGATTGCAGATAGAAGCTCCGCGAGCAGCGCTAAGTCCGCAGTTGATTTCGTAGCTGATAGATTGGGTATTTTGCATGGTGAGTACGCGTTCTGCTTCGACTGTTCATGACGATTCGATGCAGTACTCCATCGCCGTCGGCTTTAACCCTTGACTAGCAAGTCGACCCTCTAGGTTTTGGTTTCTCATCGTCACTCAACCAAAGCCTGTACACCAAGGGGATTCTTTGCCGGTATGTCTGTTCATTCACGAATGAAAACTTTGAGAAAACAGCGCCTTGGAGGGCATCGGGCACGTGATGTGTTTTTATACAGCCGATGAAGGCAGACAGCCCACTTCACCATGTCGGTGAAACGGCTTGTCTTTGGGCACTTTCGATTAAGGTGTCCAGGGTCTCTGGGTCACAAAAAACGTGTTTCGCATGGCACATATTTGACCATTCAACCAGCAACCTCTTGCTAAGCAGAACTGGTATATATGCTGAATAGACGATAGCTATTGGCCTCTTAGAGGAGCTGTTTTCATATGATGAGATAGTCATGTTGTCGCGCCAATTCAGGCGAATGAGTCTGTATTATATCAGCACGTCCGATCAGGGACCGCAGAACATGGTAAAAGAACTAACGAATTCCATCCAAGATATGTTTCTCTCATCATCAGGAGATTGGATCGCTCGAGCATCCCACACCTTTCTGAGCAGGTCCATTGGGACCGGGTTTCGGAACTCAGATCGCCTTTCAATTTCGTTTAGCCGACTCATCACATAATACTGTGAATGAGGCACGAGAGTATCGGCACCAGCCATGAAAAGAGGCATGATCAAAAGCTCTATGATCGAGCAATCGGCGGGAACTTTGGCTGTAGCATCCAAAATCTTTGTCACGCAATCCTGTATCTCGGGAGCGCTAGCCGGTTGATACGGATCCAGCAGTCGAAGGATCCGCAATATACATGCAAACCGAAATACTTCCGCCACCGTAGGCCAGCGGGGATCAGCAGTGGGGACCGCAAAGCTCTTTTGGTCCCAAGAATATAGTTTATGCTTTGCCAGAAGCAAAGCGATTTGGAACTCATCCCAGGTGAGCCACCCTAGCGTGTACTCCTTGGCTTTCTCAAGAACACCCCCGATAATCAGGAAGATATCCCTGGGGCATCCATTCACCAACTCGAATTTCCGGTCGCTAGCAAATGCCACCATTTCTCGAATGTCTTGAGAAAAGCATAATCGCTCGGCACCGGCAAAGGCCCGTATGATATCAAGCCTGTTAGTCGTCAGCTAATTTAACACATTCAACGGTTTTGCGCAGCAAGTACCAAGCAAGGTTCCCCAAGAAGAAAACCGCCCGTTGGCGATTTCCACTCAGCCCGTCGGCAATCAACAACCTCTTGCAGACGGACATAGCCCCTGTAATATGAATTCCGTGAGTGGACACCCCGGTTTCCGAAATCTATGAGGTGTAAGCCTTGGTGCCAGATGCCGATAGCATGTATTCCTTACATCATGAAGCAGCAGGATCTGGATTATAGCAAGCACGGCATCCTGTTCAACCTCCAACAGGGTTTCGCTTTGACTCCGCCGGATCTCCTTACTTAACGCACGGATGGCTCTTAGGCGATACTCGACGGCGGTAGTGTCATGGAGCGTGGCATTGTCAGTCAACTTCCCGAGATGCGATGCAGACAGGCCTAGCACGGCGTACAACAATCCAATTTGCTGTCGCGCCAGTGGGAGAATGTAAGATCGGTAGGGGTTATCCATGTCATCCCCAATTTCGGAGATCTGATGCGGACAAATAAAGCTGTCATCTGCGCAGCCACGTTATTCTTTCCGTTCAGCGCATTCCAGGGGAAACACGCTTGCCTACAGTGTGAGAGAAGGGTCTCGGTCTCGGCCAGACCCAGGATGCGAACAATTTCATCCGACGGATTCTCCGGACTCTCGATGGGTTTCACTAAGGTCGGACTCGCCTGCGTTAACTCCGCAGACTTGGGGGTGTCCGCCGACAGCAACTCCGTGGTTGGTGAATCCTGAGCCGGCTGGCGAGCCACTCGGCTCGAGCTTGCCCTCGCTGATCGACCTCCTACCGGAAGCTGGGCGCCTTTCCATTTCCCACGGCTGGCGATGCCACAAAATCGGAACTGTTCGGGGTATCCTCCACAGTCTAAGCCTTTAGTAATGCAGCGATTGCACGCCGGACGAGCGCGGTCGCATTTGCGACATTTTTCTCGGCAAGTCAGACATGCGGGACCTACATGGAGGGTCAGAAATTCGGCATCTCAAGCAGAAGTCATTCAAATCCAGACTGATCCATGTTACATACCCAGACGTGGCATGCTGCCGGGTGACAACGCAGGAACAACGTGGCGGAAGGTCTTCCACGAAACGAAGATTCGGCGGGCGTGTTTACCCCAACCGGTAGCCATCAGCACGGGGCAGGCTAGGCTTAATGCGGCAGGTCTGTCACGGGCAGGTCACGGGCAGGGCGACGGAGTATACCATTTTACTACCAATCTTTAGTCCTCATGATCGAATTGGGGTGCATGATTTTATTATTGGAATCAGTTTCCTGCAAAACACATAGTGCTTCCAGGACTTCACGTTCAACCCAGTTCAGCAGCAGTCTCGACTCCGTAGAAAGTGGCGCCCCATGGTGACAGTCCAGTGGAGATTCCCCGGTCACCTGCTGTCGGCGCTTCCTTTTCGGGAATGCCGACACTGACAGGAGTCCATTCATGCTTTCAGTTCTATGGAGTACAGTTACCTCCTCTCCCTTGGTCGATAGAGTTATTGGCTGTTGAATCCCAAAGACCTCGCAATCGAACGAACCACAGTACAACCATACATTTCCGTGATTTCCGGTCAATTACTCTGACCCTATGTCATGTTGACTCATCAGAAGATGCCTTCCCCCGACGAAGGGGATGCCCTCATAACTTCAACGATAACCATCTCAATCTCCCAATTATGCATGCTGTCATGAATCGTGAAACCTCAACTCCTACTTCGATCGAAAATTTATCTGGCACTATCCCAACAACCTCAGTCATTGGGATGGACTCGGAGGTCCAAGACCGCCTTGCTTCACTTGAAGCCCAGGTGATACGACTTAATGCCACCGTTGCCTGTCACGAACAACAGGTTCGAGCCGCGAGACTTGCTACCTTGAACCAATGGTGCTCCATTCTAAACAACAAAACAAGCAATTCGGGTTATACAATGCCACCACAAGACCGCGGCGATATACTCAACGATGTCGCCATTATTCGAGCCATGTCAACCTTCATGCCCGACAAGGCTTCAAGCTGGAAGAAAGTATTCGAGAAAACCTACGGTATCACTTTTGAAACCGCCAGCTCCGATGATCTACTCCTGATGGCAAGTCTTCGGGTAATCACCGTATTCAACATTGCAGCTGAGGTCCAAGTTGGTCAGAAGTGGCGGACGTCGGATAGCAGCATAGCTACGGGACGCGTGAGATCACTTTGCATGACTATCATTGACGAATGGCTGGTACACCCGGAGAGTCTGTTAGAACCTGGATCAAAGAATGAGAAGGCTTACAACGAGCTGCTGGAGCGGTATAATTTTCCTTCTAACCTCTAAACCTCCCTTTTGGATCTTTACAATCTAAGATCTTCGATTTCCTCATTTCATCAGTGGCTTTGTGATTCGATGAAATCGCCTTGCTAGAAACGATCTATCGATCAACGAATCCGTTTAAGGGTTCCATTGATTCCATGTTAGTTACACTACCATTATTGCTTTCCACTCCTTCCAATGTTACCAATTTTCTGTTTCCATTTGATCTTCCCCCACTATATACTAATCGGCAATATCCCACTGCCTGGCATCTAAGACAATGTCGTGCTCCTAATGATCCTTGCTCGACCACGGCTTCACAGCCTCCAGAAGGTCAAGATGCACTTGGGCATTGCCACTTCTCTTAAGCGCCTCGTCGAGAAAGTCTGGACCGATTCTCGCGAGGAACAAGAGGACACTGGCCCACACGAAGTCCGCATAGCCAACAATTTCCCCTTCAAAAAAGGGGCCTTTGTTCTCACTCAGCAGGGCAGTGATCTCCTGAATCACCGAGGTAGTCTCGTTCCATCCCCGTTCTCCCCCAAGCTCCTTCTCAACCCGGTCCAGTGGCATATTGAACATACGTTCACGGGTGGTATACCAGTAGTCGATGCTTGCGTCGTTGAGCAAACGCTTCGGTATTTCAGGAATGAAAACGGGACGGAGCGCGCCCATATATTGACTCCAGAGATCCTCAACCTTGAGAAGATACAGCGAGTCGAGGCGTAGTGTTGGTTGGGGATGGGCTTCTTCAAGGTAGTCCGTGATTTTCCGCGAGTCCATTAGATACTTTCCATCTGGGAGAGCGATTGTGGGGATAGTATAGGTGCCCCCAGCATCCGGGGAGACACTGCACAAGTTAGACCCCAATCCAATAAAACCTAGGATAACCTACTGGCTCTCAAGGGTCGGTTTGATATCGGGATATTCAACCTGTCGGGCCCAATCAGCGGGAGGTCCAGGTCTCATGAGACGGATGCCTTGAAGCTTACCCATTCGGTCCGATAATCAAGACCTTTGAAGTTCAGGACAAGGCGAGCTGTACCCAAGCTGATCAGATTGAAATCAACTAATGTTGCAATCCACATGGATCTGCCAACCTACTCTTCCACGGGTTTGGTGTCCAGGTAACGAGCGGGTCCTTGGATGGCAGATCAAAGAGGACGATCTGTGTGGACGCCATGGTAGAGCCTCTTAGGTATAATAGGGGTGCTTTCAGATGGTACCGAGGATTCTCGCAGGTGTCTAAATCACGGTGGACTGGGTTCTGACAAGACTATAATACCAATACTGGTAAACGAGTCGTAGGCATTTGGAGACGTTCGGAAATATATAACTGGTATAGATGGTCTCCACTGGCCCGGGACGATTAATAATGCATTTGGAGTCGACAAAGTCTCCGAGTGAAGATCTTCGGTGCTTGAAACAGCACTAGAGACGTTGCGGGTGATTTGATTATCAAGACGCTAGAATGCAGACGAGGCCATCCAAGAGCAGGACAAGATTCCTTCCTGGTGGTCCAGTCCATATAGTTACCTGTGTCCCGAACAGGAATAGTTCGAATCCTGGCCAGCGATGACTAAGCCGATAAGCGGGTCGTCGTCGCCGTCGCTGCCTGCGGGACTCCAGAGCCTCCTTCAACCACCTCGACTCCCAGCGTTGACTCTTCAACTTTCACGACTCCAAGTCCATCAAGATGGCTGCAAACGCTGACGTTCTTCGTCCCGACAACGTGCTGGCACTTGCGGGGAGCGCTCTGCGAGGAGACGGCACCACGGAGTCTGGACTGAAATCGCCTGCCGAGGCCGTTGCTCTGATCGGCCATGCCTCTATGGTCGCCGTCGGCTTCAGACTGGTGGGGCTGGGAGAAGAGCACAGAATATGTCGGTGATATCTTTCTCCCGCTCGTCGTTTGGACTTTGGCTAATCTACCTTCGTTTCAACAGCTAGCTCCTCGGACACCCCCTCTTTGCCATCGGAATGGAACGCGAACGATACGTTAGCCTTTCGATACTCTCATCCACAATCCTCGATGCAATACCTACTCAAAGTCAACCGACTTGGAAACAACGCTGTCATCCTAGCGCTGGCCCTCGGGGATGATCGAACCACGTCGTTCGATGTCGCCGCCAAAGATTTCATTTCCCCGTCCTCCCTCCCGCTCACGTCGGGCGCCGATTTCACCCCCGATCGTCTGAGCGACGTGTTCATCTCGCCCTCTCGTCTGACCGATCTGATCTCCTTGTTCAAAATCAACGTAATTCAGAAACTTGCGCCCGGAGTGTACAAGGAAGGGTACGAAGCTTCCAGCCAAGCCGCACAAGAACCGCGCGGAGAACGGCCAGCGCCGCGCAATCCCTTGGCAGATGACCCGCTGCCGCAGCCTGCTCGGCCGTATCCTTTCGATGACCCCTTAGCCGCTGCTCCGCGTCGACCGGTTCCCCCCGGTGACTTCGCTCCGCCCGGCTTCGAGGACGAGTTCGAGATCCAGCGACCTCCGCGAGGCTACCACCCCGGATTCGGCGGCAGGAATCCCTTGAGCATCGGCGATCGGGATCTATACCCTCCTGGACTCGGTCCTCACGATCCTCTGCGGGGTGGCGTTGGTCCAGGATTGGGTGGCGGAGGCGGTGGTGGGATGCATCCTACCTTTGACGATCCCCTGTTTGGCGGGGGTGGTCGAAGCGGAGGATACGATCCGCAAGCACCTCCGGGAGCACGATACGATCCGGTTGGCCCCGGAGGACCACCGTTTGGACAAGGGCGCGGGCCTTTTGGCGGACGCGGCGGCGGAGGATTTGGCGGATTTGGCGGTGACATCATTTAGGCGCGCGGTTAGGGAAATTGCGGATGGAGAAGTGGGAGGGGCAGTCTTTGCACGCCCGGAAATGATGATGTCTGTGTACGACTTATGACCCGTAAACTACGACAATAGTGATGAGAATTTACGCCCAATGAATGTACTGCAAATGAAGATGACCTCGAGTAAAGCTGAATCTGAAGGATGGCGGGGCTGCCAGGTGAAACTTGCGGGCGAATTCCTGGAGAACCGGTGTGGCTGGGCGGTGTGGCGCACGGCAGCCCAAGGCGGCCAAAGCTACTCATCCCCTTCACAACCCAACACTCGCTCTTCCCTCTCGCCTTCCCCATCGCTCTTATCCTTCCCCCCTCCCCCCCCAATCTTCTCCATCGCTTTTCTCCCAACTCCAGTCCTCGGGTTGTCGTCCCTGTGACCCGATTGTCTGGTCCCTTCTTCAATTCTGAATTTTCCACCAACCCCTCCCCCTTTCTGCGCGCGTAGGTGGTGTGTGGATCATTGTTCTCACCCCGAAAAAGATCAAAGCCCTGCCTCACGAGACCATCTCTGTCCAACTTTTACGCCTCTCCTCGGCTGCTATTTCGGCATCTCCTACTGTCCCTTGAATCATTCCCCGTGCTTGCTGCAATGGATAACAACATGGAGATCGATGCGGCGCGGTCGCCCGAACCCCACCATCTGTCGCCCACTACCGACCCGGGCTCGATACCGACACTGGACGGATGGATCGAGAACCTCATGAGCTGCAAGCAACTGGCGGAGGAAGATGTGCGAAGACTGTGTGACCGAGTGCGTGTGAACCTCCACTTATCATAGTAAATTTGAAAATCACGATGGCATATGGTTCTGACGATGGATTTTTTTGTTGGAACTGGACAGGCACGGGAAGTGTTGCAGGAAGAATCGAACGTGCAGCCCGTTGTAAGTTTTTTTTCCCTCGGTCGGGGCGTGTTGTTCCAAACGGACCCCAACCACATCGTCGAGACCGCCGCGACCGATCGAGGTGCTGACCGACCATGGTAGAAATGCCCGGTCACTGTGTGCGGTGATATACACGGTCAATTCCATGACCTGATGGAGCTTTTCCGCATCGGCGGCCCGAATCCTGACACCAACTACCTGTTCATGGGTGAGATCCCCTCGTCTCTTGTTGCTTGCGTCGGCTAGTTGGGAGATCTGCCGCTCACCGCTGCCCGGCTCCTTGTTTCCAGGTGACTACGTCGATCGGGGTTACTACTCCGTCGAGACCGTGACGCTTCTTGTCAGCCTCAAGATCCGGTACCCCCAGCGGATTACGATTCTCCGAGGAAACCACGAGTCCCGCCAGATCACGCAAGTGTACGGCTTCTACGACGAGTGCCTGCGCAAATATGGCAACGCCAACGTGTGGAAATATTTCACCGACCTTTTCGACTACCTCCCCCTCACCGCACTCATTGAGAACCAGATCTTCTGTCTTCACGGCGGTCTGAGTCCGTCGATCGACACGCTCGATAACATCCGGTCGCTGGACCGAATCCAGGAGGTCCCCCACGAGGGACCCATGTGTGACTTGTTGTGGAGTGATCCCGACGACCGATGCGGCTGGGGCATTTCCCCCCGTGGTGCTGGATACACATTCGGGCAGGATATCTCGGAGGCATTTAATCACAACAACGGCTTGACTCTGGTGGCACGAGCGCATCAACTGGTGATGGAGGGATACAATTGGTCGCAGGATCGGAACGTGGTGACTATTTTCTCCGGTATGATTCCTTTGACTGGTCGACTTGGTTTGCCGGTGCTAACCCCCTCGTCCAGCTCCGAACTACTGCTACCGGTGCGGTAACCAGGCCGCCATTATGGAAATTGATGAGCATCTGAAGTATACGTTGTATGTTTGGCCGCGGTCCTGGTGCTGGTCGCGGACGTGCCGATTGCTGACGTGTGATCTCTCTCCAGCTTACAGTTTGATCCCTGCCCGCGCGCAGGAGAACCGATGGTGTCGAGGCGCACGCCCGACTATTTCCTTTGATCCGATCGTGATAGACTATTCATTTTTCCCGCACCAATCTTTCACTCACCTCCGGCAAGATGAGGCTTCGACCCTTCGAAAGGGCACCAGGGATTTGGAACCACCCGCATACAGGCAGGCGAAGTGCCCAAATAATTGTATGTCCGTAATTCTGGCCGTGTTGATACCATCCATGAAAATAAAAAGACGTTCGCAAGATTTTTTTTTCTCCTACTGCATGTCGATCCGATTGTATCATCGGTTGAGTTGTCATGCCATCCCAGTAGTCCGACGTATGACCTCATCGATGCCCATCCCGGGGAGCTGCCCAGCCACATTGGGCCATCATGCCATCTGACTGCCCGAGGGTCTTTCGTCCGGAGATCCTGCCCGGACTGGAGTCGTAGTCTGGGGATCCCGGCTGCTGGACAGGGAGCACGCACCAACTGTTCTGTTCGGCTCTCGTTCTTCTCGGTGCATCCGGCCCCGGTGCACGTGACCTTATGAAGTACAAAGTAAACAAGTTGACATGCACTGCAGGCCATATTCTGACCAGATATTGACAATTCATCACCTACACTTTCCTGCAGATCATGGATACCATGGCAGATATCTGACACAACACAGTCGCCCACAAAGAATCCATTCAACGATACCACAACTAACGAACTAGAGCAGCAACAACAGCACCCCCTGCCAACACACCCCCAAACAAAGCATAACAAGCAAAACAAGCAAAGCAACTCCAACACTATAACACTCTAAACCGGAACCTCCAACACCCCCTCATAGTTGCACCGCTCCGTCACCCCAGGGTTCTCAGTAGGTCCACACTTCCACTTCGACCCCTCGACCTCGTCATTCAGCGCAAATCGGGCCTTGACAGGGATAGGGCCGTCAACACGCTCCAGCTCAATGCTCCACTGACTGATGTCTGCACCTCCGTCGGGAAAGCGGATGTAGTAGTTGCCGCCGATGCAGCGGGCGTTCTCGTCGGGAGATTTGCCGAAGCCCCTGCGTGTCGAAATCTCGTTAGTATCGTTGCTGTACTCGATGCCTCGAGGCTTCGAGGCTAGTATGGAAGGAATACGCACCAGATCACGTTGCAGTCAGTCGGGGTGTCGTCGGGGTAGTTGGGATCCGTCAGGACCATGTGCATGTTCGTGGTGCCGCTGGCGCGGGAGGCGTTGGCCCAGAAGTCGGTGATTTTGAGCGCGCTGGCGCGTTTGGCGGCGGTGGTTGGGGCCGCGATGGCAGAGCCGGCGGCCAGGAGGAGAGCAAGGGCGGAGAATTTCATGGTGATGGTGGTTGATGGACTTGGAGTTTGCAAGAGAAAGAAAGGGTGTGAGAATGAAGTTGGATTGTGCTTTGGGATGGAGTGGATGCGATTGCTAGATTTCTAGATGGAATAGATCAATTGACCGGCACCATCCTCATATTTATACCTTTCGAGACGTCCCTAATCCTCTCTGTGTGTCTCTGCATCTCCCTCCATGATCCATAAATAACCTCATCCCCAAAAGGATGAGACACGTTCCAGCACCAGTCCACGACAACGACAAACAACATGCCACAGCATCATCTCGCCAGCTGAACCCATCCAACGAACCACCAAAACATCCCTCGAAGACCGCTGAGTCAGAAAGGAGAGACTGACAGCTCCAAGACAGTGGAGAAACCGCCGTCGATCATGTTCCTGGAAGGGTAAATAAGCAACAGGCCGGCTCGTATCTCGTCGGCGTGCATTGGGTGGCTGACTTGGGCTATGCGCTTGGCTCAGCCCGGCTGACAGGCATGTTCATTCGGACCTGGGGAGGCCTGATGAGGGTTTGGATGTTGAGGCGGCGTGATATTGGTTGGGTTGCACAGTCTGGCCGCATGAAGCAAGGTTGGTTACACGGCGAAGATCCCCCGGTGCCAGGAGCTAAGAATAGGTAGATTTGGGTTCGCTAAGGCGTCCTGCAACCCGGCATGAGACGGTAGCTGGCCGTGGATCGGATCAAATGGGTTTAATTCAGTGATTGAGAGTCTGATGGTTCGTGAGACATGCTGCATCGTATTCTGACTTGTGGTTTTCATGTTGTGCGAGTCCAATGAGACGATTGGGACACCAATGCAAATACATGCTTAGAACAAGACATCAATTCATAATCTCCACAATCTTATATACAGTATTCTGGCTCACTGGCTTATCCAACCAAGACCTCAAATCCTCAGCCCCTTCGCCTTCCGGGCCAGAAGCTCCTCGACCTCATCCTTGTGCTTGGAGAAATTATCCACCAGGCTATCCCACATCTTCGGCTCGTGCTCATGTCGCTTGTCGCTGGTCCAGGCATAATCGGTTATGGTGAACGGGCGACTCGACTCGAACATGAAGGCGATCGAAGCCTCGGAGATGCGCGCGACCGGCGGCGGGTTCTCCGATGCAGCCTTGAATTCCTCGTAAGCGACGCCGTGGGGGACCACTTTTCTGCGTTAGCTTCTTTTGTCCTTGATTTTATACCTGGGTGGAGAGGAAACTTACTGCCGCATTCGAAGGAGATACTTCCCGGCTTGAAGGCATCCGATCGTCCGCCGTAGTCGCCGTAGATGAGACCCATCAGTTCAGAGGCTACGTTGCGGTGGTAGTAAGGAGGTCGATAGGTGTCTGATAGGATATTAGTGGTGGGACACATAAGAAATTCCTAGAAAGAAGACATACGCGATGCAACATCCCATCTGGGAGAGAAAATGAGCAGGTCCGCCAGGGGCGCCGTCAGATCCCGGGATTTGGCCGTGAGCACGCAGAAAATGGACGGGTCGATGTGGTCGACGGAGATGGAGCCGACGTTGACAAACTTGGTCAAGTCATATTTATAGGGGACCTGATCGGTCAGTTACGTGTGGGTGATGTAGAAAACCAGGACACTTACGTAGTTGCCATGCCAGGCGACGACATCAAAGGGACTGTGGTTCTGCGTGCTCTTGAAGAACTTTCCTCCCAGCTTATATAGGATCTCCCACGGCTCCTGAGCAATCTCGTATTGGGCAACGGGCGACAGGAAGTCTCGAGGATTAGCGAGCCCGTTGGCCCCGAGAGGTCCCAGTTCCGGCAGCTCGTAGTGCGTGCCCCAGACTTCGAGGATATATCCCCGCGAAGGCCCGTCCGGTAGTTCGACGCGGAAACGCAGGCCTCGCTGGATGACGACAAGCTCACCTGGCTGGACAAACAGCGGTCCGAACTCCGTCTGGATGTCTAGCGCACCTTGCTGGGGAACAATCAGGAATTCACCATCCGAATTCACGAAAGCCTTTTTGGTCATGCTGGTATTCGCAGTATACACATGAGTGGCTAAGCCCTCACGGAGAGTCGGGTCTCCGGAGCCTGCGACCGTCTTCAACCCCGAGACAAAATCCACTTCTTCCCCGCGAGGGATGTCAAAGGGATGCCAGGCCAGTTGGGTGGGTGATACATGAACTCGGGGGTTGAGCGGCAAGAAATTCGACTCGGTATCTTTGTTGTCGGGGAGATCCGTCTGAGGTATTGATTAGCTCGGATCTCTAAAATCCACGGGGTTTCTGCGTACAAATCCCTGGTGAGCCACAGCGGGGCGAGCACGATACAACCAAGCCTTTTTGTTGGCATGGCGCGGTGCTACAAAAGCCGTGGCGGTGAGTTGCTCTGCATATAGTCCGAATCGAACGTGGCGAGGGCTATTCTGGCCATGAGGAATGGTTCCCGGCACTGCCTCGGACATAAACCTGTTCAGATGGGGTCAGCTGGTGGGTTCGCTGCATACTCCGCACGGTGTAGAGCGACATACGAGTTTCCGAAGCCCGATTGATACTAGTGATCATTAGCAAGTGACCCGAGCACATCCGATGAGCAAGACCTACCTCATAGGGGTCATTTCGCCGGGTGTTAAAAGAAGGGATGGCACCATCCTTCTGGGTTTCCGCCCAGTGGAAGATTTTCTGATATTCCTGGGGGTCGGACAGGGTACTGGTAGAGGCCGCCATGTTGTATAGATCGCACTAGTCGATAGATCCCCGACAACAACGAACACAAATCAATGATGAACAGTCAGAAGTCGGTCGCACGGTCGGGGGAAAGGGCAGCCTCATATACCCCAATGGTTTGAGCCAATGTGGGGGAGCAATATCCCTTGCGTGCCTTTATAGCCGTGACATATTATTGAGACAGGGATTCGGGAGAGGCCAAGGCAACGGCGCAAACACAGTGTCAGGGCGTTAGGGAGGCTGTCGCAACGGTCTGCCATACAAATCGGCATGTCGCAGCGCCGTCGCGTTGCCGAGTCGCAGCGATCGCAAGTGGAGCCTCATGGGGTCCCCACATGAGTCAGGGCTGATTCACCGTGGGGTGGTCGGGAAGCGATGGAAGAGAATTGCCGACTGTTTGATTCTGGAGGTACCTTTGTAGATTCGAAGGGAGTCAGGAAGTAAGGAAGAAGAGAAGAGAAGTTGGGCGTCTTCGAGAACTGAGCCGAGGGGTTTGTTGTGTTTGTTTGTCCTGCCCGTGACCTCCACTAGTCACTAGCAGTTATTAGTTCCCTACGCAGTAGTTAACTAGTTCCCCATGGTAGTCACTCTAGCTTCAACCATGTCGCCCCGACGCATGGCAGCAGCCAACACCAGACTAGAACAAATCCCCTGCGGCCAGAAAGTGAGGGAGATGCAATCATCACGCGATGGAAGGCGTCCTCCGTGATCCGAGAATGATGATGCCACCCATCCTCTCGTCGGTCCTCATTTCCGTCAAAGTATATACTTCCATCCAGGATGGCTCATGGATCATGGATTATATCAATAAGAAGCTTGTCCGACTTGTCCGTTGGCCATCTCAAACTGCTTCATCGCATTGATCAAGGACAATCTGCCAATCATGGGCAAAACACCGTCCCTCCTCCACAAAATCAAATCCAACATCCCTCTCTTTAATAAATCCGACATCCTCGTCTACGAAGGCATCCCCCCCGACGTCGGCGTGCCTACTGCTGCGACGCTCGCCGAGGATGCAGTCATCAGTGCCCTAGACTGCCGTATCAACTACAACTCCGCATCCAAAGAACTCGCCCTCACAGCCTGCGAGCCAGTCCACAACCTGCACCACACCTGGATCAAGCGCGAAATCGGCCGATGCTTGCTATCTGGCTTCCTCGTCGTCAACGAATGGAACGCCATCGACTCCACAGCCAAGAAAAGTGAGAGCCACGTACCCAATCCGACAGTTACTGATCGTGCTATCTTGCCAGGTTTCAACACCTTCGTGGCCCCGTACCAGTCTTCGTGGAGACAGCCCGAATTCTACCTGAAGCCGCGGCACCGAGTCTTGCCAACTCTTGTCGTGGAGAGCGGCTGGGCGGAGTCCTACGCCAGCCTCGTTCGGGACAAGGACCTCTGGTTGATCGGTGGCTGGCCGCATGTCAACGTCGTGTTCGTCATCCAGTGGTCCAGGTCGCCGCGGAATCGCGTCCGAGGACGATTGGAAGTATACAGGAGGCAGAGCGGATTGGTGCAAGTAGAGGTACTGCCCCAGCTCTTCAACCCTCAGTCCACCAGTCACCATTATCGTAAATGCTATTCATCCAAGTGCAGAATCGTATTAATACCGTGGTAGTCGATCTTTCCCGAGCCTGGCCCGGGAGCTGTCCCGCAGATGGTTCGACTAACGAGGAACGAGCTATTCGACAATGAGCATCTTCCATACCGCGATACGCGGGAGATAGTTTTCTCGGTGGATCGGCTGCGCGAGGCTGCGAGAAACGCTTTCCAGGACTATGGATACATTCCTGCTTAGTTGGACTGCATTCGGGTGTAGAGGGAATCTCTAATTGATGACCTACAAGTAATAGCTTAAGCCTAAAAGTTTAAACCAATATCTGTGTTGGGGACAGCCAGGTCGGATCCTAATTAAGCAAACTGATCTTGCCTGCCGTCAAGGCGAATATGATGGGCATGTATACTCCCATTCCAGCCTCTTTGAGAGCCCGGACATGCTCCAACCGTCTTCGGTTCGCAACTTGCCTCTCGTCAATCTCCTTGCATTCTCCGAACGGTCCGAAAGCGAATCTACGTCCCGGCGACCACGGAGCATCCCCGTTCACGAAGCGTATCCAGCGGTTTCTCATCTCTTGACCAACATGCTCTGCAGCAGGATTAAACGAAAGGTCCACTCCGGCAAACAAGAGAAGAAGGTCGACTGCGTGATGAGAACGGCTAGATGCCTGCCACGGATTCGGCTGATCGATCACGTATTTGTAGACCTGCCTGTTAGCGGCTTGCAGCTTTTCCGACACCGTTTCCACGGGCAGAGCGTATCGGACGTCGTTGACTAGGTCTAACGCCCCTAGCTTACAGGCTGTCGGGCGATCAGCAACAACGTTGTACATTTTGCGCAGCTGCGGGCCCCATTGAGGGTCCTGCTCGAATGCAGTGGCGATGGTTGGTCCGTCGAGAGTTTCGATACCATTTCTCCAGATCACCGACTAGAAGTTATCAAACATTAGTTTGTCTTGCATACTGCTTCAAGACAGGATTCTCACCTCATATTCCGTATCTCCTATCATTATTTCCTCGACCTGCTCCGGTTTGATCTGCCAATTCTGAAGTTCAGGCTCTTCTTGGATCCACATTGTATTGACGTTGCAGTCATTCAAGGCCTGTATGATTGTCGAGACAGAGGCTTCCCTCAGCGACTTTTCGCCCAGTTCTTTTACCTTACCCTCCAAAGTCTTGATGAGCCCATCCCCCCTCTCAACCGGCAAGGGCGAGGAAAGATACAGAGATCCCGAGGCAAGGACCGCTCGTTTCACAGAAACCCCGGTAGTCAAATGCGCATGCACGTAGACAGCTCCGGCACTTTCGCCCGCCAAAGTGATATTGCTCTTGTCTTCTATCAGCATAGTTTGCATGTCTCTAGCCTGTGGTACTCACCGGATCACCTCCAAATGCCATGATATTCTTTCGCACCCAGTCGATTCCTAGTCGCTGGTCTTTGAGCGCGAGATTCTTCTCTTTGCCGTCACCGAAGCTGAAGATGTTGACTCTGTAATTGATAGAGACGAAGACAAGGGGTTTTCCTGCTTTTATGGAGTCTGCGACGATTTTGGTTGGGTCTGGCGGCGGGAACAGTCAGTTATCGTGACAGAATTGCATGAAATCACTAGTATATTATGCACCACAACGCAGTGGAAAAGACCGGATTGACTCACCACAAATTCCAGAAGCAGCAGAGCAAAACGTCACTACTTGCGAGCCACCTAGAAATCCTGTCAGGGATTTGCTATGTACACGAATTCCGGGAAGTGCGTACCGTGAATCCAGATCAAGACAGGAAGAGGGCCACTTCTCGACCCAGCAGGCGGACAAGTGATCTCCAAGTTTAAGCAATCAAACTCATCTTCTGGCTCCTTTGGGATTTCGAAGTCTTCAGGAATGCGCAGTAGATGGCGCACATCCACGTCCACTTGCGGACATCTCGGGCTATCGGGGCTGGGAATCAGCATCCTGGATAATCGAGCCATAGATGAAACAAAACTCTGTACGGAAGATCGATGAAGACTATATAAACTCACCCAAACTTCGTCGCATCGACCACTTCCCCATCAAACCCATCCACGGGAGTTGCACGCTCGAAGCGTCCCGGAATCCTCGCATACTTGATTCCTCGATACTGGTTCACAGAAACACCGTTCGATGGCTTCTCAATCCCTTTCCATGTGACACTGAGGACTGGATGATGCACTTGGGGCAATGAAGTCGTCATGGTTGCTCAAATGTTGATGGCAGGAGAGTGTGGGGGATGAGACGCGCAAGACCGAGACCGAGACCAGGACCAAGAAATACCTCGACCAGACCCATGTCGTGCCATGGCATACCTCGGGTCATTAGTATTATTTGGCGCATCGCTCTCCTCCTGACCGGCTTCTGGGCCATTCGACGATTCCCGAGAAATAAGAAGCGACGGAAGATCGTCTCGAGTGGAGGAGACGAAGAGTGGGGCGTGCGGGGGGCGTTGGTTGTCTTGGGCTTTCCTGTCGGCTGTCGTCGTCGGATGTTTCTCTTTTGCAACTATTTCCATTCGGAATGGGGATTATCTATACGATTCTATATATATTACTTGCAAATAAATACACCTAAGGTGATGGATGTGAGCCACTACCCTTCTTTCTCTTCAATTGAAACCCTCCCAGACACAATAGTGTTGGAACCGACGACACCCCCGTTAAGATGGCCATCGCCCAAGCCATCGTTCCCCAGCCGGCACTCTCACGGATGAATCCGGCAAAGAAAGGTCCAACAATTGTCCCTGCTGCAAAGGCCGAGTTCAACAGCCCGTATGAAAGCGCCATCGCGCCGCCTTTGCCGAAAATCTCCGGGGTTTCTTCCTCCTTGTCGGAAACCACGTAGGACGCCTCGACCATGACCGACGGCAGAAGAACAGCCAGACAGACCCCCGTCAAGACTAGAAGCGCACAGAGAAGCACTTTCTGGCCCATAGAGTTGTAGGTGACGAATCGCAGAAGTACCAGGATCGGAACGCTGGCGATGAGCGCCACGCCTGCCAGGTAGCGCCGGGAATTACCGTACGTGTCGATGACATACCCGACCAGGGGATCGAGGATATGAGGAACCGACAAGGGAATGAAGATCAGTCCCTGGCCGGTCTGTTCCCAGCCGAACGTCTCCTCGACGTAGAGGGGCAGGACGCTATCGAAGCAGGTTAATATGACGGAGGTAATGAAATAGGCCCATAGGGAGGCGAGCATGCGCTCGGATGCCAGTAGATGCTGTAGAGCTCCGAGGGCTCCTTTCCGAGGTCGTGTGGCTGACGACTGATCGGGAGTTGCATCGGGCTTTGGAACGGACTGGGTATTCGACGAGTGTCCAGACGATGAAGGCGGAGGAGGCTGTAACGTGTCAGGCGAATGTTGACCGTCACTCTTAACGGAATCTTGGGTCGTCTCGCTATCCTGGGATTTCTTTTTCTCTTTCTGTTTGGCGCTGTCAGGTGGGAGCCATCGTGCAGCGTGCTTCTTCTCAATCATGATCAGTCGAAACACAATATCCAGCCCGACCAGGCCAAAGGCTAACCCGAACACCGCATAGTATCCCCCGTGCTCGTAGATGACTCCTCCCAGAAGCGGGCCGCCCATGATCCCCAGGGTCATGCCCATCCCGATGTATCCCATGGCCTGACCTAGTTCATCCTTGCTGACCGTGTCAACAAGAAGAGCGCATCCCACCGTCCACACCACGGCCGCAGAGGCTCCCTGGAAAAGACGACCGGCCACCCAAAGGCCCATATGAGTACCAACGCAGAGGAGAGCAGTCGCAGCACCCAGGGCAATCAAACCGACCATAAGAGGCCACCACCGAGATTGAATCTTATCGGCGATATAGCCTGCGATCGCTATGATGGTGGTGAGTCAGGACAAGGCCACCGGGGAAGAGAAACACAACTTACGCGAGAAAGCCAGCAGCGCAGCTCCGTACAAAGCCAGCAAGATAGATGTCCATCGTTGCTCTGTGCGCTGGTTAGTAGTAGCCAAGAAACCCACGCAGTTGAGAGAACTCACCTTCACCCTGGGATAGACCGACTCGCTCGTGCAGAGCAGTCGGGGTCACCGGAACAATCTGCCAGTAATATCAGAAGGGCACTCAACATGGAGTCTGGTGGAAGAAATGAGAGCCTACCAGTCCGTAGAGCAAAATATCCTGTTACGCCGATTGTCAGCATTAAGGCACCAAGGCACTAAAGCATTAAGGCAGCGAGGCCACAAGGCATACCGTGAAAACCGCAAACACCACCACGAAGATAATAAAGGCGCTGGAGGATCTCCACTCCAGAAAGATCGGAGCCTCTGCATCCGCCGCACGACTAGGCCATAGCTTTCCGACGGCCATCGCCTTCTAGGATCGTAATGCGACCGGAGTCTGGCTCGGTGGCGTCGGCATGCGAGAACCTCCTATGGTTGCGATGAAGCCACAGGGAAACGATCTCCGCAGCTTGCAAGACCGGACTCTCTTGGTTCAGGGGTGACTTGAAATCCGAGACGCCAAGACTGAATTGAAAGGAGTTAAGATCACAGAGAAGAGGGTTCGCCAGAAAGAATCCTCGCGTTGATGTTCGGAGTCCGCGGGTCCCGCGACGGTGGAGCTGCCGAGTATTTTAAGCATATCCGGAGAAGTACGCAATATGCTTCTACGGGCTTACTCTCTACGGAAGCTGACAGGCAATATGGAGTATGCGAAAGAGACGAACTATCAGAAATATAAGCATGCATCGGGGTGTGGCGTATTGGGCTGATCAGCTTGCTCCCCCTTGCATCTTGTTCAGCAGGGGGCGAGAATGGCGCTGTCATGACGAGACTGATAGATAAGAATACCAAAGGGTCCTTAATAACAATCCAGACAATAGATTTGACCGTTCCTTGGGAATCGCCATTGGATGGTCTCCTGTGAATAGACTCCGTGAATTGCCATTCGAATGTCATTCTGCCTGCTCAACTCTGTCTTCAATAGACCGGGAATGTCTATTAGGTTTGGGTGCGATGAATGGCGACTATGAATGGTTAATCAAGCAGACAGGCAACTCGCTGGCTTTGCATAATATTAAGTCGACTCTAGATTCATTCACTATTCAAAATGCTCTCAGTATGTATTGTTAATCATGATAATCGATTGGACGTGCTCCGAGCGCCGTGTTTAATGCTGAAATGCCAATGCTGGAAAAGAGATGGGAAAACAAAAGTCTCGACAGATCAGGATTGGAAATTCATGTTGTATCCACCGGTCTTCGGGTCTTGGGTGAATTTGAAGTTATCCGTGGACAATCCAAAGGGCTTTAGAATCCCATTACCCAGCTATAGATTTGGTTAGTAGCCCGTAGCATCGCATCATGGAGAAGACGTACATCTTTCAGTTTACCCATCATATCCGCCATTTCGTTTTCCCGTGCCTTATTGATCTTCTCGGGGAGCTCTCGAAGAGCCCGCTGAGCAACGCGCTTGTCCTCTGGCGGGAGATTATCCAGACTATTGAGCAGCTTGTAGTCCTCTTCGGCCCCTTGCAGATTGCCCCATCCGCCGAGTTGGGACTTTGCCCGGGCGCGTCGCATCAGCGCCTTCGCTCGAATCCGCATGACATCTTGTTTCCTCTTGTCCAGATCTTGCAAGCGCTGCAGTTCCTTCAGCTCTTCCTCCTCGTCATCTCCCGAGATCTCCACCACCTCGTCGGTCGGCTCAGGGTCCTGCTTCTTCTTTTTCGTGTCTTCCGTCTCTTCAGAATTGGATGGCGGAACCACTTTATCCAGACATTCGATACATGCGGTCGCAGCGTCAACCGAAGACTTCCAATCCTCGAGCTTCAGATAGCATGCGGCCATGTTACTTCGGAGAACGGCCACTTCGTAGTCGAGATAGCTGGGGCAGGATGCCAATGCACGGTCGTAGCAGGAGATAGCCTGGTCATAGGACGCAGCCGCAAAGAGTTGATTTGCTTCGGTCTTGATGGAGTGGGATGCCTTCAGGAGTTCCTGTCGCAAATCGGGAGATTAGCATGGACGCAATGCGCAAACATTCCGCAGGGAGAATCTGGACTCACGGCCTCTTCCTCGGCCGGGAAGCGGGCATCATGAAAGACATCCTCCTCGCCCTCACTATCACTGCCCGCACTTCCCAGGCGCTCCTTTCCTTCGGGGGTCTGATTGCCGCTCATTGTCATCGCGATGAAGGGGGAGAGATGGAGCTGCCATGAAATCGGCGGGGAAACTCGACCGACCGCCGACCGACCAAATCAGGTAAAGATCGACTGACGGCCTGAGGACCCCTTCTCCGCCTGAGGCAGCATCCCCGCCATTTCGCATCGCTTGTCTTTTGCTTCATTCCTGCCTTCTAGACTCTAGACAGACTCTTATAGAACAATGGCTACCGCTCCCTCGGAGTAAGCTTTCCTTCCCCATTGAACCCATTCCAATCCGTCCATTGCTAACCACTTCTCACTGCAGTCTGCCCCGCGTGCGGGCCTGTCTGTTTGACATGGACGGGCTCCTGATCGACTCGGAGGACATCTACACGGCGATCACCAACCAGATCCTGCAGGAACACGGCAAGCCTTTGCTTCCCTGGTCTATCAAGGCCCAGCTTCAGGGCCGACCCCAGACCGAGGTACTGTACCACCCACCGGCCGCTCCATCGGCGTGTTTACCGCCCCCTACCGTGACACACGGAAAACCAACCCAATGGCCTAAACTCCATAGCCTTCGCCGTGCTGACTCCAATTCCCACTTCCAAGGCTAGCAAGATCTTCCACCAATGGGCCCAACTCCCTATCACGCCGGAAGAATACGCCTCTCGACAAGCCGCCCTGCAGCTGGAGAAGTTCGGAGAGTCGCAGCCTCTCCCCGGCGTGCGGATCCTGCTGGACAAGCTGCTTTCGACGCAATCGACCGACCAGCCCGTCCACATTGCGCTGGCTACCTCGTCCCACGAGCGGAACTACCGATTGAAGACCGACCACTTGCAGGAGCTGTTCGCGCGGTTCCCCGAGTCGCAGCGCGTGCTGGGTGACGACCCGCGCATTGGCAAGGGGCGGGGCAAGCCTTTACCGGATATCTATCTGCTGGCGCTGGAGACCATCAACACCAATTTGCGGCAGCGCGGGGAGACGGAGATCACGCCGGAGGAGTGTTTGGTCTTTGAGGATGCGGTGCCCGGTGTGGAGGCGGGTCGGAGAGCAGGCATGCGAGTTGTCTGGGCTCCGCACCCAGGGTTGCTGGAGGCGTACAAGGGCCGAGAGGCGGAGGTGCTGGCGGGTTTGACGGGGGAGCACAAGGAGGAGGAGAAGTCGGCGGCCGAGAAGGATGCGGACGATCTCGTTGCCAAAAAGTTGCAGTCGTCCGGCAAGCCCGGAGAACTACATGATGGATGGGGAGATCTGATTCCTACGCTGGAGAACTTCCCATATGAGAGATATGGTATTCGACCTGCCTAAGATGGAGCTACCTCGATGTTGTAAAGAAACATGAACCCGGTACTCCGCGGTATGGTCCGTCCATGTACATGATGAGAGACAAGAGGAAAGAGAAAGAGACATGATACCCATGTAGAACAAGAGACCAAATCCCACGCGAAGTCTAGGGCTTCAGCGTACAACCGTTGAACAACCGTCCGGGTGACATCATTGCAAGTTTGAGGACTATGTCAGATCGGAAGACCTCTTCGACTGTCTTCTGCAACGTTCGTGAAGAACAACATGTAGAAATAAACCCATGTTTATCTCGTAAGGCTGTTGAATCAAGCCACTGGTGTCTTCCGGTGGGGAGACTGAGGTCCTGCCTGCTGACCAGTTCGACGAGAAAGGAGACATGAGATCCCAAGATATGTAAAATCAAAATGGAAATGGAAATGAAACAAATAAAAGCAGACTGAAAGACGAAAAAGTGCAAGCCGATCCAATGACGGTCAAGTAACAAGATCAAAAAACGATATTAAAACCGGGAATAAATAAAACGAAAAAGGGAAAAGAGGAAAAAGAAACCGATAGCCGGGCCATTCCCAAGCACACCACTTAAGAAGCTCGCTGGCGCTTTTTCTTCTCCGCGGACGAAGGCTGTCCCATTTCATCGGTGATTTTGATACTGGGCCTTTTTCGACTAGCTTTTGTCGGAGTTGCCACCTGATTCTGACAAGCTGTGCCTCCAGTGACGGGGCTTGAGTTAACATGCAAATCGGTCATGGAACCAGTGGCATAATATGACGCCGGATGGCTAGACATGAAACCCTGAGCGGGCAGGGAATAGGAGGTCGGGCCGGTCATGCGATGGGAATGCACATTCGACATGTAAGCCTGCGGATAACTCTTATTGTGAGCAGCGTAGGCCACGATGGGGTCGAAGTGGTACGCAGGCTCTCTACTCACCATTTGCTGGGGGTAGTAAGACGTTGCCTGAGGGACGAGCATGGAAGCGCTACAAGGCACCGAAGCAACCAGGCTCTGGGGGCTCGCGTCAGCTTCACTTCCGGTGGGTTCAGGAGTGCTCGAGGGGGTAAAGATTCTGTCATGCTCCGCTGAACTCTTTGAGGTGTCAGAATGAGTAGGACTGACTGCGCATCTCTTGGCCTTGCTGGCGGTTGTGGTTCTGGGCGTCTTGCGGGCAACTGCTTTGCTACCAACCGTTCTGGGAGCCTTCTGAGCGACCGTCCTGCGAGCCGTTTTGGGGGTGGGGGTGGGAGTGGAAGGCTCGTTGCGTTGTCCAATACGCATAGCTTCTTTGCCGGCCGTCATGATTTGACTCTTGCGTCGATTCAGCAGCTTGTTGCTTTCAACGCGTCTCTCAGCCGCCGTGGGGTTGTCGACCAGGTTGTACACATAGAGAGGGTCAAGAATGTGCTTGCAGACGGTCTTGTGTCTATAAAAGCACTCGATAATGCGAGTCATTCGTTGAGCAAAATTGAGCGTCTCGCTCTCGGCCTTGCCTGTGGTATCATAGGCTGCCAGAAGTGGACCTCCCTTCTGACGCATGATAACAGCCTCCTAAATAGCTGTCAGCGAGCCGATCTACCTTTGTTCATCAGGGGTTTCTTACCAAAGTCTGCCAGCAACAAATTTCGATTCTCTCCTTGGAATACTTTTGGTTCCTGAACGGCTTGATCATGCCCTCATTATCGGTCGCATGTTCCAGGCTGGCCATGGCTTTGCACATCTCTTTCACGATGGCCCGTTTCTGGCCCGGAGTCTGGGGAAGAGTAAGGTCTTCGGGAAGCGGCTCAGTGGGCTGGTAAAAGGCACGGGCATGTTCATGAGACTTGAAAAGAGTGGATTTATCGAAAGGGGCGTTCTTTGCAGCCTTCATCAAATCAACCAAGTTCGGAACCAAAGAGTTGGAGTCCTCCGGTTTAATGGCTGATGAGGGTTCGGGCACATGGTTGTCGGCCGGAGTAGTGGGCTCAAGTTCAGTGTCATCGGATTCGTCGCCAACGAGGCTGCTTGGGGATATGGCGTCCATCTCAGAGACATGTTTCTCGTTGGAATGTGCCGACAATGTGGCATGCGATGGTGCAAACGGGCTGTCGTTGCTGGAAGTGTCATATCCGAAATAAGGAGAGCCTGCTCCTATTTCGATACCGGAGGGAGAGACGCTCAAGCTATTTGAATTCGGTCGTCAGCATCCACACTCAGACAAGAATTACGGCCGCCCAGAACAGAACCTACTTGGATGGGTTTGTACTAAAAGGCAAGCCATGGTTCGGGAGAAAATGCACAAAATGGTTTTGATAGTGCAAGCCTTGATCCACCGGGGTTCCATTTTCATGACCTCCATTGGAGGCCCAGTTACTGTGTAACTGATCAGCAATGTCCAAACTTCGCGTTCAACCATAGGGAAGTACTCACAGCTCGCTGTTCAACAGGAATCCGGTCTGACCAGCTTCGGCATCGGGGCTGGGAATGGTCGCTGTTTCCTGTGCAATATGCGGCAGAGTCCATCCATAGGAGTCCCAATCTTCGGATCCAGACATCTTGATCGCTCAAGGGTGAAGGTTTTGGGGAAGAAACAGGACCGAAATCAGCAGATGAAGGGAGTCAGGGAAGGAAGACAGTCCACAGTCAGAAACGAAGCACCGTGAAGCTGCTGGAGAATAAATCGGCTCAGAAACTGGATAAGAGACAAAGAGAAGAGAGGTTTGGAGACGAGCTACGGGGAAAGAAGGGGGGAGAAGGGAATTTGTAGTGCGTTGGGGGCTTGAAGGAGGGAAGGAATCAAGAATCATATTGTCCGAGAGAGCTGAATAGGCAAATTTGTGAATTGTTGGAGTCTCCATTAACAACCCCAGAATCGGGCGGAATAAGTCATTCACACCAGGGAGGGACAGCCACTGTTGAGTGAAAACGGCTGGGAAAACAGAGGGCTGGGTGTGCGCCAGCCAAAGTATACGGTTGCGCCGCAGCGTTGCGGTTTCGATTTCCTATCAAAGGACTCTTCATCAGCTGGTGCCAATAAAATCACTTGCAGCATGACGAGGGCCAGGAGGCTCTTACCTCTGCCTACTGATGCCACCCCCTTCTGCACCAATCAGGGAGCTGGTTTCAGGCTAAGGAGCTGCAAGTCAAGGAACGAACCAAATTTCCGGTAGAGATCAATGGTCCCAAAGAGAAAACAATCATATTGTTCCAATGGCTTCCCAGCCCCCTCTGGGGACAAAGAGTATTTTAGCGATGAAACTCCGAGGGCTGGGGAGGTTGTAGAAACCGTCGCAACCGAGGAAAGACCGAGAGAGCGACGGCCGGGTTGGTCTTGGGCTTGGCGAAATGAAGCCATGGACCACTAGTACGGGATGCCGATTCTTAGTGGTCCTCCTGGACGTGAGGCCAACTTTGGCACGGTGATCACCTCTAGGATCTTCCTCCCCACGCTTTTGCCTGACGCTACCCATCCAGTTCCCCCTCCAGAAATGGCATAGACCAGATCTTCAGCGTGCTATCAGTTGTGAACGGACCCCCTTCCTCTGCCACCGTATCATCGAAATGGTGTCTCTGTCCACCGGCAGTGGCAGCGATGCTACCCAAAGGATGCAGTATGGTGCTGTTGACGGAATCTGTAGACCATAAGTATGGCTCCTATTAGCTTCCAAGAATTCGACATGAGGCTTAGCTTACCATCATGAACCTTCCATTCCCACAGTGGCTTCTGCGGCCCCGCGGTGAGTGCAGAGTCCCTCCAGACTCTCATATAACCGTCTGTTCCTCCAGCCCAGATTTCATGAGATTCGCCCTGACCGGTCGGTACGATGTCGATCTTCATCCGTTGATTGGTGAGAGCCTTTCGGCCTTCAAGCCAGCCAAGGAGTTGGCCGGTGGCTCGAATGTCATATACCAGGACCCCATCGCTGTTTCGTTCTGCGATGTAAAGGTATCGACCGCAAGGACTCCAGAGCAGCTGGGTGACTCCCCGACCGCCGATGTGACGATTGGCTTCCGTTTTTGCAACGCTAAAGGTGCCGAGCGACTGGCCAGACCCATTGGAATCGTAGAGTCCAATCTGCCTTGAAAAGGTGCCAGCAGCGAGAACTCCGTCGCCAGTCGGACTGACGGCCATCGCCGAAATAATCCCTTTCATTCCGACGCCTCCACCCACTGCCTGCTTACGTTTACTGGGTATCGTTGGCATCCATGTCACTGGTCCATCTTTCCCGGGACGAGATACATCAAACAGACAAATGAGACTATCCGAGCCCGTGAGGAAATGGGTTCCACCAAGTGCAGATGGGTAGATCAAGGAATGAGGGGTTATAAAGGCCTCGGTGGTCGGGTTGACCAGAGAGTAGGTCGCCACTGAGGTTGGCACAAGAGCAGACGCCAGCCTGATCGGGTGATCTCGGACTGACGAGAGAAAGAGAGTGGTGGATGGCTCCTGAAGGGAATAGAACGGATAGATAGCAGTAGCATAGGTGGGCTCTGTCGAAGGGAGAACAGAATAAGGAGTGAGATGATGAGGTGATTGTTTCTCCTCCAGGAGATCTGGAGGTCTTGGGAGTTGGGTGTGAGCTGTAAGAAAAGCAATCATGATCCAAGCTACTCACAGTATAAACGTTCTGATGTGATGATCAGCCATGTCGGCCAAGACCGTGGTGCCGTCAGGAGGCCTGGATGGATGTGGTCAATATGTGATCTTGTGAGTGACAGGAGAAGGTATAGAAAAGTTTACACATACCATTCTATACTTTTGACGTGGTTGAAATCCGAGTATCGCTCGTTGGGCTTTCTGGGCATCTTCGACTCATCCTCATCTCGCGTTGAAGCCACGCAGATGGGGGTCAGTTTGGAAGGTTCCTCTTCCATCTTGTCTAATCGGATGACACTTCGTAAAGACCCTCTAGTCAATAAGCAGGTAGTACAGAGTATAGAGCCAAGTAGAAGATCCTTCGACTACAGTCCACCATATCTTGCTGCTTGAAGTCAACCGGATTGAGTCGTGCATACGCCAGGTTTCATCAACGACAGCAATATCCGGAACTTCATTCAATTCATACCAACGTGACTTCTGGACAACAGAGCCCTGCCCTGGATCACAGACGGACGCTGTCGATGAGGTTGACGATGACGGAGTAAATGTCGGAGCGGTCAATCTTTCCCCGACGAACGCTAGTCCGGCGCTAAGCCCGTCCGGTGCAAGTCGGCGATTCTCTTTGTTTTCTCCATCAACTCGACTTGACGGCCTGAAGACAGCTGCGGTCAGCCTTTTGGTTCCTTTACGGTAGCTTCGGCCAGTCGCCTTCGTGTGGACGGTTCATCCAATCCTTGCGACTCTCCCACTCTTCTTTGTTTCCCTCCTCGCCCCTAGATTCGAACGCCGCATTCCACCACTCACAATGTTTTCCGCAAAACCTGCCGGCGGCTTGTCCATCAACACCAATTCCGCCAATTCGCTCTTGTAAGCACATTTCTCCTTGTGTTCGATGTTTGGGAGAAGTCTGTGCATCGTCTTGCTCGACTTCGCAGTGGGTGGCTTTCTGTATGCCTTGTGCTGGTCATGACTTGCGCGAGTGCAATGCCCACAACCCCTTGCCTTTTGTATTGTGGTGTTGCTTTTTTTTAACTCACTTTTTTGGTCCTGCATTCCACATTCTTTGTTTCCGTCTGGTTGTAGTGGCACAAGACTGAGCTGACCCGTTCTTCCCGTTCATCAGTGGTGGTGCCAATAATGCCCAAACTTCCTCGTCCACAACAACGCCCGGGTCGACAACCACCTCCGGTCTCTTTGGGAATCTAGGAGGCTCAACGGCGCAATCGAAACCCGCAGGCGGTCTATTTGGGAACACTCTGGGCGGTGGAAACACGCAGCAAACGCAGTCTGGATCCAGCTTGTTCGGAGGCCTAGGCGGGCAGCAACAGCAGAACCAGCAGAACAACACGACTGGCGGGGGTCTGTTTGGAAATACGACGCCAGCTGCCTCGCAACCACAAACCAACAGTCTTTTCGGAGGCACCGCGGGTGCGAACAATACTATGCAGAACCAGACCAAACCAGCTTTCGGTCTCGGGGGCGCTTCGACCACTGGCGGTGGGCTGCTGTGAGTAACGCTATGGATTCGGAATTCTCTACATCAGCGCTTTTTACTAATATGGCCCTGGATCCAGAGGCGGTTCCACTTTGAATAACACTCAGCAGCAGCAACAGCAGCAGCAGCCCCAGAAGCCCACGCTATCGCTTTTCGGAAACCAAAACCAACCTGCGGCTCAGCAAGTGCCGCCCCCTTCGACGCTGTCAAACACCGTGGTCCCCGGAGTCATAGTGGATATCAGCAACCTTTTACCGACTACGAAATTTGAGAGCTGCACCGGCGACATCAAGGCCGAGCTGGAACGCTTCGACAATGCCGTTCTTGCGCAGATCCAGATGTGCAATGAGATTGCCAATATGATCCCCAGCATTGCGGCACAGGGCGAGACCATCCCCAACGACGTGGAGTTTGTGCAGGGAAAATTGGAGACGATGCAGCACGCTCTCGAGAACGATGCAGGCGACATCGACCAGTTGCGCGGGCTCGTGGCGCGGGATGCGGCGGAGGCCCAGGTTGCTTTCCGTGCGATTGACACGCTGAAATTACCCCTGCAGTTCCAGTCCGCCGGAGGTCCCGGCTGGTGGTCCGTTCAAGACCAGAAGATGTCCGACCGCCAGTCGCTGCGGTCCAGCCGGAAAAACACCTTGGCCCTGCCCGACGATGTCGAAGCCGATCCGTCCACGGCCACCGCTATCAACGGCGTTCCTGTCAACCTGGTGGACTACTTCTCTCAGCGATCCGACGACATGGGCGGCGTTCTTGATCAATACACCCACAACCTGAAAGACATCGAAGACCACCTTCATGGCGTGGAATCGACTCTTGAGCGACAGATCCACGAGTTCTTGACATCGCGAAGCCGGGACGGTTCCTCGGCCGGAGCGCCCAAGACGGTCCTCAGCGACTTGACGGCTGTCCTTGGCGATGTGGAAGCCGGCATTCTGGGAGTGGCCAGTCGTCTTGGCCAAGTGACCGAGCAAGCCCAAGAGGTCGTGCTGGGGCCACCCTCAGTTGATGGGAGACTCGGACTGTGAGATGGACAAAATTGCCGCATGATTTCCTAGATTTTCTGTACATTATGACTATTCTTTTCCCCCGGGTACACATGGCACCGTGGGAATGGACGGTTGATGTGATTAAGCATGATTGAGGTCCGGCGTTCTGCGTGTTTAGATTAGCCAGATTAACTTGCGATTGTCTATTTCTTCCATTTATTTCCGCCTCTGCCTATCACCGTAAGGCATAAGGTATACTTGACTTCACCACCAGTTGGAGGGCCTCTGCAGAGTCTTAGTCAGCGCCCACGCAAGAGGCTCACAATCTTGCGTGATCGCACCCAATTCTGCGGCGATCTTCCCCACAACTCCATCGTCCGTTTTCTTGGGATTCGGTTCTCGGTTTATGCCTGATTGATAATTCAGCCGATCTCTCCACCGCTATCTAGGATCTACTGCAACGCTCGAAGGCGAGGACCGGACGTCGGCATAGTAGCGTGAAACTGTCCCTTGATGACCTTCCAGTTCATACCAAGAATAACATCATGCTGCAGTGATCACAATCTCACTGGATGACATATCAGTCATCCGCGATGTCACCTAGCTTACTAGTTGGAATGAAATAATCCTGCTTGACTGCAACCTCATCCTCACCGTATCTTTCTCCGAGACCGATTGATTAAGAGCTACGCCATACGTCCACAGGAGACCGACGGTCATATCTTGTGGGCCAGGGGATCACTTGCCTGAGAAACACGCTATGATGTTTCATTTTGCTCATCATTATTGACTCATCGTTCCCCATGGGTTCTGCTCTACTCATAGTCTCATGGTGATGGCCGACCCACATCGCATTCCAACATCCAGCGAGAACATGACGTGATCGCATCCACCGCTTCGGGAAGCCCTCCACAGAAGCTTACCAACCATGGATCTCTTCCTTACGGAGTATGAGGATTCCTCATCGCGCCACATGTTCACGGCTTGGGTGATTTTTGTCATCGATGGTGCCATCGCCGTCTGCTCCGTTTCTGGGGGAGATGTGTGATTATGGCCCCGGCCTTCCGGGAACCTACGAGGCATACATATAGGAAAGGGGCTGCCCTCCAGACTTGATTCTTCAAGACCACCAGTCCATCACAAACAAACTTTCGGCAAGGAAATCAGTCGGCCGAGTTCTCAGTTCGTCTACTTGCAATTTTCAGAATGGCTCCCTCGCTGGAAGACCCTGTCTTGCGCCAATCCCTGGGCGAGCTCCCTTTGCCCAAGAAGGCCACCGTCGTTGACGGCAACAACAAATTCAATTACCAACCCGGACGAACCGTCGTTGAAAGCCATGATGACTATCCTTACGAAGACCTCAAACCCTCGTTTCCCGACATCCATTGGGATCCCATCGAAGAGACCTCATATGACGATAGGGGCCTTTATGGTGACACCAAGTTCCGCAACCTGTTGCAAGATGCAACCGATGTCTTCGACTACAATCCCAAAATCGGCACGGAAATCCATGGAGCCAACCTTGCCACTCTCACCGATGCACAAAAGGATGACTTGGCTCGTCTGGTCGCTGTTCGTGGAGTAGTAATCTTCAGGAATCAGGATGACTTTGATATTGAGGCACAAAGAGAGTTCGGCAGGTACTTTGGCAAGCTGCACAAGGTATGATATATCTTTCAAGAATTCCTCGCGGTCATTATTCTGACAACCCATAGCATGCTACAACAGCTGTTCCCAAGAAGGGCGGCCTGGAGGATGTTCATGTCGTCTATACCGGTGACAACGCCGCCGACCAACGAGCCGTGTTTTCGCCCAGCTTCCTTTGGCACTCAGATGTATGTTTCCTGTCTTGACATCCAAGGCACCTCAAACTGACTAGAAATGATAGGTAACCTATGAGGTGCAACCACCATCTTACACTCTCCTGAAACTGTTGACCGGACCCCCTCGTGGAGGTGGTGGTGACACGCTCTGGACTTCTCAGTATGCGGCGTATGACGCTCTTTCGTCGCACATGCAGACATATCTCAAAGGCCTGACGGCCCTTCACTCGGCAGACATGCAAGCATCCGACACGCGAGCTGCTGGCCGAACTGTCCGCCGGGAGCCGGTCACCACCGTACACCCTCTGATTCGAACCAACCCCGTCACCGGATGGAACAGTCTGTTCTTCAATCCCGGGTTCGTGACAAAGATCATTGGCGTTCCTAAGGTCGAGAGTGATGCCATCCTCCGATACCTCACCGAGGTGATTGCCACTACACAGGAGACCCATGCGCGTTTCCAATGGGGCAAGAATGACGTTGCGATCTGGGACAACCGGACAACGGTAAGCAATGAACTTCCAGTCTAGATTAAAGAACATGCTAGTCATACTAACAAAACCTATAGAACCACTCTGCCTCTTACGGATTCGCTCCCCACCGACGCCATGCAGTGCGAGTCGCCTGCCATGCCGAGCGCCCTGTCTTGCTCCCGACAGGAAAGTCACAGGAAGAAGAGCACATTGCTCTGTACAACCTTCCGGCTGTCAACAAAGACGGCTCACGCCAGTCCAACTATAATGACTAATTTGGGACATTCGTGCCTCCATGATATTTACACACAACGCTGGCGTTGGCGCATACCCGGGACATGACAGTCATTGCATTCAAAATTAGCAGAGCACTTTGAGATGATTTACTTAGCTTTTTATTAGCGAAATGAGATGTTTATTCGTCGTTCTTTAAACGATTCTGGAGCCCTCGCGTAGAATGGAGAGAAGCACGTGCAGCAGTTTGGCCGAACAATTCTGGCGTCGATGCACCACTTCCGCTGCCTACTACTTCTCCCCCACCTCTCTTCTTAGGACACAACCCTGTGAGAGACCGCAGAATGGGAAACTCATCCGACCCTTCTATTCTAGAATATGCCCGGTTCTACGGCATCGCAAGCGACTTCACGGCAGTCGATCCTCTCACGTACATCGACGACACTTACCAAATCCCCACGCCGGAGCTACAGCCCAGTCCCGTCACCGAGCAATTACAAAAAGCCCAGCAAACAATCACTCAAGCATTACTCAAGGAGAAGCTGGATATCAAGAAGGAAAGCGCACGCCTGCTGTCGACCGTGATCCGAGATGCAGGTGCTAAACCCGAGGACATCAATTGGGCCGATGTTTTGCCGGCATTCAGTCGAATGGAAAGATTTCAGGTGGAACCTCCCATTTTTCCTGCAGAGCATGATACAGACACTATGCTCGCTCGGAAACGTTTAAGATACGAAGATTGTGAAATCCAATTGCAACCGCTTGAGGAACCTCAGTCAGTTGCAGCACTTCCGAGCTGTTTGCCGGGCGGTATATATGAAGCCATGGACAAGATCAAGTTTGAGAAACTCAGCTGTAGCAAAGATGCCTTCAGGTTGATACAAGATGCCAAAAACTGTGCTGTAACTTCTAAAAAGGACTTGGAGAGTTTACTAATGGAAGAATTAAAGCTATGTCAGGCAAGTTTATTGACAGAGGCCCTGTGAAAAGTAATGCTAACAACTCCAATTGTGTCTACAGGACGAGCTCACCTTTCCAGAGTCACCCGCTCTTGTCCTCTCCAATGCCGACGATATGCATTTCCGAAGTTCTTCGCCGGTTGCGAGTTTACAGATGCCCCCTTATCCCATCTCGCCGCGTGTGTTCGCCGAATATAGCTCACAAACCAGCGACAAGAGCTCAGACAGCTTTGAACCAGAGGGTGAACTAAATAGGTTCTCGGGACATACCAATTCATATGGATCTAGTTCTTCTAGTAGAATCTCGGTGGCTGATAACCAGGATTCAAAGATCAACACGCAGACTACTCCTAGCATCTCTACCAATGCCGAGACTCTTCACCTTGGCATCGATGCACAGTCGTTTGCTTCAGCTAATTGTCTCTCCCGAGCAGATAGTTCTCTTCAGAAGAAGATCAGTGAATCCAGCATAGGTACCATCGTTTCCTCCGCAGATACATCCACACCCTCAGCTACAAAAGACCCATCCACGGCGGACGGAGAGGTTTCAAAAGCCGCTGAGAGTCTGTTTTCTGAACCATCCGGTGATAAAAAGATATCATCGGGGAGCGCCAATCAATTTTCTTGTCACAGAGATGAATCAAGCATCAGCCCGGACACCCTACCAACGATATCACCTCCTCGGCCAATTGGCGAGTTGCAGGGCCCAAGCCGAACCACCGAAGGACCATCTATAAACAATGCGGAACAGAATACGTTGACAGAAATGCGTCTTCAATCGAAGAATAAAAGCCCTTCGACCCTCAGAATTCTTTTTCCACATAAGAGAGAACGAAGCATAAGCCAGGATAACCTCAAGGTGAAGCATAAACAAATCCATCAAAGGAAGAAGACTAAGGGAGAAACAATTTCCGACTTGAAAGCGTCCTTACCACAACAAGTCTCTCTAGGTTCATTGTCATCATTCATGGAAATTAGAGGCCGAAACCAAAGTCGACGGACAGTTGTCGCTACAAGCCAATACTTCAGCTCCCAGCCCAGTCACAGCAAGGTTGAACAGCACGACTCTACTAGAAATGCAGAAGAGATCTCCACAGTTGTACCAGCGACGTTTCTAGAACGAGTCCCGCAATTTGAACGTAAAATCCACCAGCGATCATACCTATTCGTCTCTACTACACTTCTGAAAACACACCTCGATCTTATACAATTGATCGAAAAGATCCAAGATGTACCTACCATTGTATACAGAGACTATGAAAACACGGTCAGACAATTCCATCTCAAACACAACTCGGAAAATATACCCCATCAGCCAGAAGCAAGACACTCCCTTCCAAAAGAAGCAGATATCATAATTTCACCAACAACCGGGGTAATCTTAACAACATCCCAAGCAATCACTCAACTACACCTCCCCGGACATAGGCCCAACAACCCCAGAACAGCTGACCTCAAATGCATAAACTCGCCACTCCGCGAACGTATCTTCGTCCTTGCGCCACGCTACGAGCACCTCTACCTGCTCATCTCACACGGGACCAGCTCTAGAAAAGTGGCCCAGGGCGGCAGTGCCGGTATAACATGGACAGTGGAAAAGCGGACACTGGCCTCTTTCGCTTCGTTACTCGCCTTTTGCAATTCGATGAGTGACTGCACAACCATCGTCCCACTTTGGGTGCCCTCGGCTCCTGAGGCACTAGCAAAGTGGATTCTTTCACTACATGATAAGCATGCAATCGAGTTGCCTCAAGCAGATGTTGCAACCCCTCGACAAACCGGGTTCACGCCGGTGAATCCAAAACCACAACCCCAGCTTACCAGGGCTGAGCATGACGCCATGGAGGAGTCAAATTGGGAGCACTTCCTCAGGCGAGCCGGTTTGAATCCGTATGCTGCCCAAGCTGTGCTTGCTATTCTCAGTCACAAAACTGCGGGAATGGAGATGAACGTTGCAGACGGTGTCTCCGTTCAAGAGTACGTTAAAATCGGAGCTCTGTCCAGCTTCATTGAGATGACTGCTGTGCGTCGACGAGAGCTGTTCGAAAAATTGATGGGAGAGAAGGTGGTCGGTCGAATCAGTCGCGTGCTAGAAAAAGACTGGCAGTGTGACTGGGCGCTAAATTTCAATCATTCTGCGGAACTGTAAAGACTGATCGATAAACACATTCAATTACGTCGCTGCATTACCGATGATAAGAAACCGTCAGAGAGGAGATTATCATATCTGATTACTCATTTCATCGCGCAGCCTGCGTATGAAGACGGCGATTGCTAGGTAGAGACTTAAGATACATAAGAGAATATGCAACAAAGTAAATAGTCATTTCACGCTTTAGACGATAGATGCAAGGGGACACATTATAGCCCAAAAATACCAAGAACGGAAACATAAGTCCGTCCTCATATACCATTGGGGTTTTTATTTTCGATTATTCGGTTTTGTTGGATTTGGTTGGGCGTGGAGTTCAGGGATGACGCGCATGAAAGCTCATTCGCATGGTATAGTACAGGTCTTCGACTAGAATCGAACGATCCTAGGCTCAGAGAGGAAAAGACAAAGGCGTATGCGGCATCTAGTTCTCCTTGATCTTGGCAAGGATCCTATGGCAGATGTTAGAACACAATCACAATGCAGATCGCGAGCGACAAGGGAAAACATACTCAGAGTCACGGAAGAGGGTGTACTCGTCCTCGCCAACCTTGATGGGGCTACCACCGAACTGTTACAGAGCTCTGTTAGTCCTCATTCTTCATCCCAGCTAGGCATATTATAAACCCAGGACACGGGAAACCAGCCGACGTACCTGGGGGATCAAGACACGGTCACCGGCAGTGACACCCATGGGGAGTCTCTGGCCGTTACGGTCAAGGAGACCGGGGCCAACGGCAAGGACCTGAGCCTCGTTCTGCTCCTTGACGCTGCTCTCGGGGAGGAAGATACCCGAGGCGGTCTTGGTCTCGGGCTTGACGCGCTGAACCAGGACGCGGTCCATGAGGGGGGTGAGGTTCTTGATGTTGCGGAGGAAAGACTATGCGACAGGGGTTGGTTAGCGATGGTTATTCAAGCTTGACCCGAGCATTGAACTGAGGCAGTTGCCGAAGTAGCCGACGAGACGTCCGGTCTTTCAAGGAGCAAAAAACGAGAGAAAAATTCAAGGGGGGTGGTATAGCTGCTGGGAAGAGGTTGAAAGGCATGACATACCATTGTGACGGGTGTGTTTGACGTGAGGAACGACACAGAAGATCAAGCGGAGATGACAGAGAGGAAAGTTGGAGGTCTGGAGAGCGAAGGGAAGAAAAGGACGGGGAAGAAGAAGATCTGGACTCGTCGGCCCGCGAGAAATTTCCAGAATGCCAAGACTTGCCGACAGCTTCCACCACTGCCGAGGGTATTCTCTCGACTCTACGGCATCTTCTGCAGCCTGCGGTCGATCCAGTGTTTCTTTACAGGAGACGATTCCTCGTGGATTGTGATAGCTCGTCTCTACGGTCTGATCATGGGCAATCCTGTCTCTGGAAGCGCGGCTCACTCTGTCGCATCACCAACCATACAGCTCCTTTGCCCCGAACAGTCAAACAAAGAACACATTCAAGCCATTTCTCATAGTAAACAACAAACTCCGCAGTACATATCCGTCCTAAAATGCAATTCGGGGCATGGTCAAGATTATAGCCGTGATTGAAGAAAAAAAAAAGCACGCATCCATACTTCCTTTACCACCTCCGCCCTCGCCCTCGTCCAGCGTTGAACCCACCGCCATATCCCATCTGAGATTGTCCTCCTTGACCCCCAAAACCCGCTTGAGCTGGTTGTCCGCCGCCCGCGCCGGAAGGTCCGCTCATGAGTGCTTGGGCATTCTGCATAAAGGTCATAGGATCCATGGTGGCAGGATCCATGCCTCGGGACATCATGGTGGCTAAGACGCCTGACAACATCTCATTCGACATATCAGGCATACCCGGCATACCTGGCATCGGCGGCAGTCCACCAGCTGGACCGGGTGCAGGTCCAGGTTGCGGGCCTCCGGGCATTGGCGGCGGCACTCCACCGTTCAAGAATGCCTGCATCTCGTCCAATTGTTTCTTCTGGTCCCCAACTTCCCTCCGAAGCTCTTGCTGTTTCAAAACGTAGCTGGCCCAGGTGAATTCGTCGAATCCGTAGTTGAAGTAATCGGAGATATCCGATCCCGGACGCCTCCATGGCTTGTCATCCTCCGGGAAATCCATATCCATGTCCGTCGACAAAATAGGCTTTCCAGTAGAAGGGTGCGTCGGGTTTGCATGCACATCAATCGTGGACGCATGGACGGGGGGATATTCGGATCCCGGCTTCTGGGGAACGGCCGGCCTTGCGCTGCCTGAGACTGGGGTGGCTGATTCCACTTTGGGCGTCAGATTAGGCGTGGCAGATTTGGATCCCGGGTAGAGATCTGTGGATGGCGTTCGCTGGGACTCGGTTCGAAGCATCGTATGACGGGGGTGTGGGCTATCCAAGCGCTATGCATTAGAAGACTGTCGGCTTTCATCGTCACCAGTTCAAACTCACACTTCGGGGGCTGGGGCGTCCGGAGGAGCCTCCGTGATGATGTTGAATTCATCCTAGAATTGATCAATCAGTCTCCGCTCCAAAGACACAGGGTCTGCCAGACGTACATCATCGTCCTCCTCTACCTCAATTTCTTCGTCATCATTTGAATTTGAATGCTGGGGGGTGGCATTTGAGGACTGATTGTAGGGCGCATTTTGAGTATTGGTGACCGGGACTGCATCAGCAGGGTCATAGAAATCATCGTCTTCTTCCTCCATGGTATCGGGGTGTGCAGGTGTGCAATTGAAAGAAAGCGACAAAGGAAGGTTGTTTATCGATTCCGGCGGCGAGCGCATTGAGGCTGTTTGGCCTGTTTGCACCGGTTTGGAGCAGAAAGCCGTGACAGCGGCACCTACAAGGGCTGAGCAGCACAAAGAAATGCCTAAACTGTAAAATAAAGATCCTAGTCCCAAATAGGCCACGTTGGGTATTTTAATCCGATTTTTACGTGTTTTTTCCAGCCTTGTAGAGCGGGTGTTTTCTTCATAAGGGCGTTGGTCACGTGCATCGCCCGGACGTCAGTCGCTTTTGCCTCAGGAATGCGCTCGAGCTCCGCGACTCTTCCCTGCACGTGTCGTGGATTTCCATGAAAATGGCACCATCAGAGAACGACAGCCACAGCTCGACGCCGCGGTCCTTTACCGGCCAAACTGCCTCGGCCGAGGAGTTGCTGAAGTCGCAGACAGTTGGTCTGGTTCATCTTTCCGACTTTCGCAAACGTCGCGCAGAAGTGCTAGAGCAGAAAGAACGAGAAGCACATGATAAATCCCTGGGGAGGTTTGCATCCGGTGACTCGAGGGGCGCAACACCTTCGGCAAGCGATGCGACTGATGGGTGAGTCAAGGCGCAGGTTTCCAGTTCTTGTTGCTCGACTAACCGCATATCGCAGAAATTCGACGCCACAGAGCGAAGGCCCTCCCAAGAAGAAGAAAAAGAAGAAGCCGCTAGCGAAGAGCAAACTTTCGTTTGGAGACGACGAAGAGGAGGAGAACACTGGGAACGATTCCGCTGCCACGCCGGGCGAGTCGCGGATCGGCCGATCAGCTTCCAAGACGCCCGTTGACGATGGTTCCCTGCCGTCGTCTCGTCGGATTACGCCGAACCCCAATGCACCACCTCCGCCGAAAGCAATGACCAAGGCGACCATCAAGGCAGAGGCAGAGGCACGAGATGCTCTGCGCAAGGAATTTCTGACGATGCAGGAGGCCGTCAAGAACACCGAGATCCTGATCCCGTTTATCTTCTATGACGGAACAAACATACCAGCGGGCAGCGTCAAGGTCAAGAAGGGGGATCCTGTCTGGTTGTTCCTCGACCGATGTCGTAAGGTCGGAGCAGAGCTAGGAGTAGGAGGGAACAGCGGCGCCACCAAGGGACGCAAAGACAACCGCCGTGAATGGGCGCGAGTCAGTGTCGACGACTTGATACTAGTCAAAGGAGAAATCATTGTCCCTCATGTGAGTGCTGCAGTCTACCGGGTCTTGTAGCTGCCTGAATTCTAACCGATCGTCGTCTAGCATTACGAATTATACTATTTCATCGCCAACCGCGTGTCCAATTTCACCCGTGGCGGCGGGTTGCTATTCGATTACTCCGACAAGCCCCCTCCAGCCAGCTCTAGTGATAATCCTTTGTCGAAACCGAACGGCGAAGAACTTGAAGGGGCCGCCAAAGATCCCGCCTTGACCAAGGTAGTTGATCGGCGGTGGTATGAGCGAAACAAGCACATCTTTCCGGCCAGTCTATGGAGGGAATACGAACCCGGACCGGAATTCGAGGAAAAGATGCGTACGACAAAGCGTGACGCATCTGGGAATACCTTCTTCTTTTGATGATATTAGAATACGAAAATACAGGGCTCATGAGCTCTATGATTTGTGTATATTAATGCAACGATGAATCTGATGGTTCCCGGCAGGCCGTGGGAACCACCCCTTTTAGCTGTTTTTCTCTGTAGGCACCACCACTTCTCTCCTCCATGCGATTCTCAACCCTTCACTCCCATCAAACCCTTCTTCCATTTATCAAGTTTCCAGGCATCATTGACAGCCACCCCCCCCCCTCAGTATGGACTTCCACTTGCGCTGCAATTCCTTGAAGTGTCGTTCTCCATTGAAAGAGAGAGCGGTCGTTACTACTTGCTCGTAAGGCTGTTTCTACATTGACGCAGTCCCCAACCTCGCCGCATCCAAGTAGTACTGACTTCCCAGTCATATATTTTGTCTGAAATGTGCAGACACCCTCGGCCTTTCACATCCCACCACCAATGAACGTCATTGTCCGGCCTGCCACACCCTCCTCGTCAACCCTGACGACGCCGTCGCAACCGTCCTGAACCCCACGGAAGATTACAAAACCAGCGTGCTCAGTGGTCTCGATCCAAATACCATAATGGAATGTGCGGGGCGAGCCTTGCTTTTCTGGACATATCAGACCACGCAGGAGATGTATGTTTGATGATCCCTCACAGGACCGGGACTGGCCAAATGCTGATGGCAAGAAGCGTCTACCAGGAATTTCTCGCCAAAACGTTGACGGATAAATATGCGACGATAAACACTCACATGGACAAAGTGATTCACAATGCCAATACGGAGATCTCAAGCTTACAGACAAGACTGTCTGGTGCGTTGCCGCCTTCTTGATGATGGATCACGGATTGATTAGGAACAGACATGCAGGCCTCTCAAGAGCAACTCCAGAAGAAAAACCAGGAGCTTGTCGATTTATATCGCGATAAGTGCAAGAAGCTCACACAGATCACAAACCTCTACAACTTGTTAAAATCCCGAGCTATGAGATCACAAATGCAGACCGCTGCATCCGACACTGTCTCCTCCGCGCTCAACACCATGGGAAGATCGGGAAATAGACCTCCAGTGTCGGCACCCACTACTCTTCTAGCTGCATCTGTTCCGCTCCAGACACCCGCGTCCTTCCCCCAGAATACCTTTCCAGTCAACCAAGACGGGGTAGAGCAGATACACCGACACCAGCGCAGTGGCACTGGGAGCTCAAAGAAGGCGAGGGCCGCCGTTGCTGCAATGCCACCACCAGGAAGGCCTCTGGGGATTACAAGAAATCGTAGGTTCTTGTCGATCACTTGAGCGAGGTATTACTGATACCCAAAGCAGGGGACATGCCAAATGCCACTCCGCAGCATCGGACTCGCTTAACGGGCCCATCGCGTCCTTCAACGTCCACGTCACATTTGCAGGATAGCGTGCTGTTTGAGCGATTTCGAGCTGATCCCAATGCTAAAAAGTCACCACCAAACCAGCATGTTATACCGGACAGAGGCCGGGCACGGGGGCAATCTTTTGATCAAGCGGGACCCGCGGGGACGAGGACATTTTTTGACAGTTCAATACGGTAGTTTATGGTTGAGAACTCGTTTGAAAGGTTTAAATAACAACTGAAAAAAAAAAAAAAAAAAAAAAAAAACTTATCTGAATGCTTCGGGGTTTCTTTTTTTCTTTTCTTTTTTTTTTTTTTTTTTTTTTTTTTCGTCCTGCTACTTGAAGTGGTTCGTGCAATAGGGTGTAGTAGCATATAATATATAGAACCACCGGATTTATAGTTAATGTAGCGCAGAGTCATAAGCATTTAATTTTCCAAGCTAGAAAAGCAAAACTTTAAAAATTCCCTAGAGCATAAACAATAAAGTAGAATATTTATATGTCCGTCGCATTATTTTCTAGCTTGACAGCTCGAGAGGATGCGGCAGCCCAATGATGTCGGTCCCGTCGCGTGCTGATTATCGCGACTTCCATTCGTCCGGCAGAAATGCCGACAACAGAACTACCTACCAACATAGCATCCAACATGATTTCTTGCTTCTAGGGTGCATTAAGTGATCTACAATGGTAATTGTATTTTCGGAGATTTTATTATCAAGCCTGAGCTACTGATTGATATGAAATCCTCCGAAGATAGCAACTTATCTCGCAGCTAAAGACCTGATTGACATAACCCGACACCTCTAAACCAACTAGATATCAACCATTCAGCATAGAACCAACTTGCGATTCAATTAAGCTCCAATCGACTAAAATCCCCCGCACTCCCCTCTCCGATCGAGACGCCTCAATCTTTTCGATCGACTCTAGACCGACGGAACCCTGCAAGTCTCGACTGCAAAGGGCCGTCCCGTCCACATCCACATCCACACGCCCGAGTCTCCCGCTTCGGACGTGCGGAAGTCCAACCACCACCACCAAGGGACCGGGAAAAAAAAATAAAAAAATCCACAACCCACCTTTATCTTGATCTCGATGCTAATTTAATTTTAGATCTGATGCAGGGGAAGATTAAGAATAAAATTAGACTTAAGCTCGTAGCTCCGGTGGAACCTGGTTTAGTGGTATTTTTTCGCATGCTTATTTGGACGACTGTATTTTTGATGCTCTCCTTCTATCCAGTCACTCTGGGGGTCACCCTCTAGGAACGACCTATGTGCATTCCTTTAGTCTTACTCTTATCATTGCCATTTTTATTTTCATTCCTTGCATTGATCATAATCAATTAAAATTATTTTGACATACTCTATTTTCATATATACTGTGTTAACAACTCGATGCACCTGACTCCTGCCGTGCTCTCGAGGACCGAATGCCGGCTACTATACAGGAGAACATACACAATAACGAGCAACTACAACATACAAATTCTACTGCACTACTCAGTTCCTTCTTGTGGACGTAATCGTGTCTTGTATTAAACGACTAACTTCATAGACTCTGCTGCAACCAAGTCTAGAAACACCAACTCCAGTACAATGGATATTTCCCCTCTCCTCCGACCGGTCGACCGATCAGGGATTGTATCTTCCCAACTTCCATTTGGACTTTACCCACAAGTGAAACAAAAATAAATATATGAAAAAAGAGTAACCATATCATGCCATGCGTTCAGGAATATAACAAAAGGAGACACACGTAAGATTAAATTAGATAAAACCAGGAAAGAAAAGATTTTCTTTTTTTAAGCACCGAACTCCTTGACGTCGGTCTTCTTGCCGAGCAGAGCAAGGGGCACGATACCACTGACGTGCATCTCGGGGCCGTACACGTGCATGTTGAGACCCAGCTCCTCGCCGACGGCCTTGATGTTCTTCAGACCCTCCTGGTAGTTGGGACCGGCACGGCGGACCCAGATCTGGACCTTGTGCTCGTTCAGGACGGGGGCAACCTCACGCAGAGCGCGGATGACACCCTTGAAGGTCGAGGCGACGTTGGTGAAGTTGGCAATACCACCACCGATGAAGAGGACCTTGCCGTCGGGGTGGGTGGGGGCGCGCAGCATCAGGTCAAGGACCGTGCGGGCGTAGTTGAAGGTCTGAGTCTCGGTGGGAGCACCGGAGTACTCACCGTAGTTGGCAAGCTCGCTGACGAAACCAGCGGAGGCAATGGCATCGGCGTACACGACGGAGGCACCACCACCGGCAACCAGGGTCCAGACACGGCCGCTGGCGTTCAGGACGGTCAGCTTGAGGGAAGCACCGGTCTTGGCGTCCATGTCCGAGATGAACTTCTCCTCCTTGCTCAGCTCACGGCCGAAGGGAGCGGGGAACTCCATGGGGGGACCGGCGTCAACGTTGACCTTGTCGTCCCGGGAGGGAGCAGCCAGACCCAGGTTGGCGGGGCTGCGGGCAATAGCCCACTTGGTGCCGCACTCGAACTCAGCGGTCTGGTCCAGCTTGGCAGCCAGATCCAGGAAGTGAACCTCGGCGGAGGTGGCATCCGCGTTGGGGATGACCACCAGAGGGTTGATTTCCAGGTAGGTGAACTGGCAGTCGACGTAGACGGCATACAGGCGGGAGATGAAGTCCACGAGGACGTTGTGGACACCCTGGGGCACCTTGCTCAGCAGAGCAGCGGCGATCTCCTCGTTGGAGGGGTACTTCTTGAGGTCGACGGGGATGAGCAGCTTCTCGGCCTTAGCATCGACATCACCGACGTCGACACCACCCTCGTGGGTGAAGAGGATCCAGTCACCCTAGGGACCGTTAGCTCAGAACGATTCAAAAACTCGCGGGAAATGTAGAGATCGACTTACCTCACGCACGGAGTTGATGTTGATGTAGTACTCAGTCTCCTGAGGGTGGGGGACGAAAGGCTCGACCAGGAACTGACGCAGGACACCGGTAACGGTCTCAACCTGGACGTCCTTGGCGGCACGAGCCTCAATCCATTCTCTGGCCTCCGCCCAGGTCTTGTTCAGGGCGAGCAGACCGCTCTTGCCTCGTCGCTTGATCAATTGGTCGGGCTTAGCGACGAACTTGGAGCCGGCAGCCAGCAACCACGGGTAGGAGACCTCAGCCTGGTCGAGGACGTCCTTGACGGCGGCGTCTTCGGGGAAGTAGATGGAGGCAAGACGAGAGGGAGGGTTGTGGGTGGTCGAAGGAGGGAGGGGAGTCGGCTTGATGACGGGAGCACGAGTGAGGTGGTAGTTCAGGATGGCCTTGCCATCAGCCTCGAGGATCGACTTGGCGGACATGATGAATAGATGGAAAGAAGGATAGGATTCAAAGGAAGGAGAGAAGACGAGGAGAGGGAGGAGAACGAAGTAGGAGTGTCTAGGAGGATGGTTAGGAGAGAGTAGTGAGAAGAAAGAGTAGTATGGGAAGTCAACCCCAGATTAAGAGTATAGGACAAGAGAAATTGGAGGGGGAGGGAAGAGAAGAGGAAAACAAAAATATTTTTGTTTTATTCCCAGGCTTGGCGGTAATAAAGAACAGTCACCGAAACGAACAACTCTCTTAGTTTCAAGGGGGGGCAGAGAAAAGCACAGATAGGGGAAGAATCCGAGGAAAGAAAAAAAAAATACTGACCGAGAATTAACGGGATTGTTGATGGTAAGAATTGGAGAGAGGGGAATGGGGTCTCTTTTTTTCTTTTTCCGCTTCCCAAAATTGCTGGATACGGCAGGATGGGTGGCCAGCCCACGCCGTAAGATACGACACCGCCTGTACGGGCAACCCTTCAGGGCCGAGCTCGGGCAGGCAGCGGAGCCACTAGGCCCAGAAGGGACTGGCGCTGTTGAGATTCGGTGGGGAAAAGCGGGCCGGAGTTAAACCCAGAGTGTCAAGTTGCCTTCGTTGGGGACTGCTGGCCCGGGTATTTAGGCCTCAGTATCTGCCCTACGCTGTAGCCTCAATACTGAACCCCCTTTGATGGCGCTGTTGCGCCCTCACGGCCTGCTCCGGATGGCCCTGCGCCTTTTTGTTGGGTGCGGATTCGGTTCGGTTGACGACCCCGTCGGACGCGATGAGACAATTGTCCAGAGTTCGGCCAAAATGGTCTGATGCAGCGCCCGCCCGTGCCATGCGGTCGCCGTATACTTCCCCCCGGTGATGTCAGTCTTCAGCCTCCAACCGCCGTCAATCCACAGGCCATATGGGCAGTTCTGGGCACCGTCGCGCTTCTAGAAAAATCCCCTCGACTACCGCAACCGTGCTACGGGCTGGCCGGATCAGGCAAGAGGGTGCCTGAGGCGAGCTCGTCAGGGCCGGCGACCGCGTGATCGGGCGGGTCGAGTCGGTGAGCACCGCCTGGGAGCTGCCACCACTAGACCAACTAGCGTATCGGCCCCGTCCCTGCACCTTTGGGAAGGGATCTCCACTGCGCTGGTCCCAACCGGAACGCCTCCCTCGAGCTAGGCTCCTAGGACGAGATATTCGCCGTATTACGGAGTACGGGGTCTCCCGAGCTCATCGTCAGCCACGCCTGCAGCAGTCCAAGCATCCTTGTCCGGAACAGGAAGCAGAGTTTGTTGAGAATGGCCCGTCTGGTCCCTCCGCAGTTTAACGGAGTTATCCTTTGTGCATCCTGGCCTGGAAGGCGTAGTGACGTGACTGAGTACTGTAGGTAGTATTCTATAGACTGCCGTACTAGGAATCCTCTGTACCTATCTGTATACTGCAAACTCCGGACTCCGTTTTTGTCTCTACTTAGTACTTTCGCTGATGAACGGCTGTGAGAGCATCCCATTACCGAATTCTATGACTGTGCCTGACCACCTGCTCCGTACGGCTATTATTATCATCTCGCTAGTTTCAACTGTGTACGTTGACGCTTTGCCCCAACTAGAAGCTGACCCAGCCAACGTGTGGCTCGTTTCCACGGTACGATACCGTACAGGCGATCCCTCCGAGCATACCTGACCCCATCGAAATCCCGATATCGTTGCCCCTCCATTTGGTTCTTTTTTTTTTTTTTTTTTTTTTTTCTTTTTTCCATTTAATTTTAATGTTTTCCAAAATTACATACTCCGTACACTCGGTTTTATTTTATTTGGTTATCCCATTATTATTTTTTTTCCTGCTCTGCTCCCATCGATTCGACTTTCTCCATTTCTTTCCCATCAAATCCACTTCATCCATTATCTTCCCCCCCCTCCAATTCTGTTTTCTCCATCTCTGGGTTTATTGTCGTTTTCCTCCTTTCCTCTCCCACACTTTCCCATACATCCCCTCCCCTTCTCCCTAGGTTGCAGTCATTTGTGACTTACTGCTCAACCTATCCTCCCTCTCTTACTCTCTACCTAATAATACTTTTAATTCTTTCTTTGACGGATTTGTTTAGAAGTGCTCTGTTGACAGGTATGTGAAGCCCTTGCAACCAATTCGTCGCTGTCTGCTTTCCCAAGACTCTGCGGACCTTCCTGGCCATTGTTTGGTAAACGACAAGCTGACCGTCCTGGAATTGACAGAGTAATCAATCATCATGCCTGCTTCTGCTCCTTTGGTCAGCGCCGGCGGCTCCAACGCCAACGACAACATCACCCGCTTCGAACCCCCCAGCCGAGTGCTCTCTCCTCACAGCCACACCCTCTTCCACAACAAGACAAGATGTTTCGTCTAGTAAGTGCCCCGAGAATGCGAGGCCACGGGGACCAGGAACAGGCGTTGACCGTTGTCACAGTGGTATGCAGCCCCGTGCTGTCCAGGGTATGCTTGACTTCGACTTCATCTGCAAGCGTACCACCCCCTCCGTCGCCGGTATCATCTACACCTTCGGTGGTCAATTCGTGAGCAAGATGTATGGCAATCTCCGCATCCTCCCCGGGTGAAAATACTAACCCCGTATCTAGGTACTGGGGCACCAGCGAGACTCTCCTGCCCGTCTACCAGGATGTCTCCAAGGCCATGGCCAAGCACCCCGACGTTGACACCGTTGTCAACTTCGCCTCTTCCCGTTCCGTCTACAGCTCCACCATGGAGCTGATGCAGTGCCCCCAGATCAAGTCCATCGCTATCATTGCGGAGGGTGTCCCCGAGCGTGTATGTGATAACCAAAGCTCTCTTCCCGGGATTCCTAGCTAACAGAATGTCCAGCGTGCTCGTGAGATCTTGGTTGCCGCCAAGGAGAAGGGCATCACCATCATTGGCCCCGCCACTGTCGGTGGTATCAAGCCCGGTGCGTTCAAGATCGGTAACACCGGTGGTATGATGGACAACATTGTTGCCTCCAAGCTCTACCGCAAGGGTTCCGTTGGTTACGTCTCCAAGTCCGGTGGTATGTCCAACGAGTTGAACAACATCGTGTCCCAGAACACCGACGGTGTCTACGAGGGTGTTGCCATCGGTGGTGACCGTTACCCCGGTACCACTTTCATCGACCACCTTCTCCGTTACCAGGCCGAGCCCGAGTGCAAGATCCTGCTCTTGCTCGGTGAAGTCGGTGGTGTTGAGGAGTACCGTGTCATCGAGGCTGTCAAGAACGGCACCATCACCAAGCCCATTGTCGCCTGGGCCATCGGTACTTGCGCCAGCATGTTCAAGACCGAGGTGCAGTTCGGTCACGCCGGTGCCTCTGCCAACTCGCAGCTGGAGACCGCTGTCTACAAGAACAAGGCCATGCGCGAGGCCGGTATCCACGTTCCCGAGACCTTCGAGGACCTTCCCCAGATCCTGAAGGAGGTCTACGACGCCGAGGTCCAGAAGGGTGTCATCAAGCCCCAGCCCGAGCCCGTTGTTCCCAAGATCCCCATTGACTACTCGTGGGCCCAGGAGCTGGGTCTCGTCCGTAAGCCCGCTGCCTTCATCTCCACCATCTCCGACGACCGTGGCCAGGAGCTTCTGTACGCCGGTATGCCCATCTCCGATGTCTTCAAGGAGGACATTGGTGTTGGTGGTGTCATGTCTCTTCTGTGGTTCCGTCGCCGCCTGCCTCGCTTCGCCAGCAAGTTCCTTGAGATGGTTCTCATGCTCACTGCCGACCACGGTCCCGCCGTGTCTGGTGCCATGAACACCATCATCACCACCCGTGCCGGCAAGGACCTGATCAGTGCCCTGGTCTCAGGTCTGCTGACCATCGGTTCTCGCTTCGGTGGTGCTCTTGACGGTGCCGCCGAGGAGTTCACCAAGGCTTTCGACAAGGGTCTCAGCCCCCGTGACTTCGTCGACGGCATGCGTAAGGAGAACAAGCTGAGTACGTTGCCCATTTGAATTTCCGCATGTCTTGAATCGTTTTCTAACCTGCCTTATAGTCCCCGGTATTGGTCACCGTATCAAGTCCCGTAACAACCCCGATCTCCGTGTCGAGCTGGTCAAGGAGTACGCCAAGAAGCACTTCCCCAGCACCAAGCTGCTCGACTACGCCATTGCCGTCGAGACCGTGACCACCTCCAAGAAGGACAACCTGATCCTGAACGTTGACGGTGCCGTCGCTGTCTGCTTCGTCGACCTCATGCGCCACTGCGGTGCTTTCTCCCCCGAGGAGGTCGAGGACTACATGCGCATGGGTGTCCTGAACGGTCTCTTCGTTCTCGGCCGTAGCATGGGTCTGATTGCCCACTACCTCGACCAGAAGCGCCTGCGCACTGGTCTGTACCGCCACCCCTGGGATGACATCACCTACCTGCTCCCCGCCCTCCAGAAGGGTGGCTCGGAGGGCCGTGTCGAGGTCAACCTCTAATTATCTATACCGCATTATTAATTGTCTGATTTTCCTATGTTCCTTTTTTTCATATACGCGGTGGAAGTGGCCAGTGTGGGATGCTGGTAATTTCGTCAAAATCCGTCACGTTATCTGACGTTGGAGTTCTGATGGCTTGTGTTTTGCATTGTTTTCCTTGATCCCCTTTTCCTTTCCCAACTTACAATCTATAGTGCGCACATGTGGCATGACTAGCTGATAAGGTTGATGAATTCTACGCAACTGAGCATGGTGCTATAAGCATCTGGTTTTAGACGAATCACAATACTACGGCCTTGACCGTTCAATCCAATTGTTGAAATTCAGCTATTCTATTCAATTCAAATACACTCGTAGCTGTAGATCCGGAGTGTCCGTGTCTTGTTATTGTAGTTGGTTCTGCCGCCCTTCTGGAAGGCGACGAAGATCTGCCGGCTTCCCCACTTCGGCGAAAAGCCTGACCTTTCCCGACGTAGAAGGACCAGCTATCGATCTTCAACTGAACTGATACAACAAACTCTTTCATCTCATCTAATTTCTCCCTAACACCAACCCCCAATCGACCTACATTCAAGAAAACCAACCCAATGGTCCGCCTCAAACACCGCTACCTCCTCCTCGACATCCTATACCCCGACCCCTCGTCGTGGCCCTCCACCGCCCCTCAGCGCAAACTTGCCTCGGCGCAATCCCAGTCCCAAATCCAGATCCACGCGCCCACATCCGATGCGCTCACGCAGGGCCTCCTCGCCAAGATGGTGCGCGAGGAAGTCGCCGAGATCTTCGGCGACTGGGGGGTCGGTCGCCTGGGGAGTGGTCTGAGCGGTATGTTATGCGACTTCTCTCCTCTGCTTTTCATATCCGCCCAGAGTTAGATGTTTTTTTTCCGGACGCGTCTCACTAATGTCTTTGCTTGGTTCTATCTAGTCAAATACCTTTCTCCCGCAACATCAACAGCTATCATCCGCTGCCCGCGCGCATCCTACCGTCTCGTCTGGACCGCCCTCACGTATATGTCCCGCGTCCCGGAGTACGGGAACCCGAGTCGATCGAAAGGCGCCGGCCCGGCACTGACGAGACCGTGCGTGTTCCGTGTGATCAGAGTCTCTGGGACGATGCGCAAGGCCGAGGAGGAGGCGATTCGGCGCGCGAGAAAGGAGATCGTGCGGTTGAGAGAGGCCGAGGAGGTTGGGGTTTTGGGCGATTTGGTGGGTGGGCTTGCGGAGGGGGGTGCCGGGGTTGTTGAGGATGAAGGGGATAATGGGGAGGAGGTTGTGGATGTGGATATGGATAGTGATGATGATGATTGATTCGGTGAATCAATGGTGGTGGGTGAGGGAGGAATAGCAGTCATAAATTGGGCGAAGTTTTCTTAAGTCATTAGAGATACCCTATGATACACATGTATAGTATAGAAACGAATCGGATTCATGTCATGATTTTCGCACCACCTTCACACCACCGTCGGGGATGGGTCCTCGGGCGAAATCGTCATCATCATCGCCGAAGTCATCGTTCTGACCCGTCGCCTGGGCAGCTTGCGCAGCCTCCTCTTTGGCCTTCGCCTCGGCTTTTAGTTCGTCGAGCTCCATCTGATCATACTCGTCTTTGGCATCGATCCACCGTTCCTGGACATCACGAACATCCATCGTCCCCAGTCCTTCCCGAACCGCGACCTGCCAGACACTATCATTGGCACCCTCCGCAGGGCCAAACACATAGCCGCTGGCTCGATCGATCACATGCAGCAGGCTCATCATGCTCTTTTTATCTTCAACCGCCAGCGTCTCGAACGCAACCAGCCCGAATTCCTCCACGAGCTCAACGATGGCATTGTTAAGCGGTCCGAACTTCTCGTGTGACAGGCGGGAAGACTCGGCTTCTAGATGCGGAAGGAGGTATGAGAGGTCTTGGACTTCGGTGTAGAAATCTAGATTAAACGGGAGGGGCGAGTAGTTTGAGAGGTTGTCGATCTTGGTCAGGACGTTGAGGTGAGGGAGATCCATTTGGAGCATGGCGCGGAGAGAGAGCAGGAGGGCGGATATGAACATCGACGGGAGGGTGAGGTTGTAGGAGTCAATTAGGTGGATGACGACCAACTGGAATCATATCAGCATGGCATTCTCAGATACCAGATGGTGCAGAGTTGCAGAGAGTATACGCACTCGATATCCCAGTTTCTGTAATCTGAAGAAGATATTGCGTAACGACGAATGGTGCGTAAAGATCTCAACCTGACCCGGGCAATCAAAAAGAACATAGTCATCTATAATCGCCAATGCATCCGTCAGTATATGCAGACAGCGGTCGATGTATCGCAAAGAATGCGCCTACCTCCGAGCCCTTTCAACCCCTCCTCCAGCCAGTCGTAGTTTTCCTCCACCTCCTCCATGGCATACAGAATACCTCCGTTCGGACCCAGGTGATCTTCACTCATAACCTCCTCCAGCGTGACGAGGTCGCGGACGTCCAGCGCACACGGATACGACGTCTTATCATTTGCGGGGTCCAGATTCACAATCGAACATTTGCGGCCAATCGCCCCGAGGAACTGATGCATTCCATTGCAGTAGGTAGACTTGCCCGCACCGGGGGGTCCGATGACCAGTTGCGCAAAAGGCATGGCGAGCCACCGAGGAGGGGAGAGGCAAAAAAGATCAGATCTGATCGATGAATCAGCGGAAGTGGAGGAGATGATCTCGAGGTGCCGATAATGGCGGGGGAGAATATACAAAGGCGGCAGCAGCGGGCAGAAAACGGCTGAAAGAACCAAGCTTCGATGACGCCGGCCGATCAACGTCTCCAGACGCAGCGCGCCGTTTTGCTAGTACTTTGTCCCGAATCATGGCTTCAAGTAAGTTCCTGGATGGCCCCGAAATACTGACATACTGCTAATGCTCTCTCAGATCAATTCACTGTGGCTTCACCGCCATCCGACGCCATCTCGGCGCTGAAGTTCTCCCCCGATCCCAATTCCACGCGGTTCGTTGTATCGTCGTGGGACAAGAACGTCTACCTGTACGAGCTGCGCGATGAGAACGGAAATGTAGGAGAGGGAAAATTGCTACAAACATTCGAACACCGCGCCCCAGTGCTGGATGTGTGCTTTGGCGCAAACGAGGATGAGATCTACACGGCCGGGTTGGACTGGGACGTCAAGAAGTGAGTTCCGTTCTCCTGGAAGCCCTCCACGCCTGCGGATGCGATGCTGATGCCGTACAGAATCGACATTGGCTCCTCGACTCAGACCGTGCTGAGCAGCCACGACGCCGGCGTCCGAAGCGTTGTCTACAGCAAGGAACATAGCCTGGTGATCTCGGCGTCCTGGGACTCGACACTACATGTGCACCGCACCGACGGCACCAACACCATCCCTGCGATCATCCCCCTCCCCTCCAAGCCCTTTTCCATGTCCCTCACCGCCACGAAACTGGTCGTCGCCATGGCCTCGCGCGCGCTGAACATATACGATCTGAAAGCCCTGGCGCTGCTCACGGCGCAGGCGGAGGGGACGGTCCCGAACAAGGTCGAGGTGGAGCCGTGGCAACGGCGGGAGAGCAGTCTCAAGTTCATGACGCGCAGCGTGGCCTGCATGCCGGACGACGCGGGGTATGCGTCTTCGAGCATCGAAGGGCGAGTTGCCGTGGAGTGGTTCGATCCGTCGGCCGAGTCGCAGGCGCGGAAGTACGCGTTCAAGTGCCATCGCCAGACGGCGGACGACGTGGACGTGGTGTTCCCGGTGAACTCGCTCTCGTTCCACCCCGTTCACGGCACCTTTGCCTCGGGTGGCGGAGACGGAGTGGTTGCGCTGTGGGATGGCATTGCGAAGAGGCGAATCCGGCAGTACCAGAAGTATCCGTCGAGCGTGGCCGCGGTGGACTTCAGCAGCAACGGCAAGTATCTGGCGGTGGCCATCAGCCCCGGGTTTGAAGATGGGAAGGACGACGTGGCCGAGGGCGCGGTCGCGATCTACGTGCGGGAACTGGGAGAGACGGAGGCGAAGGGCAAGGGCGCTAAATAACTGATTGCAAGTAAGTCGCTTCGATGATGAAATTGGAGACTGCTTATGACTAGTCATGGGGTCTCGACATGAAATGGCCTCCCTGTAATCTTCCCTCTCCATCGTATCGGATCCAACCGACCATGCAAAACGAAATCTCCAAATTTATGCTAATATATCTAAATGGTATCATCTTCATATCTTTCCACCGTATATTCATCTACAGAGTCGGCCACGAAAGCTCTAGGCGGCCCTTCGGACCGACACGGAGCCGTCCGGCATACCAAAGTAGGCGGCGACGGGCTTCTGGCCTCCAATGCCTCCCTGCGCTTGGGCCTGGGGTCCCGTCAGACCGGAGAAGATACCCACGTCCAGGACGCCGGGGATCAGCTTGATGGCTTGGGAGAGGGCCTCGACCTCCCAGACTCCGTCCTTGCCGCTGCCATCCTGACCGGCGGCCACGTCCGCCTTCGTCAGCAGGGTCTTGAAGGGCGCGTCGATGATGTAGAATCCCTGGTCGGTCTTGAGAGGACCCTCAATGGGGACGTTGGGCTGGGGAGCGGAGCTCAGGCGCACGGCCGGATCGATGCTGCCGATTTCCTTGAGCGCGGTGACCACCCGATGGGCCGCATAGGGGGCCACCTCGATGGGGATGTACTTCCAGCCGGACAGGAGACGGGATTGGAGTTTGCGCGAGTCTATCACTGCGTCAGTCTTCACGCTCCCACGGCCCTCCCCACCCATTCCTACTGACCTGCGACACAAATGAACTCCTTCGCCTGGAGAGCCACGATCTTCTCCTGGAACAGACAGGCACCACCGCCCTTGATCAGGTTGAGATCGTCATCCACCTCGTCGGCACCGTCAAAGGCAACGTCGAAGACGGTTCCTTCGGGGATTGAGTCAAAGTCGATGGCCGTCAAGCCATGGGAGAGGATGAGCTGCTTGGACTGGAAGCCCGTCGGGACGTATTTTGTGTTGGAGGTGTCGATGCCGGATTCCTTGATGGCCTTGACGACGTAGACGATTGTCGAACCGCTGCCAATGCCGACGTATTTGGCATCCTTGGGGTAGTGGTTGTCGACGGCGGTCTTACCGGCCGCGCGCTTTGCGTCTTCGATGATGCTGGCCATTGTGGACGAGGACCGAGGACGGACCGTGGCGGAATGAAGCGGGGTAAGAATCGACGAGAAGGAGGGTCGAGGCAGGAGAGGACGCAGACGAGAAGAAACTGGAGCGACGCCGCGCAAGAACCGGATTCTGGGCAAGTATTAAATATCGGACACTTCGAGCGGCTGCAGATACCAGATTGAGGAGGGAACCACTTTCCCGTGTGGGGGGGGACGAAGGTTCCTCAGGCCCCTCAGGCCCCTCCATTCAGACTCACCCAGGAACTGCGCAGCGCGGGGGAACAGACGCCATCGCCGGTCGGGGCTCTCTTCTCCGCGCCGTCAATGCAATTGTTGGCCGGTCAGCGCCGGGCCGTGCCAATGAAATAATTAATTAATCCCGGGGGTTTGGGCGGGGTGACATCGACGCAGTACTTCTACAAACTGCGTAGTAAAAGTGCAGTGAAAGTGTCGTCATAGCGGCTGGGCAGCCTCAGGCCATCGGTCAGGTGACCGGCGGGCGTCTACTGGCCGCCGTCGCTCTGTCAACACTTCTACCTACTAGTTCGAGTTCGACTAGGCAATCGTCATCGGGCTGTTGATTTGTCCCTGTCAATTCCTCTCTTCTTGTGATTCTGTTATTTGTTCCCTTCGTTTCTGTCATCGCTTCCCATCCGTCCCTCACGATTACCCCTCATGACGGAGGACTTCCCCGGCGCCCTGGTCGGGCCCTCTTCGAAAGAGAGAAAATACGACCGTCAGCTGCGGCTGTGGGCGGCCAGTGGCCAGCAAGCTCTCGAGGATTCCCGCGTGCTGTTGATCAACAATGACGGGCCCTGGACCAGCCAGGACTCTGGCGTGGCGGGCGTGGCCGGGGTGGAGACCCTCAAGAACCTCGTCTTGCCGGGCATTGGAGGATTCACCATCGTCGACCCCGCCGTCGTCTCCGAGGCGGATCTGGGCGTGAATTTCTTCCTGGAGGAAGAGAGTCTGGGCAAATCCCGCGCCGAGGAGACCTGTCGCTGGCTGAAGGAGCTGAATCCGGATGTAGATGGGAGCTTCTACTCCAAGGTATCTACCGTAGACCCTTAGATTGTGTGCCACGAGTGATGTTTATTCTAATGTGAATTACTACAGCCGGTTACAGAACTTCTACCAGACCCGGGATTTCTCCCGCTGCACAAGCTGGTAGTGGTGTCGGGGCCGATCAAGGGTTCGTCGCTGGATGCGATCTGCGACGCTGCGAGGGAATACAACATCCCGGTGCTGTATCTGCGCTCCGTTGGCTTCTACTCCAGCTTCTCTGTTCAGCTTCCGGCGTTGTTCCCCATCGTAGAAACCCACCCTGACCCGGAGACGACGCAGGATCTTCGTCTTCTCACTCCCTGGCCCGAGTTGTCCGCCGCTGCTGAGCGGATCGGTAAACTCGATAGCATGGACGACCATCAGCATGGTCATGTGCCGTACTTGCTGTTGCTTCTGCATCACCTGGAGCAATGGAAGCAAACGCACGACGGCAAGGTTCCTTCCAATTATAAGGAAAAGACCGAATTTAGGGAGCTGGTGCGGTCGAGCGCACGAACCAAAAACCCGGAAGGCGGCGAGGAAAACTACGACGAAGCGGTTGCGGCGGTGCTGAAGGCATTGAACCCCTTCAGCCTGCGGAGCTCAATCCGTGAGATCTTCGAGGCGGAGGAGTGCAGGAACCTGAAGCCAGAGTCTACGGATTTCTGGATCATCGCGGCCGCTGTCAGGGAATTCTACGAGAAGCATAAAGTGCTCCCTCTTCCGGGGTCGCTGCCGGATATGAAAGCTCAGTCGGCCGATTACGTCTCCTTGCAGAACATCTACAAGGCCAAAGCGAAGAAGGACGTGGAAGAGGTCACGAACATCGTTCGCAAGCTGGAATCTCAACTGGAGGGATGTCGCTTCCTGGAAGTTCAACCAAAGGAGATTGAGGTGTTCTGCAAGAACGCCGCCCACATCAAAGTCATCAACGGCCGTGCCATCCCGCGCGTGGACGGCGATGCACACACTCTCAAAACCATTCGTAACAACTTGAGCAACGAGGAGTCTCTGATCCCGATCTATATCGCGTTCCAGGCCCTGGATGGAGTCGTGACCGAGGTCCAAGAAAAGAATACCGCAGGGTCCCTGGAGGACGAGACGACGTGGAATGGCCAAATCACCCGCATCGTCAATGCGCTGAACCGCGATGACCCCTCGGCCGTGGATGAGGACGCCTACCAGCGGATCCTGGATGCCGTGCAAGAGCTACGACGCACCGAAGGCGGCGAACTACACAACATTTCCGCCTTGACGGGTGGCCTCGTCGCCCAGGAGGTCTTGAAGGTGCTCACCCGGCAGTATGTACCCTTGGATAATACTAGCATTTTTGACGGGACGCGCAGCCGCAGTGAGATGTATAGGCTGTGATGCATAGTTGGCTGGAGAGGTTGGTGAGAATTGGCTGGCAATATTGGAGCCTTTGCCAGGTCCGTAACGAGAATACCTTCGATGAAATGAATTGACGAATTTGAGCATTCTGGCTGGGTCTCAGGAGTAGAATGCGTAGAACATATTCATCTTCATGAGCAGCGGAGTAGAAGAACCACATGCAATGCTGGCAGCCTGAATGCCTGAAACGGGACCTCGGCTCAGGTTTAGTTCGCGACAACAACAACCGAAGACCTCTCCGCTGCAACCCAGGTGGTACAGAGGCAAACCGAGCAGAAAGGAGAGCGACGGGACCCTGCATCGATAGGGCCAGCAGACGGTGGGGACGCAGCGTGAAATGGAAGCGACGTGGAAGACAAGAAGAAGCCCGAGGCACGTGCGCCGCCAAGGTTTAGTGCGTCCGCCGGCGGATGACAAGTTGGTCCATTGCATTGCTCTCCGTTGCATTCATTCCTTTCTGCTCCACTCCACCTGGGGGTTGTGATGCCCCATCTGTTCATCTGCACTCTCTTGCTATTCCATGTGATAGTGCCCTCCTGAGATCTGCTCCTCGATCCCCCTTTCCCGTCCCTCTGGCCTCCGAAGCGGATGATCCGCTTATCACCGCGAATCCCTCGGAGGGATAGAGATTCGGAAATATCCCACCATGTCGGCCCTGCAAGGCCCTGAAAGCGTCCTTAATACTCCGGCTGCCACCGCATCGGCCGCACAATCACTCACCAACGCAACCGCCATCACCAACGCAACCGCCATCACCACCTCCATCCTCTCCTCTCCGCGCGACCTCCTCGCCCTCCCCTTCCGTGGCCTCTATCAGGCAGAACATTTCGCATTCTCCACATTGCCGAGACGACTTGGGCGGCTGGTAGGATTACAGGAGATGGCTACGCTGTTTGGGGGAGGTAGTGCAGGCGCAGGACCGGCCGGTGATGTGGCAGTTGCGACCACTCAGGCGGCGGCGAACGCTGCTCGAGAAGGAGTGGCGGAGGCGGTTGGCCAGGCTGACACGGGTCACCATCTGACGGACATACTGCAAGCGTTGATCAAATTCAGCGGCTTCTTTTCATACCTCACGAGTCGGTGGTCGTTGGCCTGCTTCACGGTGGTAAGGCTTCCCCACCGGAGAACGTTCATGCCGGGTGAATGATTCTGACCTGTCCAAGGCCCTTATTCTAAACAGGATCACCATATATGCATCCACCAGACGACCTCTCCACCTTGATTGGACCCGACGACTGGCCTTGAGAATTATTCCCATCCTCCTCTTTCTGACGCAGGTTCGTTCCCTACTCCGTGCTATTCGGTGCCAGACATCCCCAGACTACTCGCTCCTTCGCTACGGCTCGCCCGGGAAACGTCTGCTGTTTGACTATGGGGGAGGTGGGGGCCTACTGCATTCCCTGGGTTCTACCCTTCTGCCATGGGAGACGGATGAACAATCATGCAGTGCGGTGCGCATGAGTCGCCCCACGAGCGCGTCGGACTTCTCGCGTGGGTCGTTTGGCCTTCTGTGGCCGGTCTTTTTGCGCCTCTGTGTGAATCATTTCGTGGAGACGCTGTCATGCGCGCTACAAGGAAGGGCTGTCGTGACCGAAGCCGGGATGTCTATCTTTGAACATTCGCTCGCGTTTGCCGAGGCAGAGTCGACAATTACCCAATCCCTCGGCTTGGGACTATTCGGTCTACCCAAAAGTGCAAAGGACGATTCTAGTGACGGGAGCCAGAGTGGCGCTCAGATATTGAGCAGGGCGCAAGTCTTGGAGCGTATGAACATCACGCCAGAATTGCTTCTCATCGCCCTGATCTCGTGCTGCAACAGCCTTACATCGAACCTTTTGGATGTCTTCGGCAAGCAGAGCCGTTATCGTTTCGTGAATACCGCCTTCTGGGGTCTTTGCTTCATGTCCACAATGGCGTGGGGCCTATTCAATAGCTTGACGGTGGGAAGCGACAGCATGGTGCTGAAGTTCCCTACCGTATGTATCGTGGGCTTCATACCGCATTTAGCCATCTTCCTGGGTATCATCGTATGCGGAATCATCTACTCCCTCGCACTCACTATTACTGCGTTCTCGCTTCCTGTTGAGGATCCTTCGCAATCGTCACTTCGACAACGGTTTGCCGTGGCGCATGAGAACATGCAGGGAGCCTCACAAATCCAAAATCTTCGTTTCAATCGACATGAAGACTTTTACACAGCCCTGCTTCGAACCGGATATACTGCTTTGACCGCTGCCAGCGAGGCCGTCTTCCTGAACGAAGGTCAGGGCGTGGTTGCTCGAAACATGACGTGGTTGGAAGAGGACCGCCTAGCCGAGATAGAGTCCTCGCGACAAAGACACCGGTCCCGCCATGGCTGGAATGCTAGTGCTCAAGGTGGGCCATTTGAAGGTGCTGATGCCATGAATTTTGATTTGCCCCAGGCACCGCCCGAGTGGGAGAGTGGTTATGGTCGGGAGAAGAAAATCGAGAAACCAAAGAACGGCTCTCGATCAGTGCGCTCACAAACCGATGCAGGAGGCGTTGGTGCCTTCCGAGGAGCAATCCGATGTTACCATGGATTTTCATTCTTCAGAGGAATCTTTTATCTCCTTTTGCGGTGGCTGGCTCGTGGCCTAGACAAGCTGCTGAGTAAACTCGGCATCACTGCACGCCCACAGTGGCTCGGGAAGATGATCGGGCCTCGCAGAAAGGGGGCGCAAGAGATAAGGAACGGTGATAAAGTTGAATCGTTGGACTTCTGGATCCTAACGGATGAGGGCGAACTGGAGTTACCGGGCAACCACGAATTCGATGTCGAGCGAGAGATGCGCAAGCGCGAACGCTCAAATATGATGGATTGGAGACCGGCAGATGAAGGGCGACTTGATGAGAAACTCTACAGCTGGTGGAAAGCTGGGGGCTCGTGGGGAAACCAGGATCACAGTGCGGACTACATTCCTTCTGTCGAGGACGTAGACGACACGACCAGCGTCGTCTCGATGTCCACAACTACCGATTCCGAATGGGAGGACGAATCCGATGGCCGCCGCACACCTACGCTGGCTGAACCTTTCCCACCCGGATTTTCTCGAGAAAGCACACCGGCTCAAGAATCGCTGATGGATGTCAGCTCTTTTGCGCGCCTTCTCGACCCGCGGGACCAGGAAAGCAGGCAAGAAGCACGCATCCTAGCCGCCCATCTCTCTGCCGGACAAGAAGGTCGGGTTCTGACTCGCCGTCGGTTCCAAGAGCAGGTGGAGCGTGAACGAGCCCAGATCCTCGTGTCCTCCAGGTTGTCTCAATTAGACAGGCCGTCGAGCAACGAGAAGCGACGGCCCTCGCCGGAAGAAGAGAGTGAAATCCTGGAGAAACTCATCCTCTCGCGTCGTTCCCAAGCAGCGCCCGTTGACGGGCAAACCTGGGAATCCGGAGCCTCCGGGCTTGGACCCAGCGGGCCGCCTTGCGTAGTGTGCCGGATGAACTCGCGGTCCATTATAACCTGGCCGTGCCGATGTCTCTGCGTGTGTGAGGACTGTCGAGTGAATCTGGCGATGAACAACTACGGAAGCTGCGTGACTTGCCGGCAGGAAGTCGGAGGATTTGTACGGCTATGGGTGCCATAGACATAAACTTGTGGGCTTTTCTTCTTCATATGTGTTATTTCTTTGTTGATTCCGGATGTCTGCGATTATCACATACTTTTTATTTTTGCTTTGGCGTTGGCATCATGAACATCATGCATCTGGCATTGCCCTGTACTTGGGATAGTCACTCCACTTTCGATAGCGATATTACTCTAGCATAATTCCCATTTATTCTCCCGTGGTTGTATCCAACATTCACCAGTATCCAGTATCATCTTCCTTTCGACGGGGGACCATTCCCAACATTCGTACCCGTAAAAAAGCCTAGGCGACGACCTCTCACACCCTGAAGTCCAGAAACCGTTTCGAGAGCTGAAAGTTGTTTGTTGATCACATATCTGGACCAATCGCAATCTACAAGGTTCTACAAAAGCACCAAGATAGTAAAAGAAACCAAGGGAGAAAACGGCCCATCAACAAGTATTCTGATATAGCAAGCGACCTGGCATCGATTATTGAGAGACGTAGAAAAGAAACAAGAATCAAGACACCCGAAACGCTCAACCAAGCTCACAACAAGCCTATGAGATCGGATGGGCCTGCTCTCCATTCCTTCCATCATGTGGTGCCCGGTCACTCTAGGTAGGGTAGGAGACACCATCTGGGCAAGGGACAGAGGAGACAAGCATGGCGAAGAAGAAGAGGATCATAGATCATAGATGGTGGAGTAGAAATAGGAACAGGTATATGCAACGAGTCTCAGTACAGAAAGACTGCGCATGAGTATTCGGAGGCAAGAAAAGAATAAAGAAAAAAACCAAAAAGGCTGTATATGGCACATACAGCCTGAACGCAATCTGAACAAGGATCGTCCATACATATCATAGCAACATCCGAGTCAATCTGCCCTAAAGTCGCGTAGGGTATGCAGAGGGAAAAATCCCGCTCTAGAACAGACATACGGCGGCGGCAGCGGCGACAGCCACGCCGACCATGTTATCCCTGTTTTGGGACGCCGCACCGGTGGCGAGAAGCGTGGAGGTAGTGGCTGACGGCGCGTGAGAGGTGGGCGAGCCTGCCCCCGACGATGCGCGGCTGGAGGAACCCCAGCCCGGCGAGGAGGAGCCAGGACGAGACGACGAGCCGGCATGGCCTGACGAAGACACAGTAGGAAGGGTCATGACTCCCGAGGTGGTCTGGGCCGAACCGGAGGTCGGAGCAGCAGTGGCTGTAGCAGTAGCAGATCCCGATCCAGCTCCTCCAGCTGGCGGCACGGAGATGGGGTGACCGGCCTTAGCACACTGTTCGACGACAACGCTGGAGACAGCTATTTGGGAGCATGATGGGTCAGCGAAGGAAAGACCGGTGACACGGGAGATGAGAGAAGATGGATCACTCACTCGCCTGCTCGGGCCCGGTGCAAGCCTTCTGCACGCAGGGCGTGACCGTCTGGACAAGACCGGGCTTTTGGCAGTGACAGGCAAAGTCAGTCAACTGACTGCATCCATCCTTGGTGAGGGCGTCGACGAGACATTGCACCTATCGAGCGGTCAGTGTGGGCCGGTCATCGAGAGACTCGTGGGTCAGGGCGAGGGCCAATTCACCGAGCATTGGGGGATGTTGTCGAACTGCGCACTGGCGATGCCAGCAGTCAACAGGGCAAGAAAGACGGCAGAGAACTTCATTTTGGCAGTCCAGAAGCGATGCAGCAACTGTGAGGAATCCTCGAGACTAGAATACACGCTTGGGGATGGTCAGAAACGAATGTCTTGTTTGGAAGGAGGATCGGCCAGTACGTAACGAGTGGAAGTTGGTGGGCGAGAGGACATTCCCCAGCGAGAGGGCGAGGGGAAATAAGAGGGGCTTTTATATCCTCTCCATCTGGGGATCGTGTGGGAGTCGCATTCTGTGGATCTTGCGTCACATGCGCCTGGTTTGGGGGGAAGCTTGACGTCTAACTGACAGCTTTGTGCGCTCATCGCCAGAGCTAGTCGCTGAGCATGGCCCGAACACTGCCAATCAGGCGCCCGCATACGTACCATGTAACCTTGACAGTGAAGCATAACTGACTAGGTTAAAACCATCCCCGCCATTGAGATCGAGGGAGTTCCGTCCTGACGTGGTACACGTGTAGCCACAACGCGTACTCCCCTCTCGCAGACCGTAAACAAAGAACCCTCGCAGAGCCAGTCCGGTGAGGACGGTGACACCACACCGGTGGCAGCAAGAATAGCCACCATACGGATGATATCTGCGTGGAGATGTCGCATCGCCCGGCGGAACATTTGCTGCCGTGTAAGGAGGCAAGCGAGGCGATAGGAGCCCGCCCATGTGATGACGGGAGGCATGGCTAATAGGGGTCCATATCGCTGCTGCCTGCACGTAAGACCCAGACGAGAAGTCAGAACCTTGTCCTCTGACTGGATGCGGTTCTGCTGTGCGGCTGTCGGTCTGTGGATGGGAATGCTCCCTGAGCCCGTTGCCAAGCAGGCCAGACATGGTTGGACAGGCGGTGCGTGTCATCCAAGTGACATTGAGCAATGAAGTTTGCCGGAAATAGCTTCGGTTTCTTAGACCTGGAGCTTTTCCAGGGCTAAATTAGGAAACACTCAACCGGGTTGACCAGCCGTTGTACTCCCTGGGTTAGACAGTTCATCTAAAACGTGCGACCACAGGTAGACAATTGCAACCGTCACATGGCTGGAGCTGACGCATGCATGGACGAAGGAGGGAGAGGGCCATTTTCTTTGTTTCCTTTCAGCCGGGTTTGATCCTTGAGACTATCGCTCAAGAGCACCAAGTGAGACAGCAACGAATCCCCCGTCGTTGATAGAGTAAGCCTGAACAAAATCAAAAATATCACATTCAAAGGGTATGTACAAGTTTCCAACGCCCTGCTGAAGTAAAGATATAAACGCCGTTGCCCTCCGTCGGTGTTCGTATTCGAGGTTAAGTCATGGTATACAATGTAGCCGATGGTCCTCAGGACATGAGTTCATCGACATAGGCTCGTTGCTTTGTCTCGTCCTTTTGCTTCAGCAGCACGGCCAGGACCTCGATGGGCGGGTCCAGGCCCAGCATGTTCGCACGTCTCCAACGCTTTAGTCGAGCAATTCCAATGCAGGGCTAGTTCGATGGTTAGACAAGCACTCGTCAGGAAAACTGAAAGGAGCTGAAACAAGGGCAAAGACTGAACGTACCCCAAACTGACTGGAGAGATCAAAGTGTCGTAGAATCTTCTCGTGCAACGAGAGCTCTCCTTGATGCACTGGGACGAGAGTTAGCCGCGACAGCCCGGATGGCCTCAGGTCACTTGCAACCCACCTCGAGGGGCCTTTCTCTTGGCTTCTTCCTGCTTCCAATACCGTTGTAGTTCCCTTTCGGTGATCTTCAGCGCCTTCTCGTCTTCCTCGGTCAACGGTTGTTGGATTTCCGTTTGCGCCTGGTCCTTCACGGCGATCTCCGCCACATGGGGTTCGGACGGGGTAACGGGGGATTTCTCGGGTTCCGATACCACCTCATCGGAAGGCTTCCCCGGGAGGATCGTGAGAGCATCGAGATCCTTTGATTTCTGCGAGGGGGTGGTGGCCGAGGGTTTTGTGACCCTGGACTGGGAGCCAAAGGATAGCGTGGACTGGCCGGAGCGTTGAGCAGCGGTATTGCCACCGCGACGACGAGCAGGAGGCATCTTTACGAGTGTAGTCAAACTAGCGATCTTTCGAGATCTGAGCGATGGAGTAGAGATCGATTTGCGCACGAATAAAGGGAGGTTGTGCTGGAGAGCCAGAAAGATGGTGCAGGCCAAGCGGTGGTTGTGGGGAATGACGATGTCATCGCTGGTTGCGCCGGCAACGGAAGTCTACTTCTCTCCAACAGATATACTCCGTATACTTACGGAGTAGATGGGCCATTGTTCATAAATCCTAGTAACAGTACGCAAATCCTGGGATTAGATTCATCCCTCAAATCATGATATGGCCCAAGAGCTGCTTGATGACATCGATTCACCCTCCCCGCTCAGGTCAATAAAGCCTTCATACAACTCTTTGATCGTGCCATAGCTGTCCGACCAGCATTTCTTGATGATATCCCCATAGAGTAGGCCGCTTGTTGGAGGGAGATCATCTGGCTGCGGCCAGCGATCATCTTCAAAATAGTCACAGTAGAAGACCTGCTAGGCTGCCACAGAGTAGATGATACATCCAAGGCCGAGTATGTCGACTCGTGACAAAGGATCTTCCCTGCAGACGTCTTCCATATCAGCATCCAACGCCCACATCGCACTATTGGCAAAGTCCACGGCCTTCAGACTGCCATTATCGACCAGGATATTGTTGGGTTTCACATCCTGGTGGAGGACTTTTCGAGAATAGATATACCTGAATGTCTCCAGGAGCGATGGAATCCACATGGCGCGGATTGTTTCCGATGGCTTGTCATGACTTTGAATGTAATGTTCAAGATCGCCTTCCTTTGCATATGCCAGTCTGATCGCACCGATTGCTTCATCATGGACCCCCAAGTATGGAACAACCCCTTGGTGATTTCCCAGTCGCTCGTAGATCAGTGCCTCGTTCATGATCATGTCGCGGAACATCAGGTTGTATGGATCATTGTCAGGAATGACCTGTGGATGTTTGACAACAGTATCTTCATCGACTTTGCAGATGGTTTCGGAGAACCCAAACGCTATACAATTCGGCGGGTATTTCACGTGCACAATCGTCTCATCAGACTGCTCGATGGCATTCTATCCAATCGAATTAGTAGGAGGTAGTTATAGCGTCGCTATTTCACTGACATGCTGGACGTGTGGAGTTGGTGGTCCTGCAGATTCGACGTCCTTGTCGAGGGCTGTCTCGCCGAGCTGGAATTGAAAGAGATGGACTCCCCCCACGAGATTGGCGAAGAACGACCAGAGCGATGGCCAGACCTGCCAGCGAAATGGAATTGTCAAAAGCCGCATAATCATCTCAAGTGGTCACATTCTCCTCAGGAGTAGAGGACATTGACAGAAGTTGGGGGTGGCGGTAATTCAAGATCTTGAACCAGCCTTAGACATCTACTAGTCTGACTTCTTTCATTGATTAGAAGGCATTTTCCAAGCGCCCGCCAACTGTTACCCCGGGAAAAAGAGTACTTGTTTTCATCAAGATGTACTATTCATTCGAGGACACAATCGCTCAATTCTTTGCTAACTGTACCGTGACGAGGGAGCACTGCGACCGAAAAGCAGCGGAGTATACTGGGGAAGCTGTCCAGCCAGTCCGCATCCAAGGGGCATTCAGTTACACCGTCGCAGCGGGCAACATCCTGGTGCAATTCCGTGTCTCTGGATCCCCGTTGGACATCAAGACTCTAGCTCTGGCGAGACAAATCTATGGCAGGATTGTGCCCGCCTGTGTCGAGCGAGGGATTCTTGGGCCTCCCCCTTCTCTCCATGTGTATGTGATGGACCATGTCCCCGGGATCACCTACATCGAAGCGCCTTTGACGACACTCCGTTGCGCTTCATGGCAGGAACAGGCAGTCTCGGATCTGGCAAGGTACTTTCAGTATCGGTATGATGGGGACTGCAACTGATCTTTGTAGGTTTTTTGCCAGCTCGTGGGTGAACCGACTCCGGCAGCCTCGTCGCTCCTCGCACTCCTTGCTTGATCTTCAAGACAGACTCGCCGTCTTGTTACGAGGGCTTCCTTCACGCTTCACCAACGCCATCACCCAGATCCTTGAGGACCTCCCCATGATCTTCCTTCCTACATACCCGCTGGTTCTGAGTCACGCTGACCTATGTGAGATGAACATCATCGTCAACCCCGAAGCTGGTGGGATCAACGGGATTATTGACTGGGCCGATGCAAAAGTGCTACCATTTGGGATGTCCCTGTGGGGGCTTCGCAACATGCTGGGGATTATGGATTCGAAGGGATGGCATTATCATGAAAATGCCCCCAGACTCGAGGGATTGTTCTGGGAAACATTCTACCAGTCCGTGGGAATGGTTTTTGGTGACGGCAAACGGGCTATTCAAGTTGCTGAACGGGCTGGATTGCTTCTGAGGTATGGCTTTACTTGGGAGGATGGTGTGGTCGAGAGGCCAGTGAGTGAACAAGATTCTTCGATGAGATATTTGGACGCATTTCTACCTGGCCTGGAGATTTAAGGATGGGGCGACGATGGTGGCGATGAGGGTTATGTTCAATAGGACTTCTCTTATACCTTCTTTATTCTTTTCTTTTTTCTCTTTTAAATGCAAATCATTACAATCCAGGAATCCTTTACTCTATCCATGATCTGGGGGAATAAACTTTTATCTCAGGAAGATTTGCGACGCTGAACTACGGAGGACGCTGCGTAGAGGTGGAATATTCTCCTACTCCACCCCCAGTTTCTCCCCAGTTTCTCCCTCACTGCAACAGCCCAGGCACAGCTGCAGTCTGCATCGGCCAGTCTGCAGCTCCCGAGGGACTTACATATGTATATGTAGGGGATGGACCGTCAAGGCCTAGACGGTCGTTATCCCGCCCTTCGAACTATCCCCGCGCATCGTTCGTGATTCCCAACGGATGCATTGGCGACAATTCCCGGACCGGTCCATTGGATATGGAGCATACTGCAGTGGATGTCGATCGATCGGAATGGTCCCTCTGGTTCATGGGATCGCAATGTCGAGGGAGATACCGAGCTCCTTCGGTCTCAGTCCTCCATGTGGAGCGGGGAGGAATTGGTTTCAGTGACGGATTGTTCGCGAAGGAGTGTGTCGAATGGAGATGGACGGAGGCAATAGATCGAAAGGACTTGAAGAGAGTCGATGAATGACGGGGAGATGGCGAGGTGATTACCGCAGAGAGTAATGTGTCAATAAAGGACGGACGGGACGGGAATCGCGTGCTTTCCAGGGATCGGGAGAGTCGAGACGAGGCTGGGTCTTCGTACTGGAAACTCCGTCGTAATACTAACCAACTAACCAACTAAACTAGTTAACTAATAAGAATAAGCAGTAGCCGCCCTCACCTTCGACCTCCCCCCACATCGGCGGCAACAAACACCTTCCTCTGCGACTCTCTCGCCCGCCCCCTTGCTCTGCTCTGCTTCTGCTCGCCATCGCCAGCTCCTCCAATTCCCCACTCCCTCTCCTTCACCACTTCCACGACCCTTCTCCTTGTCCGACTCCTAAGGAGTTCGCCGGCCGCTTACCGCACCTGCGCAAGGCTCTCGGCGCAGCGCGATCAAGCGGCAATCGCTCTGCTCTCCATGAACCGTCCAAGACGATCCGGCTCGTCGACTGTGCTTCCTGCCCGGACATCCCCCGGAGTGCCTCGCTGTGAACGACCGCCGGCCCATGGTGGTGCGGGTGCTGCGCTCTCAGCATGGCCGCCTTCGTGCGAGTGTCGGGGCCGCCGAATGGCCATTTTCTGATCGGCTACCCCGGGATATCTGCAACGATGGTGAGTCGAATCGGGTTCTCTTTGCGTTGTTGCATGCGCTCTGCTGGCGCCCCCTACTGACCCGCCCTCCAGCCTCGTATTGAAGGGAAAGTCGAGATTCGCCCCAGCGTAGGCGTCACCGCCCCTGTCCATGTGTCGCTGATCACGGTCTCCCTCCACCGTCGCGAGACGATACACCCTTCGGCGGACTCGATGACGAAGAAGCGTCTGGCACCTCCTCGGAAAGAGATCACGGATACGGTGGGCAAGGAAATGCTGCTGTTTCGCTGCCCCGCAGGTCGAGAATTCGAGGAGGTCATCTCAATGGATCTGCCGTTTGTCCTGTTCATTCCGTTCGGGCGAGGAGGGCCGGACGCTTCGCGGCGAGTCCCTCCGGCGAGCGTGCAATTGCCCAGTCGCACGGCCGAGACCTACTACGAGATCGTGGTGATGGTGCAGCAGGGGCATTCGGAGCAGAGGAAGTACTCGTTCCCCGTGCCCATCACGCGATATGACACGCTGTCCACGTTCGGCATGTACAACCGCCCGGAGTCGTGCGAAAAAGTGAGCGACCACCTGGTGACGCTAGGGATATCGCTGCCGCGATGGTCCTACGGCCCTCTAGACCCGGTGAGCGTCTACGTGAAACTGTCCCCCAACCAGGACTGGATCAGCAAGGCGCGCAGGGTCACCATCAACAAGATCACCATCGCAATCGACGAGGAGATCATCTACAACCACGAAGGCGACGAACCGCAACGGAAAGTCAAAACATTAACCAAAAGAACCGAGGCCATCGGAGTGAAGCTGCCGCCGTCGGGTTTCTTAACAAATCTGGGCCTGGTGTTTCCGGCAAAGGACATGCGAGATGCGGAGGGAATCCTGCCCCGAGGGAAATCAGCCTTTCCCACCTATGCGGTCAGCGGGTTTACGACCACGGCGAGTCTCTACAAAATCGAATACTATCTAATAGTAAAGGTTGGTTCTCCCCTACCCCTCTCAGACGCCGCCAAAGTGTCTGCCTCTGGAATGGCCCCAGGACTGATACGTCTTAGGCCCACCTCGGGTCCGCACGAGACATTATCATTCGCCATCCGATTGTCGTATGCCCCCTGGACCACGCCGGGTGCAAGGAGGAAATGGAGGCCATCGAGCAAGCGGCTCGAGAGGCCGTCCATGTGAACCCCGATAACCCCATGTTGCCTCTGCCCTCGATCGTACGCCCTACCGATCATAACGCCCTGCGGCACCTGGGAGTGGCCATTGTCGGCAAACAAAAGAAGCCACTGATCGACTGAGCAATCTTCCCAGTTCCGCTCGAATGTTCGGACACCCTTATTCTACCCTACAGATTCTGTGCGAGCTTGCCTTGCGACATCTGACATACGCATTCTATATATGGTCCATCTCTGAAGGTGACGGGAGACGACCCAAGCAGCGAGCATCACGTCCCGATTCCACTCTGCTATCAAACATAGCACAATCATGTCTTTACGAATGCATGGGCCCCGGAGTTCCGCTGTTTTCTCTTTGAATTGATGCATGGTGTTCCTGATAGCCACTGTTTTGTATTTCTTGTTTATGTCTATTGAGCTGGTCCGGGAAAATAGGAGGTGTTGGGGTTGGCTTTGCTTAGCGGCAAGGAGTATTTATTTGGCCCCAGGCCACTCGATCCAGTCCTGCGTGCTTCTCCAGCGGCGTATTCTCAGGTTCAACGTGTAAGGTTGGCAGCCCAGATCTTGAAACCAGCCCCCAACACATTCCGCGGCGACTCAGACCCTCGGACCCGGCCAGAAACGAAGGGAAGGTGCCACAGCATACGCAAAGCAGCCGAGTCTTCAATACTCCCCTCGCGAGGGGAAACAGCGGATCGCTCTCCGTTGAGTGGTGGGCGTTGCGTGCGATGTCCGTCTCCCTTGCCCGGGACACACCAGCCAGCATTCAAGTGATTCCCGGCAGTGTGGAGGAAGGTGTCATTGGGGTCCTGATGGGGACCATTCTCCTGCTTTCATGCAGATGCCGTGTTTCCAATTTCCAGGAAGCCCATGGCCAAACTCAGCGTATCGGCATCCAAGGCCTGGGGCTTGTGGTCCTGATCACGGTCGATCCTTCGGAGGCAATCTTTGAGGATCTCAAGGACGGTCTGGTACTGCCGAGAAGAAGCACCGAATGTGTTTAGGGCGTTGTTGAGATTCACCGAGATCTGAAGATGCAGGAATATTGTTTAGTGAGGGGTCGCCGATGGACTGGAGATGAAGCTTTGTGTAACGTACCTGCGAGAGAATCTCGTTGTAGTTGGGCATATTGCCCGTGGAATCAGACATAGCGAAATGAAAATAATTCCAGCTGCCCTGGTCTACCTGTCTGTTAGTGTTGAGCCTGACGAAAGGAGATGAAGAGAAGAAGAGGGAGTGACAGGGAGTGACGTGGGGACCGTCGATCTGATAAGCTCCGACCGCCGAGATTTTTGTCGCGATCCAGAAGTTCCACCTTTTGGTCTCTCCCTCTACCTCTTTCGCTCCCTCCACTCATTCTGCAATTCTTCCAAAATCTCCAAATTTGGGGACCCTTTCACCATGGCCGACATGGACGAGGCTGCCGTTCACCTCCCCTCCAATGACTCCGCGCCACACTTCGAGACCGACCTGTCGGACGAGACGCAGGACTTCCGCATGTTGAACAACATCTCATTGTTAGTCCCCTCTACAATCCTGTGCTCGAGTCCACCACTAGCCGGTTCCACCCGTTGACATCAATGCAGTCTCACAGGCTCGTCCCATGCCACACTGCCCAAGCGCGGTGAGAAGGACTTCGAACCGAATCCCACCCTCCTCCAAGCCGATGTGCTCGCCGCGTCGCGCGAGGCGATGCACAATGCCCTTGCGCATCCCCGGTTCCATAATTCCAAGAACAGAGTCGTGGGATACTATGCGCCCGACGGACCGACGCCACCTCCCTCCGCATCCACTCCCCAATCGGTAGAAACAACATCAGAGAATGCACCCGAGCCCAGTGTGTCGCAGGACGACGCGGAGACCCAAACCCAACTGAAGAACGCCGCAGACACGGGGTTGGGGAATATTTTCGCCGACTCGTGTGTCTGCATCCCGAATCCCAAGGGCAACATGTTCAAAGCAACAGGCCGCGCAGATCGGTGGAACCGCGTGTGGCTGCTGCCGGAGGAGGCACTGTATCTTCTGGAACGAGGCAGCTTGGACATCCGGTGGCCCTCCGCGTCGACCGGATGTGACGAGGGAGGTGATACGGAGGAGACGACGATCCCAATGAGCTTGCAGGCGGCGTATGCATGCTTCGTTGGAAGCGGGGGGCTGACCGTCGAGCGCTTCTCCGTCTACACAGGGCTGAAACGCCTGGGTTATTCCGTCTTTCGCGCGCCCGGATGGTACGATGATGCGGACGAGCCGGCTCCCGCAGAATCGCCCCGGCAGGGTCCTGGACTCGCTGGCATCTATGGGCGGTTCTTGGATTGGTTCCATAAATCCAGCACTACAGCCCTTGGGCCGGTGGCTGGTTTGGGAATCCACCGTAGCTACAGTGAGTTGCCTGTGTCGATGCTCGTGCAGGCCTCAAGGTCGTGGTGCTAACCTCTCACAGATGACATCTATCGCAAGCTCGCCATTGTCCCATGGTATGACCCCACCGCTCCCAAGACCGACCTGCCACGCACAGAGGCGCCATTCCGCGTCGTGTTCCACATCTACAAGCCATCCACGACGTTCCGCAAGACCGCCCCTCCTCCGCCGGACTTCCGCATCGCCGTTGTCGACGCTCGGACGCAGACGACCATGCCCACCATGGCCCAGCTGGGTAGTCTACTCGACAACTCCCCGCTGGACCCGCCCCAAGGCGAGAAGATGAGTCGGGCGCTCTACATGCGTCTACGACAGGGATACCGCAGCGTCATTCTGGCCGTGGTGGACCAGGGCGTGGTCAGCTATCTGCGGATTGCCGACGCGGCCTTTGGAAAGGAGAAGCTGTATGCATTCGAGGCTCCGAAAGGGAACAAAAAGGGCGGCTTTTCACGGCCCAATCCGAAAGGACGATGAACGAGCTCGACACGTTGCAACCGTTTCGACAACACTCCATCAGACTTCTACAGCAGTAGAAGCAAGATGAAGGGACGCTGAAGCATGTCTCTCCTATTTTTGTGAACAGACTGTGAACACTATGAACAGACCCTGCAATCCATGGAACAATGGATGAAGGGGTCTAAAGGGAGATATGTACTGATCTGCCATCATCTTTAGAACGTCCGTCCATGAAGAAAGGTCGGAAGTTAGATGCCAGATGGCTAAGCTTGTGCTTGGTAGTCACGGCTCGAGTGCTCGCTCGCTAGTAGCCAGCACGCAATACACCTGAACTCCGATGTACAGGATAGAGGACTTCGAGAGATGAAACCGAGAAATCAACGCCATCTGTAGTTCTAAGCGCTATACAGATCTAAGACAACCATCCCTTTTCGTAACCCAAACCATAACATATCGTTTTCAGTAAAATCATATCCCGTAAACATCAGGAAATCGAATCGAGTCCTGCAAATCTTCACTCAAAAGCCATCAGCACAACGCACGCCAAGTATCTCCAAGAGAGGGAATGAAAAACTCACATCTACACCCACATCACGTATCCAGATAATCCGCCGCCATCAACAACTCCAGACACAGCTCCGGTGGAATATCCATATCCGGCACATTGCCCTGGTTCTTGTTCTTCTCGTTGTAGCAGAAATACTCGCAGACTTTCTCCAGCACAATACCGCTGATGTTCTCGAGGGTGCAACGACCCGTCAAGGCTTCGGAGAATTTACCTACACGTGGCAAAAACAGTCAGCACCCAGAATCCATCTAGCTCAAAACGTAAAACCAAGCAAGAGGAAAGAAAGAAGCGGAATCCATCGATCACAGAGCGAGAAAGCGTAGACAGAACGGGTGTGGGTGTACTGACTCGACGGCTCTAACATGCGACGTATCGTCCCCGAAATGCAGGCCGTGCTTCTGGGAATCACAAACTCAAAGCCATCGCCTGACACGAGCGTCACGAACTCGAACTGAGGGGAGGAGGAGGAAGCCATTGTGGCGGAGGAGCGTGTTGGAAGACAAAGAGCGGCGGAGGCGTCGAGACTCGTCGAGACTCGCGGGTGGTCCGTGCTCAAGCTGGACGGATTCCGTTCGTTCGTTCTTCAGCCTTCATTGGTTCCAACTTCATATATTTCCTGCAATTGAGATAACATCCCGGAATAATTCATTCAGGTGTTATATTATCTACAGTATCCATTTGGTGATATTTTGCTAGTAATACTCCTACTACTATGGACGCACACCCATCTACACCCCTACCCTGACCTCATCCAAGCACCAACCAAATAGTTCCTACATCCAAACTACATACATCGACGAAATGAATCCCCTGCTCCCTCTCCGAGCGTGTCGCACAAAAGCACCGCTCCTTCTAGCCCCTAAACCACTCCCCCTTTCTATTCGAACCATCTCATCAACCCCCATCAAAGACAACTACCCCATCACCAAAACCCCCGGCACCCAACTCTCCGGCCGAACGTGCCTGATCACCGGCGGGTCCTCAGGAATCGGCTACGCCATCGCCGAGCGGTTCCTGCACGAAGGCGCCGAAAAGGTCATCGTCGTGGGACGGTCATTTGAACGCCTTGCGCATGCCGCGACACGTCTGCAGAGAGCGACGGCGGCGGACGAGAGCGTGACTCTTCCGGACGGGGAGGTCGCTGCTCGCGCTCTAGAGGAGAAGGATGGTCTGCGGAGCCCGGACGATCAAAACCAGGACCAGGCCATCGACCGACCCCCGGGATCGCTGGTCCCGGCGTCCGAGCGCATCAGTCTCCTAGTCGGCGATGTATCGGAGGCGAGCGAGTGGAATCGCGAATTAGAGAAGGCGATGGTATGCCCTCTATCCTACCTTGACGCTACCCTACCCTTCCCTGCCCTGCTGGGTATACCCCTTCGTAGAGAACGGACAACGCTAACCAACGCATAGCAAAACGTAGACATCCTGGTCAACGCAGCGGGGATCTCCCTCTCCAACATCCTCGCGAAGCAGGAACCAGCGGATATCTCACGCACGCTGCGCACGAACCTCGAAGGCGCGATGCTAACGTCGCGAGCGCTACTCCGCGCCTCGATCCGCAGCAGACTCAGGAACCGGGGTCAAGAGCGGGCGGGCGGCCCAGTCTCGAAATGCATTATCAACATCTCGTCGTTGCTGGCGGTTAAGGGCGGGACGGGGGCGGTGCCGTACGCGGCATCCAAGGCGGGATTGCTGGGGTTGACGAGGTCGTTGAGCGTGGAGGCTGCGAGCTCGTTGAGGGATGTGGTAGTGCGGTCGAATGCTATCGTGCCGGGGTATATCGAGACGCCGATGATTGCGGGTATGTTTGTTTCTTTCCCTTTCTCCTTCGTGACCGTGATGTGTAGGATGGATGAGCTGACGTTTTGTAGACTTTAGTGCGGGTGAGACTGGCCGGTTGAAAGAAACTATTCCGTTGCGGAGGTTTGGCAAGCCTGAAGAGATAGCAGATGCAGCGGTGTTTCTGGCGCGCAACGAGTATGCCAACAATTGCGTGCTGAATCTAGATGGAGGGTTGAGCGCTGTGTAATATGATGATGGTGGGTTGCATAATATCAAATCAGATAGCAAATTCTATTCTGAGCAGACTTCGTGTTCATGATGTATGTTACAAGAAAGATAGAACAATAATAATAGAAAAAGAAGAGCGAGAGAATAACCCAACGCGACCGACCGACCAACCCCAGACCTTGCACCGAAGATCCCTTTAAGATTGAGAGAGTTTGTAAGACAACACCTCCCATTTATTCCAAATACTCCTCTAGATCTGTCTCATGTGGCATCATTCAGTCGTCGATTAGAATGGCTCCTCCGTTCTGCGCCTCGTCTAGAACAATTGGATGCGCCCCGTCACCGTTGCTGTCGCCCTCGACGACAGAAACACTGGCAACGCGTTTGACGCGGTCACCCTCGCCGTTACTGAGACCTGCTGTTTCGGCATCACGTTTGCGGCCGGCGGGAGCGTGCCCGTTCATGTATTCATCAGGAGCAGGGGCGGGCTTCTTCGGTTGACGCGGGATCTCCGGGACTTTGTCGAGGGAGACGGCCTTCTGCTCATCTGGTGTTTCGGATCTAAGGGGTGGTTAGCAAGTGTCAATGTGAACCAGAGCGAGAGTTAACTCACTTCTCCGTAGCGGCAATGAGTTCCAGATTCACGCGAGGTTCCGTGTCCTCTTCGTCAACCACCGTGATGAAAGTGTCGTCTTTGATTCCTAGATCGGACAGTTTCTTGGGAAGATTGTCTTCGAGGTCTAGATCGTACAAGATCCCCTGCTCGGTGCTGATCGAAACCTCCTCGCCATAGCCCAGTTGTGATTGGAGAATGTCTTCTACGAGATTGCCAATCGTGGCGCGTTCGGGATCAAATTTTAGTCGGCCATGGGCAACGGAGCACACTGGACAGTTGGGATTCGGCGGTTTCAAGGAGTCAGAGTTGATCGCTCGGGCGCCCGAACGTTCGAGGAAGATCTAGTCGGAGAACCGTTAGAATCGCTTGAATAATTGGAGGGCACAACGTACCATCTTCGCATGTTCGTAGTCATTATTCAAGACCTTCATAGCCTGGAGGACACAAAGACCGGCGGTCATCGCGTTTGTGGTAGCTATCGCTGGGATGATGTTTCCGGCCATTTCTACAAAAGTCAGTACGAGTGAAGGATTAGGTGCATTGGTGAACGTACGCTTCGTATCGAATTTCGATTTCGGGTCAATTCCAAATATCGTGGCGCGCAGGTTGGCACTGGCGGTAACGAAATCGAGGGTGTCGACGTCGTCCTTGTCAAAAACGAGAATGGGCTTGGTGTCGCCCTGCGATGACTCTTGGAGCTCTTTTAGACGTTTACTCAATCGATCCAGACTGTGACAGGGTCAGAAAAAACCCAACCATCAAATCCAAGGGAAGGCATCGCGAACCTGTCTTTGAAAACGACACAATCCTCCGCCAAGGACCATACTTTCTGATCCTCATTGGATACGCTGGGATGAACATCGGCGGACTCGGTCTGCACCTTCTCGAATTCTAGCGGCGTGGGAGGCTCGCGGGATTTCCACATGTCCTCCATCCCACGTAGCCGGTCTATGTCTTCATTGAAGACCTTCCCAAACACCCGCTGGGCAAATTCCGAGGATCCCATGGATTCGCGGATTTCTTTGAGAGCCTGAGCTTCTTTCCGGAGGTTCGCGATTTCTTCCGCTAAATTGGATCTGTTAGCCTCGCTCGAGTGGAATTAGCGAGACCATAGCCTACCATTGTCGCTATCTTCCGTGTTATCGAGCTCCGGTGTTTCGTCTTCACTGATCCCAAAAAGTTCACTGCAGCCGATGCCGGTTAGTTGGATGCGTTGGACATGCATGGATGGTACGGGTAGGCTCACGGAAAGAGGTAACTTTTAGCCCAGACAATACAATGAATGGGTTGGCTCGGGGTGCTGCGGATAGTGCAAACGGGGAACGACTTGGGTACCTCTTTGGAGTTGCAATCGTAGCATTCAGTCACCCCCTGTCAGACCGTCAGCAAATACCACCCCGACCGAAGGAATCCACCGTTCGCGACCAGTCGACCCTACCTTCTTGATCACTTGCACCTGTCCGTTGAATCCCGTCGTCCCACTCTCGACCAACGGCACGTCCGCAGCCAGGCACATTCGGTTGACGTGACGGCGGGCATCGAGGTTGTCCAACGCATTGAATACAATGTTAAACTTGCCAAACCAGTCCACGCCGAATTCGGTGTCCTTGATGTTCGCATGGTAGGCCTCCAGCTTCGCTTTCGGGTTGAACTTGTGTGCCACTTCCTTCGCAACCTATATCGGGACCGGTCTTGTCAGAGAAATCCATCGCAGGGAGAAGCAAATATGCAGGTTCGAGATCGGGGAATCCGGAGTTGATACGAGGTTGTCGTGTCGGGCGAACGGTCGGGAGGCTACGTACCAATGCCTTGGACTTCTTGATGTGCTCGAAGCGAAAGAGAAACTGACGGTTCAGGTTGCTCAGATCTATCGTATCTAGGTCGATAATGTGAATTTCGCCGAAGCCCGAGAGGAGGAGGTTTTTCAGCAGTTCGCATCCGATGCCACCGGCGCCGACCAGAAGCACTCGCGACTAGAGGATTAGCGAGAGATAGTTAGCGAATGCCGCAGATGCAGGAGGGAGGAGCCGGACGGAGTGTGTCTTACCTCTCTGATGCGGCGAGACAAGGTCCCGAGGGAGCGCTGCGAATAAGTGTCCCGCGCCATCGTTGCGCGACAGTCGACAGAGAATGAAAGGAGATATTACGGACGAGCGAGAGGAGTGAAAGGCATCGCCAGGTGAGACCGGCAGCGCGTGGAGCAGGGATTGAGGATGGAGAAAGGAGCGCAGGAGAGTGGGGAGGAGTGAATTGCCGGCAAGGCTTGACTTGCGCTGCTCCAGAAGAAGTGAAGGTCCGCCGGAAGTGAAAGCAATGACGACAGCCACGGGGGCCGCATCCAGACGGCGCTTCCTCCGTCCAAATCGCCCTCTGGGCTCAATTGTGCTCTACGGCGCCTGGCTCCCGCCCCAGACCTTTGTTCCCGCTCGGTTCTTTCTCTGCTCCCGAGCTCCAACGGGAGGCAATCGCATTTCCTTCTTGTTGCCGTTTCCCCGGGGCTTGTTCACAGCCGTCCTACGCAGCTGGTCAACTACGGCCGATCCGTGGAGGATACACCCCCGACCTGCCATCTCCATCCCCTCTCGTTCCTGCGCACGTCTGGACTGGACAGATCAGATCTCCCATTCGGCCTGACCCAACGGGACCAGGAACAGCGCTGCATCTCCCCGACACTCGCTGAAGCCCTGCAGGTCACGGGATCGGGCTGAGGTCAGCCCGTGTTTGCTTGTTTGCCCTGTTTGCTGGTTTGCCCTGTTTGCTGGTTTGCCCTGTTTGCTGCGTTTGCACCAATTGAACGGTGGCCTGTTCTTTCAGGCTGCTAATCCGGATGCCTAGATACCTTGCTGCCTGGGTGCCTGGTGTCCGGCAGTTTCTGCTGACTTTCTCCGAGGAAAGAGACTAACAGCAGGCTAACTACGAAGTAACTTTCCAGCATTTCTTCAAGAAGTGGATTTGCCCATTGCCCACCGTGCGGAACGTTCTAGAAGACTGGGATAGGAAGGTCGGAGTTGTCCGCTCATTCAGTCTCATCCGTGACTCCGAACGGGGCAGAGCGACCCGTAAACGAAGGCGAAACCATTAAAGTAAATATTACTCTACAAACGTCAAGATCATTGGATGATTGTGTCGGACTAGCGGTGCTTATTCTGTGGTTGGACCCTGTCCTGACATAAGCACCGTTTTTTTTTTTTTTTTTTTTTTTTTTAACCAGATGACTAAGGAGATAAAGAAATCCATTATCGATAACATTTTGGTCCCTCAATTGTTGCTCCTCGGCTTCTTCCTCCTTTTTTTTTCTCTTGCTTATACGAGTACAACATTCCCCCGGGGCAGTCTTTCCTTTTGGGCTCCGACAGCAGAGACCCTTTTAGGTCGCGAATTACCCACTGATCCGTCATAATAGGTTGGTGGGTGAAATTGGACGATCGTTTGTTCTTTGGGTCAACGACAAACCGTTCCTCTCTGGTGCCTGACGTGGAGAACTCCATGCGCTAAATCAACCATCCATTTTTCTGCTCGCTCCTTTTTTTAGCCTGGCATTCCTCCACTGGTTTTCAACATTTCTCCAAGCTGAGAGCCCGTCATTCAGCTCGCTCTGCCGTTTATTCGTGCTCGTTCCTGGACTTGCCGATATCAATCCCGCCGTCAGCATGTCCGACGATGAGGCCGACCCCGAGTTGCTCGCTCTCCTTCGGAAATCCCTAGGTTTGGGTGGGGGGCCGGCGAACCCTCAGGCCGCGGAGACTAAGGTTCTAGAGAATGCGCAGTATGTCTTCGACAATGCCATCGACGTTGCCTTGACCCCCGCCAGCGTCAAAGCCGCCGCCGAAACCATCTGGCGCCAGATGCAGAAGAAAGGCTACTCCACGCAAACATGGTCGCAACATGAATTGCACCCAAAGACCAAGGACGAGGCCACCGTCGATTTCGTCTTCACCATGGACCTACTCAATTTCAGTTTCTGGTCCGAGCTGCCGGATGAGAAACGCTTTGCCATCGAGTATCGCGGACGGAAGTGGACTGGCTACTGGAGTTTAGTCGCCGCATTGCAAAGGGCCTTGGATGAAGGTAGGTTGCTCAAACTCTATGCTGTCTTCAATTCGAAACCTCGCAATACTAAGACTCGCAGAGATCCCAATTACCACTCCCGAATTCTGGGCCAACGAGGATGAATGCACCGAGTCGTTGCTGAGGCACGTCTTCCGATCTGCAACTGACGAGGAAATTCCCTTGCTCAAAGAGCGACTTGAATGTCTGCAAGAGGCAGGCCGTGTCCTTTGTAAGGTACGTTTGGACTCCTCATGCCGTCGATTCCCATGGATTGCAACCCTGACCATTTCTAGGACTTTGATGGAAGCTTCTTGAACTGTATCTATAGTTCTAGCCGTTCGGCCGCTGCTCTCGTGAATCTTCTGGCCGAGAACTTCCCCTGCTTCCGTGACGAGACCAGCTTCCAGGGACGACGGGTGCGTCTGTACAAGCGGGCCCAGATTCTCATCGCCGACTTGTGGGCTTGCTTCAATGGCGAGGGCTTCGGTGAATTCCACGACATCGACAAAATCACCATGTTCGCAGGTATGTTACTTCAAGCATCAACAATTTATAACATGCCATTGACGAATCCTAGACTACCGAATCCCTCAAATGCTGCACCAGCTTGGCTGCCTCAGATACTCACCTCCTCTCGAGAGCCATATCCGCAACCAGAAGGTCATCCCCAGCGGCTCGACGTGGGAGGTGGAATTGCGCGCAACGAGTATCTGGTGTGTCGAGCTGATCCGGCGCGAGATTGAACTACGACATCCCGAGGCCAAGACGTTACTGGTCCCAGCCCCGGTTGACGACGCCACGTCAGACGGCCCTTCTCAGCATTTACAGGCCCCTGCCACGCAAGACGAACAAGAGAAATGCAGCACTCAAAAGCGTCGCAACAAGAGCGTGCACGAGACCAAGGGCCCGGGTCTCAACGCAATCCTCATAGACTTCTTCCTTTACGACACGATGAAAGAGCTGGAAAGCGACGGACAGGAGTCGATTCCCCATCATCGAACCCGGAGTATCTGGTACTAGACCTAGACTTTTGTTCATCCCTTTCTCCCTGGTTGCTCTTATACCCTTGCTGCTTCTTATTTATGGATATGTGGATAAATGTTTTGTGTCTTATTGCATTGGGGGTTCTTATAGACAGTGATACCAATTTTTGCTTCTGCGCGCTGGTAGCAGCGACGAACTTCTTGGATATGAAGGTCTCGGTCTAGATCGAGCTGTTTTCGCTTTTGTCTATCTCTGGCAGCTAGACTCTACAACATACTAGAATAACATGATTAGATTTGGAATCTTCAAAATTTTGACATTCTAAGGGTATCACAATTTGCGTCTCAAGAGACATGTTCTCTCAGTCAACCGGTATTCGGCCATGTCTTGAAGTCAGCCTCAGGCAACAGGCGGAGCAGTTCTCTCCATCTGCTCGATCCTCGCCATCAAATCCGCCTTCCACTCCACAAAATCCTCCCTCCGGTCATCACTCAAATAATCCACTCGATCCTGCATCATAGTCCCCAAACCAGGCAGCAACCCACCTCTCTCAGTAGCCTTCGAAAAGATCGACGCCCGACCCTTCCCCATCATCTTGGGCCGTTTCCCATCCCTCAACCCCCCATCGTCCTCATCCGCGCCAACATCCGAAAGATACGCCTCATCCCCATCCAGCTCGCCAGCCTGCGGGATGTTCTCGAACCACTCCTTCCCATTCGCCCAGCTCTGCTCCATGATCAGCGCAATCCACTGATCCACGTCGTCGCGATGCCTCCTCTCCGTCGTGGGAAGCCCAAGACTCGTGAGCGCTGTCTGCCGCATCTCCGAGAACGTCTTCTTGTCCATTTTGCGCGCCTCTTCGCCGGAGGGGACCTCGGTCGACGAAGGGCTGGGTGTTCGTCGTCGCGCAAGGACCAGGAAGTAAACGGCCACGATCAACGCATCGACGAGCTCCTTGAAGTCTTCGTCTTTCTCGCGGTCCTTGGCGAGCATCACGGGCTCCACGAACTCCAGCATGTCTTCGTCTAGCTCGTCGGATTCGCCCTCGTTGGCGGAGACCTTGGACACGAAGTACAGAACGGACGAGACTCCTGCGAACACGTGCGGCGGGAGTGTTCGTGAGATAGGAGGCCGGGACCAGGTGCTTGTTCGCGGCGCAGGCGTGGAAAGAGTCTTGCAGACGGTTCGGATGGAATTCATCACCCAGGCAGGCGCATCGGGGACGATCGAGGCGCCGGAGATGCCATTGGAGCGGAAGTTGGCGAATGAGCGGGGTGTTCGCGAGGCGGATGGGCTCTCGGGGCGAGTCGTTGACTTTTTCAAGGGGGTTGACTTGCTGGGGGTGTTTTGGAGACCGCGCGGCGTGGCGATTGTGGCTTTGGATGGTGTCCGGGTCGGTCTGGATTCTTTTGTCGGCGTCGACGGGGTAGAGCCTGTTCGCGAGGGGGTTCCAGGGGCTGAGTCGCTTGCTGAACGCTTTGTTCCTGCGGTGCTTGAGGTTAAGGAGCGATCGAGGTAGGAGTAGAGCTTTTTATAGGCGCGTGGTGGGCATGGCGGGCGGCCGAGTAAGGGAGGGAGTTTGAGGGCTCTGGTTAGCCTATAAATTGGACAGAAGATGATTAGTATGTCAATTCAATAGAGCAAGCCGAACGATTATCGTTCGGTGGGAACTGTACCGTTTACACGCAATCTCCGCGCAAGCATAGGGTCGTGCGATTTCTTCCTCGGGCTTCAGACTAGCAGACAAGCTTCGCGACTGCGCAACAAGAGACAGAGCCAAGCTGAGCAGCTCTTGGGGAATGTCATTTGCATGGGTGGGCACCAGCGTGCCCAGGGCCTGCTCGACAGGTCTGTTATTCATGCTGGACTGTCGGACGTGGTTTACTGACGAATGGTTGGTGGTGGATGAAGCTGTCCTGCTCGTTGCTATATCGACGCCTGTCATGTGACCGGCGGATTTGCTTCCGCGACGTCAGCGTTGAAGCTTCGTCTTTTCATCCTTCTCCCATTTCACGTCTTGGTCTCGAGTACTGTCATCGCAATCCATCATGTCTGTCACTGTGAGTGTTTTATCTTCCATCTTACTGGTTTCACCCCACGGGTACGAAATCCTTGCTAATCATCCCCGCAACGTCTAGCTTCACACCACGCACGGCGACGTGAAAGTCGAGCTTTTCTGCGAGGCAGTGCCCAAGACGACAGAGGTACGTGACTATATCTATTCGATGCCTGCCCTCGATGGCACCTCATTCGCTTTACGCACACCATTTCAGAACGCGAACGCAACATAACACTAACATCCCACCCCGCAGAACTTCATCGCCCTCTGCGCCTGCGGCGCATACAACGACACACCATTCCACCGCCTCATGCCCGGCTTCATGATCCAAGGTGGCGACATCTCCCTGGGGCCCGCAGGATCCGACACCTCCAGCGCCACCAAATCGATGCTTCCGTTCGACGACATCCCGAAAGGCGGCACCTCAATCAACCACCCCGGCGCACTGAACCAAGAAATCCACCTCCCCGCTCTACGACACAACACGCGCGGGATCCTGTCCATGGCGTCGCGACCCGTCAAGGACCGAACGGCGCCCGGATCGCAGGGCGCAACAGGCGCAACCATCAACGGGAGTCAGTTCTTCATCACGTTTGCGGGCGCGCCGCATCTGGACGGGGCGAGCACGGTGTTTGGGAAGGTGCTGAATCTGACGGCGCAGGATGAGGGTGGGGATGTGCTGTCGAGGCTGGAGAAGGCGAACGTGAAGGTTGATAAGAAGGGGAGGGTGGTGCAGCCGAAGGACGGCGAGACGGAGTACGAGTCGTTGAGGATTAATCGGGTGACGATCCATGCGAACCCTTTCGCGAAGTGAACCCGGGGTTGAGGTTAACGCCGATATGTCCATCGAGGAATGTTGCTATGGGATGATGAGGGTCGCCTTGGGAACGGTCCCTGGTGGAAAAGACTCTTGAGCGGCACGGACAGACGACATCACCGCTACCACGCCCGGTGTTTTGGTTTTGGGTGACGATGCCATTCGCGTGATGCGTACAGACCCTGTGAGTGTCGTCGACAGCCGTGTCTGCCTCACTGAGGTCGCGGCATCCAAGCATCCTTCGGCCGTCACCAAAGGCCACCATCTAAGAATGGCTTCCTGTCATTTCTCCGAGGGTTACTAGGATTTGGAAAGCAACCGTAATTGATTTACGGCTTGCAATCAGACTGATCTTGGTCGAATTGCCTTCCAAACTATCTAATGACATTTCCTTACGAACTATAGAATTTATACTTCCTGGGAATCTCAGTAGAAACGTAAAGTATTTCATAGATCATTTCATGGTATATTAACGATTACTTGGGCTTTTCAGGGCTTGATGGAAAATCTAGACATTATGAAAACGGACCTTCTTAGTTTTGGAAAACAGAGTATCTTGGTGTCGAAACAATGCCATTTATTCTAATATCATGCCACTGCAAGAACATCATAAAAATCAATTCACTTCTCGAACTTTTTCCAACCGTCCCATAGCAAAGAAAACCTGAAATGCAAGACAGTAAAGACAGTCACCCCAGCCACACCATGTAAAACACACCACATCTGCATCGGATATCTATAGGCATAAAACAACTCAAACGCATTTGGCAGATAGATCCACCATGTATGCACAGGACGTTACAGTATGAACAAATAAGAAGAGAGAATAATCATGCACATCATAAAAAGAAAGATAGAACCTCGGGGTATATCTCGATCACGACTTCTGCTCGGCGGCAGGCTCGTCCTTCTTCTCGGCGTCCTCCTCGTAGCCCTCGACCTTCATGTCCTTAAGACCCAGGTCCTCCTCCTCTTCGTCCGTTCGGGTGTATTCCTCGATCGTGATCTTGGGGTCCACGGCGGGGGCGCACAGGTCCTGGACGTAGCTGTTGGCCATGGGGTCCTCCATGGTCATGACGAACTTCAGGTCGCCCTTGATGGCAGCGTCCAGGCGGTTGAAGAAGCGCTCCCACTTCTCCTTGTCGGAAACGGCCATGCTGTCACCGCCGGTGCCGGCAGTGTCGTCGACGTCGAAGATCTGGCCGCGCAGCTGGTCGCGGATCTCGGTAAGCAGACCCTCGACGGTGGTGAAGCGACCACCCAGAGTACCGGGCTGGACGGAAACCTCCAGCTCGTCACTGTGGAGGGCGCAGGTGTCGGACTTGAGGATATCACGCGAAAGATCCACCTCGTCCTCGACCTTGAGAGTGATGCGCTTGCCCTTCTCGGGAACCTCACCACCGGTCTTGACCTCGCTGGTGCGGTATCCGCAGTGGTCGCAGACAGTACCCCAGATGAAGACCTCCTTGAAGTAGGGGATGTTGATCTTCTTCATGTTGACGAAGCAATCCTTGTTGCAGCCGGGACATTCGGCAGGCAGGCTGTACACTTGGCCATCGACGATCTCGGACTCGTCAACGTCGGCGCTCTCCAGGGTCTGACCCTCGCTCTTCACGGCGTTGGGGTCACCCGCGATTCCAAGCTCCTCGTTTTGCTCGTGGGTACGGGGGTAGTTGCGGCGACGGTACCGGTTTCCATCGTTGGTCGAGGGCGCGATCCACGAGTTGCCGGTAGGGTCGTCCAGGGAAACGGTGAAGGGGTATCCCTCTCTGTCGAGGATCTTCTGGAGCTTGTCGATGATGGGCTGCAGAGCGTCGTGGAGTTCGGGGGCCTGCGCCTTTCGCAGGGGCTGCTCGCTGGAGAGAGACTCGTGAATGCGCTGAATGACACCCTCAACCGTCGTCATCTGACTCTCGCCCTTGGGCATTTCGATACCCAACGACTCGACCTTGAAGATGGAGACATCGCTTCGGATAACCTGGCGCTGAAGATCTCCCTCGTTCTCGACGTCCAGAGTGTACTTGGATCCCTGCTCTTGAATCTGACCGGCGGACTTGACCGAGTTGTCCTTGAAGTGACAGTGCTCGCACTCAAAGGACTCGAGGATGATATCGCGGAAGAAGGGCACGCGGAGGAGTAAAAGTCTGGTAATTCCCTGCTCGGCGTGTCAACTTGCTTTTTCCTTTTCCTTTTTCTTGTTTTAAACTGTCCGATCAACAGGTACCAAGTACTTACATTGTCATGACAGTTCATGCACATACTCTCCACCTGCATCACACCGGTGTCATCATTCCTCTCCACCAGATCACCGGGCTTCTGGAACTGCGACTCGACGTTCGCTTCTGTCGACATTGTCAGAGCGTGTGGGGGGAAATGCTCAAATAAAAGGTGTAAAAAGCGTCGCGAATAACGAAAAGGTAGATAGAAAAAATTTCGCGGCTAGAATGAGACTGCGAGTGTTTAAAGAAGGACGCGACAGGTTGACAATAAGAGGGAAAAAAAATTATGGCCAGCGATCGCCGGAACGTTCCTTTCCCTTCCACTATCGCCGCGGCGGGGCAATTTTTTTGGAGGGGCACCGGCCACATTAGTCAGCCCTCCGTGGGATGACGCCAAGGCACAACTATGCAGTATGAAGATGAATTTGAAGAACATGGAATTGCAAGATGAAAATGAAGGATTGGCATTGGTAAAGGTATACCCGGACAGTCTGGTTTCAAATGACTGCTCAGTATGTTTGTGGCTATAAGAATATCAGGAGAACTATCCCGGAAAAAACGAATGCAAATGGAATTTGAATTGAGATATCAGGTATGCCAGAGCAAGGACAAAATAAAAATAAAAAAAATACGATATGCGTCGCCCAATATAACAAACAAGTTGCAAGTATCCGATGAAAGACGCTGCTAAATCGTTGGACTTCTCCTTCAGAGTAGTTAGCTATGTCAATTTATGAACGGAATCGGGAGCACTTATAAGGAAAAAAAAAGAGGCCGTTTCCTCCGAAAAGGAAACGGCAGTTGATGAGTCGGAACCAACTCCAGCAAGCGTCCGGCTTTGATTACTCAGAGCTCACAACGACCACCCCCCTGAAGCCGCCCGTCCCTGGAAACCAAACGCAATCACTTGATGATCGGACTGATGTATACTCTCTTCGTGATCGATTCAACCTGTCCGTGAATGCATGCAAGTATTCAAATCCTGCTCCCAAATGAATAACAACAAGGCAGCAGAAAAGCATTACCGACAATCCTAGGATGTAATCACTCTAATGAGGATCCTGCAAAGCTCACTGCTGCCCATGCTGCCAGACACCGGTTGTATCAGGGGCACGCTTATCACCAAAAGGACAAATATCAAATTTCACACGGAGAGGAGAGCAACTGGTGGCAGTCGAATCGTAACAGCGCTGGGTTCCGAGAGATCCATGGGGGCCAAGGAGAGTAAATCGTCGCAGAGCACGGAGAACCCGAAGTTGAACGACTAGGATGGAGATAACGACCCAACAACACCAGCATCAGCAACCAGTCTCACGTTCTTTTGCACGGGTAAGAACAGAATTTCATCGTCTCAAAGCAGGTTCAGTCGGATGCCTTTGACGAAAAATCTCCATCTCCTAACTCTTTGTCAACACGCCGTCCGATTCGTCAAGACAGCGTTCACAGTCGCAAGGCCCGGGTCCCTTGTGTGTAGTACAGTACCCCTCGGGACAGGATTTTGTTTCCTCTCCGCACCAGGAGGCTTTGGAGGGCATCAACGAAGCGGACAAAAAACATCCATAAAAACCGCTTCCTTCTCCAGAGGAGGGGCGACAATATGCCGCCTTGGTCGGCGCCCATCGATCTATTTGCAATCTACATTGCAAAGAGATGGTTGACACGGTCGATCAGGACCTCCGATTGGAGCGCAAAGCAGTGGCTGGTGCCGCGATTGCGGGATCTCTAGCCTCCGAAAGGAACGAATGAGCTGAAGATCGGAAGTTGGAGAATAGGTACGAGTTGCCCAGGAAACTCGAGGTTGGAAACATGTACGGAATGGTAGACGCCTGGTGGATGGGAAATGGGTGACATCAGTCCCAAGAGGTAACAATTGCGCATTCATTATTGATCGATGCCCGGAAGGTGACAACAAGCCGGAGGATTTTGGCGATATTGCATAGGCAGCAATCATTGGCCAAAGACCATTCCGCACAACAGTTCAATGAATCTCGCTACCACCCTAATTCTCGAGAACGCCTGGACATTGTCAAGAGTTTAGGGTGATACCGGCGAGTGGATCCATTTCGCATGCTGACTTCATGGTCGCGTGTAGGCATACGTCCGAAGACGATATTGTTGTCTTCGGATCGATCAAATTGTAATGCGCAATTTATCGTACCAGAAACCGTGCCCCCGTTGGGATTCCCAGTGTCACCGGCGCAGCAGAGTATCCCAAAGACACCATCGGGTGCCCGACATGTTTCACCTACTGTCGCTTCCAATGCTCCAGGTATTCAGGCATAGAGAATCCATCCGTTGTGATCAAGTGTAGCGTCCAGCATAGGTAACCGACGCGTGTCCCTATTTCAGGAGCTTCAAACGCATGGAAAACCGTCTTTTGGCTTTTCTGGACAACGGAAAACCTTTGATCTCCTCGAGTTGATTCGACCGTCCGGTAGTTCCACCACCTTGAACCGCGAAACTTTTGCCAAAATGGCACTTGACCGACTGGGTTACATTAGGGTTAGACTCCTAGCTTTCACCACACCTTTTAAATGCTGGATTTCTATGATGACATGCGCCATCACAAAAGTCCTAGCCTTATAAAAGGGACATTAAATGCAAATGAAGAAAGTTAGGAAGCTAGATGAGGGTAGCCTGTACAAATGGTGCCTTGGTAGGCAAAGGGGCCAGGCCTAGCGACAATGAAAGCCATGGAGACGACGCGCCGACGGGTTTTCGAAGAGATCGAGGCCAATGAAAACTTTGAGATATCAAGGATCGAGATGACTGAAAGTTCAAAACAAGAAGGAAACTGACAGGCCCCGTAAAAAAGCCGGTTGAGAGCGACTTGGTTTGCTGATGCTGTGGTGAGAAGAGGAAGAAGAAGGGGAGACATTTCGACCGGAGCCGGTGCCCCGACGCGACACGTGAGCACGTGACCGACCCGACATGGCTGGGGCACTAATCCCGATTGGGCGACAGATCTATCGGCATTCTCCATTCCTGAGGCTGCATTTACCACAGACCAAAGAAGAAGAAGAAAAAGTGATTGCTCCCACTACTTGCAAAAGCCGCTCTCGATCGATCTCACAAATTTCAGCTAGTCTAAACTTCAAAGGTCACGCGTGCTACACATCCCCAGCAACATCATTTTGACATGCATACATTTGCCAACTCTTGTCCAACAACCCATCTTGTTCAAATCAGTGCACGAGGTATTTTATACTTTTTAGAAAAAAATGGCATATACAGGCGGGTATCATAATGTAACTCTTTCAACGACAGTAAGATTTCGGTATCTCAGCAAGCCATGGTCAAGATGTCCAGAATGGCGTTGGCCAAGCGTTGAGCCCTGCTGCTCCCTCAATTGTGAGTAAATCTGGATCAACCAAGTCCATTTCATTGTCCGACCTGCCCAGAAACTCTTGCATAGTAGGTTCCAAGAATGCCATCTCCGTGGTAAACCCAGCAAAATTAGCGGCAGCAGGTTCCATAACGTGCGCGCCGTTGGTTGGGATTATGGGGCTATAGAGAGCTTGTCCTGGCATCTGAGTTTGGTTATCGTGATCGACATTAGCACTCTTATCTGTTGGTAGAACTTGTTTGACACGTCTGAGATTCTCATAGAACTCGGCGGCTGCAAGGTTTCCATGATCACTCATTCTGTGGAGGATTTCGATAGCTGTGTCAAGAGACTCGATATCGGCAGGATTTCCGATGGATGGCAGTAGACTCGATATTACCAGCACAATGACAGCAGAGAAAAGATATTGAGCATAGAAATATCCATACATTGGCAGTGATCCATTGACCCATTCGTCGATGACTAGTGCATGCGAATGCCTTGCAGCATGAATACAAGCTTCACTCAGAGTGCCAACCGGCTGTGGAAGGTCTTCTTGGCTTTCGCGCTGGCCGCGTCGTTGGAAGAGAACATGAAGAATGATTGGACGTGTTGCCAAAATCACACACTGGATCCTGATTAATAAACACCAAATCATTTTGGAATGGAGCCATTGACTAACTTGGTTGAACTGAAGATGAAGAGAGGCAATGTGCTTAGGTGGAGATTCTTCCGGCCTCAATCGGATGTGGGCTGGAAGCGATTGCAGCCATTCCTGTAATGCAAGCAAGAGCTGCTGTTCCCTTTGAAGGAACGATTCTTGGTGGTGCTTGCGGCTATATATCTTGTCTATTATTTGCCCGGTTATGCGGGCCAGGCGAATGCTAGAAACTAGATAAGCCGTGTCTGAGAACTGCTCTCCCGCCACAGGAGATTCAACATCTGCAGGCATATCAACGTATATATCCTCGTCCCGGATTTGGAGAGGGAATCCGATTTTAGATGTATACATGCGGTCAAAAATGTAGATACCCCACCAAAGCCGTGCGCGATGCTCACGCTCGACGGGGTCGGTACATTGGCGAGCAGGGATATTGTGGTTCAAGCCCAAGATAAGACCGAGACGCATTGCACTTCCAACGAGCATATATCCTGAATGACGTCTATTCAGAAAGTATGAAAATAATGACTAGTCGATGGTTAGCGCGACAGGACCATCCTGCGGGTCAACATAGAATCATACCAGCAGCAGCAGACTTTCAACATGAATCATTCCCGGCCTTTCCGGCATTATTGGTATGAGGTTCATGGCGCGTACATAGTATCTCGTGCCTGGTACTCGACCTCCAGACGATGAGACAGTACGAGCAGAGTAGACCTCCCCTAGGGCAAAGAGAGCAAAGAATTTGCAGGTCAAGGCCGGGTCATCCCGCAATGACGGAGTGCGATAAATACTTTCTAGCTGCTCCAGGGTAGACTTCCTCAGGAATAAATGGTAGACACGGCTGAGTTGATTGAATACAATGCGAACCAATAGACGGGCCTGGGCGAGTCCCGGCCAATGCGTTTCGGCTTCGACTAGCAACGACTCGGGGGTATACTGGGTCCGAGCAACGTGCGACGTAGTTGGATCATCGGTTATAAATTGCCGCAGCCTTGTTGCAAAGGCCGTGCAGGCAGCCTCTCCCATGTAGATCGGAGGGGCGGATGGATCATACGGATAGAACCATGCGCGCTCGCCTATAAGTGGATTTTGCACTGCAGGATACGGGTCCTGCGGCGCAAGTGTATCTGATAGATGAGCGGGCGATGACTGGGGAGTATGAGAAGAGCGTAGTTGCTCCTTCAATTGATTATTCTCAGAGAGAATCTGGTCCAGATAGCTGGATGGTTGTAAGCACTCCCTACTCATACAGGATGCGTGGCTCAAGACTATTACCTCTCGTTGACTTTCAACTTGCGGTCGCGCAGAGTGTATTGGCACTCGTCATCACAGCCGGCCTGACGACATCTAGCACAAGGCTGTTCTCCAGAGCATTTGACCTTGTGGGTGTGGCAGCGATGGCAGCTTGAAGGAGGTTAGTAGATCATTGAGTGGGGAGGCAATATCATGACGTACGCGACGGGCTTCTTCCTCTGACGCTTGGCCTGGTGCTTGAGGACAGGCATAGATAAGGGATTCAATGCAGATTCTTCTTGGACAGGTCAGGTGCTAGTGCCTAATCAGTGGATTAGACGGAAAGGGGATGTCTGAAGCAGCCGGCGCGACTGCATTTGACCGAGAGGCAGGAGAACCGACGGGTGGCGGATGATTCATCGTTCGGGAAGATGAACTCTTGCCGATTCGTACTTCCGCTTGTAGAAGAGGCCTTCTGAATATGAACGGAAAGGGTGAATATGGAAGAAAACAATAGCAAGTTTTCTAATTTTGAGTAATTAATGAAAAATTACGTATACTACTTTTTGAACAAGAAAAGTACGGGGAGATTGCAGCACCTTAAAGTCCATATACCCGGAGACCGACGCAGCTCGGCAAATGGACCGAATGCCGAAGTAAATCTTCTTTCGTAGAAACCACCGATTGCGCCTTTTTTTTTTTCTTTTTTCTTTTTTTTTCTTTTTTCTTTTTTTTACTTTCAACTTTAAATTCAAAGCAAGGATGTACCTTGAAAGGCTAACAGATATTATAGCTCACCATCCCTTCGAAAGCACTTGTTATGAAAAACCATGGCATTTCAACGACCACCTTCCAGGGTTCAAATCTGCCTAGCATCCAACCAACAACACTATGGCATTGGAGATACGATTCAAGGCGAGGTGCTTCTGACACCCCAAAAGCGGCTCTTACCCGAACAATTAAGTATATCATTTGAAGGTAGTCTAGCTTCCTTTTTGTAGTTCTCCAGACTACTAATACTTTCTTAGGCAAAACAGAGGTAGAAATCGACAGAAATGGAAACAACATTCCACTACCACCATCCATTGCCTCAAGCACATTTCTTCACATGAAACAGCCTACTGGAACTCATTCATCTGGCATATCAAAGGCTTTGGAAGCCGAAACGCAGTACCGAATACCGTTCGAGTTCGTGGTTCCTGCCGAGCTGCCGCATCATATTTGTCACCACCACCGGCACCATGAGCAGGTTTACTGGGAACACACCCAGCTTCCGCCTAGTATTGGTACTGCCGTTGATTTTGGCAGAGGCGAAATCGCAATGCGCGATGACATGGCCCCTGCGATCTTGTTCATCACTTACGGAATACGCGTTAGAATCTATTCCGACAAGACCCAACAAAATGGAGGTCCAGCAGCAATTGGAGAGTGGACGTACCCAGTACATATCAGACCGCAGCGGAAAGAGAATCCACCAGTCTGGGTTCCTGACGGCAGCAAATTCTACTGCATGCGCCAGGACAGACAGATTACCAAGGGTATTCGTCGACGCCCAGTAGGATTGTTGTCTGCATGGGCCGAACAACCATCAGCTATACAAGCTCAAATATCTCCAAACAGCTCAATTAAAATACACTTACAGTATACAGCCACTAGACAAGACCCGTTACCGGAAATATCTGGTCTGGATCTCAGACTTAAGGCTGTCACGACATATGGAGCGGAAATTTGGTCAGACTTTCCCGACTTGACGGATCCATCATTGTGGATCTCAAGCCAGGACTACTATGCAGATACAGTGCCTCTCCATAGCTCTTCTGATCATCAGTTGATATGGCAAAAGTCATCTGTTTGCGAGGATCCTATCTACCCCGCCAATATCAGCGTCGATTTGACACATACAACAGCTCTGGAGTTACCAATAACACTTCCAGGGCATCTGAATCTTCCGCCAAGTTTCCACTCATGTCTTGTCTCTCGGGTGTATTCTTTAAAGCCGTCATTACATGTTCGCATTGCGGGACAGTGGACGAACACGAAGATTTCACTCACCGTTCCAATTCAAATATGTTAACTCAAGGAGTGGAGTCAGTAATTGATTTACTGTTTTGTATAATAGAACGCGAGATCTTTTAAAGGAAATTTCAAAACATTGAAATCAGAACCCTTTTCGGTGACTCTAGAAGTGGTACTGGCATCTAGTATAAGTGGTGCCCGGGAAATATATTTCCATTCGTAAGCTGAGGAGTAGAAGCTCATGAAGCAACTGGAGAGCCAGAACACTAGTTTCGTAGCGTATAATGTTAATGGAATAGTGAATAAGAATCAGTCTTTTACCCCATCAACTAATATCTAGAGGAATGGAATGCATGTCTGGGTGTCCGGGCTATGACGTACTGACTATATAGATGGTGTTAATGCCTGAGGCATAAAACACATACCAAGAAGGGTTAGTGCAATGAAGATGTCACGTGAAGACAGGCCGCATCGCTTTGTAATTCGATTCAATCGCCCTGATCCACTCCATCCAGAGCTGTTCAGGCAAGACCTGCAGGCCCATGATGAAGATTTTCAACCCGAAGTAAACGACCCACCGGAAAGAAGATGGGTGATCTTCAGGCGGCGCGCGATGCGTTCAACACGGCGGATGAGTTTTTGACTCCCGTACTTGACCGAGGTATGCAAATCTCAATTATGACTCGTACAGTTCAGTGCTGACTCGATCCAAGAGGAACTCCAAAAGTCTCAAGGAGGCTCTCTTTTGGACATTCTTGCCCAGAGTATTCCTGACACTCCCTTGGATGATGCCGCCAGGCGATCCGTTGTCATCACTAGGGCGTTGGATATACTTGCCCGCATCCACAGCGCCTTTGTCTCGCCTGTAAATGATGCTGAGGAGCCCCGCCTGAGCGCGGAGGATGCTGCCCTGGAAGACGCAAAGCGGCGCCGGTGGACTCATGCCCTTCTGGACTTGGTTGCGATCGAAGGCGTTAACCCTTCGCTTTCATCCGGGGTGGGCATCCCTTTGCAGCAGCGAATGATCTCTATTCTGCCCGCCGGAGTCATTGCGCAAGATCAAAAACTCGCAAAGAGTCTGCCTGAAAATGAGCAACTTTTAGATCGCATAATGTCGACCGTTTCCGAGATTGTGCTTGATGTACGGCCTAGCATACAACCGTTGATCCGTGGTCGAATCTTAAGCGACATCATCAGCGGAGTCGCAGAATTAGCTTTCAATTCGAAATACCTGCAAAATGATAAGAAAGAATGGTATCGGGAAGCCTTTACGAATATCATTAAAGAGTAGGTTTCAATTAGCCGATTGATGGGATCCTGTACTAAGTAGCCACAGTACCCCGAGCTCTGTCCTGCTACCGACGCTGTCGAATTTTCTGCAAGCCAGCCCAGCCCCATGGTTTAAAGCCACTATATCCACCCAGCTATCCCGAGTGCCTTTGCGTGAAAATGGGCTGGTTCAAACAGTCTTCTTCCTGGCGTCGCAATTCAGTCCCTCTCTAGGGCAGGGTTCCCAGCCCGAGGCCTCTACTGGTCCCCATTTCACCGTACAAGCTATCATGCAGACTTCTCGCCTGTTGTCTTCGGTGCCGCAAGGAATGGACCCAGTCGAGTATTTCTCTACCATTGCTCCACAGCTATTATCTCTGATCGACGGAGATGACCCGGACTTGAGGAAAACTGCCGCCTATACTGTCGGCACCGGAATCCTAGGAAAGCGCGCATTTGGAGCTCCCGGAACGATCGGTCATTCGATATTCTTGGAACCCATATTCAAGACACTCACGGCAAGGCTAGAAAACTCCTCAAAATCTTGGATGAGACAACCGAACGACGGCGATGAAGTACTACCACAACATGTTCTGGTCAACGAATCTTTGTTGCGCCGGGCAGTCGATAGGCTAGGAAGTCTTGTCCTTCAGCCTCCGAACCCAGCGCTTGTCAAGAGAGTTGTGTATCCAATTCTGGTGCCCCTCTGGGGTCTAGCTTGTTTTGCCTTGGAACAACAACATACAATACTTCATGAGAAGATTATGATGGTTCTGCGAACGTATTTTGGCATTTCGGTAGGATTCCAGCCACTTAAGAAGCTGGTAGACTATATGCTATGGGACGGGGACTCCTCATGGACTTACACCATTCAGCCAAAACATGGGTTGTCACTGACGATTCGCAAAAATGAAAACCCAGGCCAATTGAATGTTGTACACCTAATGGATACTCTGCAGTCTCGCACGAAGCTCTTTGTGAGCCTACTAGGAGCGGACCCTAGTAGCGAAGAACGCACTGGCGATGTTTTCCTATACGTGAGCGAAAGGTGGCTTGTGAAGCCTTCTGCTAGAGAATTCCCGGATGAGCTGCAACTTCCCCAAGCTAATGATGGTTCCACCGACACCATGCGGAAGATAGTCAGCGCGAAACTTGCAGAAGCGCTGCTAGAAAACTTCAAAGACGTTCTATCTCGTCGTCCTCTGAGGGTTCTTGAACTCGTCAAGCAGATCATCGACGGGGAACTCAACAGCGATGATATTGCTAAGAAGAAAGCTAAGGCGCAATCTTCCGCCAAAGTGTCTCTTTCTTCATTGGCCAACATTGTTGATACAGATGACACCGGACGAGAAGATGCCGCAACCGAGGCAGACTCAACCGAATCATTACCGGCTGTATTCACTCTGCTATCTACTGTCCTCGCCTCACCTGAATTCTCCGCATCGCAAGAGAATATACCAGTCCTGGAAGCCATCAAAGGAAGCCTCGATGAGCTAATTACCTACCTCCCACAGTCACTCGCAAAACAAGGAACAACCGCCTCTATGCTGTTAGAAATCCAAATCGCATCACCTGCAGAAGGCGGGCGCGAGAAGTCGTCATCCGAGATCTCCGATTTTGATACCCATCGCCGAGCCTTAACGAATCTCAACTCCGATCTTCCCCCAGTCCAGGCTGAAGGGTTCTCCCTTCTGTCTGACCTGATCAAAAAAGCATCGCCCGTTCTTGATATCCAATCCACCCTCACCCTCCTCCTGTCTATCATCACAGACCCATCCGAAACCGCCTCCAAAGACGAATTCATTTACCTCAACGCCATCAAGCTCGTCGGTACTCTCGCATCGCGACACCCCCGAACCGTCGTCAAAACGCTCGTTGAGCGGTACGCCGACAGAAGTGAGGCCGCTACTCTCGACCAAAGATTGAAAATTGGCGAATCCCTCATGCGCACCGTCCAAGACCTCGGCGAAGCCCTAACCGGAGAAACCGCAAAGGCTCTCGGCGACGGCATGATCGCCGTCGCCGGAAGACGAGCCCACAAGCCAGAGGCACAGAAGTCACGCAAACAACAACTCGAGAAAGAAAGACGGGAGAGGGAGCGCGAGGAGCGCAAAAACAGAGACCCACCCATGGCGGAAGGCTGGAAATCCTCCATCTCGTCCCTCACGCCCAAAGAACAAGAGCAAGCCAAGGCCGCACTGGACGACGTCGATTCCGACTCCGAGTCCCCCGAACAAGCCACCCACTCTGCAAACATCATCTCCGCCTGGGCCGCGGGGGCGTCGTCGGACGAAGAGCCAGACGACCTGCGCGTTCGAGCCTCCGCGCTCTCCGTCCTCGCCACAGCGGTGCAAACCAACGTCGTCGGTCTCGGTCCCTCCGTCGTCGCGTCAGCCGTTGACCTCGCCCTCTCGACCATGACCTTAGAACCGGACCCTGAGTCTGCGATTCTCCGACGCGCCAGCGCCATCCTCCTCCTAGATATTCTCAAGGCCATGGAAGCGTCTCGCGAGCGGGGCGGCAAAAACGCCATCGACTTCGGCTTCTCGCTGTCTGACGACGGGGCAGGGAATTCCTGGACCGCCTCTGCGAACACGCGGGGACCGTCGACAGTTGGGAATATCCCGCATATGGTACGCAGTTTGGCGTTTGTCGAAAGCCGCGAGACGGATACGATTGTGCGAGGGCATGTTCGCGTGTTGCTTGAGAGTTTGGAGGCTTGGTTGGAGAAGGCGTTGATGTGGGGGATTGGGGCGCATGAGGGTGATGGTGCAGCTGAGCCGAGACTCGGATTGGGTGATCGTATAGCTGGTCTCCAGGTTGATCCGTTGGCAGGGCGAAGCGGTGGTCGTCCGAAGATCGAAGAGATTGAATAAGAATAGGTGTGTGTTGATGGTCGGCGACATGACTTGTTTATGTCGACGTGACTGCCATCCTCTTCAACCCTAGGCTACTTCGAATGACTGAATCTACAGAAGTTTATGTCAATTACACGAGATAGACATCAATGATGAAATGTATTCCAGCCCCCAGGCACTTGTACTTTTATTAAAACATGATCGGAGATCGAGGCGAGAAATGCGAAAAATGCGAGTCCACGAAACAGATGGGATATCCCGCCGACCGGGTGCTCATAAAGATCAAATCCATCTCAATCGTAAATGCAAGCTGGCAATTCGCTTGTTTCTGTTCGAACGAATGCTTACTTTCATTGCACCCATTCTCCCATCGCGCCCGCAGAACCCGTAGCGTAGAAAAACAAAACAAAAGGAGACAAGGTGGCGTGAATCATTAGGCTTATTCTGATGTCTGGATTGAGACATCGTAAAAGGCATTAGTAGCGACCGCCACGTCCTCCGCGACCTCGTCCACCTCGACCACGTCCATGCCCGAAACCGCCGCCGCGACGAGGAAAACGTCCTCTGGGCTCAGAGGGACGGGGCGCAGCCATACGTGCCTGGCGCTCCTCGTCGCTCATGTGGAATTTGTTCTCAATGCCAATAAGCTCGCAGAATTGAGAAGTTTGCGGATTGGTGTATTCGAGCGGCATCTGCTCGGTGGTGATAGGAATGCTAGGGTCATAGACAGGTGCAGTAGGCTCGAAGTTCTCCGGGATCGTCATCTTGCCTGGCTTCACGACATGCTCCTCAATCCATTTTTCAGCCTCTATGATTTGTGATTTGTAAAAAGCGTCCCCCTTGTCTGATGGGATCTTGACTTGGGGGTCTCCCAGAATAAGATGGTCGTCAAACACACGAGTGATGGCAAGCCACTCCTTGTCATACTGCAGGCGATAAGGACGCTCACACTGGGCCCCCTCAAGATCCGAAATTGTTTGGAATTCCACTAGTTGGAGGAAATCTCGCTGTGGAACACACTTGTCCAGTGCGAGGAAGTGAGTGGTTTTATTGGAGATGGCATCCGGAAGAGGGTCATTGACCTGGGCGGGTTGGGGTTCGGGTTGAGGACGGGCAAAACTGGCGGGCAATTGGCTGCGTAATTCCTGAGAAACGTCGGTATCGTTCGCCTGAGGGGCTTGAGATTGGCTGGAGGAAACCTTCTTATCGAGCTGATCAGCGGCATCCACCTTGGATGGTTTCGGTGCGGCTTCGGTTTCGACCCTGGCACCGGCATTGCTGGGAGTTTCCTTCTCGGAATCACTGTCCAGGTCCAGATCGATCTCATCGGCATTTTTCACTGATTCATGTTCAACCTTCTGCTTCTTACTTCCAGGAATCCTCGTGTTGCCATTTTGTTCAATACTAGCCAGGGTTCTGCCGGTTCCGTTCTCGTCAACATTGATTTTGCGCCAGGTCAAGTTGTGTTCCACGTCGGGCGAAGGAAGTCCTTGACTATGATCTTGCCCCTGTAAGTAACGAACATTTTCAGCGGCTTCGCTTTTAGCAGCAACGGTGTGAAAATCATTCCATGCCGAGATCCGAGTCTGCTCATCCCCAGCGTGGTCTTGAGTGCCGGCCGCTTCCTGTGGCCCTGTAGGCTCTGCAGCTTCTTCAGGCACGACGATAGGCTCTGGCTGTGGCTTGGAGGGAGTCTCTTCCACCGATGCTTCCTGGTTTTGTTCGGTGGATGGTTCGGCAGGAACATTTCCTATGTCCTGCTGTGCTCGGCGCGAGCGAGGATCCACCCCCTCGTCGAACGTCAAAAGGGAGGACATCGAGCCATCCAGTCCAAACGGATACGAAACAGTTGGAGCCTGCAGGCTAGTCTGCAGGGGACTATTTGCCTGCCGTTTGACGGGATTTCCGGGAATCACGTAGTCCCCATGCTGGACGGACGCAACAAACCGCACATGCAGATGGGCAGAAAACCAATACGCCGGACGCAAGCGGTCAAGGACGTATTTGGCCGCCTGGTTTCCTAGTTTTCCTTCCAGAGAGTCTTGACGGAATCCTTTCTTGGTCCTGAACAATGTTTCGTAATCGCCGGAAAGCTCAATTTGCTTCGGCCAGTCGTGCGAGAGACCCAGATCAACCTGAGTACGGATTTGGAGCAGCTTGCGAACGTCAAGTTCCCTGACATGATAAATGCTCTGGATGTCGTCGCGATTGTAGGGAAGTCTCTCAAAATGAGGTTTTCTGTAGTCATATCCCTTCCAAATCCCGGACATACCAGAGATACGAAGAGGGCCACAACGGATGACATTTGCCGCACCCATGTAGTAGATGTTCGGTGCAACCCAGCCGCCATAATGCAGCTCGAACAGATGGTTACCAGCCTCATGGTTGCCACCAATAAAGATAGTTAGGTAGGGCGCAGTGCGTTTCCCGCTGTAGTACTCGTGAAAATCACCCAGTTCTTTGTACTTCTGCGGGACCGACATGCAAGCCATATCATTTGAATTGCGAACTGCCTAGCCGGAGGTTAGAGCACGGACAATGAATGCAGCAGGGTTGCACAACGTACCTGGAAGTCTCCTCCAATGACAAGCAAGTCTACGCCGTCCCAGCCTTTCAGCTCAGCAGACTTTTCAACCGATGCGTAAATGTCATGAAGACAGCCATGGCCCTATCGCGTTTGTTATATTAGCAACACAGCATGACAAGAGAACCAGTCGAGTTATTTCAGAGGCAGAAAAGAGATGGAAGAGTCTTACGCAGCCTTCGAGAGCCACCCGAATGGATGCGGAATTCGAGGTCGGCGCCGCCATTTTGGGGGGTAAGGATGCTCGATGGTGTCTTCGACTGTGGAGAATGCGACCAGTAAACAGCTATTTTAAGCTTGGCCGTTAAGAAACCGGGGTTTTAAGACGTGCTGTGATCAAGTCAAGATCATGAAATAATACAGGGAAGAAAGAAAGCAGCAGAAAGAATGAAGGATTGATGAAAGAAAGAAGAAAAAAGGAAATGAATGAAAATCGAGGGAGATGGGAGGAAGAAAGAGGAAGTTGGTGAATGCAAAGCGGGAAGAGGAAGAAAGGAAGAGGAAGAAGAACGGCGTCGGCGGGCTGTTGGAGCTGCCCCGTCCAATCATCTCCCGCCCGCCGCAAGATCTATAGGAACCATCCCCTTCCACCCCCGTTGCATATTGAAGATTCCACGCCATTGTCCATTCCCCCATTGCCACCATGCCTTTCAGTGACCATAATCCTCGATTGAATTTCCTCAAGGAGTCTGCTAGCACCTTGAGCACGATCAGCCCTTCTACGGCGGCTCATCTGATGATGGTCCATAATCACATTTTTCGGGATGAATGCAAGCCATTGAACCAGCGCCAACAGGAGACTTCTTGTGGTGCCTGTGGGAGCATCAGGACTCCCGAAACCACGAAAACTACTCGTATCCAAAAGAAGAAGAGCCTGAAACGAGCCTCTGCAGCGAAAGGAATTGATGCTCATGGAGCCACGGTCTACAAATGTCTTCGGTGCCATCGACGCACAGTCAAACCCTCTCGAATGGAGGCGACGCGACCTCCTGTCCCCTCTCGGGTGAATGCTGCAACCAAATCTAGCCTAGATTCCCCACAGGCTGCGTCTACAGGGGATTCCTCTTCGAAGCAGGTCACCGAGGCTGCAGAAGTCGCCCAGCCCGGTAAGGCGGCAGACAATGCCAGCAGTAAGAAGAGGGCCAAAGCCCGAAAGCAGGGAGGATTGCAAGCTCTGTTGGCCTCTAAGCAAAAGTCCCAGGCCAGTTCATCGTCATTGGATCTTTTTGATTTCCTGCAGCAGTGAATCGACCGATCTCCTTTCCCTCTCCATTCTCTGGGCCTTCCTTTCACTTTGATTTTTCCGCCAAGACCGATGCCTCGGGGATATTTCGGCCCGAGTCCGATTGGGACTAGCGCGGGGAAGCTCTCCGTCAGTCGAAGCTCCATTGAAGTCACTCTCCTCCGTCCCATCGACTCCGGAACTCTCATACTTCTGCTCCATCTGCTCCACCACCACTCCCTGCGACGCAATGTCGTCTTTCTCTCAAGATGACGAGCACGACCCCCAGGCGGACGAGCTCCGCGAAACCGCCCTCGTCACGCTCGAAGCCTTGATCAGCTCGTGCAGCCAACAAATGCAGCCTTACCTGTCCAACACCGTGAAGTCCGCCCTCAGGTTCCTCAAGTACGACCCCAATGTTGCCGACTTCGAAGAAGACGAGGAGATGGGTGGCACTCAGGATGATGATTCGGAGGGCGATGGCACCGAGGAGCCCGATCTGGATGATGATGAGTTCGAGGACTTTGAGGAGGAGGGAGGATATAGTGATGTGGACGACATGAGCTGGAAGGTCCGACGATGCGCCGCTAAGCTGCTTTACTCCCTCATCTCGACATACGGACGGGGCCGGACCTCCAACAATTCTTCCTTGTACCAGCAGATCGCGCCCGCTCTCATTTCCCGGTTCAGCAAGGAGAGAGAAGAGAGCGTGAAGCTGGAGGTGGTTTCGACAATGACGGCTCTGGTTCGCAAGACTGGCGATGGTGGGATGATCATCACTTCGAGTGGCTTCCTGGAGTCCGTTGGCGGATCGAAAAACTCGAGGAAGAGAAGACGGCAGGACAGTGATGCCAACATGATCGACTTTGAGCCAAGTATCGGCACCTCGTCCGCCGTGGGCACCCCCGTTGCTGCTCCTTCGTCTCCCGAATCCGGTCCCCAGGCCGACTTGGCCCGTTCCGTGCCCATCATCGTACAGAGCATCGTCAAGATGTGGAAGCAGGCGTCTGTTCCTCTGAAGCAAGCTATCATCATCCTTCTGAAGAGCCTGGCTCTCGTTCGGTACGGAGGACTGGCAGACCACCTTCAACAGATTGAAGACCCGATCGCGGATGTTTTGAAATCGGCGTCCCTATCGGGTGGTTCGTCTGCCCCGGCGGGAGCGGCCGTCAGCGCGGGAACCCTCCAGGTCGAGACGCTGAGTCTTATCTCTGCCATTGCCGAAACGCACACCTCGGATGCTCTTCTCCCCTTCCTGATTGCCCTCACTCCAGGCGTCATCGGGTCCGTCAAAGATAGAAACTATAAGGTCAGCAGTGAGGCTCTCGGAGCTGTTGAACAGATTGTGAAGGCTCTTACCCCGCCCCGCGTGTCAACAACTTCCCAGGATCTGCAGTCCCAGCTGGAGAAGCTATATGATGTGGTCCACGATCGCATTGCCGATACGAGCGCCGATCTGGAGGTTCGGCAGCGAGCTATTCACGTCTTTGGTGTGCTTATAGCACGAACCTCTGGCGACAACGGGTCATCTTTCCTTTCTCTGGATCGCCGTTCGAAGGGTCTCCTTGTCCTTGTTGATCGCCTGAGAAATGAAACCACCCGACTGTCTGCGGTTCGTGCCGTGGACGATATCGCTGTCCTGTGCAGTCGGGAGGCAGACGTTCCCTCTTCATGGGTTAGCGAAGTCACTGCGGAACTCGCTGCTCAGCTGCGCAAGTCTGATCGCGTGCTCCGAGGTGCCAGTTTGGAGGCTCTGCGCAGCCTGGCTATGAACCCTATGACTCGGGCCCATTACGATGACAAGACCATGAAGGTCTTGGAAGACTCGCTGCTGCCTCTGATTACTGCCGAGGATTTCCATTTCCTTGCGCCCGCTCTCATCATCCTGGCAAAGCTTGTGCCTGGAAATGCGCAGCTTCTCGTCAACGAGGGGCTGGTTTCTGCTTTGTGCTCGATTGTTGTCTCGTCGTTAGTCGGCACCGTCCTGAAGGCACTGTTGCTGCTCGTTAAAGTTATCGGAGAGGAAGAGGCTGGGGCCGATCTGATGAGAAGATTGTTGCGTGACGTTGGCATCACCGGCGATACTTCCGTCGTCGGCAGGGCAATCGGCACCCTTGTTGTCCATGGCGGACCGAAGTTGGGCGTCAAGATGGAAGATTTCTTGAAGGAGCTTCAGACTGCACAGGACGCGCAACGTAAATGCCTCGCCCTCGCCATTCTAGGAGAGATCGGTCTTCGGATGGGGTCCAAGTGCTCTTTAACTCCCGACCTGTTTATTGACCATTTCAACTCCAAGTCGGACAAGGTCCGGTTGGCCTCGGCCGCGTCTCTTGGAAATGCTGCTGCCGGTAACGTGAAGGCCTACCTGCCTACGATCTTGAACGGCCTGGACAAGTCAAACCCTCAAAGCTACCTGCTCCTTCATTCGGTCAAGGAATTGCTTCAGCACCCCGAAATCGTCCGCCCTGACGTGGCCCCTTCGGCCCTCAAGCTCTGGCAGGCCCTCCTCCTTGTCTCAGAAGAGGAGGACAACCGTGCTGTCGGTGCGGAATGCGTTGGTCGCCTGGCGTTGATCGACCCCGTTGCCTATATTCCTCATTTCCAGGTAAGTTGCATCGCCTCACCCTGGCTGTGTCCACTCGCTAAACTGTCATTTTCCGACGCAGGAATACTTGTCCAGTTCAGATGCCGGGGTTCGCGGTGTCGTCATATCTGCGTTCCGCTATACCCTATCCGACTCGAGAGATCATTACAACGATGTGCTACGACCGCTAATTGTTCCCTTGTTGGTCAACATGCTCAGCGATCGTGACCTCGGAAATCACCGTCTTGCTCTGACAACATTGAACTCGGCTCTTCACAACAAGATGGACATCATCCTCCCTCATCTCAACGAGCTACTCCCGGCAGTCTTTGGCGACACGCAGATCAAACCCGAACTCATCCGTGAAGTCCAGATGGGTCCATTCAAGCACAAGGTCGACGACGGTCTTGAGCTGCGCAAGGTGAGCCTATCCACCTATCCATCCATTCCCCTGCCCCAAACCCCTAAACTAACAACCAACCAGAGCGCCTACGAAACTCTTTACGCCTCCTTAGACACCGCCTTCTCCCTTACGCACGTCTCCGAGTTCTTCGACCGCATCCTCGCCGGAATCGACGACGAGCAAGACATCCGCACCATCAGCAACTTCATGACCTCCAAACTCATCACGCTGGCCCCCGAAGAAACGCAAAGGTATCTCGATGCGCTCTCAGAACGCTACAGCACCGTCCTCTCCTTCAAACCAAAAGACAACGCCGTGAAGCAGGAGCTCGAAAAGGCGCAGGAAGCATCCAACGGCGTTCTCAAGATCACCCGTGAACTGAGCAAGGCCTTCCCGAACGCCGAGGCTTCCGCCGATCATCACAAATGGAAGGCGTACATGGAATGGACCCGGAAGTCGTTTGCTTCTCAGTTGAAGAGCTTGGATACGGACTTTTGAGGAAAAATGGCGAAAGGACCAAATAGATGGAATGGTTGCATGAAGGGGTGGGAATTAACCCGACAATGACTAGTTTACGATAGCGATAGCGAAGACGAATGGAGATGATTTTATGTCTTTTAATCACTGTCACTGCTATGCAGTGGATCTATAATGTTGAAGGGATTTCGTCTTTTCTACGTCCATATGCAGCGTTTCAAAGTAGAACAGAAACAAAACAAAGTCGATTTTTGCAGCAAAAAAGGTATACCGAAAAGAACAGAAAAACAAGTCGCTCATGTGTAATCCAAATGTGGCCTCGCTCAACGTGCCATGAATGCCCAGAAAAGAAAAACGCCCGGGTATGCATCCAATCAATCAATCAATCAAACCATCACAACATGAAATAACCAACGCCTGCATTTTAATCCACACATGTCAGATGAGGACAACATGTACTGCCCCTTAGCAACGCCTGTGCAAACCGCCAAATTTCATCCTTGAATCCATAATAGGTATCGCCACCCAACCATCTGAAATCAACCCACATCTAGAAAGAAAAAACGCACTTCTATGCAGTGATCGCCTTCTTTTTCAACACGCCCAGTTTCTCCAGTTTAGTCCAGGCAACATCCATGTCGGACCCTTCTTCCAGAGCTGGGCGCAGTTCCAAGCCGTCCAGGAGCTTGACAGAGCCTCCTGTTCCCACAAAGAGCATAAGCTCGAAAACCCTTCGGCGAAGTCGAGTCGGTTCATCCAGATGGGCTAGGTATTTCTGATCCGCTTGGAAATCGGCTAGTGGAAGGGTATATGGATCATCTATTTCGATGTCTTTCTCCGGGACATCGTCGTCGTCTTCGCCGATGGCTGAATGAATCATCTCTCCGTGGCGCCCAAAATCGGCCAGCACGGATGGGAGATCTAAGCCGACATTGTCCGACTGGGCGACGTGAGTTTCGGTCGCTCTCAATTTTCTCGGGCTTTCCGGTCTTCCATTTCCTCTGACAGGGTGGGGATAAAAGCGGAGGGTCAAGGGATTTCCTCTGATATCCAACTTCTGAAGAGTTGAAACCTTTCTCTTGTTGGTTCTGCCGACCCGGCTCAGGACCTGGCAGAGTCTTCTCAGCCTCGTCAGGCAATTGCCAGCAAGCGTTAAGCGAGAAAGACAGTTGACACCAACCAACTCATTGATGCTTGACAAGGAGTTGAAGTTGAGGTTTAGGACCTTGACATTGGGGAAGTTCAATGCGAAATCCATGGGAAGACCCTGAATATTACAAGATGCGGCATCGAGCAATTGCAAACTCAGGAGAGGTACCGAAGGCGAAAGAGTTTGGAGAGAGAGCTTGTTTGAGGATAAGAATACTTTGCGAATATCCTTGACCAATCCCAGATCCACGTCAAAGAAGCCGGCATTTTGATCATTCGATATCATTTGCTCCCGTGCAGAGAAGACATCCAAGCTATGGCATTGGCCTAGCTCAGAAACCGTGGTAAGGAAATTTTGATCGACATAGAGAAGAGTCAAAGATGGGAAGAAGCTGGCATCCAGGGTGTGCAGCCTATTGTTCGAGAGCTTTAGTGATCGCAAGGCGAGAAGACTTTCCGATAAGTCGAGCGTGCTTAGTTGATTGCAGCTGAGATCTAGTGACGAAAGGGAGGTAAGCGTATCGATATCTCGAACTGATTCTAGCTGGTTATGAGAGAGATCCAATTCTTGTAGACGGGTTCTATTCGGAAATGGTCAGCTATTATCCGACCCAAGGGCCTTTTTCTCTTTTTTTCTTTTCTCTTTTTTTTTTCAAAAAAAAAAAAAAAAAAAAAAAAAAAAAAAAAAAAAGAGAGAGAGAGGAGACTCACAGTTCTGATCCTTCAAAATCCACCGCCGTCAAACAATTGTTTCTCAGTTTCAAACTCAAAAGTCCATTGAGCTCGAAAACGCCATTGATGTTTCGGATGTTGTTGTCATTCGCATTCAGTTCTCTGAGATGGATCAGGCTGCTAAACCCATCTAGACTCTCCAGGTCATTGCCCGAAACATTTAAATATTGGAGGTTGACCAGATGTCCCCACGCGGTCAAATTGGAGAGACAATTGTGCTGGATGTTCAATGTTCGCAACGTGGGAGGGATTCCGCTGAGTTGCCCAATCTTGTTGCTGGCCACGTCCAGATCCTCTAAACGAGGACAGAAATCAGAGAGCTTGTGAAGTGTGATCAGCCCCTTGTGGCGAAGGACCAAGCGACGAACATGCTCCCAGTAGGGTTCGAAAGGTTGGACTTCCGTGATATGTTTGACCAACTCTTCAGTCGCTAAAGCGAATGTGCCATGAACCTGGCGTAAAGATGTGGGGTTAGTGCGCTGGGCCACGTAGCTCATTTCCAGTTGCAGAGATTGGTCGATTTGATCGATGGTGAAATCGGGAAGAGGACTAAGATGGAAGCTATAGCTTGTGTCATGCTCGTTGTTCCTGAAGCGGACCATCGAGTTTTCAGCCGACTGTTTGGCTGGAGTCGATGCCGGATATCCCAAGTCCCTCCGAACTAAACTCAGGTTGTTGGCTGCTTCTTCACTCTCCTCTATGCGTGAAATGGAACGTTTGGGGAAGAGCTGGCCGGACTGATCGTGCTCTTGGTTATCTCTTGCATTCTCATTCTCGCCTCTGGTAGATTCGTGCGCAGCATCCGCAATCATCTCTCGTCGAATCTTCGTAGGACTCTCATCATCGCTGTAGGCGATCTGCGATACCAGAGGGGATGAAAAGCTAATGGTGACAACCCGTGCTTGATTGTTCCCATTATTTTGGCGCCGGGGAGGTTTGGACAACCGACCCTCATGAAGTTGAATCTCGTGCTCAACCTCGCTAGAGATTTCTCTACTCTTCGGTCGATCCGAAATCCAAGATGTGGCTCGAGTACCGGAATTTGGAACGCTAGATGTGTCCTGGGATAATTTTGACTGAATGGAGCTGACGTTGACGGATGGATCCCCCTCCTTGGACTGCGGCCGTGGCGCTGCCTTGGGGGATGCCGCTTTGGCGCTGAGTGGACTTTGGGCAGTGCTGCCTTCGAAGGCGTTAGGGGTTTTGGTCCGTTCGGGAGACAAGGAGGACTGCATCCTCATCATCTCCTGCAGCTCGTCAACGCTGAGATCAGGGATATCTTGGAATGGGTCGTCCTCGCTTTCCTCCCCCTTCGGCTTCTCGGGTGATGGCGGTGGCTTCTCCTTGACCCACAGATGCTTGTAACGGTCGTAGGTTAACCCGTTCACCTGCTCGGGGATCAAGTGAGACACCAAGTCGGAGGATAAAACCCCCTTCGCGTGAGAGCTTTGTGAGGATCCAGTGGGGACAGAACGCGCGCTGAGACTCTTGGCGGACACTTGCGTGTTGAGGGTCATCAATTCGGGGAGACTGTCGTCCTCTCCAACCGACGTCGGCTCCGAAAGTTTACGTTCGTGTTCGTGTTGGTCGGTTCCCTGGGTCGGCGGATTGCCGAGATTCTCGTCGGTGTGATCGCCGTGCTCGGGAGAGCTTGAATCTTGGCCGTCATCAAGATGCAACGACATGACTGAGGCGTTGACATCAAAGTCCAGATCATCCTTCTCTTGGAACTTTTTCAGATGGCTCAAAATCCGGGGATTCGGTTCCTGGGGTTCCCTCAGTTTTCGGATATCCACGCCTTCCCGGCTCGGAGGACGAGAGAATTCTTCCCGAGTCGATTCATCCTCGTAACTTTCATTTTCATCCTTGTCCTCGTTCTCGGACTCCTCCACACTGGACAGCCCTCCTGGCGCAGTTCTGCCCTTAGACCTGATAATGTCCATTATCTTCGTGGCCTCATTGAGAAAGTCCTGAGTTGTGATCGACCCTTTCCGAGCCTCCTCCTTGACGCCGGTCACCTTGACCACGGGGACGGCCCCATCCGCGGGAGATCCTTCTTGTTCAAAGCCATCGAGTCCACCAGGGGGTAGATCCCTGTTCGGGAAAGATCTCTTTCTTGTGGAAGATCTCTGGCTGGGGGTCGGTGTCCTCGGTCGTTGTGAGGACCGGGGCCGGAGCAAGGAGCCACTGTCCTCGTCCCTCACCCCATGTTGCATCAGGCTCCGCTGCAGGAGCGAAAGGGTATCCGTTTGCTGGTTCTGTCTATCTTCCGCCCCGAGATCGTCCTGAGTCCTCGAACTATGGGATCTCAGAAATGTCCTGCGCCTCTTGGGTGTCGGGTCCTTTGCGGGGGTATTAGGTGCCCATTCGATGCCAGATGCTTCCTCGGTGCCGTTCGAGAAAACCCGTTGCTTTTGCAGATCATCCATATCTGGGGGTGTGGTTGATCCGGTCACTGGTTTCACATTCTCAGCAGCGTTAGACATGTTGGTTCCAGAGTCGTAGCCTTGGGTCTTGCCTGAGTTGCGACGAAGATATCTCCGCCGACGGGAAGAAACGTGGGAATCGGGATCGGGGACGTCATGGTTGAGTAGTTTGGGTTCGTAAGGGCTGGTATCGGAGAAGTCAAAATTATCTAATTCGCCATCTCCAAACCGACTGACGCGAAGATTCGCCGCGTTTCGCGATCTGGGCCGCTCGCTCCTTCGAGCAGAGAGGTCGCCCAATGTGTCCGGTTTCACGTTCAAAAAGCTTCTGTTTTCTCCCTTGCGACGAGCTTCTTCGGACGGCGAAACAGGTTCGTCCTCTTCGGATAGTTCACCAAATGTTTCCTCGAACTGGCTCATGCGCCGCAGAAGCCTGTTGTTCGTAAACGTGTCATGGGTTCCAAACAGCTTCAAGGGACTCCCGGAAGACGGCATGACTTCACTCCTGTCGGTCTCGAATTGATCAAACGTAGAATGTTTCACATGGGCGGACGAGGGTCGCGGAAGAGTGGGAGGATCAGCGACGGGGTGGGTTTTCTGAAAGAAGGGCGGGGAGCTTCGGATCCTAGAATTCGGCGGGATGAATGGCGATAGGCGCTGCGAAGGAAAGGACGGCGGGGAGAATCGACGTTTGTGGAAGGAAGCGTCACTCAGGTACTGATCGCGTCCCAAATTCGCGAAGGCCCCGCGGCCTCGATAGTCTAGAGTGCCCATGGAGAGATCTTGAGGAAGGGAGTTACTGGTCACATCGAGCAGGTCATCGTCTGGGAGCGATTCCATGACATTTATCACCTTCGGGTTGAACAGTACACTATCGCTCGCCCTGGAGTCTGGACGCTCTCCCGGCGCCATCGATAGTCTCTCGAGCTTGTTGGTGACTTGCTTCAATGCGGACTTGATGACCTCCGACGTTCCGTTTCCATCGACCGTGTTGGTGCGCGAAAACGTAATCGGCGTAATTCCCTCGTTGCGAAGATCCTCCAGTCCGCTCGCCGTCCTCATCTGTGTATCATCCTGCGAGGTGTTGTTTTGGTCGACATTGAGCAGGGTCGCGCCCTTTTTAATCTCCAACGTGCCATTGCGCGACGACTGCGGGCTCCCTTGCGAGTTTGCTCTGTCGCGCGATTCCGGTCTCCTTGGTTGTGGGTTCGTTTGTTCGACAAAGGATCCATCATTGTTTGTACCATTCCCATTGTGAACGTCCGACAATGGCTGCCCTCCTTGTCGATCGTAGCTTCTCTCGGGCGGGTCGCTGAAATCCCATAGATTGTCCGGCTGCCTCATGTTCGGGATCGTCTCGTGCTCAGCCTTCTCGGTGCGCGGGGTGGGCGGCTTGAAAACACTCTCCAGTCCAATTGGCGCGAACAAGTCGCGCTGTTCGCCGGCCTGCAGGTCACCCTGGACCAATCTCCGTCGCCATTCCGGGGTGCCCTCTTTTCCTTTTCCTTTGTTTGGCCTTACTTGGACGGTGTCGTGCGGGACCGATTGACTGGACACGTTGGATACGGATCGTAGGGGCGACCTGGTATCCATGGCGGGCGGTTGTTTGGTGGCGGACTGCTGTTTCCGCCCCGAGGGCAGGCTGGGTCGCGGGCTCTTTTTCGTCTTGTCGGGGACGGGGGATCGCAACTTGGAGGGGGTTCTGGGGGTGCGGGGCGTTTTGGGGGTCGGCGGTTCTCGTTTCACGAAATGGCAAGGGCGAGAAACCTTCTTCTTGGGGTCTGTGCCGGGGGAGGGTTCGATGGAGCGACGCGCGGGGACCGGAATGCGACTAGGGGAGCTCTGTAAACTTTGAAGGCTCTGTAAGCTGGAGCGACGAGAGTGGCCGACCGATCGAGCAGCAACCGGGCTGGTGGGAGTCGCAGGCACAGGCACCCAGTCGTCTGAAAGACTGTCGAGCCATGGCGGGTTCCCCATTCTCTAAATGGGCGATGCGACTGCAGGGCTTCAGATGAACTCGGCGCGTGGTCGCGATCACAAAGCCCCCGTGCACACAAACATAGAAGGGACTAATAATAGATGTCTGCGAATCATTGAATGGATGCACCATGCAGCTGCAACGGGATGGGGCCGAAATGAGATGATGCCGAAGAAGATTGGGGGGGAGAGAGGAGGCCGAGCGGAGTATAAACGAGGAGGTTGATATTGTTATTAAAGTGGAGTGGGAAACCTGAGGCCGATCGATCCCAGTCGGGTGGTCGGGGCAACCCCGGCTGGTCTTACCCGTACGGAGTGTACTTACACTACGAGGTACCTGGTAGGTATACACGGTCCTACCCTCGACACGCTGCAGACACCGCACGATCGAAATTTCCCCTCCCTCCATGTGCAGCATGATTCGAATCACTCGCATCCTTCTGTTTCCTGACCCTCATTTCCCGTGCATCCCTGTGGTGCCTTGCAGCTGCTCCATCATCCCTTGCCCGTAATTTTACTTACCTGACCGAACGGCGGCACGTTCGATGCGTTGGCACTTCGCGACCCGACCAAGTAAGTATTGGGTACTTGTGCCGCCGGCCGTGAGTGCCGCCCGTTGCCCGTACCCGGTACTTCTCGTCTCCAACTCTCCTTGGCCCGCTGGTCTCCCTCCCATCGTGAGCTCCGAAGCGAGGGGCAGCGGGAAGCGGAGCCGACTGGTCGAGTCCTGCTGTCTGCAAGGTCGGAGGCAGCATACCTGGGAATTCCGTAGTAGTCAGTGAGACGAAGATCTATCGTCGCAACCATGGATGATCAACGTCTCTGATGGAAGCTTCTGTTCCTCCCGACGACTGATCCATGGATGGTATTTGGGTGTATCGGCATAAGCCACATAAAGCGCGATGAATAATTATGAGCGTAATGAACATAGTTAGTGAACTCAGTCTGACATAAGCCACGGGTTGCCGGGCCATCGCGGGGAGACGCGTTAAGTGGTTTTTCTCTCGTGACTTGGACGCTGGATAGGTCACGATGGATCGCTCCAGCTTCTCGTCTCCGCCATGACTTCCATCCCGATCCTGCGTCCATCCCGAAGGCTATGAAGTCGCCGTTCCCACGTGCTCCCGGTTCTTTAGTGGCTCGAATGCAGCTGCTGTCATCTCGCTGCTGCGCTGCAATCCGTCCTATCCGCTAAATCCAATCCCACCGGTCGTTCCCATTCCAGATGCCACCTCGTCGGTCCGCCTCCCCGCTCTCCTTGGAAACATGCTCCCCCCCGTCCACCGACCTCGACAGTGATGGAATCATCGGTTCCGACGACGAGTTGGACAGCGAGGCCCGTGCGGTCCAACGCCGCAGGATCGAGAAGCTAGCAGGGGCCTATCTTCAGGGCAAGCCTTTATTCATCCTGTCGGCTTCTCTGCGAGGGCCTTTTGATGATCAACAATGGAATAACCCGTGGAGGAAAAATCGGAGGCGAAGCGGGCATGCGGAGACTGAAAACCGGAGAACTCGCAAGGGGGGCGACAGCCCTGTGGTCCAGGAAACAAATCCTCGGAAACGGCGACAACCCACCGAATCTCAGCAAATTCGCCAATCTCAAGCGTCTAACGCACCATCAGAATCTAGTGTCTCCCTCTTCAGAAGCAAGAAGACCGTGCCCGAGGAGCACGGCACTTCGTCACGCCCCAGGCCCGAAAAGCACCAGCGTGATAAACCATCGGCTTCACCGGCCTCTGTCCCGAATGCGAAGCCAAAGACGATCGAATCAAAACTGCCATCCAACCATTCAACTCCAGTCCGAGGAACCGATAAAAGTTGGTTGAAGAAGGACCGGGATCGCCTGATTAAGTTTCATAATTTCGACCCACCTACATCCCCTACATCAAAGATCTCATCTCGTCATCCCGGATCCAAGAGGCGTGCAGTTGAAATCGCCTCCTCTGCAAGCCACCTCAAATCCCCGACACCTAATCAGGACCATGGATCGCCCACGGCGGCGCCTAGTCATGTGCCCCGTTCGGCAGACCATTCCACCTTGACCAACAAATCTGCACCGTCCAACACCAACAAGGATGCTTCTCAACGTGATAGGCCTACTGGTTCTTCTCGGCTTGCAGAGCCAGAAATGTCATTCAGTGTCCTTTCCTCATCATCCCATCTACCACAATTTGAGTATCGTCGAAGGAAACGTCGATCCGCGACTCCTAAGAAGCATGATAACATTAAAATTGCCGCGAGCATTGAGAATCGAGAACATGCAGATACCCCTGCTGTTACTGAAACAGCTGCGGCCTCACACCAGCCCGTTCAGATACCACAAGAGGAATCATTGACACACTCCAGCATGCAGAACCAAACTGAGCAGGAGAGGGTTCTGCAGGAGTCTAACGCGCTGACTATCAGTTCCAACACCTTCGACAACGTGCCTATATCGCGATCAGATAAGGCACCATCGATCAGCAATCCATCCAAAGATATAAGCGCAAAGCTGCCCTCCGCCCAAATTATCCAACAAAACCCAGCCGTATCAGGTTACATGACGTCGTTACATTCCACAGCCATCCCGAAAAGCGGCGCAGAGGATGACGAAGACACTGTTCCTGATCACCAGTTCTCGACACAGGCTGCACTCCTCCATGCACAGCGATCCTTCCAAAATGACCTCGAAAGTCAGCATCACGATGCAGAGACGCCGGGTAAAAAGCGACGAGCTGCGGAACTTTCTGGGTCCGAGTCGCCACATTCGAATAATATCACGCCTTTTTACCGACTCAGCACCCCCGATTACTTTACAGAGGGGTCTCGCCAACCGCGGACAAATGATAGGGCCCGCGCACCCATGATGAGTACACAGGGCATGATCGATGCCGTGACGCCTTTTACCTTCAGCACCGAAAAGAAGGAGAATCATAGGCGAATCTTGACGCCCGCGAGTGCACCAGGGAGCAAGAATCAGAACCCCCGCAGTAGTGTTGGCCATACGTCCCCTGCGTCGCCCCGACACAATGAATTCCTTTTCGACTCACGCATCGAGAAAGTCCCGAACTCCGTCCAAAGTCATCGTGTCGGGACGCAACACAGTGCTTTACCCATGACCTTGACAGGCACGACTCCCCCTACGGCTCAGGAGGATGCGCAAGATTTCAATCTTAGTCAAGCCATCGCCGAAGCAGGGAGTTGGCTGCAGCAAAGCTTTGAGATTAATAAAGAAATCAGTCAGTGTCGTACTGGTAGGCCTGGACCATCGCCATCTAGTGATCGACAGACAACCGGCCTAGATGTTGGTGCGATCAGCTAGCGATTGGTTTATTTATATCTGGTAACCAACATTGGTTGTGCTTGGAGAACCCTGTTTTGGGGAGGAACTATCAGGTCATGGAGAAGCTGGTCTTCCGATCGGACAGTTTTATTTCGGGGTATTCCCTTTCTTATGATTCGTATTATTATTCTCGATTGGTCGTTCTCTTGGGATCTATGGATACTCGGCGATATTTTTTGGCATCACAGCGGGAGAATTGCACTTCTGTTGACTGGAATTGCTGTAATTAGAAGCGATATATTCATTGTGCATATACCCAATATAGACTAGTTTTTGACGACCTTTTACGGGTATTAGCTGGCGTTAAAAACATGGTTTATTGTTCAATAACCACTTTGCAGTAGACAGTGCAAGGCTCTTGGCGAATGACGTTGGCCGCATTGACTGGACTAGCGGCGGAGCTCCGCAATACAGCTGGACCTTTGGAGACCGCAACTACCGTCGGTCTCCATTCCCCCATCTTGCTGTGATCGGTCCATGGCGTGGGCCACGACCAAATGGCTCTGACATCAGTATGGATTGATTGCATCCTCTCTAGCGCACTCCTTGCTGACCTATCTCGTTGCAGTGGAAAGCATTCAACTTCTTCGACGTCTCTCCCGTCAAGCTGTCAGAGGAGAGTTCGTCGGTGTTCAACGTACGCCCACCCCACCTCCATATCATTGATCTGTAATACTGATCTGTGCCATTTTGCTACGATAGTCTGATATCTCATCCATATGTACCGGCTCCGCGAACCTCTTCCTCGGATCCGCTGACGGCCACGTCCACATCGTCTCGTCGGGCTTCAAAGTCATCCGATCGTTCAAGGCATCCGACGCCGGTTCCATCACGCATATCAAGCAGATCGAGGGATCTTCCCTTCTGGTTACTATCTCGGAGGACCTTCTGAATGAGCCGATTCTGAAGGTTTGGGCTCTCGATACATCGGAGAAGAAGACAGGGGCACCCCGATGCTTGTCTACAACCTCCATCCAGAATGCAAGGAGACTTTTCCCCGTATGTTTGACCCTCTGAGAAAACGTGGGAATTTGCTCTAAGATGATGTTCTGAATAGATATCGGCATTCACGGCCCTTAGCGACCTTTCCCAGGTCGCAGTCGGATTCGCCAATGGTTCCGTCGCGATTATTCGCGGCGACCTGATCCACGATCGCGGCGCGCGGCAACGTATCGTTTTCGAGTCGGAAGAGCCGGTGACTGGTCTGGAGGCTCAGAACGGGCAAATAGCAACGCTCTATATCTCTACGACAAGTCGGATATTAGCCTTGATCATCGCTGGCAGAGGACAAGGCCAGCCGGCGCGCGTTCTAGAGGATACGGGTTGTGCTCTTGGATGTGTGTCCTTGGACAAGGAGTCGGGTTACGTGCTTGTTGCGAGAGAAGATGCAATATACAATTATGGGCCGCACGGACGTGGCCCAAGCTATGCATTTGAAAGCTTCAAAAGCTCGATAAATATCTTCAAGGACTACCTTGCCTTGGTTTGCCCTCCCAAAGTTGGCGCTCCAAATTCCGGCTCGCTGCGAAACTTCGGGGTGAATCAATCGGATGATATTTTCTCGACTACCACGTTCACGCTGCTGGATACTGACCTTAAATTCATTGCTCATTCGGAGTCTCTTGTCTCTTCTGTGAAACAGGTTTTCATTGAATGGGGAGATTTATTCCTCCTTACCACGGACGGAAAGGTATGCTGGTCACCTCCGGTGGCCTTATCTGCTACTAACGCTGTTTAGGTCTTTCGTTACAGAGAAAAGAGCCTTCAGCAAAAGCTTGAAATCCTCTACCAGCGCAATCTTTACATTTTGGCGATCAACTTGGCCCAGAAGACAGGTGTCGACACTCTCCAGCAGAACACCATTTACCGCAAATATGGTGACTTTCTCTACCAGAGGGGTGACTACGATACAGCAATGCAGCAATATCTTAGGGCCATTGATAATACAGAGCCATCACAAGTGATCCGAAAGGTACGGAGTAATCACAAAGTAGCTACGGCATTTGCTAACTTTGAGCCAAGTACCTGGACACTCAACGCATCCACAATTTGATTGAATATCTTGAGGAGTTACACGACCATGATCGAGCTACCGTCGACCACACAACCCTGCTCTTGAATTGCTATGCAAAGCTAAAAGATACCAGCAAATTGGACGCCTTTATCAAAGCTCCGGGTGAGCTCAAGTTTGACCTGGAAACCGCCATCGCGATGTGTCGTCAAGGTGGCTATTACGAACAAGCTGCTTACCTGGCCACCAAATATGGCGAAAACGAAATGGTCGTTGATATTCTGGTTGAGGACTCTAAAAAGTACGCGGAGGCAGTGGAGTACATCTGGCGACTTGATCCTGAACTGGTACGTCGGTCGATTAGATGCTTACGAGATCTTATTGCTGACACATTGAAGGCATATCCCTACCTCATGAAGTATGCGCGCGTCTTACTTTCAAACTGTCCGCAGAGAACAACAGACCTTTTTATCGAGTACTATAAGGGGCAGTTCAAACCAAGAACAGAGGTCGAACCTCCAGCCGAGCCGCAGGCACAGTCAGGTAGTACCCTACAGAACCTAGCGGCCTTTCTGCCTCTCTCCCTTATGAGCACCAGTGGCACACGAGCAGACGCGGTCGAAACTGCACTGACAGCCCCAGACGAGACAGCCGAGCATGTTCCTGAGTATCAAGTTCCTAAGCCTCGGACAGCGTTCTCTGCTTTTGTGGGACACCCCCAGGAGTTTATCGCGTTCCTAGAAGCGCTTATCAACCAGGATAATGTGAAGCAGGACGATAAAGTTGATCTATACACGACGCTCTTTGAGATGTATCTGGATACTGCCAATCGGAAGAAGGGTGCCGGGGAGAAAGAAGAGTGGGAAACCAAGGCCAAGCAGTTAATCGAGGGCAAGGATGTAAGCATAGGCAGTCTTCTCCTCTCTTTGCGCTTGCTAACAGCTTTTAGATCCCCATTTCCACCTCCAATGTTCTATTGTTATCAGAGCTCTCCGGCTTCCGAGAAGGGTCAACCTTAGTACGGGAACAAGAAGGTCTTCGCTCAGATATATTTCGGTCATTTACTTCCGCCAAAGACACACGTGGTGCCATTAAGGCTTTGAAGAAGTACGGGCCGGAGGAGCCGCAGCTATATGTGGACGCCCTTACGTACTTCTCGTCGAGCCCCAAAATCCTCGAAGAGGCTGGGGATGAGCTGGATGTTGTGCTCAAGAGAATTGACGATGATGGGCTAATGTCCCCCCTCCAAGTAATCCAAACCCTCAGCAACAATGCAGTTGTGACAATGGGCCGGGTCAAGAAGTACTTGAGTGACAACATCGAGCGCGAACGCAAAGACATATCAAGCGTACGTCCTCGCACCTCTCTTTTCGTACTCACGACTAACATGTGTCCAGAATCGCCGCCTCATCTCCAGTTACAGCACAGAAACCGAGAACAAACGGAATGAACTCGAGCAATTGGGCAGCAAGCCCGTTGTCTTCCAGGCTCGTCGGTGCATGTCCTGTGGCGGATCCCTCGATCTTCCGACGATTCACTTCCTCTGCAAACATTCCTTCCACCAACGCTGTCTGAACAAGGTGGACGATGAGGCGGAGTGTCCAACCTGTGCGCCACAGAACTCGACCATTAAGGCCATTCGAAAACGCCAGGTGGAATCGGCCGACCAGCATGATCTGTTCAAGGGGGAGCTTCAAAGGTCGAAGGACCGATTCGGGGTTGTCAGCGAATTCTTCGGAAGAGGTGTGATGCGACCGCAGAGCACGATGGAATGATTGATGCTATGTATCCACTACCATAATACTTGATTGTCTATAGAATCTTTGAGCAATGCATGCATATTTTATAGTCCCTCGCTCTGCCAAGCCAAGATCGGCATATCTTATCATCACGTGCCCGCGCGTCATGAGGGCCCACGCGTGCCGAAATGGAGATGAGCAAATCTCCAGACTCCTGCGTTCCCCGCGATCAATACTCACAATTGCATCCTCTCAATGTCATTCGACCGTGTAATCCAAGACTCCGATGATGAGGATGACCCTTTGTTGGAGGATCGCCCGCCTCGCGCCCATCCTCCGCCCGTCATCCACGAAAGCGACAACCGCGCCAGCTACAGGGACACATCGAACGACCCGCTGAACGACGACAGCAGTCGCCAGCTCACAGTCAATTTCGATCAGTTCCTAGGCTCTCAAGATGGCGGACAAGCGGGTCCAACGTCTTCGCAACAGCGGCGGGAAGAACGATGGATCCCAGGCAATGCGGGGGGTGGATCAATTGGTGAGATACTCCAACTCCCATATCGATTAACGTTACACATGGGATTCGCAACTGATATTGATTCCATTGAATAGGGACCATGATGAATGAAATCGGACTTGCGCAGCAGCGATTATTCGATGACGAGGATGCTCAGCACGGAGCGGCGCGATTAAGCCTACCAGAGGGATATGGCTCGAACGAATTCGACACTACGAATGAATACGACGATGGATATATTGCGCCTCAGCAACCTGAGATCCACATTCAATCGAACACACCATCAGGCTCATACGTCTCTCTCCCACCCCCATATGGACCGCACCACGACTACACGGACACATATCACCAGCCCGCGCCAGCCCCAATAAACCATAGCATTGGTTTCCCAAGTTACGAGCACACCCAATCCGCAACATCCTACAACCTCTTCGAATCATCCCTCCGACCATCGGAAAGCACATACTCCGAAAACAACACGACTTTGAAATCCCACCAAACCATACCCACAGAGGCCATACAGAGAAGCCCTCGACGGTGGAATTCCACAGAAGGCACAATATCTTCGCCGCACGACACCGAACCAAACTCGTCCATTCTCGCCGCTAAGTCAAGCAGATCTAAAAGTGATATCAATTCTCCCTCAAACAAAGCACCCCAGCCTCCGACAAGTGTAGACGAGCTTTCCCTCCCAGTTGACACCGAGGCTCCTGCGACGGGGAAAAAGCGAGGCCGACCGAAGAAGCAAAGCCTACCGGACGTCGACGGGGATGACGAGCCTGCCCAATTGACTGAACACCAGGCCGTCGAACAACCGCCCGTGCCTGAGAAGCGCAAGCCAGGTCGACCGCCGAAGAGCGCAAAGAACCTCGAAGCAAACGGCAGTACTGCAAACGCTGGGAATCGACCAGACGATATACCCTCTCTAGCAGAAGAGCCAAAGACGAATGAAGCCCCGGACCAAGTAGCCGACACATTCCAGTTCCAAGCCCTTCACCCCAACGACGTCGAACCCAAGCCCGCAGAACCCCCAAAGACCAAGAAAGCCAGCAAAGAACCCCCCAAGAAGAAGCTCAAACGCGGCAAAACTACGTCCGTCACACTCCAGAAAACGTACGAATCTGACGTCGAAGACGATGTGATCTGGGTTGAATCACGGCCGTCGAATACAGACGCCGACGCCAACCCGGCGCCGTTCTCAATCAATATCGAAACACCCGCCGAAAGCAACCAACCCGCCACAAACCCCGACCAAGCCCCAGCCCCAGCTCCAGATACAACTACAACTCCGGCTACGACAGATCCAGCGCCTAAGAAACGAGGCCGCAAGAGAAAGAAGACCTCCGAACAAGCACCGGCCGCAGAACCTACCGAACAATCCCAAACCACCACCTCCATCAACCCAAATACCCTTGATACCCATACCCACGCCCAACCCGAAGACCACCACACATCTGAACCAGCTGAACCTCAACCCAACCCACCTCTCGACCACGAACCTGAAAACCAACAGCCACCCCCAGATCCAAAGCCGCCAATGACACCTCAAAAACCCGACCCCAAAACACCCAACAATGCCTCCACATCCAGCAATACCGACAAAGTCCAATCAAAAGGACCAGACAAGCACAGTCCCATCTCGTCGACCAGCAAGGTGCCGTATCGGGTGGGACTGAGTCGGAGGGCGAGGATCGCGCCGTTGTTGAAGATTGTGAAGCGGTGATATGATGGTAATAAAGATACCCGTGCTGTTTTGTTTTTATTTGCTCTAAGGGAGGGGGATATTCATTCTTTCTATCTGTTTCTATAACTATGGCTACTGACCTGGCATGGATTAGTTTTATTGTTCGTTCTGTGGGTGTGCTCTCCAGCTATTATCGGATTGAATTGATGCCTATTACATCCTGTATATTTATCACAATGTCGTGCAACATAGCGACGAAGGCAATGGAAATGCGAAATGATAATATGATACACTTAACAATCGAAATATCTTTCGTTCTTCTCTTACAGGTCTACCATGGTCGATCAGATACAGCCCCAAACGATGGTATTATCTTTGCGATAGGGAATTGAGCCCCTATCCCAGTCTAAGGGAATAGTTAATAAGTGATAGAATGTGCACCCCCCCAATCAACACCACGAGTATACAAAACAAACACTGAACAAACAAATATACAGCTGATGGCCATTTGGACAATCCCTACCAGCGGTAGAGAATACAGTAAGGGATGATAGTATGGCAAAGGGCATGAAACAAGCATTCATATCAACAACGCAAGTGCTCCTGACAACAGAATCAGCCCTACTCCATAAGGGTCCTTTCGAGGCCATGACGAAGCCTCTGATTTCAAAGCAGATTTTCCCATGTCAGAAAGTACATGATGACCGTGTGTTCGAGAATCGGATCCAGGCACAGACCCAGAAACGCCATTGCACTTGCCAGAATCAGGCTGGCAGCCCTCTCCGCAATGCGAGGTATAATTGCCGCAGCGGTTGGTCTTGCTGCAGCAAGGGCCAAAGGTGGACCCGGTGCAGGTGATGCCGTTGCCACACACGCCGTCCTGCGATACGATCTTTCCCTCTGTGACTTCGGAGGACATTCGCAGGAGCAGATTGTTGTCGAAGTTGTCGTCAGTGCGATACCAAAAATCTGCAGGGTCACCGAGGCACTCGCCAACGGTCACTGGACGATACCCGTTTGACCGAAGCTTCTTGATCATGTGCTCCGTGAGGTTGTGTACGGTCTGTTCATGGACATCATGAGCGATAACGAGCCACGACGTGTCCGATGGTTTTCCTCGGTCGAGGTTCTTGTCGAAGATATCCTTCGACCGCTGAATCATAGCCGGGTTATCGTAGCGATAGTCTTCCGTATCGATATCATACAGGACGACATGATACCCCAACGAGCCCATGTCTTTCAGACAGCCAGACTCGGGGGTACAGCTTGAATATGGAGGACGCATGTAAGTGGGAAAACCACCCAGGATGTTGCGTAGAGCAACTTCATTCCACAGCAACTGAACACGACGTTGATCTTTGGAGATCTTGCTAAGATCCTGATGAGACCAAGTGTGGCTGGCAATCTGGTGTCCCTTCAAACGCATGCGCTGGATCATTTCCACCCATGGCTTTCCTGGCGCATCGATCTCCCCTTTGCCGTTGTTGTTGCCGGTGATAAAGAAAGTTGCCTTCGCGTCGTACTTGTCAAGCAGATCCAGAAGATCGTTGGTGTATGGGCCCGGACCGTCGTCATAGGTCAACGCAACAGTTCCCGGGACAGAGCAAGAACGAACAGCGTGCGGACCATACGCCACATGGCCAAGCTGGTGTCGAGGAACGGCATCTGTTGGGGCTCCCCCGGGGCTCTGATGAGCATCACAATGACCGTAATCGATCTGACAGTCGGGGGAGCGGCAATGGTTCTGCGTGTTACCACAGTAGCCTGCTGATGTTTAGTTCCAAGCAGACAATACTGACGAACAGAAGGGCAATAACATACCGGCGGTTGAGCAGCAGTGGCCAGTAGGGCACTTGCCGAAGTTTGGGCCACATCGACCTTCGGCTGCTCGATTCACCAGTCTCGGAAGAATGCCGCCAACATCATATTCGTGTTGACCGAGTACATAGGAGATAGGGTTATCGGCTGGCGAGGGGAGAATATTACGTGCAGTGGCCAGCGCCGCCAGGATGGGACTGAATACGATCAGAGCGGAACGCATAGACATTGTAAAGACTGCCGCTTTGATAAGAGGAATGATAAGATGCAAGGTAAAACGGGGTTGTATATGAACAGGGGCTCGAGCAAGGGTGGACAGGAGAAGTAAAAGAATGAAGATTGATTTTGCAAGAAAGAGTTAGGCAGGATAGGAGTTGTAATGTTATGGGCATGGGTTATTTAGCTTCTCTAGGGAAGGCGCAATCCCAGCCAGAGGAAGCCAGTGAGCAACTGCTGAGCAACCCGGCGAGGAAAGTGAACAGTATTGGCAGGAGCGTGGAATGATTGCAATTAAGCATGAAATTTGTGAATGAGTTTCGTCTAATTTAGGAAGAAGTCCGTGAGATAGCATATTTAGATTGATCCTGAAACCGTGCTGATGCTGAAGACTTTCTCCTCTCCCATGCGCGAGAGTTTACGAACAAGGCGTCGGTGACCTGAGCAAGCCGTCTTGCCCGAGCATTTATAATAGACAGCTGCAGCAATGATTCCAGACTCAGAGCTTGATTAAGCCCGAACCAACATGCCGAGCAGGCAATAAGTTCGCAATATGAGGTTGGGAACTCTTTGAAATCGGTACGGTTGGGGTATTCGAACGAATCCATTTCATTATTTTCGTAAATCATGCGGTCAACCATAGGGATTTTGAGGGCCATAATCTATTCAAGTCCTTGGATTTATGAGCGTCACGGTGAGGCGTCCCGCGACAATGCTTACCATCTGGACACATCCATGATTTAAGCCACCGAATGCACGGGATGAGCGTTGAGAGAGGGAATCGGCTACTGTTTCAGCCAAACATTAACCACATGAGCATCATTTGGGTCAAATAAACAGCCTTACCTGGTCCAATTCATCCTCTCCAACGGCAGAGAAGACATACGGAGCCAACGTCGGGAGGTGGGGACCGAATTTCACCGGCGCGGTCCTTGCGATGCTTCCAACCGTCGCAATCAAGTGACGACGGTGAACGATGCTCAGTTGCGGGGCATTGAAGCGCGTTACCAACTCGTTCACAAAAGCGCCAACCTGGCTGTCGGAGAAATGCAAGACGAGGGCGGAAATGGCTGCCAGCGCCCTTTTCGTGACCACGGTGCCGGCCGTGTCGTTATCAATAATGGTCATCACTGACTTTTGGAGCGCCGTCAACTCGGCTTCCTTCAGGAGCGGCCCGAAACAGGTGACTACCTGAATGAGCACATCGATCGCATCACTGCTGAATCCCTTGGACGGATCCTTCTCCAGCATGCCCTTGACAACCGATCCTCGGCGGCTTGTGCGAGACTGCGTCGGGCCAACCAAACGAGGAATGAGAACCTTCGAGACAGCGGTGTACGCCATGGAGGCTTCTGCACTGGGCAACTGGTTGGACTGAGGGCGGGGAAGGGCCGTGACGATGGTTCTCAATGCGGTATTAGGGACAGAGGTATCAATGGTTTGGGAGGCAGTCAAGTTGGACAGTTTCTCCAGGATCGAGGAGAGACTCTCGGCAGGTAACCGAACGACGAGCGGACCGAGACTAGAAGAACAAATGTTAGCTTTCAGCTGCATTTCATAGTAACGGGCGCATAACAGACCATTTCAGCGCCTGGTTCTGGACGTCACCGTGTTGGTCATCCAAAGCTTTCAGGAGGCCGTCGGCAAGGCGTGTGGATGAGGACTGGTCGTGCACGAGATATGAGGAGCTGGGGCTATTGAGGACTCCTAGCAGGTCATTCAGGGACATGTATCGCATATCCGGATCGGGATCATCCAGCTTGGAGAGCTGGCTATTGAGCGTCTGCTGGACTGCTTGTCGGTCCGCCATGGCTGTAAAGACCCCGCAGGCAGAGACGGAGGATCTGAGGAGGGGAAAGGACAGGAGTCGGTTGACGTGTTACTGTTAAGCCGTTTTAGAAGATCGGGCGACTGGGTATAAGTTGCTCCAGAAAGGCGGCAGAGATCTGAGTCGAGGATGAGATGAAGATGAGATGGAGATGAAGTCCGTCTTGCTCTTCCGTCAAACGGGACCGGGTGCCTGAGGCCCACGTCACGCGGGGGAGCTCCTTCGGGAAGCAGAGCGACCTCTTGCGCAGATCCAATCAACCATCAATTCGCGATTGGGGAAATCATTTCTCCTCAGCATCATTGGAAATCCTTAATATAGTACAAGTGGGCTGGTACCGCTTCAATGGCATCGTCCGAGGGTCTTGGTGAGTATTAATGATGTAGAATTCTGCTCTCCCGTGTTATTGGTGGTAGTATATATCCGAGGCTGTCTTTCAACTGCGGAATATTGATCGGAAAAATAGTTTCTATAGCGTCTCAATAGCCAGGGTCGGATACAAAACCGACCAAAAAGAATAAACCCCTGCTATGAAGACTGAATTTTGTTTCTAGCTCCTAGATTGTATATGCGCGGACATAGATCACGCCACTTTCCTCCATCCAGTGGGGTCGACTGTGATGGTAGAATAGCTAGAACCCATAGTGTATGGGATCAGCCTCGCATTGAACGTCAAAAATTGAAACACTGGGAGAACTTAGAAGAAGCAGCTGTGTTGTAAAAAGCCCACTGTTGTCATGTCACATGCTCTGGCTGTGGTCAAGTTATGGTTGCCCGAAGGCTTATCCTGCTTCATCATCAATTCAAGCAGTCTACACCTCTGAAGTTCCAACATGACATGCCAAGAATACCAGGTACTATACAAGTCCTACTTCGCTTCAACTTCACGTGCTATATTATCTCTGGGAATTCAACATGATTGTCACCGATAGGGAAATCTTCAACCCTCTGTCCCAGATCTGCCCTCGAAAGACGAAGTCGTCAAACTGTGCCGTCAGAATGGGTTGGAGTATAATCGCCTCACCTACACTACTGCGAATGGAAAGACCTTCTTCATCAAGTATAACAATGCCAAAATGGCCGAAGCCCATGCTCACCTGTTCTTTTACTCTCGCATAAACGAAAATTCCCAGTCGACCATCCGCATCCCGGAACGCTACCATGCCTGGCAGCCAGATGGGAGCTCAAGCGTGTACCATGTGATGGAGTACATCGACATCCATCACTTTGCGTTCGACGAAGAGCGGGCGAAGGCGCTGATCGAGCTAATCGCCGTGAAGCCGCCACCGGGGGTTTTTGGAAGCTTCGGGCCACCGGGCGGATATATCAGACACATGTTTTTTCAAGACCGGCAGGCAGCGAAGATATATTCTTCGGTGCAGGAGCTGCAGGATTCAATTAATCAGGTAGGTTTGCCCCATTCAGCGGTGGAGTGCACATCGCCTATCGAAAGATGGATGCTCATCGCTAACTACAACCCCATAGTTTCTTCAAACCGTCTACTCCGGGACTGGTCAGGATCCTGGTGCGGTTGGTTTCAGCGATGAGCCACTATTATGCTACTACGGCGGTACTTCCAGCGAGCTTTGCTAGCTGGCCTTTGGATACGAAGTATAAGCACCCTCTACCCATTCCCATTCGAGCTTATCGGGTTAACCAGATAACTGCCGGGTAAGCGAGTACATCTGCTTCCTATGGAAGGTATCTACTGACACCGCTTTGTCTACAGTGAGATATAAGTTGGAAGAGTGGCTTAGGATGACATCTAACGACACCTAGGATATTAGTCAGATTTAGCTCTTCCTAAGGATTGGCTTTAGTGTAGCATCATAGCCACATCTACATGTTTCAATGTTATAGACGTGAGCAGTGCCAAGCAAGGAAACGCTAAACCGCAATGCGAACCAGGAAGCACAGGGATTACATCACACTGACCACGCCGGCAACGGCCGCTCCGAGCGACGTGCAGGCCAAGAGATGCGACATCCATGTTCCCCCAGCCTCCCTCCTCCCTCTCCGTCTCCCTTAATTCGACTCATCTTCTGCATTCCCCCTCCCGACAGCTCTGCGTCGCATTTCTGTTTCCCGAGAAAATTGACCTCAATTCCTCCCTAGAACGGTAGACCCTCATCAAGATGCTCTTCGCACGTGCCAATCTCCTGCGCGCCTCCATGCGAGCTGCCAGCTCCACAGCCCGTCGACCGGCGCAGCAGCTCGCTCGCCGAACCTACGCATCGGGCCACTCGCACGAGACGAAGAAGTCGAGCGACCTGCCATGGTATGTTCATCTGTTCAATCCCACACTCATCCATTTCCCAATTCCCACCTAGGGGTGGTTCATCCTGCTCTACTCCCAATGGTCTCGGTCTCAATTGAACCCGTTCCCGCCATGTCCTAGCAACGACCAACTAACCCTTCTCAATTGTCCCTTAGGCTCCTCGGATCCGTAGGCCTCGGCGGTCCCGCAGCCGTCTACTTGTGGCAACAACGACCGCAGAAGAAATCGCACGACCACCATGGCGATGAACATCACAGCGCGTCCGATGCCGAAAAGAAGGAGGCCGAGGCGCCCGCCGAAGAAGCGGAACCTCAACCCGACCGGGACGCCGAACAGAAGACCGAACAGCAGCCTGAGCAGCAGCCCGAGCAGAAGAGCGAGGGGGGATCCGGCGCCGAGGAGCCGAAGGGAGAGCCGCCTTCGAATGTGGACCAGGTAAGACGCCCGAATCGGGTTGCATTGGATGGTAAGGTAGCTGATGTCTTGATAGCCCGATAGCCGAAAGGAGCCTGGGGACTCGGCCAGCACGTCGGCGAAGCAGGAAGGTGTTTCCAACAGCACCACTGACAACCCTTTCGTGAATGAGCCGGGGAAGAGCGTCAAGGGCGAGGGTGAGACGGAGACGGCCAAGGTCAAGGGCACCGTTGCTGCTGAACGGCCTCAGGCTTAGGCTGTAGTCGTGGGAATTTCGCGTGGTCTAGTACAGTGAGCTTTCAAGATCTTGACATGTAATATAAACGTTAATCGGTTGAATTGAGCTTGTCAAGGATGATGTGGTTGGAGTAAACGAGAGACCGTCGGACTGACACTATATCATCATAAGCATCGAGAGATTCCAACCTACTGACCAAGAAGCGAAGTTAAATGTGAAACGCCAACGTCAGTCGGCGCAAATCTATTATTATGATTATAGTTAAGAATGGCGCACATCCCCATGCTCCCTCCGAACTCGGATAACAACAAAGACAAAAAAGCGCTCATTCATGGAATCATCACTATATCCACTCAGCTGCATCATGCAGAACACCAGACGACCGAATATATAAGAGACAAAGATTGTGCAACGAAGTGAAGGTCATACACCATGAGCACTGGGAGCAACTGCTCTGGCGCAGTTGCTTTTCCACAAAAAAGAGAACAAAAAGTCGTTCAAAATTTACCACAATCGGGAACTTTTGATGAACAAGTCTGCTTGGGCCATGAGACATGGAAAAAAAGAAAAGATAGAAGAAGTCAGCCCGAAGACGGCAAATTCTCCTTAGGAGTCCTTCTTGACGGGCTCGCCGTTGACCAGAACTTGCGGGGCCGGAGGGTTGCGGGCAGTGACCTTGGGAACGTCGGCACCGGTGGTGACGGCGGCGGCCTCCTGCTCCTGAGCCTCTTCTTCCTCCTCGTCCTCGTCATCGCTGCGCTCGTCCTTGGTGATGCTGTTGAAGATGTAGTTCTTCAAAATGCGGAGGATCAAGAACAGCCAGAAGAGGTTGACCGCCTGCAGACTGGCGAGCAGGGCAAAGGTGATGTATTGACTGATCCAGCACTTGTACTGCTGCGTTTCCCAGTTCAGCTCGAAAGGTCCCACGGTTCGGAATTCGGTCAAGACGGCCCAGAGAATCTTCAGGTTCAGGTAGTGTCGGAGATAGATCCACATCACCACGAAGAGCCCAAAGTAGGGGACTGTGATGAAGTGATCGAGGTAGTTGAGAGTTTTAGAGGTCTGGAGCGAATTAGTTTGGTGCAGACCCGGTGCCAGAAATTATGCTATTGCTTACCGCGAGGAAGAAGTCAGAGACATCGTGGGTGATGTAAACGGCAATTCCCATGTAGGTGAAGTGGAAACGGTAGCTCAGAGCGATCAGAGCCAAAGTGATGATGTGGTGACCGACAAGCTCCATGTAGTCCTTCCGGGGTTTTTCCAACTGCAGCAGAAGCACAATCGCCTGCTGAGCCCAGTAGCTAGCCTGGAGCAGGTAGTACGACTTGAACAGCGCCGTGTGCTCGCGATGCGGGAACCCTTCGAACATGGCGGTAGTGTTGAAGTACCAGATGTTGGACTTGCTCATCACGTACAGACCGAAGGGACCGAAGATGCTGAAGTACATGGCCGTGTACACTTGTTCCATGAATCGCGCGGTCTTGCCTTTGCTGCGGATGCCGCAGTAAATCGCCATAGGCCGGATCACGCGCTGCATGATGAATTCCCGAGTAAAAGACAAGACAATCATGTAGAAGGAGACGAATGCAATGTCCTTGGGGCCTTTCCCGTACATAACCGGGCCATCGGGGGTCGTCGGAGCTTGGGGATAGGACAGGAAGATCGCGCTATGCATCGGGTTGGACGGGGTCGGGTTGACGGCGTACGCGGCAAGAAGGACAATGAGCATCAGGAGAGGGAGAAGCCATGTGTGTTTCAAGCAGGTATCTTTGAAGCGACGGAGAGAGGATCTCTTGCGCCGTTTCGATTGCGATTTGACGGGCTTTTCGGTACGAGACTGGAGAGCCTGACGGGGTGAGCGGGGGTTGGATCGCATGGAATTATTGCCCTGGAAATCGATGCTCGCGTACCTGATCCCACTTCGGGGCTTCAGTCTCGATCGGACTGACTTCGTTCATGGTAGCAATGGCCGGGGCACTGGTGTCTCCGCGGATGTCCGCACCCAGGTTGCTCGACTTTCTCCGGACTCGAGCCATGACGGACGGAGGAGCGGAGATGGGTGTATTCGGTGATTCTAATTACTTGCGAGAGGCACGTCGCCTTTCCTTCTCTCTGTCCGTCCCAGATCGTGGAGGCCGACCGCTATGACCTGTGCAAATGGAATCGTGGCCGCTAATTCTTCCGAACGGCGGCGCAGCCCAAAAAAGGGGTGACGGGAAATAAATACGAGAAAGGAGGGGACAGGGTCGAAGAATAAAAATAAATACAAGTTAATTACAACAAGAGAAGAAGAAGAGAAGAGCTTCGACCCTAGGGAGTGTGCAGAAGTGTGGCAAAGGCAAGGGGGAAGGAAGAGGAAGAAGAGAAGTGACGGTCGACGGAGGTTGAATCGATGGGATCCATTTGATGTCAGGGGCTTTTTTTTTTTTTTTTTTCCTTTTCTTCTTTTCCCCTTCCCAATAATTTTCTCTGGTCGCGACTCCGCCATCAAACCGCCAACTGCCACTCATCGTCCCTGATCGGCTTCTCCTTGGCCCACTCCTGCTTCCGGCGTGAATGTTCATTATTATTCCTCCATCGCCGCCAAGATGCTCACGAGACACGAGATGAGGCCGTTTCAATCAGCGCCTTTTGATATGCCTTCCATTGGCTGCGCTTACGGCGAATAATCTCCCACGGTCGAACTAATCAACTAGTTACCCTCTAGCTCAACCATAAAAATGCCAATCCTCTTTTAAACTGCTTTGAGGCCCGATTTTGTTGCCATCTGTCTTCACTATCTCGCCCGGAATCGGTAGTTCGTTCGTACTGGGATGCCTGGATTGGTTACGAATACGATCCACATTGAGCTCTACGGATCAATGGGCAATCTCCCTGACTGAACTGGCGAATATACTAAACCCTGACCTAGATTGGGCTCGGATCTCGATATCTGTTGATATCCCTTGCTTCGTGTTTCATGTCACCGACGAGCAATAAGACTCAAAATTGGGCATTGTATCTGAAAGCCGGACTGTCGCATCTGGTTTCAAAATCCCAGTTGTGTTAGAATGGCTGAACAATAATGACATTGTTCAGATACAAAGTCATCGACTTCAAGGTCATTTTTCTCATGTTCAGGGGAACAATGGGACTAATATGGTTCTTTGTAGTCCACTATCCATGTCGATATTTGCCCTATGCGTTAGACACCCTCACTGGTCTTTCATAGAGACTGGTCGATTCCCCAGACTATCTAGGATAGTCGCTTCTGACTTCTCGGGGACAAATACTAGAATAGACAAGTATTGATCTATAAAAAAACATATGCACATTATCTATACATCCAAAACCACGCGACACGGTTTTTAAACAGCGTCTACCCATTCACATATACACATAAACCATTCTAGCCAACCTCTACTCCCCAAACCCCCAAAACCAATCACCCAATTCTCTTCTTCATAAGCGCCATCACCAACAACGCCGTAAATCCATCCTCATTCGTAACCGGATACCTCGGCTCCTCCTTGAACATCTCATACCCTCTCTTCTCATACCAAGTATGAGCACTAAAGTCCGGAGCCGGCAGCCCAAACTTCGCCCACAGCCCCCTCCACTCGGGCCCCTCATCATAAACATACTTCTTCGTCAACGTACTCAGCGCCAGGAACTGACAATTCGGACTCCCATACGGTTCCGTGCGCGCCACGTCCTCCAGCTTCTCCATGACCGCATGCCCAAGCCCCAGCTTGCGGTGCTCCGGGAGGATGAAGAAATTCTGAATCGCGAGGGTCGATTTATCCTCCGCGACGATCTCCGGGCTATGCGGTGGGTCCGTGTAGGAGTCTAGCGAGATGTGGCCTACGCGGAGGGTTGATTCAGCGGGCTCAGACTCTGCGTTTGGCGTTTCGGCACTCGAGGCGCCAGGATTGGTGATGGTGATCCAAAACAGGGACTTCAGTTTCTGCTCTTGCTTCTCGCGGTAGAACGCGAGGGTCTCGTCGGAGAAGGCCCAGCCGCAGATTGTGCGCTGGCGCTGGAACTCGCTGTATTCCTTGGGGTCGGCGAGGTTGACCGGGACGAAGGTGAAAGACGGGGCGGATTTGGAGATCATTGTGAATTAAGGATGGGAGGATTGGAGGAGAGGGTTGAGACGTAGAAAATGAGAAATAAGAAATAGAAAAGTAGAGTTGTAGCATGTGGAAACCTAGCGGTTCATATACTTTTCCAACAATCGATCCATCTGAGCCACTACACCGCAACGGGAGTCCAAATCTAGCGCTTATGTTTAGTGTAGGAACGAGACTTGGAGAGCCTCCAGGCAAAGAAAATGATATGTTCGGTCGGATATGCTAACCCCTTCGGACATGCAAACCTGGGACTCCGCGCTCCGAAATCGAATGTTATCTGAGCTCACATTGAAAATAGCTCGATCCCGCCTAAAGATCTCTAAGCATTAACTCTCAATTAAAAACTTTTATATACTTCATGTCTCATAAGTCCTCCACGTAACCTAATCACGCCACTCTAGATCTAAAATTTCGTCTTTAGCCCCCAACCACCCGCAACACCCCTCGCCACCACGAAGGCAATGAACGACGCCATGTAAAGGGCTCCCGCGAAGATGATCAAGCCCCAATACTCGCCTCCATTGCGTTCTTGAATGGCACCCGCGATCGGAATTCCCGTCAGTGTCGCAAAACTCACCAACGTGAAGGTGGTCCCGTTTCGCTTGCCATAGTCCTCCGTCCGACAGACCTGGGAGATGCACACGGGCGTCAAGCTGATCGCCGCGCCGCTCCAGAAGCCGAACAGGACAGAGTACGCGATGATAGCGGCGTGGTTCTGCCCGGCTTTATACCACAGCACCAACGTCAAGACGCCGCAAATGACCGTGGTCATGGCCATGACGTTGAACCGACCCAATCGGTCGGCGAGAAGGCCTGGGAATGCACGGCCGGGGATAGCGCCGACGTTCAGGAAGATAGATAGCTTGTAGGCTAGGGACTCGCCGAGTCCGGCGTAGAGGCCGTACGACGCGATGTAGGTGTATGGAATGAAGACGGCGAATTCGACCAGCCAGACAGCCACAGTGGTGAGGGCGTAGTTCGGTTCCCGGAGAGCCTTGATGTCGATGGCCATGCCGGCGGCATGGTTAGGTGGGAGGCGCGTTCTCATGAGCAGACAGGCCATGGCGCATAGGAAGAAGCTGATGATGCCGATGATGCGCAGGGCCCAGGGAAAGCCTAGCGTGGGACCGACGTAGAGGATGATGATAGGGAAGATGACGCCGCCGAGACCCCCAGCGGTGCAGGCGATGCCGGTGGCATAGGCACGGCGCACGTTGAACCAGTGACCCACGACAGCGATGGCGGGGGTGAAAAGACAGCACGATGAAAGACCACCGAGGACGCTGAACGAGAGGAAAATTTGGTAATATTCTGCGAAGGTTAGCCGGGGAACCATTGGTTCTCGAATGGGTCTTACCTGTGCTGGCACTGAAGAAGAAAATGGCCAGGACTAAACCAATCGACCCCGGTGCGATCACCGGAAGCAATCCTCGACTGTCAAAAATAGGACCTGCCATGTTGCGATATGAGCCGAGTTCGATTAAACAATGGGAGTTACTACTTACCAACCTGGGCACTTCCAAAATTGAGGAAGAAACTAAAAGCGCCAAAGATCCAACCGATGCTGGAATCCGAGTAGCCGGCCAACTGATGCGTCGAAGTCCAAGCATGCAATGCGCCAATGGTATTCAGCATGCCCATTGCCGGCACCATGGCGCACCAGGAGCCCAGCACGACCAGCCATGCGCGCGTTCCTCCCTCGGGATACTTTCCATGGGGATCTGCCAGCTCGGTTGCTTCCGAGATCGGTCGGTGGAGGGCCGATGGAGTTTTCTCCGTGATGACCTCGCCTGGCATTTCGTGCCGTGCATCCTGTTGCTGGGACACGTTGAGCTCGAGATCCGCCATGGAGGACTGTATCGCTGGGGTGGTCGAAGTCGGAAAACGGAGTAGAAAAGTTGGAGAATGACTCCGACGGGGAAGAAATATTGAGAAGTGGGGACGAGTCACCCGCAAAAAAAAAAAAAAAAAAAAAGAGGACTAACAACTCAACTCCGCATGCCAGCACTACTCTCAATTGGGAGATGGTTTGGACTCGGATTCAGACATCCGAGAGATCGACCGAGGAACTTATCACGATTCGAGATTGTCCTGATAGATTTTGATAGGGCTATCTCTCCCCTTGTCTCGTTATCTCCCCCGCGCTTTTTGATCCACCCGTTTTGCGAATGCCACTGATAACTCTTCTCTCTTCCCCACAGATGCCATTTTATGTGCTGGAAAATTGTGCTAGTTATAATAATTTTAGCGACCAAGGATCTAGCATAAGTGAAGAAAAGAACCCCGGATTTAGCTACTGGTCGTTTCTTGGTTGCTCACAGTGCGGGGCTCATAAAATTCATGACCAAGGACTTTGCATATTTTGACCACCCAGCTACATAAACTGGTTCTGGAGATCCTTCAAATAGTACTCTATCGGTTCATGGTGATAGCGAACTGCATAGCTCAACGCAGTTCGCTTGTAGGGATCCAAACGCCACGGGTCTGCTCCATGCTCGACCAAAAATCTCACGGACGCTAGTGAGCCAGCCCGTGCAGCATACTGAACAGGCGTACAGAGTCCAAACCTAAAATCCATTGTATATTCCAGATAGCCTTCATCAAGAAGTCGATTGACACTATCCATGACCCGCCGACTTTTGCTGAGCAGGTATTTCGGGATCTCGAGCCCGTTTGCATCGAGTCGCATCGAAGCGTAGTGCAGTAACTGGCCATGTTCAGTCGATCCTCCGTACTGGAAAAAAAGCTCAATAATCTCGAATGGGGCCTTGAAGATAGCGTAGGATAAAGGTGTGGCATCCCGTAGCTGGCAACGTTTATTAGGGTCAGCGCCGTGTTTCAAGAACCATGTCGCAAGATCTGGGTCATCGAAGGTATAGCTATTGTTAGAATATGTGAGGTGATAATCATGAAAGGAGATGGATACGAGTTACATAAGCGCCGATGGCACTTTGCTATCAAGAATGGATTCTGCGTTGATATCCCAGCCATGATCAAGGAATACTTGAAGGCCGTCGTACTGTTTCTCTCGGGTTGTTTTGGCAAACAATTCGAAGTTCATGGGCGCTCCCTTGTCCAACAGTTGTGCAACAAAGGCGGCATTGCCCTCCTCTATCGCCGTAAACACTTGGGTTGGGAGGTCTTCCATGGCTGAGGGAGTAGGAGCAGGAAGAGGAAGAAGTGGGCAATTATTTGCGAGTGTTTAATCTCCCCAGGTCACCTGTCATGTGATTCCAGCCTATTGGAAGCTCCAGATTTAGGCACTAAGCACCTAGTTCTCAGCCTTGGACATCAAACTGGCTATCTATGCTTTACCTCTAAAAGAAAGAATTCATGAATAAAAAGATAGGGTATTGGCACCCAGCCTACTTACATCTTGCATGGAATCGAACCATTTAGCTCTCTTATTCCACAGTGTTTCACTGCAACTTCCACTCATTTTGAGCCACTGGGTGCTTGCGAGGCACCCAGGCACCGATGGCAGTTTACCAGGGCCAGTCATGTGGCTTTTCTTCAGTCCCCCCCCCTCCCCCTCTGACTCTTACTTCTCTCTCTCCTCAACTGATTGATCACTCTGCTATCCCTCTTTCATCCACTGATGATCTCTCATCGCGTCTACCTCTCACATTCAGTTCATCGTCCTGAATATTTCCAATTGTCTTTTGAAGCCCGATTACACTATTCATATCTTATCAAGCTCTCTGTTTCTTGATCCCAATACACTCACTCACCTCTCAGTTTCTCACACTGCTTCCTCAACCCTCACTGTTTGTCTTGTTTACTATTTTCTCATTTACAGAACCAGAACTCCCACCCTGCATTCACTCTACTGATATACCCATATTACCTGAGAAATGGCAAAGAAAAAACCTTCATTCTACTGCTGTATCTGTGGCGGCCCTTTCACCCCTTGGGGGCTTCGAAAGATAAGCACCGTTGCACCGAGTGAGAAAGAAAACGATGCTCTCCTCTTTAAAGACTGGTGTGACTGCGGAGCCGACAATTATCATGGCGGTGCTCATAACACGTCGTGTGCTGTCTTCAAAGGTTATGACGGGTCTTTACTTTCCCGGATGAGTGCCGTAGTAAGCTCTCCCAGCCTCAACATGACCTGTAAAGTCTAACCCAGCTTAGTGGCTCGTCAACGCGCGCATGATTTGCGCTAGAGCTGGTTCCGAAGGGCTATGTCTTTGCAATGATGACCCCTCCCTCTGTTTCATCACCGATGTGGTAAGTTCCCATGAATTCCTTTTTCGTTGGAAGGCCATTTAGAGTAAGCATTTACTAAGGAAGCACAGGGTATATTTTCCCCTGAAGGAGGCTTCGACTGCGGTGGGCTCGTTGGCACGCTATGGCCCATGCAAGATGGCTTCATCACGCATGAGTTATGTTGGGATATGCTTGAGCTTGTTCATAGGAGCAAGTTCCCAAGTAGGGGGAATATTAATCTACCAGAACTCTGGATCTCATTGCGCATCCGAATGCCGCCGTCTGGAGGGGTTGCCGTCAACTGGGGTGATCATTGCTCTTACGGTGGCGCGGGTCAATTCCACCAGGCTGACTGGGAACCCCGGCCAGGATATGAAGTATGTGCATATCGTTGATGTTCTAGCGACTTGCTGCTGACATTTTCCAAGTGGCTGGTAGCGTGCCCGGATGAAAGCGTGGATTTTGCGAAAATCATCGATGCCTCTGTTGCAGACCCTTCGGCTCGGATCTCACGCCAGAGTACATTGTCACGAGAATACCGCGACCCATTCTTCCACCTGCCCGCTGAAATAATTCATAAAATTCTTGCTACTATCCCCTACAAGTCCATGGTCAGCCTCATGCTTGTAAGCTACTCAGTTCGAGAGGCGGGCGGCTCCATATGGAGAACTCGATTGGCCACAGACATTCCATGGCATCAAGGAACTCAGCTTTTTCAAAGTCTTGCAGAACGCAAATCATTCATCAAATACGGGACTCTCTTGAAATTACTAGAGAAAGTCTCTTCTGATTCTGGCAATATCGACGGCGTGGAATCAGATCAACAGTGGTTAGGGCTGAGAAATCGTCGGCGGATTTGGGCCTGCTGTGAACGAATTGTGGAAGATATCGAAACACGGTTCGCTGCTGCTCGGAATGCACGTGGCTTTGTGTCTGAAGGAGTGGAAGCACTATCGACCTTTCGAATCGCCACGGTCATTGAACCCAAGGAAAACGAAGAAAGATGTGGCGCTGATGTATACTTCGTTCCAACCCTAACTAACACGCCTAGCCTGCAAGCGATCACAGTCTATTTCCTGCCGGAAGGGTCAGTTGTTGGGATCGAGTTTTCTCTTCAAGGTGAAGAGTTCGGTCGAATTCTCGGGCATCGAAGCACATTCTTCCAGAGCGTTGCGGTTCCTTCAAGCCTTGTGATCAATGGATTCCTTCTGTCACTTGGGCCAGAACTTCCAGTCATCCGAGATCGCCCAATACGAGGGCTTGGGGTTCTGACAGAAGATAGTCTGTTGCAATCTCGGTTAAGATTTGGAAAGTGGACGGGAAGTGATGTAGTCCAAGTTTTTCGTCCCTGGTGTCCACTACTGAATACGGAGTTCATAAATCAACAAGTAGTTGGAATAACGGGCCAATGGAATGTGGGTTTATATTCGACGATGCTGGCATCGGCCCAAGCTAACGAGATACAGGTCGAAAAGATATTCACATTTGGAATTATAGTGGCTGTCCAGAAGTTACGAGAAAAAGACCCTTACAGATTAGATATCTACAGCCGATGGGTGAATGATTGGCCGCCCACACATAGTCTTCCACCAAGGCACGGAACTGATATCCGTTACGAGTCACCTTACATCGAACCCGCGATCCATCAGATTCAGAATATGTATATCGACCTCGTCCATGGCGATTTAGTTTCGGTGAACGGCTATTATCCTCATGGCAACCAAAATCCACTGGGCGGCCTGAAATTCAACTTCTTCGACGGAAGCAGTAAGCTTGTTGGTCGTGCCGAGAATGATCCTAGTATGCAAGCTGAAGTCAAGGTGACTCTGGATCCTGAAAAGGAAGAAAGGATCACTGGGTGGGTAGGATATTACGGACGTGCTGCTGATGGTAGTCCTCGCAATGTGTACGCTTTGAAAGTGAGCTGGCTTGTTTGACTTTACCGTGCCAAATACCAACTGACATTTTTTCACAGCTCACAACCAACCTAGGCAGACATCTTGCTCTGGGAAACGAGGATGCGGTTGACATTTGGTACTCTTATGGGTTGGAGGTAAATGATACTAACCGGTTGTTCGGTTTTCAAATCGGTGATTCGCCTCCCTGGATTGAGAGTTTCAGCGCTGTTTTCGGCCCCAAAGATAAGTCCCCAGAAGAGCTTTAAATAGTTGCCAGGTGCACACATGGTCCTATTTGCACATTGTCAGATGTACGTACATGTTTTCCGGTGTTTAATGTGTTTCGACGGGCTGTTTAGGAGGTATTCCCCTTTCTAATAATTGAATGTCACGGCCTAATGTCTTTTCACTTCCCTTGACTTCCTACATCCTCGTTTGGAAGTAATCCCCCTTGATTCAAAGTTACAGACATTAGCGAGTTAAGATTTCAAGTCATATGGCAATGCATCCATGATGAGAACAAGGATACAGTCTTCAAAACAACATTGTATACTGCAGAAGCCATAATGTAGGAACCAGAGTCGGAACCGGATAGAAAAATGCGTAGATACCCTTTCTCTCCCTAAAGACTTCTGTAGGTCCTCATATTGACCTTGGTCTACCGGACTAATCGTGACTATAATCTTTCCTTTCAACCTTACTGTCGTCATATCTCCCATGCTTTATCACATGCTATATCTATCACGAAGAGAACCCCTCGGGAGGAACCTGCTTTCGTACGTATCTCAGGGTCTACGAAGAGGCGCAGCTGAGGGGGGGGAAAAGACCAGGGGACCGGGAGAAAGATAGAGAGAACTGTGATTTAAAGTATCGAATCAGGGCTACAAGATTGCGTCAGAATGGAGATATTCTCATATTATAGGAGCTTTTTGTTCCAACGCATTATAGTCACTACCTATCACCGAATACCAATATCAATCACCCCGAAGTCGTCATCTCATCCGACATCGTCTCGTAATAAAATTATTTCACACATGTTATCAAGTATATAAATAAGAAGAGTTTCCAACCCACCCAGTATATGTACTGTACTGTATATCCAAAACCAACGCAACGCAACCCACAACCGAACTTCATTCTTCATGTCTTCTCATGAATCAATCATGCCTTCTCAGCAGTCTCGGCATGCACGGCCACACTGCCGACGCGCTTCTCATCATCACCGACCTGCTCGATGACGGCACCACGCGAGAACTCGTTCTTGGTCTTCCAGGCCGGCTTACCGATGAAGGGAATACCGGTGGGGTCGGTGAAGATGGCCTCGACGTCTTCGAGGGTCTTACCGGAGGTTTCGGGGAACATGAAGAAGACGTGCAGGAACATGGCGGTACAGAAGACACCGAAGAGGATGTAGACCTTCCACTGGATGTTGACGAAGGCGGGGGGCACGAAGTAGCTGAGCGCGAAGTTGAAGGCCCAGTTGGAGGAAGTACAGAGCGAGTTGGCCTTGCCACGAACACGCAAGGGGAACAACTCGGGGGGATACGCCCACGAGGCGGGACCCCAGGAGATGGCGTAGCTGGCCACAAACAGGTAGGTGGAGGCGATAACGGCCTTGCTGGGGGCGCCACGGATGATCCACGACTGAGCTTCGATGCCGTCGAGACCGCCTGGGGGAGCGGCGTGACCGTAAGAGGCCATGAGGCCGGCGTTGACGTACATCCAGATCATCATGAAGATAGCGCCGACCATGAAGGTGTTACGGCGACCCCAACGGTCACCCCAGATGAGGGCGGGAACGGTCATCACGACGTTGATGACGTACTGAATGCTGGAGGAAACGAGCAGGTTGTTGCCCTCCAGACCAGCCATAGCGAATACGTAGGTGATATAGTACATCATAACGTTCATGCCGGTCATCTGGGACCAGATTTGAGTGAAGATACCGACGTGCGTGCGGTTGATCATGGAGGGCTTGAGCAGTTCCAGGTAGCTGACGTCAGCGTTATGGCGCTCAAACTCGCACATGCTCTTGATCTCCTCGTATTCAAGCTGCACGAACGAGGCGTTGGGGTCACCGTTGCCGTGGACCAGGGCCAGGACGGCGTGGCACTCCTCCCAGCGGTCCTTACGGGCCAACCAACGAGGCGACTCAGGTAGCACTGTCATGCCCAGAAAGAGAAGCATGGCAGGAATCATTTGAAGGCCCCAGGGGATTCGGAAGGAGGCGGTGCCATTAATAAAGCTGCATCCGTACGAGATACTGCACCCAGATGTTAGAAAAGCTAAAAACATTTCTCTTGATGGGGTTGCTTACTAAAACATAATCATGATACCCCACGTAATCGCCCATCTGGCCGGCAATGGTTAGTAATTGAGGAATTGTGGTGTGGTTTGTTGATCGGTGGAGCTGGACGAGAGGGGTGAAAAGGCGAACTCACTGTTGCATACCAACCAAACGACCACGCTTGGTAGGAGGAGCCTAAAGAGAAAGGAGTTAGTAACCGATTGATTGCAAGTATTGGGTGATAAGTGGGCTGTAAGGTTCAAGAACCCTGATGCTTCATTGGCGGATGCGGAATGCTCGACAAGAACGACATCAGGGCAGAGGAGATCAGGACAAAGCAGTGGATTCTTACCAGTTCAGTAATGTAGACAGGGACCTGAGCCGAGCAGATACCGACGGAGAAACCGTTGATAATACGACCGACAATCAACATGGGGATGTTTTGGGCGGCGCAAACCAGGATAGAACCAATGCACCTATGTGTGGGTTAGATCAGAAAAAGAGAGTGTCAATAGTAAGAAAGCCTACCAAATAACCGCACCGACCATGATAGCTTGCTTTCGACCAAACATATCGGAGACGAAACCCGAGACCAGAGCACCCAACCAGGAACCAGCAGCCATGGAGGCGGTGATACCACCCTGCACGTCTGCACTGGGACCCTTGCATTTCATGTCGCCATTATCATCATATTCAATTGGTCCTTGGTGGAAGTAACAGAGATAGGGTTTGGTGCTGATGATGGCGGACATCGACGAGATATCGAAACCGAACAGGCCACCACCGATGACGGCGATGGCCGCAATAGCGTACAGATTACCAATAATCATGGTGAAAGGGGGATGCCGACTCCACTCTCAGCTGCAAAGTAGAGGAGGCTTTCCTGGGGAGTGGACAACAAACCAGGGGGACGGGGAAGCACGAGGGGAGGAAAGAGATTTTAAAGCATTTGGACAATGCGGCCCGGTGTTAATATACCCGAAAGACGGGGGCAAATTTCTTTTCCTTAGTACGCAGTACGGAGTACGTCGAGACTAGAACGACGGGGTACGGAGTCATAGGTCCTAGGTACATTTTCGCGCGATGACTTGATCCGGAGCATGATGGGGGGAGAAAAAGCCAAACGGACGCTGCTACGGCGTGTACCAAACCGAATCACAACGGAAATTGGGAATGGGGCCCCATGGCAGACGAGATTAGTTTCACCAGGTAGATTTGGCTGGAGCGCATATGGTTAGACGGTCAGGAGTAGGGTCCAATCATTGCATGCTAACACTGCGAGGACGATCCACTCATGCAGACATTGGCAACATGCCATGAGAGATTTTTTTTCTCTTTCTTTACTTTTTTTTTCCGTCCTAGAGTTTTCCCGGCTAACCGAATCAGAATCAGCCCAGGAGTGGGCTATGGGGAAACTCGCGGGGGAGAAACAACACATGGTTTGGAAAGCACAAGACCTTGGAAATTCCGATTGACCGGTGGATCAGACCAGAGGGGTCTGTCGATGCATGAGCAAGCGCACTCGTCCAGAGAGCCAGAAAGAGATTGGAAACGGGACCGGAATGACAGGGTGATACCCCATCCCGGGACGGCCGAATGCGACGCTCGAGCGCCGTGGCCATTTCGAGGAGGATAGCCGGGACAAGAAACAGGCGCGAGTCGGGCTGACGGGTCATTCGCAGAGCCAGAACGGGACCGTGGAGGGATCCGGGGAAACCAGAGCATGCGGGCGAGACTAGTGCCGACTGGACGGAGACTTGTCCAGGAGCGTTCCCAGGCCGAACCAAGACGGATCGGCAGAGCTGGATTCCTTTCGCGGCGGTGGCGTAGGGAGCCGACGATGCGGCAATTCCAGCGATGGCATCACAGGTTGGCTTTCCACCGATGATTCGATCAGGCCGGTCATGCAGTAACTTTGGGAATTGATAGGCTGCTTAGATGGTCGCACTATGGTTCCTGGTCAGCAATCTGTCTGCACCGTGATAGGATTGGAAGGGGAGCAATGTGGGGAGACGAGAAAGTCCTGGAGACCCCGACCAATTCCCCAGAACGAACAGAGTTGCATTCGGGAGCGAAACGGACGACTGGAGAGAGAGAGGGAAATGCCCGGCTTGGGCCCGTGACTTCCCCTTTCGGCGCTGCCCTCGGAAGCGCCAAGAGCGGCCTAGCGCCGGCGCCATCTCGCCGCTCATTGGCCAATCGGCCGACGGGTCCCTCGGTCCAGGTCCCGTGCCCACGGGGATTTCCCGCCAATCAGCGCCGAGATCAACAACCCCAAAGCCTGCGAGGGATCCGTGAGATCCTGCAGACTGGCTTGGAAGCGACCTCCCAAGACGCCTTAATCCGGCACTCGGTGAACCTCCATAGGCGAGAGAATCCTTCGAGACTCAATGAATCGTTTCCCCGGAGTGCTCGCGCATCTTCACCCTCGGATCACTCGAAATTGCTCGATTCATATATTGCGGGGCAAACGCTGCCTAACGACTCCGTTCTCCGCGTGCTAGCAAACACTACGGAGTCATAATAATAAATACATGACCAATGGCCCCGGGTAGCCTGCCTGAACCGTCAGCCCGAGCTAAAAATCCAGCTAAAATCCAGCGCCTCTGTCGGGCTCCAATTAACCGAATAGCCTTCAACGCCTTTGCCAAGCACTCCGAATCTTCCTTCCTGTCCTTCTTGTGGTCAGCCACAAGGCTTAAGACTCCGTGCGACGGCTTCTCATTCCTCATTGCGCTCTGGTCGCCGAGCTTGACTCTGCTGGGCCATCTCGCCTAGGTCTTGTCCTGCGTCATCAACGTTCATCCGTGCAGTCTCGGGACAGGGTTCCCTCACGGCGGTCAAAACTTGCCGCCAATTTGCCGGGGTAAAGGGGGAAATGGCTTGACTCCGGTTTTCGCCCGCATGGCCCCCCGAAGTCCATCCCGGTGGAGTCCCCGAGTGACTCGTGAGATCTTAGGGCCGGAAATATATGCAACAAACTAATGGAAGGACGAAAGAGACTGGTCAAACAAATGAAACACAGACCCCGAAAGAAAACAAGCTGGACTTCGGCACACGTGGACAAGATCCTTTACAGCTCCGGACAAATGGTGCCACTCCGATCACACGCACCGAAGAGTTTTTATGACACCGTTGAACGGTCCAAAAATAGCAGGAAATTATGGGAAATGCCAGTCATCATTATCATTAGTGTATGTTGCCTATGTCAAAATCGTATGCTGATGCGGTGCAACGGGATAAACCCGATCATTATGTGCTGGTATCAAGGATTTCAAGTGGGGATGAAAACGAAGGAACGAAAGAGGGGGAAAAAAAAAAAGGAAAGAGATGGACGCCACCGACAGAGGCCAAGGCCACTGGTGCAGGGTTTTCGCTTTTCACACGAGCTGCCACTCCGCAATGTAAGCCCATGACATGCCTACTCGGCCAACCTGTCGCCGATATTCCTCCGCAGTTACCCCCCGGGCGTCCTTCTGGTCACCGAATGAAGTGAGCACGGCAATTTGCAGCTTTTGTCCCGGCGCTCCCAAGACTCTGGCGTCCGGGACGTCCACAAACCAAAAGTCCCCGCCCCCGTTCGGTCCGGAGCCCCGGGCATGAGTAAAAGGCAGCCTGTCGTCCTTCCGACCGTCCACGCCGTGCACCATCAGTAGGAAAAGCCCAGGCTTGGCCCGGCTGTGGTTTGCCAGTGTCCAGTGCTCACAAATGAGCCCGAACTGGAAGCGCATCGGCCCAGACTGATGAACCGAGATTTCCTTGGCATCCGGTCGGAACGAGCGCTCCCCAATGCTGTGCTTCTTTGCGTCCGTGAATATCGTCGGCTGCTCGGCGCCAAGCGGCGAGTTTGGGTTGCCCACGAGGTACTCTTCCCAGCTGATCTCGGGTCGCCCGTCGTCCCGGTAGAATCGGGCTCGATCCGAAGGGTAATGGCGAAGCCCAAACTCGTCGTTGGAATCGGTGAACATGGCCGCATTGAATTGCTTCTTATACGGCTTCCCGGCGCCTTGCACCACCCCGGCACCCCAGCAGGCGTCGAGAAGTTTCCATTGTCCATTGTCGATTCTCACCGCGTTCCAAGCGTGGCTCGCTTTGAACGGCGGTAAGCTAGAGCCCGGTGCCGGGGCATTGTAGCCGAAACCTTTGCCATGACCGGAAATTTTGACCGCTTCCATCCCAGCATGGGCTGCGAGTGCCGCGAATAAACCGGCATAGCCTTCACACACTGCCAGTCCGGTGGCCAGCGTCGAGCCGGGAGTCGATGGTTTTACGCAATTATTAAAGAAGGAGTGCACATCGTACTCTATATTATGGTGGAACCAGGTGAAAAGTGCTCGGGCTTTGTCGGTATGGGACGGGAAGGGGGCCGTTAGCTCTCTTGCCAGCCAGGCCATATCGTGGGTGGGAAGAGATTGGCGCGGGTATTGAGCCGCGTGCGCGTCCGGGCCCGAGAAATCGCGGCATTTCAGACAGGTCACACTGGGTGTCGCAGCCGGCGAGCCATTGCTTTGCATACGAGGTTTCGTCGCCATGATTTTGGACAGGTCGGGGCGAGACGCCAAGGGGACGGGTGGTGGCACTCCATTCGAGGCAGGTTCTTCGGCCGGCTCACTTGATCGTTCGGGAACCTCTGGAATTCTAGTGATCCCTCCCAGTCCAGAATTCTGAAGCTTGCCCAGAACACCATTTGAACTTGGAGGTCTGGCGACAGGTGGCGGGGCGCTGTCTGATGCTTCCGAGTTTTTGTTTATCCCCCCAAGCCCAGACTGCTGGATCTTCTCGAGCACATTGTTTGAGGGTGGCGGCGGCGGAAGCTTCCTGGGCGGTGGTCTGACGGCGGGTTCTGCATTTACACCAGGCGATTTGTCCCTGGTACCCCGAGAGGGTAATGGTGGCGGCGGCTGGCTCACGAATGAGCCACCATCAGTCGAGGTGCTATTCGTCGATTCCCGGCGACTAGGCAGGGACGGTCGAGATTGCGAGCGACTTCTGCTGGAGTTCGCGGTCGACGGCCGCGATCGTGATGTCTGCTCCTGTCTCTTGGGAGGCAGCGGAGGGAGTTCCGCTTCACCCCACGCGGGCGCTCGTACCCCCCGAACAGAGCTAGAGTCAATGGAGGTCGCCGATGTTCCCGTAGTCCTCCCCGCGCTTGTAGACGTCGAACGAGAGGCATCCGAAGCCACCGATTCTAACGAGACCTTCCGGGAGATCTCTGAGGGTCTGCGCGGCGGTAGTGCCGGAGCCGATTGCGTGGAGCTCTTTCGAGTGGGCAAGGGTGGGGGCACCTTTGGCTTCCGGCCGTTCGGAGGCACTGCAGGCGGGGGTCGTAGAGCCGGTTTCTGTTGAACCTCTTCGTAGGGGGGTGGGGGGACGTTGGACGGAGGATTATTGATCGTTTGATTCCGCGAAGGGGCTGGACGCGATGGCAGGGGAGTTGGTTGCGAACCCAGGAACGGCGGGGCTGCGCTCTCGGAACCGTGTCCAGTCTGGGCCTGTTTCAGGGCGGCGATGCGTTGCTGGATAGACATCACTTGAGGCTCCGGTTCTTCGTTCATTTTCTTCGAGTTGACTCAGGCAATCTATTTAAGATTCGAGAAGTGTCCAATCGGCGGGAAAGGGGACTTTGAGCAGCCAAACGGGGCGTCAAATTGGATGAAGCTGACTTGAGATGGACGGATCGGGGCAGCTTGGCAACGCCGCATTTAGCTGATCTGAAGGGAGAGTTCGACGGAAGATGCCAGGGTAAAGAATGTGAAGGAAAGACCAAGTTGGAGGGAGCGATTTGGGTTAAAAGGGGATGGATGCACGTTGGAGAAGGGAGAAAGAGGGGAGACGCAGGAAAGGCTTTGGAGCCTCGCAGGGCTGACTTCTGCCTCAGGTCCACAATACATGGGGTCTGGAACGTATGTACTGTCAGGGAATGACAGGTTATTCTCGGTATTAGTACGCTTCTTTTGCGGAGATAATCCAGGTATTGGTGGTATCAGTACGTACAGTACAGAGATAGTACATGGTTTCTCCTTTGTTTCAGAATGTTCCACTGAGAACCAAGCCGATCATGTGAGGTCATAGGGGTTTGCATGAGTTTGCAGTTGCATAAATTATTTGACGGGAAGACAATCATCTCCTAGTCTGTCTCTTTCCTACGGTATCTAAGTGACATATCCTTGATATACCCTTGAAGGTCATCCGTTGACATTCCAATGCAGCGTGTCATGAGGGAATAAATATACATCGTCCGGGAAACCTTGTCAGAACTCTATTCTCTACACTCTATTTGTCTTTTTCCATATTAAGACAAACCTGTCCTTCATCTTCGCAAGACTCCCTGCAGATATCAGGAGGTTTCGTTCCCAGCGCCAATTCCCAGCTGGTAACCCAGATGCTGCTGCACTTGCAATATGGCAGCTCTCGCATTGCTTCATCACACAATCCTTGCCAACAATGCTAGAACAGAACCAATTCATCTTCCACCAGAACCTCTAGTTGGCTTATTCGGCTCCATCGTTGTGATTAATTCTAGTTCTTGAGACTTTAATTGCAACATGGCGGACTACCATATGCACCGCATTGCTGACTGCAAAAATGGGGTTAAGGTCGTCGCCGCGGACACAAGCTTGCTAGACGACTAGACTACCAAATTCGTCGGGATAAATAGCTATGATGAAGACAGGTCCACTCAATCCCACCACTCAGACTTGTTTCGAGAAAAGTGGGTCATCATCGCCGTGTGTGAGTGACCTAGCAAGTACAGAGAGCACACCTGGTGAATGGCAGTCAGCGTCTCCGCAACTCACTCTCGCCTGGAAAAACAACTTGAGAAATCACTGCTGGCATATCAGGGTTTAACTCAACGGAAGAATTGACTTGATAGGCTTCTGAGTGCCCGCACTTCTGCAAAGAAAGACTTGAAACCACAGGACACGCCAGGTGGAATAAGACTTCCCGGTCATGTCCGGCGGGCCAGAACGTTGGAAGCATGCAAGCACGCCCGGCAGATATTCGGCTCCTGATAGGCCTCTTAACACCGAGTCCCGCATTATAACGAAGGACTGCAACTGAAGAATTGGAAATGCTCTGATGGTCTTTAGATCCGCGTATCGCCGAGGACGCTAGTCTCATCCGGGCTATTGGCGACGAGGTCCACAACTTTACTCCGAGACCCAGAGCTGCTGCTGATCTTATCTTTTCGGTCTCAGAAAGCATTCGTGTAGACTGATATTCCCTTTAGTGAGCTTCCATATGTGTGCGGCGAGATGGGTGTGAACGAGACAGGCCTCGATCGCCTCAATGGCCTCGCCTCCAAGTATGGTCCACTAGAAATTGGGAATATGCGGAAGTCTTGCCAGGTCGTGTTGAAAAGTCCCAGGGAATCTTGATCATCATTGAGCATAAATCAGACATCGATTTCAATTGAACGCGTGGATAGGGAGGCGTATACTATGGAGTCCCACAGCCTTAGTCCTTTGGCTCGGAGGTAAGATCCAAGGCAACCTTCTAATTCCTCCGATGTATGAAGAAATTGATGCGTCATGCGATGTTGATCAATTATGCTGAGGCCGTGCTAGTTTCGATACTGAGTCCGAAGAAAGTAATTCAGACCGATGTCAGTTCAATTCTCCGGATATTTATACCCCATGGCAATCGTTCATTTAAAGAAAATAAGCCTGCGTGACAATCTTTTCAATTCCCCAACTTAGCCAATATGAAGATACCAGCGTTCTTGAAATTTAGTCTTCTGACTTTAGGAATTCTGACTTCCCAGTCGTCGGCTGTCCTCTACAACACCCCCGTCGACACCGAGTATGGGAAAGTCCAGGGGTGCAAGTATTTCAACAGCTCGACATCCCAGAAATACTTTAATCTCCCGGACAGTCACATCGCTGCCTTCCTCGGAATTCCATATGCTGCAGATACGGCCTACCAGAATCGCTGGAAACCTGCCCAACGCCGTCAGCCTTGGAACAGCACCCTAAAGGCTCATGAATTTGGACCTTCTTGTCCTACATCTCACCAAGCCATCACATACAACATCAGCGAGGACTGTTTGCGCGTGAATGTTTGGACTCCCGCAAATTCCAGCGCAGACGGCCTACCAGTGCTGGTATGGAGCTACGGCAGCGGCGAGACAAGCACAGAGCCTCGTTACGATGGTGGTGGGCTGGCGACAAAGGACGTGGTCGTGGTGACTTACAACTACCGAGATGCCGCGTTTGGCTTCCTGGCCCATCCTTCTCTAAATGAGGAGTCAGGTTACAACTCCTCCGGCAACTATGGTATTATGGACTTCTTCACTGTCCTTCAATGGGTTCAAAACAACATCGTCAACTTTGGCGGTGACCCGGAAAAGGTGACAATAGCGGGTCAATCATTTGGGTCTGCGCAGGTTTATCACGCCGTCAATAGCCCTTTGGCAAAAGGTCTCTTCCGAGGCATGATTGCTGAGAGCGGCATCCGCCACCCATATGACCCTCTTCTGGCCGGATTGGCAGACTCGTATCAAAAAATGGAAAAGGCTGTCGAGAATGGTATCAACTACACGACCTTCCACAACGTAAGCACTATCGCGGAGCTTCGCACCCTGAGCATGGAACAGCTCCTCATCGGCAGCGATGATCGCCAGGCAATCGACAACCTGACAGCTTTGTGGGCGATGAACCCACCACTTTTCAAAACCACAATGGACGGCTACGTTGTGCCGAAGAAATACATCGATTCTCTCCGCGATGGGCCTGCGAACGACGTCCCCATGATCGCCGGCAATAATAAGGATGAGAGTGGTGCATCCACATCAACGAACTACACGGTCAAAGAATATCTGGAGTACAACGGTCAGTGGTATGGAAATCTCACCAGCAGGTTTCTCGAATTGTACCCTGCGCGGAATGACAGCGAGGCCGACCGATCTTGGAACGCCGCTTCACGCGACCTCTCCCTCGTGTCGTCGTACCAATTTGCGAATGGCTGGGTCGAGTCGGCGAAGAGCCCGTTCTATACCTACTACTGGGACCATGCTCCTCCCGGACAGAGCCAGGGAGCATTCCACATGGCCGAGATCACCTACGCCTTGAAGAACCTCTACAAGACTAATCTTCCGTGGACCGACTACGACTTTTACCTCGCGGATGTGATATCTTCATACTGGGCCAACTTCGTCAAAACAGGAGACCCTAACTCCGGAGGGTCGTATGGGAACGGAAGTTTGACCCGGTGGGCGCCTAACAAGTCCGAGAAGCCAACTGTAATGCATCTTGGAGATGGATTTGGTGAGATTCCAATTGCCACTCGGGAGCGAAGAGAGCTGCTTTCTGTCTTTCTGAAGAGACACGAGCCTTACTAGGAGCATTCCGCGCAATCGACGGGCTACCTACAACTTTTCGGATAGTCTGGCGCAGCTTTATAGCCTTCTTTCCCTCCTTTCTGCCTTCAATCGGAACAAGTGCATTCACTCCTTCTGACAGTGTACATCGTCACTCATTAATTCACCTTCCTGTGTTAGCTAGTGGCTATGATAACTGAGTTCACATTCACCCAAAGCTTTTGCTGGGTATATCTTCGTAATGTTTCCCATCTCTCAAGGTTTCATCCATCTGCGTTTCTCTTCTGTCATAGACTCGGAGTTAACAGCCTGGTTACCTATACAAACTGGAAACCTTCCAGCGCCATGTCGCAGGATCCAAGAAAAGCTTTAGTTCGAATGGCATAGCTATGATTCATGCTACTAGCGACAGTATTATACAAGGTCCTAGAAACTCTCCTCCAGGTTAGCTGTCGACAGAATGGGCAGCTTTCTGCCTTACAGCTATACAAAAACCCATTACCGGCATAGCGGCCACCGTATAGGCACGCTGAAAGGTATGAATGTTCCCACTACTACCACTACAACAAAAACACAGAAAAAGCTCGTCTACAATCTCATTTCAGGAGATAGGAACAAGGGTGATTAGGGGTAAGTCATCTTCATTCTTGTCATGTGCTTTTTATAGTACTAATATGTAATGCTTCAGTGTCATGAAAGAGACATTCGGTGCATTCTAACCGAATGAAATAGAGTAGACTGCGAAGTCATCTATATGCTCCTATTCTGTATGAGCAAAGACACTGGCGCGACGACTGCGCTTCTAGTTCTGGGAAATGCTTTTTATCCTCTGGGATATTAGAGTGAAATTATGTGGAAAGCCCAATCCAGATTCAGTCAATAAAAACCCATATTCGGCAAGAACGATATGCCTCGTACGAAGAATTTCCTCATGGAAAAATGATACTCGCCGAACTCGAGGAGAAACTTTACAAACGGCCTTAAGGATCAATGTTCTTTGGGTGACCAAGACTTCGTTTTTCAGATGCTGTGGACCTTTAACCACGCTTTGGCCAAACTATACGTTTCCAACTACCTTCGAGAACTTCAGGTATCTTGAACGACCTTCGGTTGCGCAATCTTTGAGTGTAACAACCCCGAATCAGCACATGAAAAAGGAGTTATGCAAGTGGAAACACAAATTTTCTACGAAATAACTCAGTTTCCTTCCATGATTGACCCTGTAAACCAGGCCCTAGAACACGATTCTCTCGGCATCCCCAAATATCCCACTATCAACCAAGCCGATAAGCCTACTTAATCGCAAATTCATTCGCCCTTCCAGTATCTAGAAATGAGCATATATGATTTCATACCGGTATGAAGCGCTCTTTGGCAGTATTAGAGGCACCGAGAAGCTTAAAGATTTGATATCAAGGATATCAACTGCCCAACGCCTCGATGGACGAGGGAATTGGCTTCAAGGCTATGCTTAAAAAACGTTGTGCTCGTTGTGATGGCAAGACATTCTCGACGATTTAGCAAAGGATATGCAGGCAAGACTCAAAAATGCCCATTCCAACAAGATAGAGCAGCGTCCAACAACCCACAAAGGATCATGGCTATTAGTCCTTCATTCGCATGTCACCTACAAAGGGCACACCTCAAGCATCTGAAAGACTTCTCTAACATCCTGCCTCGAAAGCCTAGAGCAGACATAACCTGCGATCCGAACAGGGACTAATGATAAATCACGTTCTGGTGGCTGAAGCCGAGCCAGTCATACGATGATGCTTATGAGCATTAACATCTCCTCGGACATTTCGAACGACTTCCATCATCATGGACAGCCCATGGGCCTTTTTAACGCTCATAAAGAACAGCAAATCATACCTGGTGCATTAGTCAGTCCGAGAATCAGGCCGAATTTATTTGAGAAGCCTTGAGAACGAAAAACGAGATGACTAGTCGCAGTGCTTTATTGGTGAAAGTCTTCCAGTCTATCGCATCCTACGGATATACCGAATCCTCAACCTTCTTCTCGACATAGCCGGTGCTGTGGAAAATGAATTGAGCACCCGGACAGGGAGAAGCTTTTAGCACACAACAACAGCACTTTCCGGGTTGGCTATAGGAGCAAGATTGTTTTCATTGACAAAGATCCCACATTCGTCCGATAGTACACACCCCATAATCATGACCTAGCAGAGCCACGAAGATACAATCTGCCAGCCTTGAAGGCTTGTTATCACAGTCGACTACTCATAGTCCAGGAGGGGCTTGAGATTTACATTATTATAGCCACATACGACGATACCTACACAGAGTATCTCAAAGGACAGAAAGTCCCATCTTCATATTTTATGACCATGCAAGAATATGGTCCGTTTAATACGATAATTGGCAACAACATGGGATATTCTGCAGAGTTCGCTAAAGGAATCTCCCTTGCAAAAAAAACTGACCCAATCCCATAAGAACCTATTCTGACGTCCGAGTTACCTTCAAAATCTGCTTAATATAGACTCAGTGCGACTAGCAATCACACGAAAGTGATATCCCACATGCAACAAGATCATTGTATCATTAATTTCCATCATTTTCAGACCCGTATCTGACATTGCGATAAGTGCGATGGAACCTGAAAGCTAGGCAGCAACCGATACATACTATCACATAGACCGGAGTCTGAGGCAGGAGATAGCCACTAGATCAATTTATTCACATTCATTAAAGGAGTCTTATTTAAGATCTGACTGATTACGCTTCTGACAACTAACATGGTTTGGAAGATTATCGAAGGCAGTTAGCTCGACTATTAAGTACGCTATCACAAAAGCATCCAATCCGAGCTTAAATCATAACTTCGTTACAAAATAATGTCAGATCACTAAATACAAAGGTATGATAAAAGGGGATTTAGAGTGTAGCAAAACACCCTGCCAAATTTAATCGAGATGACGAGTTGAACACATAAGAACGAACTATATTAAGCTCTGTATGCTCGCATGTGGGCACTTGAAACCGTTCAGCTCGGGCTGCCAACAGACGGTCGAGTACCTCCATAGACACGGCCAAGAGCGATAGGAGGAGGCAGAGAATTGTTGACAGATAGCATCAAATAACATGTTGTTCCAGACAGTCCTTTCTCTGGGATGATGCCATCGAAGCTATTTGCACGACCCCCATAGCTAAAATAACTTTTCGGAGCTTGACCGCGAGAGTCGATATCTCGACGCTGGCACCCCGCTCTCTGCATTATTTATTATCGCTTGATTTCATCGGTCGGTTGTTTCGTTTACTTGAGTGCTCCGTATTTGACCCTCAACGCGAAACCCTCATAGTCTGTCCGTTCACTCTTCCATCCAGAAGCAATATCAAACTGCAATATCAGTATGCCTTCTCATCATCATATGACTCAGTCCGACGCTTCCAGGATCCAGTCCTCCCAGGTACTTAGATCCTCCAACTCCTCAATCCCTGATACTCTCCCGACTGACTGACTGTTATATAGGCCAAAGGCGGCGGAGACATGTCATCTGGGGGCTTCGCTGCTCGAGCGCAGTCAGCTGGCGATCGAGCAGCCACCTCCACCTCTCAGTATTCATCCCAGGGATCTGCGTCCCAAACTTCAAGCTATAATCCTTCCTCGGCCGGTAGATGGACCTCAGGCTCTGGTTCTACCGGCCAGGCCAGCCGATGAGTGTGGATCACATGTCATTTCGTATGAAAAGTTTCAGGATGGATTTGTTTTGTTCTTGATGGTAACTATCTGGTCGTGTATTTCAAATTGGACGTCTGTGTAGTAGTTAGTTAGTGTGTGTGTGTGTGTGTGTGTGTGTGATCAGTGGTGTGATGCCTTGATACTGTACTTTTGCTCTGACTGGCAGCAAGGGTGTTGAAAATTGGATTTCTCATCAGAATAGCATTCAGTGGACATCCTTCCTTCTTCATTTACTAGGCCATTGTGCATAATATCTAAACGTGCAGTAAAAACAGAATTGCTTCACGAATTTCTATCATTATTCTTATCCAATGGTCAATTTGAACGGCCCCTGTTGATCTCAATCCAGCCGATGATCAACACTCCTGCATTCTATATCCACGCACATTAGCCATCTCAAGGCCCAGCCTGAGTAATTACATGCTCTCGCTCCGCCTGTTCCACAATCTTCGCCAGCGCGTCCGCAACGCCATACGAAAACGCGTATCCACCTCCACCAAACCCGTAGGCGGACAAGATAAGGCGATCACCAATCTGTTCCGAGTCCAGTCGGAAGCCCCCCTCCCTGGACGGGCGAATTCCTATGATATAGCTGAGGTCATTCTCGTCGGGGGTCTCGGGGACGATGTCGGGAGCTAGGCGATGGGCGCGGGCGATCTCGTCTCGGGCGATGTCCATGTCTACTTCAGGAGAACTGTAACTGATTAGCGTCGGGATGCGTGTTTTTGTTTGATCATGAACTTACACGGTGCCCCGTTGCTTGCTGCCACCAAGCACAACTCCCTTTGACAAAGGTCGGGGAATGACGTAGGTATACTCTTTGCCGTTTCGGAAGTACATCTTTTGGCAGGTCTCCGTCCGATAGAACACGTTTTGACCACGCTCAGGAAAACACTTATCGTCTTGAACATCGGTGAGAGACTTGCTACCCAGCCCGCTGGCATTGATGAAGATGCTTGATTCGGGAAACATGGTGTACAGCTCCTGCAGCGACTCGACTCTTTTCCGAATAAAGTGACCACCCAGCGACGTGATCTTCTTACCCAGAAAAGGCATATGGCGTGTCGGGTCAGTAACGAGAGAGTCATAGGCCCATCCGCAGCTGAAGTTCGAAGGGTATTCATCGCGTTTCAAGTCACGGAACTAGTGTCAAGATCAGTACTCCACCGTTGCTTATCAGATGGTTAATTTGCCACCCTACCTTGGACACAACGGTTTTTCCCCACAGGGAGGAATTCTCAGAAGGCGGTTGTTCGAGGTACTCGCGAGAGTCAACGATGCAGATACCCGAGTCCGGCTCTTCTTGAGCCATCATGAGCAGGTGGCGATGGGTGACGGCTTGGAAGTACTGATATTCGGGACTGATGCCGCCAGCGGCATGCCATGCTGCTCCGGCCCAAGCCGACGCATAAAAGATGTTCTCATCTCCAGGAAGATACTCGGCCACCAGGATAACACGGAATCCATTGAGAAGTAACTGTCGAGCTGTGGCACATCCGATGATACCGGCACCCAAGATGATGATCGGGCGTTGTGCAAAGGGTAGGAGGTCGCCTCCCATGGTGGCCTCAGGTGTCCGCTTTCCGTATGCGCGAATTCCGGTTGAAGGGAGTGATCCTCACGTTGACAGAAGGTGGGTACCAACGCTCATTTAAAGGGATGGAAAACAAAAAAGTTTGAGCATCGGAGGGGGAAACACAGGGGGGAAATCCGGCAATCCGACGGCAGACTTTGAGGACCGGAAGTCAAGTATAGACGCAAAGGCCATTGCTTCAGCTTTCGGGCGAGTAAGAAACTGCCTAATCGGCACTTATGCATGCCAGACACCGCCGTTCACCAAGCCCACACGGCCGATAATTCGTCGCAATAGTCGAACCAAGGATGGAGATCGCCCGTCGCCCTTCTACGGATGGTTTGTGGGTGCCAATCAATCAATATTGGGAGTCGGGTAGAAGCGCCCAGATCCGACGGTCGGCTCGACCCGCTTTGGTGCAACTTCCACACAACTCGCGCACCGAAAAAATGAAGGGATCCTCCTATGACGAGACGAGGAAGGTGCATCCAGCTGTTGGACAGACCGCCACGAACTGGCTGGCATCATCCCATAGGCTCGGGGAGGAGATGTGATGGCGTGACGGAATTTGGCGGGAGACTCCGACCGCGGGCATGATTCGGAATCGATTCTTTGCCTAGCCTGTCTATCTGCAAGGCGGGGTTCTCAGAGTAGCCGAAAATTGTCGCAAAGATATAGTGGCTGTGGATGATGCTCTCATTGTGATTAGTCCGTGGTGTCATGAGATAATGCGTCCACCTTTTGGACGGTGTCCATGGATGCGATTTCCCGAGAGGGTAGGAAGATAAAAGGGTCGGTGGTGGAGAATAAGTGGAATTCCATGATTTCTATCTCCATAATCCCAACGTGGTAGCAGTCCTTACTTTGCAGTGTCGTGGATAGTTTCCTGCCCTACTGTTATCTATCAACGCTTGATCCTCATGCTAGTTATTTAGTTCGTCCACTAGACAACTAGAAGACAAGAAATATGGAAGAAAAGTAAGAAAATTCCGTACCGCACGCCGATTTCGGAACTGCGTAAACCACAACATCAGTCGCGCTTTTATTAATTTCGATCATGATAAAACTTCACTGGTTTCACTGGAATGGAAATGTAGCGCAAGGGATACCATCGAATGTCTGTGCTTCAGTCGCACAACCCCTTTGCCGAATCGCGCCTGGCGACGTCAGAGGCCGGGGCCATCCGTCGACCAGACATCGCAACCGCGTTCATAGAAAGCCACGGCTTTTCCTCTTTCCCTTTTCATGACTCAGTGCCGATCTGAACGGTCAATTCGGGCGGGGAATCCGAGGAGAAAGACCAAGTCCCGATGGTCACTGGCATTTGAGAGTATTTATACTCGAGGCGAACTGCACATCGAGTAATAGCACTCCGAGACAACCGGAGCTTGCTAATCGGTATTGTCTGTCTCACGCAGTATATTCCGTCCTCCAATCCATCACCGACGTATCCAAGTGGGTCGAATTGAAGCTATCGAAAAGACTGAGCAATATAAACTTGGGTCCTAGGGTCCATGGTCGCTACTAAAATATCACTAAGACTAGAGGATTTTAGTTCGCTACAAGACGCTGACATGGAACACCACACCTTTCCTCCGCTTCGCTTGCAAGTCATGTCCAATCTTGGACCGCACAACGAGAGATTTCGACGGCGATCGACTGCGAGCGTGGGTTCCATCCGCTTGGCATGTCGGCAACAGGACACACCGCATGAAGCCATTGCATACGGATACGAAGTGATTATCCGTCCGGGTCCACGCTGACTTGCTGACCGACATGATGATTATTAGGATTGGTTTCAGCCCGTCGGGCCTAAGAGAGCAAGTGGAGAGGGAATGAGTTCCGTAGGATTCTCGAATTCCAGAAAGCAGCAAGTGGCAGCGGATGCAGCCGACAGATCGCGTGACTCGGCGTCACGGGGCAGCGCGCTAAGCCCATTCGGGCAGCTCCACAGGCAGCCGAAAGACTCCGTCGCCTTCAGAATCCGCCGATTTCTCCCAGATTCAGGTTCATGCTAATCCCGATCCTGAGACCCTGCCCCTGCGTATGCAATGCACCATGGCTGGGAAGGCCCCGGAGGATGAAAAGTCGCTGCGGGACGAATCAATTCAGGTGGGTGTGCCCCATTTTTCTTTGCTTTTCCGGCCTGGCAACTGCAACCTTACCCATCCCATCCCTGGCTCCTTTTCCCATTTGGTGATCATTGGGCTTGGTCCCCTTCATCTGTGCCTTGACCCCTTGGCCGATGGGATCTGCTGGCCCTACTGGCCCTCCACATGTCTTCCACGTGGTGGGTGGCTCGCTCCCACCGGCCATTCCCACTTGGAAGCCTGTGGTCATGGAATCGAATCCAACTGCCATCATGCAAAGATCGTCCGTGGTGCCCAGACATTATTCTAACGTTCGACCGATTTCCATTAGGTCCCGCAGCTAGACCCCCAGAATGAACATGACTTTACTGTCCTGAGTGACCGTGATGCGGCCAAGATCCTGCCCTACGAAGCCGATGATTCTCCGTTCCCGGAAGTGCGGGCTGCTGTGCGGCCCAAGGATGATATAAACCTGCCAGTTAATACCGTTCGCATGTGGGTGATCGGGATATTGTTTACTATAGTATGTTTCCATGGGTAGCACGGGGAAGACCCCTACGTAATACGAAAAGAAGCATGGGTCGGGCTGACTCCGCTCTAGGTTGGGAGTGGCCTGAACCAATTTTTTAGTTTGCGACAGCCCAGTGTCACGATCAGTGCATTGGTGGCACAGCTGGCAGCCTATCCCATCGGGTGTGCCTGGGCGCGATGGATCCCATTGGGCCGGTTCAACCCGGATCGCCATTTCAACATCAAGGAGCATGCGCTGATTACAATCATGGCCAACGTTGCATTTGGGTCGGCTGCAGCCACCCAGGTCATCGAGGCGATGGTCAAGTTCTACGGCATGCCCTCGAAGGGTGGATTCGAGATCCTCTTTACCATCACGACGCAGATGTTCGGGTTTGGCTTGGCCGGCATGGCGTCGCGCTGGCTCGTGGGGCCTGCGACGATGATCTGGCCCCAGGTGCTCTCTAATGCTGCGCTACTGTCGACCTTGCATTCCCGGAGAAATACCTTGGCGGATGGTTGGATCATCACGCGCCTGCGTTTCTTCCTGCTGGTTTTCATTGGTGGAGCGGTCTGGTACTTTCTTCCAGGCTATCTCTTCACCGCACTCAGCACCTTTACCTTCGTTTGCTGGATTGCGCCACACAATGTGGTTCTCAACCAGCTCTTCGGCCAGCGGTCGGGACTGGGCATGTCGGTTTTGACTTTTGACTGGGCGCAGGTCGTCTTTGCCAATCAAAGCCCGCTGCTCGTTCCCTTCTGGGCCGGGTGTAATGTGATGGGGTCCTTTGCCTTGTTTTTCTGGCTTCTCTGCCCTCTCTTGTACTACACTAACACATGGTACTCCGCCTATCTTCCTCTGCTTGGCCCTAATACATTTGACAATCGGGGTCGGCCCTACATGGTTGAGCGGGTGATGAACCCGGACGGTTCGGTGAATCAAGAGGCGTACCACAATTACTCGCCCATGTTTCTTCCGGCGGGTTATGCCGTGACATATGGCGTGGCATTTGCCAACTTGACCGGGATCTTCGTCCACGTTGCACTGTACCACGGGAAGGACCTGTGGGAGCAATGGAAGGGGCGCAACCAAAAAGACGTGCATTCCCGTCTGATGGAATCGTATGCCGATGTGCCATGGTGGTGGTTCGGGGCCGTGACGATCGTGATGTTCGTGCTGAGTATTGTCACGAACGAGGTGTGGCACACAGATCTTCCGGCGTGGGCAGTGCTGCTGGCTTATCTGCTCCCGGCTGTGTACATTATCCCGATTGGGATCATCAAGGCCGTGACCAACATCTCGAGTAACCAGCTCAACTTGATTACTGAGTTTATCGGGGGATATGCATTTCTTGGGCGACCCGTTGCCAACATGGCTTTCAAGTTTTACGGGTATGTGGCAGTGTCACAGGGTCTCGAGTAAGTCTCCAAGGCAAGGAACAAGGGCATTTAGAAGCTGACTGGTCAGGTTTGTGGCCGATATGAAACTGGCACACTACCTTCACATTGCTCCTCGGACGCTCTTCATGGCGCAAGGACTGGCTACGCTGGTCGGAGCCATCGTGCAGTGCGGCGTGACGGTATTTATGATAACGCGCTTTGAAGGGATCTGTAAACCGGATTCCCCGGGAGGGTTTAGCTGCCCACATGGGCATGTGACATATTCGTCTTCCCTGATTTGGGGTGGGTCTTTTTTTTTTTTTTTTTTTTTTTTTTTGAGTCGGGAATAGTTCGGTATTGACTAGTGCAGGTGCTCTCGGCCCCGGACGGAACTTTTCCTCGGGCCAAATCTACGGCAACCTCCTCTGGTTCTTCCTGGTGGGCCCCGTGGTTGTTATCATCACGTACCTTCTCGGCCGACGGTGGAAGCAAGTCAACTACATCTCGTGGCCGGTGGCATTCGGCGCCATGAGCCAGGTCCCACCGGCGACGGGGATCAGCTTCTCGTCGTGGTGGATTGTAAATATCATTTTCAACGGGCTGATCAAGCGGCGCAAGCCGGCTTGGTGGGCGAAATACAGTGAGTCTTCTTCATCCAGTCTAGAATATCCGCTAACTATTATAGACTACGTCCTCTCGGCCGCATTAGACTCGGGTGTCGCCGTGGCCACGGTGATCATCTTCTTCTGCATCATGCTCCCTGCGGGCATTCTGCACTGGTGGGGAAACGACGTGCATCACCGCACAGCCGATGATATGGGAACGCCGTGGAAGAAGCTGCCGGAGTCGGGGTACTTTGGACCGGCGATGGGCACATGGCGATGACAGTAGACGCATGCGTATATACGTCGCATAGACTTTGGCATATATCAGATACTAATATACACGCATTCTATCCATTTTAACCATGAGCTATCCCTTCACTCTCCTCCCCTTAACCCAAACCCCCGTAATATTGCGATCATCCCCCGTCATGACGAACTTCTCAAACACCTCCCGAATCTCATCTCCATCCACATCGGCCATGACCCCTTCGACAGCCCAATCCACCAAACACGCATCCAACTCCTTCCCGACCTCAAAGTTCCCAACCTTCGCTTCCAACCCAGCCACCCTGGCCCCTCCCAACGTCGCCATAAAAAACCCCTCCTCCGTACTCAACGCCCCCTTCACCCCTCCACTCTGACTCTTCGCCGCCACACTCACCAAATACGCCTGCCTCATCACCTCCAACATACTGGATGTAAACCCACCGCCACAATCCGTGCCCAATCCCACCTTAACCCCCCGATCCAAATACTCCCTCACCGGCGCGACCATAAACTCATCCATACACGTATTCGACACGGGACAATGCGCAACCCCACACCCCAACGCCCTCAGCCTCTCCACCTCCCCCTCTTTCAGATAGATCGCATGAGCCAGAATACTCCGCTCCCCGAGCAGCCCAAACCCGTCATACAGCTCCGTCTCGGTCCTCGCGCCGGGGAACAACTCACTCGTGAACTGCACCTCGGCCTTCGACTCGTTGAAATGCGTCTGCACCGGCAAGTCCGGATACTTCGCACTCAATTCCCCAAGTCTTGCCAGAAGCTCATCGGTACATGAGATCGCGAACCGAGGCGTCAGCACCGGCTTGATCAGCTCATACCCCGGATCCAGGGCCTTCAGACCCGCGATAAACTCCTCCGTGGAGCGGATACTCTCCTCCACGGAGTCCTCGACGTACCAGTCCGGCGCGTGACGATCCATGTTACATTTCCCGACGAGGGCGCGCTGACCGAGTTGCTGGCATGTTTGCGCCAGGACCAGAGACGCAGGGGTATGCAGCGAGGCGTAGTAGCATGCTGTTGTGATACCTTGTCTTAACCCGCCTTTCACGCACGAGGTATAGAGTTTGCGAGCGTGAGCTAGGTCCTGGGCTTTCGATTCGTTCGCGAACGTGAGCGTCTCGAGCCAGGTGAGGAGGGGCAGGCCGCGGCCGAGACCGCGCTGGGACCATTGCGGGGCGTGGGTGTGGGTGTCGATGAAGCCGGGGATGAGGAATTGGGAGGGCGAGAGGGTGAGGGTTGGGCAGGTTGACGGGGTGAGGGAGTGCCTGGAGAGGAGGGAGGGGATTTCGGAGGACGAGGTGGAGGGGTGGATGGAGAGGATGGAGCCGGAGGGGGAGATGATGAGGAGGGTGGAGGGGAGGATTTCCAGGGTGGTGGGGGAGAGGGAGTGGATGAGGGTGCCGTGGATGGAGTGGGACATTTTGTTTTGAGGGTGGAAAATGGGTGAGAGAAGAGAGAGAAAGAGAAAGAGAGGGGATGAGGGGAAAGAAAAGATGAGTGGGGAACTGTCAGGCGATAAGATACGGTGGGTTCTCTAGTGCGTAAAGTTACACAGTTGCTCTAGATAGTCTCATGCATATATTTATGTACACAATCAAAGGGTATAGAATGTCGCCATCTCCTCTTGGAACCAGTCGTATGAATACAGCAGTTGTTGCGCCAGGTGAGGATCCATCACCGGGATATTGCCCGGGTCGTTGACCAGCAGCACGTCGTCCAGCACCGGCGCCAGAGGCACGGGCGGTGCCACCAGGACATGAGGTTGCTGCGACACAGGCGGCGGCGGCGGCGGTTGCGGGGGGTTCTGCTGGCCCAGTTGCTCCTGTTGATATGCCAGATGACTGAAGATCATCGTGCTCTGCTGTCGGAACGTCTCTGCCAGCCGCTCCACGCCCGGCCGTCGCTTGCCGAACTCCTCCAACAGCACCACCACCGCCTGGATGGCGCGGCGCATGGTCTGGTCGTCAGGATGCCACGCGGGTGCGCGGCCGTCGCGGACCGCAAGAAAATCATGGTTGAGACACCACAGGATCGTGATCCCCGCGTAGTAGGTCTGACTCAGGGTCAACCAGATCCACTTCAACTTGCCCACCGAGTAGCTGTCCCAGTAGGATCGAATGACCTGGATGCTGGCATTGCCGCAGCTCACGATGCTGGCCGCGTCGGGGGTGGGGTTCCGCGGGCTGGGTCGGTACATGAGTAAGAGGGTGGTGGCATATAGGTAGTCGTAGTAGCTGGTAGAATACAGAAGCGCTGGAGGGTACACCGGCGCATTGCGGCGCCAGTCATCCAGCTCTTGGCGAAAATGGCTAAGCGTCACGATCACTTCGTTCGTCGGTGGAGGCGGTTGATTATTGTATACTGTCCACGTTAGTGCGTTGATCACAGAACACAAGCAGATAGTCTTACGGTAACGGTAGATGCGCGAGAAAATGCGACGCAAGCGGACGACCTGCACCGGGATGGTCATCACGCTCGTCCCCGGCGCTTCCGTCCAGTCGTCGTTGAACTCCCGCGGGAGACTCACGCTGATGTCCTCGTCCACGATGCCCAGTGGCCGGCACAGCGTGCTGGCAATCAACCGATCCAAGTTGTACAGACTCCAGAACGCCCGTTTGGTCATCTCCTCCTCGATCACGCTCGCTGCTGGCCGAGCCTTGTGCAGACCGAGACTGGTGGCCAGACGCAAGGCAGTGCCCAGCACATGCCACACGCTGGGGCCGGTGGTCGCGAAGAGGGTGTACAGCGCCATGCTGAGCAGCGCTTTCACCGCGGCCAGGTCCTCATTCTGCAGAGCCAGCGGCAGTGTCTCCTGACTCACGCGGTAGAACTCCATGGCTTGCGTGCCGTCGGACGACCCGATCAACAGGGCGATGGCGATGGTGATGTGATAGGTGTAGTGGAACTCCGGCGTCGGGGCCTCCCCCGTATAGATGCGACGCAGATGCGGGAAGAAGTCGGAGCGGTGCAGGAACGGATACTGGTATCCCATACTGTCGAAGTAGCGCGAGGCCACCTGTTCGGCTTCTTCCAGCGAGGCGAGTCGGAGGACGCGCGGGGCGGAGGTGGTCGACGACGTGATGGGCGGGCGCGCCACGGACGGTCGGCGATGCTCGAGATGGTCACGAAAGATCTCGCCGACGTTGGGCAGCTCGGTGCCGACCCCCGACGTGCTGGCCGGGCTGTTCGAGGCGGGCGTTCCGGCCAGCGGGCGCATCGAGTTGCTGCGGCTCATCAGCATGCGTGGCATCTGGTACCACCAGTCCGGGTCCCCCTCGCCGTCCAGGGGACTCCCCGTGGGCCGATCGGCCACGGGGATGCCGGTCTTCTTGCGCACGACCTCCTCCAGCCATCGCACGCGGTTTTGTAGGTTCTCGAGTTGATCTCGCGGGACGGAGGCGCTGGCGACCTGGGGCCCCGGGGGCGGGATGGTACATCGGACGCCGGCACGCGTGCAGGCGGAACAATTGGGATAGCGGAAGTCACATTTCTTCTTGCGCTTGCGGCAGAAATCGCATGCGGTGGAGACGCGTTTGCTGCGATGCGACGGGGAGGAGACGTGGGAGGCGAGGTGAGGTGGCGGGGGGAGGGAGTTGAGCAGGGGCGAGGGGGCGGACGAGGTATGTGGCGCAAGGGAGGAGTCGAGACGGAACTTGCCCAGCTGATGGCGAAATTCGGGATCCCTGTTGGTCATGGTGTCCACCCAAGAGCGAGGCAGCAGATGCAGACGAAGTTAACAGGCCAAGGATTCAGGCGGCTCGAACCGCAAGCCATTCCGAGTGGAGTTGGGTCCGGAAGGGATTGATTGATCGATTCGGGGGACCGCTATCAATTGACCGATCGACCGCGCGGTCATCAGATCACGAGTGGAGCGAGACCAGCAAGAGGCCTGAGATAGGAGGCTTGGCTGATGACTCGCGTGGTTCCGACGATGAATTCCGTTTTGCATTTTGGCGATGAGTTTCGGATGTTGGAGTTGGGCACGTGGGATCTTGGCATTTAGCCGATCTCAGTTATACGCCAGAATGTTGAATAAATAGGAAATAATATGAATAGATAATAATTATATACTAATTGAATCTGTAGAATAAAATAATAACGAATTAACAATCCTAGGCGGTATCCATAGATTGTGGGTGGCACACCTGCTTGTCTCACCTGGCAGCCACACATTCTACTGGCGAGAATACTGTATGTCGAAAGGCCATGGAATGGAAATAATTGAAATAATATAAACTCGTATCATAGACTAGGCCAACTTAAAGGGGAAGTTATTCTTAGGGGAGAATTGGTATCGTAGTATTCGTACTTTTTTTTTGCAGTTACTATACTAGTATATGTTGTATCCCTAAGTAGCGGAAGGACATATAAGTCCCCGGTAGTCCAGGTCAATGGAATGAGAAGCTGATAGAAATAGATAAAATCACACTTCAATTGTCATTCAGGAGCACAAAACAAAAAGAAAACAAAAAAATAACAGAGAAGTGTGAAAGCATTGCATTGCGACTTGCTTCTGCTTCACAAAACATGTCTTCCATATTGATGATGGGCAAAAGAAAATACATATAGAACTCTATAGTTTAAAATAGTAGCAATGGATTAAATAAAAATATTATTCCGCTATTCCAACAAGACCCTCCCCAAAAGTAGAGTCAATACACAGCTATATTCATTAATGGTGAATAACCTGCCTGGTGATCCAGGCATCCTCGCAGTAGAAAGTACTCCGTACAATGTGCCCATTCCATGTATAGTTAATGATTAAGAGAAACATTTCCCAGCTACCAATCCTGACCAGCTACCAAGAATATCTGAATTTGAACATGAAGCCACACACGAATCCCCACAAAGGCAAACCCCTTCAGGACTTGCCGTCTCAGTGTCCCACGCATTGGCAACCCACACCAATTGTCATCGTGCCCGTCTGCAATATTTTCTTATCAGATGGAAGCTTCCGCATAATAACAGAGTGCAAGGGGAGGCTCCAGACGTATCCTGGTGCATAAATACAGCCAATCAATTCACCTCATGTCATCTCCCCTCCCCTCCCATCCACTCCACCTTTGTCCAACCACCCCACTGCCATCTCTACATCAGTCTTCATCATGGATAGTCCACTAACCCAGCAGCTTCTTTTGATTCTGCACCATGTGCCTTTCGCTGAAACCTTTGTCGCAATAACCATTGCAGTCCTTTCATCCTGGCTCTTTTCGAAAGTGTCCGACCCTACATCGACTTTGCCTTTCATCAACAACAGGAAATGGTACGAGTTTGGCTACTTCCAGGCAAAGAATCGATTCTTGGCCGATGGAAAAAATCTAATCAAAAGTGGATTCGAGAAGGTATGAGCTTTGCACTTCCATCGCAGCCACACAACACAGATCTAATCATCAACCACAATGCAGGGCGACGTGTTTCGAATGGTGATGGACAATGGAGTCATAATGGTTCTGCACCCGAAATACGCCAATGAGATCCGTAACATCGAGGGATTGAGCTTCAGCGAGTCTTTGGCAGAAGACTTCCATGCGCAAGTCCCGGGCTTCGATCCTTTCACCTCGGAGAAGTTGATCCTCGATGTCATCCGGAACAAACTGACAAAGAAGCTGGGTAAGAAGCCTCGCATCATGAAAGTACCTGCGGGGTTGTAACTAATCCACTTACAGAACATACCGTCAAGCCTCTCTCCAAGGAGACAGAAGTAGCGCTCATGGGCTGGTCGGTTTCTGCCCACGGTGAGCCACCCTCATATCTTCCTGAAGAGCCCAACTAACGAATTCAGAGTGGTACTCAATTCCTCTCAGAACGAACATCCTCAAGCTTGTTGCACGTCTGACGTCCAAGACCCTCCTGGGCAATGAGATCGGTCGCAATCCCGACTGGCAGAATATCATGGTCAACTACACCGTCGATGCCTTCATAGCCGCTTACATCCTACGTCTATTTCCCAAGTTCCTGCGCCCCCTCGCATCGCGGTTCATTCCCCACTGCCGAAAGCTTCGCAAGGAGATTAGTGAGGCGCGCCGGATTATCAATCCCGTTCTGAAAGATCGACAAGCGCTGGAAGAGCGTGCGGGTGCCCAGAACGGTGCTTACGAGGACGGATTTGACTGGTTGAAGCAGTGTGCAGGCGAGCGTAATTATGACCCGGTCATCGCGCAGCTCTCACTCACCGTTGTGGCGATTCATACGACGTCGGACATGTTGACGCAGGTTCTCTTTGATATAGCCCAGAGGCCGGAGCTGATCAAGCACATGCGCAAGGAAATCATCCGCGTTTTCTACGGGGACAAGGCAGGACTGACCCGGGGAAACCTGCAAAGATTGACCCTGATGGACAGCGTGATGAAGGAGAGTCAGCGAATGAAGCCGATAAATATTGGTATGGTTCCACCCCCCGCTATCTTCCATTCCACCCGCAACCATGCACTGACAAACCTAGTCTCCATGCGTCGCCGAGCAAACTACGACATCCGTCTCTCAGACGGCACCCTAATCCCCAAAGGCACCATGCTCTGCGTCTCGGACCACTGGATGTGGGACCGCGCGATCTACCGCAACCCAGAGGAATTCGACCCCTACCGGTTCTGCAAGACAGACAGCTTCGCCTACGACTTCTCGTCGAAGTTCGTCTCGCCGTCTCCCGAGCATCTCGGCTTCGGACTGGGTCGCCACGCCTGTCCGGGCCGGTTCTTCGCTGCCACCGAGGTCAAGATCATACTGTGCCATATCCTCCTGAAGTTTGATATCGAGTTGCCGGCGAGGGTCAAGCCGCAGGTCATGAAGGTTGGTGCGTCGTTGAGTGCGGATTTGGACGCTAAGGTCATGTTGAAGAAGCGGTGGGAGGAGATCGGGTTGTTCTAGGGAGAGGTCTTCTCGTGTCGGCGGTTCTAGTCATGGCTTCATTTATTTGCGTTTTTGTTTTCTTTTACTTTTGTCTTTTCCGATATGAAGACTAAATTGTCCCATAGATCTCATCCGTGTGGAAGGCGATGGGTGTATCTAAATTGTGATTTGTTTGATCTCAACTCAGAAAACTAGTTCAGTCTAGTACTATTCAGTTTATTAAAAATGTAACATGTAGACTAGAAGAAATATTACGGGAAAGTATGAGAAGATAATTGCATTAGAAGTATATAAAACAGCGAAGACCTGAAACTCCGATGAAGGCCAACGCCGGTGTGAATTATTTACAAACAAGACATTCTTGATGGACGCCGTACACCAAAGATTAGGGTGATTGTGAAAAAAAAAAAAAAATGCTCGCTGATGCCGTTGAATGCAGAGAAATGAAGTCATGGATTGACCATCGTGGGTTGATTAGTAGTTAGGGAGACGTACCATATGAAATATGAACTGAGCATCGGCGGAAACCATATGGAGTGACAACATGTTGAGAATGACACCTCTCCCGTGGTGAAGTTCCTGCAGAGTGAATGAGCCATCCAAGACCAAATGTTGAATGTTAGTGTACCTGTTGCTCTGGACCGATGAGGAGATGTTCGGTCGCTCCCGGTGCCGCCGAGAACCCTGATTGAGCCAAGCATGGAGGGCTGATCATTTTTGACCGAGAAACTCCGATATCCAACAGCAGGCCGGGTATGTGATGCTGGATCGCAGAGTTGATCTAGGTTGCACACATCGACAATGGGGTGAGATATCATGGTGCGTTAACTCAGGCCCAGACATCACCCACAGCTCCCACGGATGCGTTGTAAGACGGGAGCACCAACGAGTCACGCTCGGCGACAATATCCACAGGAGCTCTCAAAGAGAAAGTAGCAGTATTGCTAACCGCGAGACGGAAATGGATCGTGTACATCCGAGACATCAAGCACGAGTGAAAAGTGATGATGAAATTCTCCGGGGGCAGCCACAGAGGGACCAGTAGCGTCGCAGTGTAGCAGCCCGTGTTGTCCTGGGACCATTGCGGTGTTGGGATATTGAGTGTGAATGACGGGAAGACTGTGTCTTCGAAGTTCAACGGTCGTCCGAGAAGATCTTTCTTCTTTGTTGGAATATCATCGTGGAAGGTAGTGGTGAACAGGGTTGTGCCTGTCATTTGCCCTCGCAAGGACTTGAGGTTCGGAAGAGTGACATTGCTACTGTCTGTAGGTGTGTACCGCAGGAATAACCGAATAGCCCGACTGACGGTGCCATAGGGGTCTCGCAGCGGGAGCAAAAAAGCCTTAGGCTGCTCGAGTGTCACGGCTAGCATGCCTTGAGGGCTTTTCGAGCGACCCTCATTAACAGGCTTCTCTTGTTGGAGACAGAACTCGTCGCCGAATTTGTCCAGGTTCAGGGGAGGCTGCTCTTCGAGTGCCGGTTTGACTCGCACCTTGAATTTCCGAACGAAGATGGTCTCTTGCTTGTCGCAAACCAAACTCATCCGGTTGATCCTGATCTGGACGGAGTAGATGATTTTGCATGCTATCGGGGCGAAATCGTTCTTCAATTTGCCGCCCAGGCCGGAAACGGTGGCATCACCAAAACTCGGGGGAAGTTGTAGATGGGCTGCTTTGACCAGCTGACTGGTGGCACTGTGTTGACACGAGGACGGCGGAAGATAATCAGAGACGTCGAAGCAAAAGGAAAAGCCGACTTTTTGACCCTTTTTGAGGACCCGTGGGTCTGGAAGGGCAGAATCAAGCACTTTGTGGGTAATATTTTGGAATTGATGACAAGCTTTAGTGGGGTGGGCATAGCGCACGTGTGTGCTTTGGTCCCCTGTGCGATTCTTCAGTTGAAAGCGAGAAATAGCAATACATAAAGATGAGATAAATTGAGAGATGCATGTATTCGAGGGATGTATCTATGAAATTGGATAGACTAACCTATGAAGGAGATTTGAATGTCATCGAAACGAATATCGCTCTGCGGGACGAGAGAGATCACCCCTTCTAGCTTGTCGCCCGTGGTGAATGAGGGCACATAAGATAAATTCAGCCTATTGCGATTCCATAACTGGATGGATGCCGAAATGGCATGGCCGAGATCTATGGTTTTGTCCATTGCTGGATGGATTCGTGGTTGAGGATGGCGGAATCCCCAACTGATAAGCGACGGGAGGATTGGATATAAAAAGAAAGCGAAAAAAAGAATCACGTCAGTCACATGATCGCCCCACTTGGCAGATCGCGTCGAAGGGCGCGTTGTGACTCACAAGACTCTCGATTCTTGGAAAATACGAGATCAACAGGACAAACCAGAGACAATTGCCGCCCGTCCGACGTCTCGACAGGCGCCAAGCAACTGTCAAGGCTGCAGAATGTAGCCAAGACCAGGGCCCACTTTGATGCCTGCACGGATTTATAATACGCCCACTCACGAAGTATACGACGGTGAGTGTCGATTCTTCAGACTCGGAAGGGAGATCGTGATGTTTTAGGTACAGGTTTGGGCCCGTCGAGAAATTTCAACTCCATGTATTGCGTGAATTGCTCAGTGGAGCCAGCTGCCAACATCATGACGATCGGGATATGTCTTATCCCCAAGACATGGTCATCAATGGTCAACCACCAATGACTTAGCAGCCAATGGCTAAGCAAACTACCCATGAGCATGTAGTGTGCTCCGACAAAGAGTTTCGAAGTGTGTTTCACAAAGATCTTCATTCCAGGGATGCCTTGGCATTCCTGAACGCCATACTGGAAAGGCCCTTGGCTGGAAGAAAACAGACATTGCCATCGTGTCCTACGGAAAAGACATTAACAAGACCCAGGAAAACTTCTTTGACGAGATGCTCGTGAATTATATCCCCCCACGACTAGTGCTAAGCCGTTGTTTAAGCCAAACTCAGGGTCTGCCATAACGGAGTTTCGACATTATCTCCGTCTGATGACGGACCCACCGCATAGCGAACTTTTGGCGACAAAGCAGAACAGTGGAGATTGGCCATTGCTATAGGTCAAGATGCAATAAGGTTAAATCCAGTCAGCAGCCGGAGCGTCGTTTCCGGACAACGGTAAATACGGCTTACAGGTGCAATTGTCTGGATAGAGGCCTCAAAGCTCCAACATTCAGTCACCCCCAACACTCTTCAGAATGAAGGTCTTGATATTTGGAGGTAATGGCAGAATTGCCCGTGCAGTGACCCGTTTGATGCTGGCGCGAGGGTGGGATGTAACAAGTGTCATTCGGAATGCCAAACAGAAGCCGGGCATTCTTCAACTCGGAACCGGGCATGCTGGACAGGTGGATGTGGTCCAGTGTGACCTGAGCGATCTCAAATCATCGAAGGATGCAGCGAAGGTCCTCGAGAACGTCAGACCAACCTGTGTTGCTTTTGCCGCTGGTATGGAAATTCAGACCAGGCGAAAGACTTGAACGAGCTAATAGATTTCTGCAGGCTCATTCTCGTTGCCTTACGAGATTGATCGCGACGCTGCCCAAATGATCATCAAGGCATCGACGGACGCTGAATACGTGCGTAAATTCCTGATTATTTCTTTCCCAGCGTCCCGCAGACATCCAGCGCCTTGGTGGGACAGACAAGATGTTCGGCACTATGTCTCCGAGCGGACATCCTATCCTGATATAGGGGATTCGAAATTGCAAGCCGATGAGTATCTTGTTGCTATGGCGAAAGCACGAAATGATCGCAGCGCGTCCACCTTTCAGGCAATCAGTTTACGGCCTAGTTGGTTGCTGACCTCTCCTGCCACTGGGAAGGTTCATCTAGGAAAGACACGATCTCTGGGCCAAGTGACAATTGGCGATGTGGCCGCTGTGGCCGTCAGCCTGCTTGCTCGGGATGATACATCGGGGTGGTTTGATCTTCTGCAGGGAATGGATGAAGTGGATGAAGCTATTGACAGGGTTGTTCGGGAAGGTATTGACTGTATTGAGGGCGAGGACTTGGAAGCCATCTACAAGGTTGCGGGGTAGTTTGATCTATTCATTAGTATGCGTTTGAAATTGTTATATGCATTCTGTATCAAGTCCAAGTATTATGCTCCCAGTAGTAGAGCCACATGTATAACCGAAGCTTTACCAGCCACTCCTGTGACTGACAGGGCCTGAGGAAGATTCCTAATTCCTTCAAGATCATCGTAACTCCGGACAGCAACGGAGATACCGGAGCAGAGGCCGTCAGCGATGCAGCAGAAAGTGTGGGTCTCCGGAAAGATACAGGGAAAAGAGGCATTCGACTGGTTGCTTCGTACTCTCGACCCACATCGCCCTTTGACGTCAACGGCGGGGAGATTTGGCAGGCGGCACTGAGAAAGGGATCGATGCCGATGCGCAGTGCTATAAATATGAGGTCTGCACCTAATTACAGAGAAGCAACAATTGAAGATTTCAACTGTCCTCACCACATCCACAATGGTTAACACGCTTCCCTTCCGCGACATTCAAGTCGCCTCGCCCGGCTTCGGTGCCATGGGCCTGAGCTTCGGTCTTGGCACCAATTTGAGCCTGGAGGAGGCCGAGCCGGTGCTGTTGAAGGCTATTGAGCTGGGATGTACGTTCTGGGATACTGCAGTATGCTTGATTCTTTGCCTCTCTTCTCTTAGCTGTTGGGAAGCTAACAGTTCGAAGGTTGTCTACCAAGCCGGTGTGAACGAGAAGCTCCTCGGAGACTTCATCCGGAAGCATAACGTTCGCGACAAAGTTTTCAGTATGCCCAGAATTACTTCTATCTGAAGGAAGGCTGCTAACTTATGCAGTTGCTTCCAAGTGTGGCTTCGACGTCTTCGGAGAAGGTGGCGTCACCAACTCCGCCTCGCATATCAAGGAGTACATCGAAGGCACAATTGAGCGATTGGGCTTCACTCCGGACTTGTACTACCTACACCGCATTGATCCTAGTATGTGCTTTTCCTACATGATGAAGAAATCATACTAATGATGCAGACACCCCTCTTGAGGAGTCCATCCCAGCCTTAGATGAAATCCGCAAGGCCGGAAAGACCAAATACATCGGACTTTCTGAGTGTTCGGCTGCCACTCTGCGGAAGGCCAATTCTAGTAAGTCACTTGGCTCTATTTCAGAACAATCGTACTGACGATATTAAGTTGCCCCGATCGACGCCGTCCAAGCCGAGTACTCCGCCTTCGAGACACTGCACGAGACAGACGGCCTGATCGATACAGCCAAGGAGCTGGGCATTGCCTATGTTGCCTACAGCCCTCTCGGTCACGGCTGGCTGGTCGATGACTTTCAGTATAAATCCCCCGAGGACTTTGCGCCCGACGATTTCCGACGAAAGAGTGAGTCCTGACGCCCAGCACACAGACAATTGATACTAATGGTATTGAACAGTTCCCAAATTCCAAGGCGAGAACTTCTACAAGAACCGCGCCATTGTGGACGAGATCAAGAAGCTCGCAGTCCGCAAGGGTTGCTCGATCACGCAGATCGCACTGGCCTGGGTGGCCGCGCAAGGCATGATTGCCATCCCGGGAACTACCAAGGCTGCTCGACTAGAGCAGAACTGGGCGTCGAGGAATGTGGAGTTTACTGAGGAAGAGAAGAAGGAAATGCGGAGGATCATCGACGCCGCCAAGCCGCAGGGGAACCGATATGCTCCTGCTCAGCAGGCGATGGTGGGGCATTAAGGCTGCTTTCGTCAGTGCATAGATTAGCGAGGGCTAAAGGATAGCATTATCCAGAATAAGAATGGAAGAATACTCCCTTCGTCCGTTGCTAGTTAGCGAGTTCTTATAGTAGTCTCCGTATCTTGGTTTTCAACCTGTTCAATGGAATAGCGAAACGATATGAAAACCAGGTATTATAAAAAAAACAGACTAATACGGACGACAAAAAGTCATCCTCAGCAGTATGACATCTAGATCACATCAGTCGCCGAGACTATCGCTACGGGTGCAACGGAAGATGTCATGGAGTTAGGGCAACGGCCCGCAGCCGTCCGCATCCGTCGTCCCCAACACCGGCTCATCCTATCACGATCCATGCTCCACCAAGACATTGCGGTTTTAATTTCCATGACATTTCGTTCTTGACAATGTAGTAGCCGCACTCAGCCAGGAAGTGTCGTTGACGTAAACATTGAGTTTCGGTAGACGGGTATAACCATCATCGCATATAGATGTAGAATACTAAAGAGCTGCTTGTCACCCAGGGCGTAGATTCCGAAGTCCACCTGCCAACCCAGTTAGATTTTGTGCTCCTTCCCTGCAGGGAGGAACCGGTCAAAATGATCTTAGGGCGCTATTTCACGGCCGTCATCAACTTCTTTGGCTTCCCGCCGTCCCTCGCACCTCAGCAAGAGGTTTTGAATCATGATGCCCCAATGGTCCACAAGCCGGCTGAGCCACTATCTTTCATTCCGCCTGGTGCTGCTGAGTCTGAGACTGGCATAATTAAATGCGAATATCCTGATATGATGAAAGACTACGACATTGCCGACAAGTCAGGAGAATGGTTGATAAGTAAAAATCCAACCAAGAACCCAGACTTTAACATATATACCAACTACGAAACGATGTGGCCTAAGGGAACCGTGCGGAAGGTGAGACTTTATTTCTTGGAGCCTTGGTATAAGAGTAACACGAAGCAGTACACTGTCACTATTGAGGAGAAAGCGATGACTCTCGATGGCGTGAATTTCCCTCACGCAAAGGTTATCAACGGCAGTTGGCCCGGCCCATGGATTCGTGAGTCCTAGGATATATCAGAGGGAATTAGAAGAGTGAATTGGGCTAACTTAATGAATTTCCAGAGGCATGCTGGGGTGATGAAGTCCGTCAGTATTTACCCCCTTCCCCCTCGACCTTGGCTAACGGAAGAGCATAGACGTCACGGTGAAAAACAAGTTGAAGTACAACGGCACTGCAATTCATATGCATGGAATTCGCATGCTGGACAGTAACCTCAACGATGGCGTTCCTGGCGTGACTCAATGTCCCATTGCTCCAGGCCAAGAATTCACATATAACTTTACCGCGACTCAATATGGAACCACCTGGTACCATAGTCATTATAGCCTGCAGTACACGGATGGCGTGCTCGGACCGCTGACTATTCATGGCCCTACTTCTGCTGATTACGACAGCCCGATTGATCCTATCATACTAGGAGACCACAACCATCGCAGTGCATTCCAGGACTATTATCAGGAGCAGTTTGGAGGTCCTCCCAAGATGACCAGTATCTTGATCAACGGCAAGGGTGCGTGTCCTTACAAGACGCAGCTAGTAGACTACGGACTGACAGGTCGCAGGTAGCTACGCTGGGTCCTACCCGGACAGGCGATATACTAAACATGTAAAGCCAGTAGGTGACAATCCGACCGCGTGTCAGAAGGGAAGAAACGTCTGATCATATATACAGGGGCAACGGAGGCTATTGCGATTAATCAATACGTCAACGGACTCGACCTATATCTTCAGCGTCGATGAGCACGAGCTCGAGGTGATTGGCGTCGATTTAGTGCCGATCAACCCGTACACCACGAAGAACATCACCATCGGCAATGGTAAGCATCCATCACTCAACTGCAATGAACATCTTCAGCTCACCATCCCAGGGCAACGCTACCACGCTATCTTGAAAACGAAAACCGCCACCCAGGTGTCGAAAAGGGACTCTTATTGGATTCGAGTTCAGCCCGCTGTGAATTGCCATAATTTCGAAACCTTTCCGGACACGAGGCAGGGGATTCTGTGGTATGGAGACCAGGAGAAGCCCCCTATCCCCACTACAAAGGCGTTTAAGTACAACGCAACTTGTCGGGACGAAACAGGCTGGTCACCGGTTGTGCCCTGGTTTGTCCCAGAGCTCCCAGAAGAACAAAGGAAACAACTGCGCATTGCCAACGCCTCCGTCCGACTCGACAAATGGAACCTTCCAATGGAGCATGGGAATGAGACCCCGGAGTTGGTAAACAACTGGAACATGATAGAGGACCCTGTTTGGGTGAACTACACACGACCGACAGTCAATTATAGCAATGGGCCTTTTGGTAAAAACGCCGTTGTATATAATGTCAACGCAAGCACCGGATGGCTAGGGTGGAACTACATGGTCATCGTTGGCGGCAACCAGGAGAATCCGGAGCCCTGGAAGGGAGGCAGATTGATTCCTGCAGCGCACCCCGTAAGTCCTCACTCTCTCCATTTTACCGACAGAACACTGACTAGCCCCAGATTCACCTCCATGGCCACGACTTTGCGCTTCTCCAGCAATCCGAACACCCGTTTCGCAAGTCATCTTTAAAACTGAACTATTACAACCCACCTCGCCGAGATGTTGTGCTGCTTCCGAAGAACGGGTTCATTGTGATTGCCTTCAAGACCGATAACCCGGGCCCCTGGGTACTGCACTGCCATATCGCCTGGCACGCATCGGCCGGGTTAGCCTTCCAGGCCTTGGAAGAGGTCGATAAATTCCAGGACCGAATCAAACACGGAACCCCCCAGTGGCAGAAGACTCAGTTGCATAAGACCTGCAAGGACTGGAACACTTGGCACAGTGACAAGAAGAACCACTATTACCCCGATGGACGGTTCCAAGACGATTCTGGAATTTGATCAGAAGTTTATCTGGTGCCATTCCTTCTGTGGACAGTTCAATCGCACATGGACATTCGTCGAACATATAAGGTCTCAACTCGATCCATATCAATTCGGTCTTTAAGATATCGTCAGGATATATCTACGCTCACTAACCATTTCAACCGCCACAGGCTGGCTATCCAGCGTCTAATATCTATAAATTCAAGGAGAAACTGTCATAGGGTCTACCTGTTTCAATCTTTTGAGCCTCGTTATATAATTAATCTATAGCCTCACATTCATTAATATACTCTCGTTTAAACCAAATTACACATCATAACCCTAAGCCTCCACTGGAGGCTGTTTAGCCATGGCCCACTCCCCAGCCTGCTCCTCTTGATCATGCTTCGACGCATTCTGCGTCTTCATTCCGGCAGCGACATACGCAATCGCAGCGATCAGCTCAGGCAAGAATCCCAGCACAACACGAATCGCCAGCGATCCCGTCGTCGGATTCAAATCCGCGCGTTGCGTACACATCGCAACCAGACTGTAAAACACACGCACCCCAATAAAAGTCAAGGAAAAGCACACGGTCGAAAGCAACTACCATATCATATTAGCACCCTCTGACCCACACCATAGAATTAAATAAGAGGAACTCACCACCGTCCCCTCCTTAACAACAGGCGTCGTCCTGCGCGCCCCCATAAACGACATCGCCGTCCACCCGACGAGGAAAACCCACGCGATGGCCAAAATGGCCATTCCCGCCTTGACCTGTCGCTCTGCCTTCTCGACGTTCTCGTGACGCTGGAGCTTTGCTGACGCAATGGCTGTGAGAACCACGCCGGCCGCGACGAGCATGTGGAAGAAGAAATCGAAGACGCCTTCGAGTCGGCGGTTGAGGGATTTGAGGCGGTAGGTTTTACTGTATTATATCGTAGGTTAGCGCTGCCGTCTTTTTCCTCTTTTGTTAGGAGGTTAGAGATAGGCGTGGAACGTACGCCTCTCTAAGAATGCCGCACGAAGCGAACAACAGCGGCGACAGACCAACGCCGGAAATAATGCTCGCTGCGGAAGAGGAACTCCCGACCGCCAGACCGCTGCCGATGATGCGGATGGTGCAGAAGATGGCGAGGAAGAGCCATCCGAGCAGACCTTGACGACCGTGCTTGACGAGGATGTAGACGGTGGGGATGAGGAGGACGATGTAGATTGCCAAAGTGGCAGCGGAGAGACCGTCGGCCATATTAACGGTATGAGATATAGGAGAGGTGTTTAAGAGAGATGAGATGATGGGGAGAGAATGTTTATTCCACTCAAACAGGCGGCATCTATCTCGTTTAAATAACCTTCTTTCAATCCTTCTTTTCACCCTCACATCAAACTCTTCGTGAACGAAACTGCATTGCCCCCAACTCCTCCGTACAGCCCACTCGCCGAATTGCACTCCTGTTCGGGAATAGAGGCAGACGATCGTCGCCGCTAGTGAGCTTCTTTCGCCAAGTCATTCGACAGACGGGCATGCTGGCTCCACTGGCTTAATACTGAACCGGACCCGCAGGGCTGTGGTGTTCCGGGATCAGCATCATGGCTCTGGCATTGTTTTCTAGACTGGAGATTCGACATGCCAAGTCTGCCTGATATGCGAGATTATCGAGGGATTTCGCAGGAGGCTGAATAGCGGCCGGTCCACAGGGCTAACTGCTAAGCCTGCGCCCTCCTGCAGGCGGTGCTTGAACTGCGATCTGCTCCTGATGCATATGGAGAAAGTGACGCGTGGAGAACGCAGAATCGTTTCGGCCCCCAAATCCATGCCAGCCTTCCCTCGGTCTATGTACTCCGTACCTACGAAATCAACAATCAAACAGACCACGGCTTGTTCCGTGGGGTCCAGACACACAATTTCCCTCAATCCACGCTATCCCTCGGCAGCAAAATCACAGGCTTCCCCCCTTTCAAATCAATATGGACATCACACGGCGGACTCTGAATCATAACCTCAAACATCCGATCCTGCGCCTTCATCAACAAACCCAACGTCCTCGGCTCCACACACCCATTCTTCAACCCCCCCAGATTCTGCATCCACTCCATCCACCGGTCCAGCTCGTGCCCTGTCCACTTCTTCTCAGGGTACCTGGACCCGGGCTCGGCGCCGAAATGCTCAGGATATCGGACTTGAATGTCAACCTTCGTCAGGAGCCGGTCCGCCGCGTAGATGAACCACATACAGGCGGCGCGGACGGCGGCGGACTTGACCAGCTCGCGGAGCGGCCGTCTGCTGTTCTCCAGCGCTTCCACCATGACCCAGATCGCGCGCAGGGATCGATCCGTCCGGTGGACTTGTAAAGGGTCATGGAATGGCTCGCGCAGCTCAGACGCTTGGGTGAGTTGCGCGACGAAGGCGTTCAGATTCACCCAGCGGTCTTGCTCCTTGGGGTCCATGTCTGGGTCCGTGACGTCTGGATAGAAATTAGCCACATGTAGACCAGAATAGCCCCACTCATAGCCTCTCAACCTGACCTGCAAGCCGAAACCGAAAGAAAAAGAACATACCATGCCAACTCCCGCCTCTCATATCCCAAGCCTCCAGCTCACTCCACCCGAGGCCAGGTAAATCTGTGAAAAATGCACTGCCCTGGAACTCTAACACCTTTCCCGTATCGGGATGCAAGACAGTTCTTTTCTCCAACTCATGCACGAACTGCACGAGTTTATCATGCTTGGACGGGTCCAGAACTTGGACCAGCTCTGTCAGCGCGAGGAAGAGGTTCGCGTCGACGCAGCCGACGCCGTGCTCGAGGCGCGGCGCGTGGATTGCCATCGCCATGTGGCATTGGTCGATGAGTTGGTTGACGTAGCCGGCGACGCGGGCTTCGGGGTAGTGGACGAGGGTGTGTAGGATTTTGTATTCCTCGGAGGATTCGATGGGGTCCATTTTGTTTGGGTTGGTTTATTTGGTGGGAGGTTGGGGAAGTTGGTTTAAGGATTTGTGGTCTGATTAGATGATGTTGTAGTTAATAGAGCCAGAAACTAAGGCCGCTCGCAGTTATATCTCCGAACGGTGAACGTCAGATGTCGGACGCATTGATGTCTATTCGAAGTCCTGACTCAAAGCTGAGGCGCAGTGGCTCTATGGTCGATAGTGGTTAATGCTATCCGAGACTAGAATCCCAAGCGTGTAGACTGGCGTAGTCAAATCTTCAGTCCGTTCCTGGCGAGGCTGAGTTGAAGTGGTTTGGCGGTGGAAGCCCAATTCGGGCCCGCCCGTAGGGGTTCACTCGAGCCTGATTAGGCATCAATGCAACAAGCATTGAAGGTTATTTTGTCAACCAAGGGAAGCCCTAATGCGTAGAATACTCTACAGCTATGATCCCGCACCGGAGCGATTCTTAAGGCCTGGTTATATATACAATAGGCTGAGAATAGAAGTGGCCAATGGATATCACCCCCAGCCATATTCTAGATCAGCGTCTCAAGCCATCCTAAGGGTGGCCACTACCTGGTGTGAGATTGTGAGTGACCCGCCTCAACTGTCTAGCCGCATACTCCCCGAAAACACTTTTATGCGACAAGGAATCAAACATGTGAATACACGCGGTAACATCTGCCATGTGATCATGTCCCGGTTCACAGTGGCAACGAGCCCCGTGCACGGCCAAAATATTGCCCGCGGAGTATAGCGGTAAGAAGGTCGACCTGGCAGTGGTAAGAGAGGACGCACCGACAGTGATGGACGTGGGAAGTACGTACCATGTAGCAACCAACTGACCTGTGTTGGCCATGGTCATGCACACCTTGGTTATATTATGAGCTGAATTGACGCACCGTCGGAATGACATTTCTTTGGCTCTCGGGGAAGGAGACTGTCGAATGAGTGTGCGGTTGATGAGGACGCGGTAGTAGAGCAGTATCAGCAACAGATTCTGCCGCTGGGTGCAGGCAGAGGATTCTGCTGCGTCGGACGGATCCGTGGCCAGGTACGCATCGTCCAGGCCCACGGTTCCGATCCAGGGACTGAGCTCCTGGATGAGATTGACGAGTTTCTCGTCAGCCATGACCACGGCGTTCTCGACAGTTGCCCAGTCCAGCGAGGCGCAGACGGTTGTTTGAAATTGATACAGCAGCAGAGCTATCTTGCACATCATAGCTTGATAATTGCCTGAATCCCAATCGGACTCTGCGACGGAACGAGAGCCGACTGAAGGCATTTCAACGACAAAATCGCCGTCACTGATGCACGGTTGGCCCAACGGAAGGTTGAGCCAATCCAGGATGACGAGAGACCACCAAAGAGACCGCTGGGATTTGAGATCAGGAAGAACTCCGGTGAAATGCGTGTAGTCGTTATTGATGCCCAGACTCTCGCCGATGCGGACTGCGCATCCCAGGAGGTTGTAGTAAAGATTTAAATCACCAAAATTGGAAAATACGGCCCCAAGAATGGAAATGGTCTGGATGTTCCGAACATCTAACAGACGGAGAAAGTCCGCTCGATGGAGGAAATATAGAGCAGAGTCATACCAGTTTTCGCGGAATAGAGCAGTCCTATCTATCACGAACAGGATCAGAGGTCTGCGTCACAAGCGGCGAAGGCTCACGAACCTTTGGGAATACCGGCTTCGCGGAGGGATATCTCATCTGAATATGTGATCCCGATCTATCAAGAGGTCATCAACACAGGATCTCGCGCAGCACCGGGTCGGGAATCGCGAACAGTCAGATAGCTGAAATAGAGAGCCAACCAAGACGCATCCGAGGCAGGTGGGGATTCTCGGTCTATTTGATTCGGTTTCAAATGAAGTTGCTGGTGCTCGAGTGTGGCCGGAGAGACGGCCGAGTGAAGCCACGCCCACTCTGCTGCGCGCGCAAACAGAACACGACAGCAATCGTCTGATGGGTAGATGGCCTGCAAGGCGCTGGAAATGCCAGCAGGCCGGTAATGGGTCCGGAGACAAAAGTAGAGCTCTTGCTCTTGCTGGTCCATCAACGCCAACGCGGAGATGGGACGGGCAGTCCTTTTTACTGGTCCCTGCAATGCAAGCGATCGGAGACGGCCATTCTCTTCGAGCAATTCCGAGTAGCTGGGCTGCGTGGCTGGTGTCTGGTCGGCACTTGGTTGACCATCAGCGGGCAAACACTGACACAGGCAGTTGCTGCAGTCTATTCGAAGCCAACGTACGTCACTACTTGCCCCTTCACCTCCACGGTTTCAACGAAACACTCATTGGCCTGTCCTCGAGATCGACAGGCCTGGCAAGGGATTAGTTTGTCGCATTTGGTCTTGCGCCGGAAACAGAAGAAACAGCTCTTCGGCGCTCGTTGTGTTTTGCGGATACTCTCGGGATGCGTCGCCATGACCGTGGATATGCAGGTATGATTGGGGATCGACCAAGTGGCTCTCCCAAGACGGATTTCCTCGGATTCATGGTTATCCCGGGGTCGCCCGAGTCTCGGGCGAGATTGCTGGAAGTGGATCTTGGTTCATGTGGGTCATTCGAGCAATTCTGGGATTGTAACTTGTTGATCAGCTCGTCCGAATCTCGACCGACATCGCGCGTAGTCTGCACATGTACTGTACATACATCCAAGCAAGTTTGGTGGCGTCCCATTGGAAAATATGGCAGATCACCACTTACTTAAAGCGCATTTTCGAAGCCTCACTCTGGGATATGTCACGCGCTGGCTGTTCTTCTCATGCCGATGGATCTGCTTCGTGATAGCTCGTTGGGACAACTGGTCCGATTCGTTACCGGTAAGCAATGCCTGTTGTATCCCGAGGAGCGAGCGAGCTTCACGTATCCTGAGGAGATTGCGCTATCCAGAAGGCTGGGACCGGGCTTGGAGGTCAGCCAGGCCCAAAGTACCCTGCAGGCTCGCCAGGGTGATGAAGAAACAGGCCTGGCACATGGAAAGGACATTATGTTGGTGGGATGGTACGACGAGATGGATGCCGAGAATCCTCAGAATTGGAGTACATGGAAAAGGTCCGTCGTCACGGCCGTGCTGTGGCTGTATACATTCACCGTGTACTGCGCATCTGCCATCTACACCCCCAGCGTCGACGGCGTGATGGCGGAGTATGCAGTTGATCACACCCTCTCGACTCTGGGCCTCTCGCTTTACGTGCTTGGCTACGGCATTGGGCCTCTCATCTTCTCGCCGATATCTGAGATTCCTCGCGTCGGCAGAAACGCTCCTTACATGATAACTTTGTTTCTTTACGTGTTGATGGCCGTCCCGACGGTTCTGACGCGCCATTTCGCCGGCTTCCTGGTGCTGCGGTTTCTCACGGGCTTCCTGGGTTCCCCGTGCCTTGCGACGGGTGGTGCGACCCTCCAGGATATGTATTCGCCGTTAAAACTGCCCTACGGCTACACGGCCTGGGTAGGGGCTACTTTCTGCGCACCAGCACTCGGTCCTGTCATTTCCGGGTTCGCGGTGGCTGCCAGCGGGGATTGGCGGTTGTCCTTGTGGGAGATCCTATGGATGGCTGTCTTGACCTTCGTGGTCATGTTTGTCGCCTTCCCCGAGACATCTGCCCCCAGGATTCTGCTCGGTCGAGCCCAGCGCATCCGCAAGCGGCTACACGACCAGCGATATATCGCCCAGTCCGAAATCGACGAGGCCAATCTGGCGCCCCGACATGTTCTCATCAACGCTTTGATACGCCCTCTCCAGATTACCGTCATGGATCCGGCGGTGTTTTTCACCAACCTCTATAGTTCCTACAGCTACGGTGTATACTACAGCTTCTTCGAGGCGTTCCCGCTTGTCTATACGGATATGTATGGATTCAATCTCGGCTTGACGGGCACTGCTTTCTTGTCAATCGTCGTCGCGTGCCTAGTCGGTACGTTGGTTTATTTGACCTACGTTTACTGGTACCTGGTGAGTCCGTATTTCGTGTCATTTCATTCCAGGCTCCATTCCCATTGACCCATACAGCTACTGACGCCGTATCAAGGAGCCTAAAATCATAGAGCACGGACCCGGCGCTCAGGAGCAGCGTCTCGTCCCGGCAATATTCGCTTCATTCCTGCAACCAATCGGGCTATTCTTGTTCGCCTGGTCCAGTCGGCAGAGCATTCACTGGATCGTGTCGATGGTCGGCGTTGCACTGTTCAGCACCGGGGGATTCGTCCTCTTTCAAGGCAAGTGGGATGGGCTGGCGAACTACGTCCTCGGCTTTCTAACACTCGGCAGGAATCTTCATGTATCTTCCGTTGTCGTACCCTCGTTATGCCGCAAGCCTGTTCGCTGCGAATGACTTCTTCCGATCGGCCTGGGCGGCCGGGGCCGTGCTCTATGCGCGTCCACTCTTCGACCGCCTGGGAATTGCTGGAGGCGTATCGCTCTTAGGCGGTCTATCTTGTGGAGGGGTGCTTGGAGTATCGGCCCTGTACATGTATGGAGCCGGGTTGAGGTCGAGGTCTAAGTTTGCCGAGACTTAAGGTTATCTTTCTGCTTAGTGAGAGAGACATGGGAAACATGCGACAGATTATGATCGTCCTGGCGCCCTCGGTGCCCATGTTAGTGTCGATGTATTCAGTAGGTTTCGGGCTTGGGCGGCACGGCATTTTCACAATGAGCTATTGGCTTAGATTCAGTCAATTGCTTCAAAACTCTGGCACGGGCTTTATCAGTAGAAATTCCGTCATTGAAATATTGTTCAGCATTTGACATCGCGACCACTGCGCCATCAATGGAAGAGTAGCAATTAGTACCTTGATACTATACTACTATTGAGGCTTAAAGGTGCAGCGAGTTTCCAACGATGGGAATATTGGAAGGCGAGTATGCCATATGCTAGAAAAGGATATCCTTGTTAGACGAAATCTTCTGGATTCTACTATCACGCAACGTTCCATAAATCCTTGATTCGGACGACAGTCAAGTGATAGCAGAGACGAGAACCACCGAGACAGACCCGCCAGCAGACGTCTAGAAGATCGCCGGAATATCCTCGTTCAGATACCAAGACCCGGTCGAGTCTCGGCCGAGCTCAAGCCAACAATCCACCGTGCTGGAGGTACCTGCTGGTCCATTTGAAAGACGTCATTGGGATGGGAAGTGGATCCTCGTAACCGATTGCGTAGAGATTTGTGGTTTCCACGTGGAGGGAACCAATTCAACGGTCCATGACGCAAGTCGGGACTAAAAAGCAATATTTAGCAGCGATTCTGCCCGTGCTGGAAGAAACAATCAAGCTCCTTGAATCTCTCTTTCTCAAACCCTTCAATCCCATTTCACTCCCCTCTCCCGCCATGTCCGCGCCGGAATCCACCACGACGACGAATCGACGATCGAAGATTAAACTCGCCGCGGCCCAGATCGCGCCGTGCTTTCTCAAAAAGACAGAGTCTACGAAACGTGTCTGCCAATGGATCCGGGAGGCAGGGAAACAGGAAGCCGGCGTGGTGGGCTTTCCCGAGACGATCATCCCCGGCTACCCTGCGTGGCTGGGTCATGTACCGCTGGACGATGCGCGCACGATGCAGAACTACCAGAGGCTCTTCCACAACTCCATTGCCATACCCGGGCCGGAGACCGAGCTGATCGGCGAGGCCTGTCGGGACGCGGCCGTGTACGCCGTTGTTGGGTGCAGCGAAAAGCGGGACAACACGACCGGGACTCTCTGGAACACGCAGATGATATTCGGGCCCAACGGCGACCTCCTCCTCAAGCACCAGAAGTACGTTCCGACCGTCTTCGAGAAGCTGGTCCACGCGCCCGGAACGACGGGGGCGCATGCGTCCGTTCAGACCGACTTCGGCGTCCTATCCACCCTGATATGCGGGGAGAACTCGAACCCGCTTGCCGCGTATAACCTGGCTTGCGAGAGTGCGACGGTCCATGTGGCATCCTGGCCGCCTTACTATCCGGGCCCCTGGTCTCTGGATCACTGCAGCCGCGTCTCAAGTCAGGGTTTGGCTTACACTCTCAAGGCGTTTGTCATCAACGCGTGCGCAGCGATCCAAGATGACTTCGTCGAGGTCTGCGTCTGTAAGCCGGGCGATCAACGACAGCTGGACCGCGAGAGAAGCGTTGGGAAATCTTCCATCGTCAATCCCATGGGGGAAGTGGTAGCGGAGCTCACGGAGGGAGGTAAAGGATTACCTTTCGCCGAGGCGGACCTGGAAGAGACCACTGTCGCCAAATTCACCCACGACTATGGCGGGCATTATAATCGTCCTGAGCTGTTCACTCACTTACTGTCTGCGTAGGGTACTTTCCTGCGGGTACAGGTATGGTGCCGAAACCATCCTTCTAATGGTAGGCGACAGTAACCAGATATTCGTGGTCGGTGGTAGTGTCAGCTGCACGTTCGCATTACCGCTTCACACGACTGATGCTGGAAGTGGGATTTCTCGGCATGACTAGTTGCTGCCTTAAAATCACCGCTGTTCATGCTCCTTGTATGTAGCCTTGTCTCTACAGGATGCTCTTCATTTCTATTCTTGTTGCCCGTGGGCTAGACTGCAAAGCTTTGTCAGAATTGACAAGTGGGCCTTTCCTCCAGCTTCAGGTACAAATTGAACAGAGTCCCCTTCTTGTGATATCTATCTCTACCCATTCAGACTTTATCAACTTATTCAAAAGCGGCATATTTATGAGGGAAGGACCAGGAAAGCAGATAGATATCACCAAAGTATACCAGCTAAGAACGAATGAGCCCCATATTCAGCATAATACGGTCGAAGGATCTGCACAAGGTAGTCAAACCAATCATTTTGCCACTGCCAAATATAGAGCGCTTTTATGAATTCCCAGTATTCCGGATACCAGCCACTAAACTCCCAGTCCACAATCCCGCTGACAACTCCATCCTTGACCATGGTATTGGGGTGGTGGAGATCTCCGTGGGTGAACACGATCTGGTGGGTGTTTTGGGACAGCATCCCAGACAAGAAAGTCTTGACGTGACTTCTCGGTACCTTTGATTGATAGGCCGCGATGAGTGTGTTATTGACGGCTTCTTCGGAGTCAAACGGTCCTGAACAATACATTAGCGTTAGTGTATATATCGGTATAGTACTGCTAACCTTTGTTGTGATAAGCCTCCAAGATCGGATCAGTAACAGGGCCGGAATCAGCCGAGCCTATGTAGTTACCACTGGGGATACTGCGAAGTTCCCGAATATATCCCTTGAGCTGGTTGGTGACGTGAAATTTGGTCTCCTCATCATAGGTCTCCCATGCCTTATCGAGACTCTGACCCTCCACATAGCTCATGAACATGTAAGTATCAAAGAGGCTACCATAGTCTAGAACATCTCGGTCGATCGGGCCGTACGTATAATAAGCAAAGACATTTGGCACCGGGAGGGTTTCTGTGTTTTGCTTCACAAACATCATGTTTTTGGCCTCGGCCAATGTGACGTGGGATCCAAACTTGACCACCATTTCAGGCGATATTCTTGCTATCCTCACGCCGCCCCAGTGAAAGATAGTGTTGTCGTTTGTGACCATTTCATTGACACTGTCTGGGCTGGGAACGGTGAAATCCGGGGCTGAGAACATGATGTTCATTCGTGGTCCGCCATCCAGAATCTGAGCATCATTTTCTTTTGCCGGGTTTGACATGTTTACGAAAAAAGTCACAAAGCAAGAGGACGTGGGGAGGAGGCATCCAGAAAAGGGACAGCCGCGATTTGAGGGGTGGAGGGAGAATCAAAGCGCATACGGCGGCGGAAGAAGAGAGCGCATGTTATTCGGCGGAGAATTGAAATTGAGGGGAGATGAAAAGAACAGCGGGGGACGGCCGACCATGCCCGGTATGGTTTTACTAGTGGCCTCCCTTGTTGCGGTAGCCCATGGGAAGGAGTTTAAAACCCCTGTCTCTAATTCCATAGGTAGTCTAAGACTTTTATACTATGTTTCTGGACCTAGGCCCTTATAGTCTTTGAAGGAATAGTTACAAAATTAGCAGTTAGTAAGTATATAACCCAAAAGACACACCTGAAGACGACTTAGCAAGAAATAGGATGGCTTCTAAGAGAATAGCCATACTACATTTGTATTCTGAATCTATTCATTTGTCCACAGATAATTCAATCGACTTTAAATCTTTTGTCTTGGGTGTAACTCGCTCTATCATAAACCAGCCAACCGATGCGTGCCATAACGGCGAACCACAACATTTATGAGCCCGGTGTCGCGACCGTGTCACAGATTGTGCTTTTGGACGCGCTAACGAGTCGCGGGTCAATCTTTATGTGTCCGAGTCCAGTTTATCTGCTATTCCGGAAAGGGCCATATCCGTCTTGCTTCTTCCGGCGATTCTTTACCCTCCATCCGCGCAATATACATCGATAACAGCTCCTTATTCTGACTTTGCTTTTCAGCAAAATCCAGCTGCGGCGCCACCCACCCTTCTGCATCGGTATCTAGAGATTCCTGAGCGAGCTGCTAAACTTTATTCTATTCTTAATATTTAGCAAATTGCTGTTAATATGCGCCGATTTCCTCCTGGCTAAAGAAATAAGGGCAATGCCCAAAAATGCCCAGACTCGACCAGTTCTGGAAAATTTCAATCAAACACTCTCGCAGTGAAACGACTCCAACATCGGATGTTTCTCCAGTGCGAATGAAGAGTTCTCGAAAGACACACGGCACATTCATGGTGTTGTGGGCTTAAGGGTTCTCTAAAATGGTTGAGACTTCATATGCTTTTGCCATTTTAACTTACGTCCAGTCTTATAGAGCAGCAATCTTATCTTCTTCGTCTAAAGAGTCAAAGTCGTCAGAGAGTACAGGCTAGATAAGGCCTCTAGTATACTCCCGAGGAGATTGCAGAAACACTGGCCACCGGGCTTAAAAGAATAACAGAAGCACAGACAGAGACTGTATGTCAATTAATGCTGTAATCCGGGAGTTGTTATCGGGTGCTACAAAAATGTTTCCCATATAGAGGTCAGTGTGCCAGAGTGTAGGCCGGGCGAGTTAGGTTAGTCCTGGCTGCGAGTCTAACATCCCTATTAGGCTAATTATAATTTCCAGAAGATATGTTTGCTCCTAGGGGCTTCCTTGATAACCATTAACTGGTTATTTGTAGACTACGATGCAATCCGAGAGAGCTCTCGTTTAGCAATTAATATCCCGAGATCTGATAGGCTGTCCCCTGCATAATCGTTAATTTGAACACGAGAAAAACATCAAAAGCTTACAAGGCCTATTTTTAATCGCCTCATTCTTAATAGATAAATAAGCAGCCGCATCAATGTCAAAGGAGCGGTCAGGTAAAGGGCTAATACAGAAGGCGTACTGCTTGTCCAAGTTATCTCCAAGATCGTGGTGTTTAAAACGGTCTGCACCTGCACGTAAATACAGACCACCATACACAGGAAACGAAATAGCTGACAGTTAAGCTTTGATCTGTGTCAAGTCCTTAATAAGCTCCAGTTTCTCGATTTCTGCCATCTTGCCCCATTGTTTAAATAGCGGAACCCCAGTCGCCTTTTCCATAACAATATACTCTGCTCCAACGGTATTTGAATCGTGGGGAGACCAAAAAAAGACATAAGGAATAGAGATTCTCGAGTACTTCCTGACTGATACAGGCCCATGAGCGCTTTGATAATCTATGGACAGGATAGGATATATGTACTGTATTCCAAAGTCCCTACTTCGGAGGCGGTCATGAGGAAGGCCGGGCCAGTAATGCGACAGGGAACTTTCGCGATTAATTCACTCCCGTCCTCCTTTTTTATTAGAAGGGCCTTGCTGAACCCTCCTTCGAGCTTCTTAATGGTTATAATTTGAGATATACTCCTACCAGCTGCAGCGGCTATATCACAGAGGGCGTCCAGGTTAAATTAGCGGTAGCACCGGGCTAACTAACGGTCCTCATCGACGAGAAAGCGGCCATTGGTATATGTAAAAAGCTCATCGCGAGTGATGGATTTGCCTGCTTATTTACCTTAGTGATACCCTCCCTGCGCAGCGTTCGTCACCCCCTGATCTCGGCAAAGGATTGACATCTGCGCGACTTGCTGGCTGCGCCGCAGGTTCCTCAAGTTCCTCATGAAGGGCAACATGGCTCATGTTGGAGGTACGACATCAGAGACGCACCAATGCTTTGAATTCAGCGAGCGGGCCACAAGCCAGTGGGACTAACTGTAACAGGAACAGGTGCAAGTAAACTAAGACCAGGCGGGATTGTCATCGAATCCATGCCACAGACCATGTCTAGTCTGTACAGATGCGCTGACCGCTTGTCGGGGCCCGCGGGCGGTGACGATCGGCGCGGACCGAATTGGCCCCGGCTTGGCATGTGCCGGACTCTACAACCGACTTCTGCCACGACCCTACAGATATGGACACGTCAATTAGCCAGTAATACTGGCTCGTAGCGGAATCTGGAGAGCGGTAGATGCAAATCCATAAATCCATTCCGGCGAAGATACTCTGACATGCACCGTATGGTGCATGTCAGAGTTCTGTCCTCCCGGGCCAGTTGGGTCCCTTCCCGTGTGGTGGAGAGGGATACGTGGCAATACGGCGGTTTACCGGGTCTCAGGATGGACCGCCCGGGCACGTGCCAGCTCCGTCCACAAACATCCGAAGGTCTCTCCTCCCCTTCGCCTGCTTTCTGTCCTTTCCACTCGTCCTGACAACGAAAAGACCCTCGACGACTCGACGAGGATCAATTGACCATGAGTGCGAAGGCTAAAGATGTCGAGCTCTCGGGCGACATCGACTTCATCCAGACCCCTGCTGCGAAACCCTCGGAATTTGCTACCGGCGAGGACTGCGGAATTCCCACGACCAATGTCAGTTTTTCCGTGCCATTGGCCTCTAATTTTCCTAGCGACAGCCTTGCTAAACCTCCCCAAGTCTGCAGCCATTAACAACCCCCCATTGGCCGCCGATGGTCCCGGAAACGAAAGCTTCTCAAACCTTCTGTTAGGTGTTGCGATCACCGGTGTCCCGGCCGTGCTCACCTTCCTGGTGGGTGGCGGTTTCAAAACCTTCATCTTCTTTGCCCTCCTCTCCGTTCTCCCCGTCCTGGTCGTGTTCTGGACCTGGGCTTCCAGCTGCAGCCCCCGTACCAACGAGAAAGTCAAACTGCCGGGCCGCCCCATTGAGCACTATGTGACCTTCAAGCGCGACGAGGACCGTGCCAAGTGGCACGGAAAGAACAAGATCCCCATGCAGACCTTCTCGGAGATGTACCTGGACGGCTTGGTGGACTTCAACGGTGACATCCTCGATGTGCTCGAGTACCGTCACGACTGGGCCAGCTTCGCCTTCACCTGGGACCTGTTCAAGTTCATCGTCGGTACCTTCTTCGTCGACGTGCTCTTCCACACCAAGGCCCAAGACGAGGAGCAGATCCGTCCTAACTACGACAGCGGCAACGACCACTACGCTTGGTTCCTCGGCCCTCGCATGATCTACACCTCGGGCATCATCTCGGACACGGAGCAGGAGGAGACCCTGGAGGAAATGCAGGATAACAAGATGGCTGTCGTCTGCGAGAAGATCGGTCTCAAGGACGGCGAGACGATGCTGGATATCGGCTGTGGCTGGGGCACCCTGGCCAAGTTCGCCAGTCTGAACTATGGCGCCAAGGTGACCGGAGTGACCATCGCGGAGAACCAGACCGCCTGGGGCAACGACGCTCTGAAGCAGGCTGGCATCCCTGAGCAGCAGAGCCGGATCATGTGCATGGACTACCGCGACATTGTCCGCACCAAGTATGACAAGATCACGCAGCTGGAAATGGGTGAGCACGTCGGTATCCGCAAGCTCACCGGGTTCTTCCGCCAGTGCTATGACATGCTCAATGACGACGGTGCCATGTACGTTCAGCTCTCGGGTCTGCGTCAGGCGTGGCAGTACGAGGATTTCATCTGGGGTCTGTACCTGAACAAGTACATCTTCCGTGGTGCGGACGCGTCGACTCCTCTGTGGTATTACATCAAGTGCTTGGAACAGGCCGGTTTTGAGGTCAAGGGGTGAGTCTGACTCCTCAAACGGTTTGAATCAATACTGATTACAATAGAATTGACACCGTTGGTGTTCACTACTCCGGAACCCTCTGGAGATGGTACCGCAACTGGGTTGGAAACGTCGAAGCCATCAAGGCCAAGTATGGACCTAGATGGTACAGAGTAAGTTCATGCCTTCTGTCAAATAAAATACCGAAACTAACCTCCGTAGATCTGGGAACTCTTCCTCGCCTGGTCCGTCATCGCCTCTCGCCAGGGCTCTGCCACCTGCTACCAGATGGTTGTCGTGAAGAACCTCAACTCGACCCACCGTATCAACGGCCTTGCCAGCCAGTTCGGCTTGGCCGGAGCCCTCGAGGCCAGCCGCAAGGCCGGCAAGTCTCGGCTGCCTTAGATGAGAACCCAAGCGATGCGCATGCGTCATTTACTAGGGGACGATTGGAGGTTGTTTGTACTATATAGTACTGTACATCATGTCGTTATGGCTACTTTGATGTTAAGATAGAGTTCGGAATGAATGGCACGAGTGATTACGACATCATGTCATCGCTAGAATATGATTAAGTGACAGATTCATTACCTTTGCCCATACCTGTTCAGACGGAGCCATCCCAACAAGCCCCGAATAGTTTCATTAACCAACATACGCCCATCCCGACCGGCAATCGCGCTATTCGCAGCAGATAAGGATGGTCGGTTCGTTGTGCGGTTGATCGTGTGGTCTGGGCTGGCACGTTGGTGTCGGCGCCGGTCAGATTGGATTCGATACGAACACGCGGGATTTAGGGATCCATGGATTTATACCCTCCCCTGCATACAGCTATGAGGACAGAAGTTCTCCGTGTTATCATTGTAACCATGGAAGCTGAGCTAATTACATTCAGAGTCTATATCTTGAAGGATACCTAAGGTATACACATGGTCATTGAATGAAACATGGGGAATCGAAAAAGGTTACCAGGGAGGGAGAAGGCCCTCTCGCGACCTTTACCGATGCAAAGATGCATCTGTAGGGCTTGCTGATCAGCAGTGGAATTGGTACAAAGCCGCTGTGCCTCCTTATACAAATATCCAAAATAATCCACCTGCGGGATTTGGATTCAAAAAAGTGCGTTAATCCCTTGATCCGGCAAGAGGCTTTTTCAATTTTATGAAGGGTACGCGCTTCAAGATAATTGCTTGTAGGACGTAAAAAGATATCTGTTCTATATGCCACCGCAAGACAGTACTAGATAATGTTGCGGTGCAGTCGCCGCGGTTTCCCAAACAGTCACACAACACCGACACCAATGTCTCACCTCACTTCTCTCTACCAATTCCAACCACAACAGATGAATTAGCCCTCGGCCAGTCCCGAATATGGCTTCCCAATCAGTTCTTTATTTGCTGCTTGCTCTCTTCACCTTGGTCACCACCGACGTTGCACCACTTACCGATTTTGTCGCCTACCAGGGTGGCCAGTACGGACTGAGGCCCAACCAGACCTACCACACGTCCAATGTAACCTCGCCGATCTTTCTGGTCAACACGTGGGAAAGGGATCTGGTGGATAACGCCTCGCACGTTTTCCTAGGCTACGCTCCTGATCCTGAGACCGGTGCTGTGATGATTTTCTCAGCTGACGACCTCAGCCTGGTTTGGTTTGAAGAGTTGAGCCGAGAGAAGGTCAACACCCCGAGGATTGCAAGATTTCGGGAAAATGATTACCTGCTGTATTGGATTGGGGAGCAAGTACGTGGTCACGGAGATGGAAAGTGGCTGATGCTGAACTCTTCCTACGACGTTGTCTACACCATCACAACCGGCGGGCTCGCGGTCGGTGCTGACATTCACGAATGCCGCCTCACGGACGAAGAAACGGCCTTGATAACGGCGTATAATCCCATCCCATTTGACTTGAGTGGTGTGGGTGGAACAAACAACGACACGCTCTTGGATAGTGTCTTCCAGGAAGTGGATGTCGTGACCGGTCGAGTGTTGTTTACGTGGAATGCCATCGACCACTTCAGTATTGAAGATTCATGTGCTCCTTATGAAAAAGAACCTATCGGCTGGGACTGGTGTCATATCAACAGCATCCAGAAGGTATACCCTACAGGTCAATACTCATGATGCCACTAACACAGTCCACCAGACTCACGATAGAAATTACGTGGTGTCATTCAGCGTCTGCAGTTTGATTGTGCACATCAACGGCACCGATGGCAACCCTATATGGGTTATGGGCGGCAAGAAGAACCAATTCACCGACAGTGGCACCGGCAAAGCGCCCGACTTTGCCTTCCAACACCATGCGCTTTTCCACGACATGGAATTGCAACACCTGACTATGTTTGACAACCACGTTCCAACCACATCTTATCCTTGTGTTTTGGACTGCTCTGCCGCTCGCTTCTTTACTGTCGACTACGCGACAATGTCAATATCCAGCGGTCGTCAGCTTCCGCATCCAAAGGGCCTACGGTCCAGGACAATGGGCAGTGCTGAGCTTCTTGATGGAGGAAATATGCTGGTTGGTTGGGGATTCAATGCTGCATTGACAGAACACACCACAGACGGAAGAGTCGCCTGGGACGTCCAGTTTGGTGTGTTAGGAAGCACGCTTGGGTCATACCGTGTCTATAAGATGAATTGGAAAGGATATCCGACCACGGATCCGAGCATCGTGGTGCGACGTCAGAGTGCCTCTTCGTCGGAGATTCTGTACGTGAGTTGGAACGGGGCAACGGAAGTGAGGCGCTGGATATTGGTAAGTTTCCGCACGTTGTTTCTGGAGCTGATACTGACATAGCTGATGAATGCTTTCTAGCTGGCCTGTTCTTCGGTTAATCCCCTCAACCAGGTGGCTATGGTGAACGCGGTTCCAAGAGCAGGGTTTGAAACAGCCATTCTGGTGGACTCTCCAGCGCGGTATGTTCGTGCTGTGGGATTGGATGGGCAGGGCGATGTCCTTGGAATGTCTGCTGTTTGGGATCGGGAGAGCGGAACGGTCGTGAAGATAAAAAGCCATTGGCCATTCAGAAGATTGGTGGTTAGATGAATTGGTGGACGACTGAGTTTATTGTGGAACGACTGATACTTGGTTCCTCTCAGTGGGCAGCAAGAGCAGTCACTCCGCTACCCCACAGGCACTTACGGTGGCGTACTTCAGCACGACATAGGGAAGATCAATAAGGATACGAAACGTACCAGAATCGGCCACTTATCTTAATTATTCGGTCGAGTGGTAGGTCCCAATAGATACACGTAAGAATAACGACCCACAGCTGTATTATAGTATTATTGCGTCGGAAGCATAGTTTTAAAACACGGCGGGACACGGGAGCAGCTTAGGAAACAAACAGGTATCTTATACTTTAAAATAGAAGCTGCAGGTTTAGCACAGGACTTCCCGTATATTGTTATCTAGAGGGTCTGCGACTGGACTGACTCGCATAAAAATAAGCAGTAGTAAAGATATACAGTATTGGCGGCTGCTTCCTACATAAACCGTCAAAGTTGAAATTTAATCGTAGAGTATGCACATTAATAACAAAGACAAACTTTATAATTGCTTCAGATTTACTTCAATGTCTGCACTATGAATCATCGACATGCACTTCACAGGCTCTTTCCGAAAAACTCCACGAGCTTCGGGCCCGATACCGTAAGATTATCGTAGAGCTCGAAGTGGTTCTTTCCGTCAACAATGAAGAGCTCTTTGGGCTCCCGGGCCGCAGCAACCGTGGTTTCACTGTAGTGAAGGGTCTGCGCCTCGGATCCGGCGATCATCAATAACGGGCGTGGGGAGATCAGGTGTTGGAAGTTGAACGAGTCATAGCTGATCATAAGGTCGTAGCTGGAGGGAGGGACTTTCTGGTCCGAACGGGGGTGGTTTCCGCGCTTAGACCCGTAGTATGCCGCAGCATCCTTGAAGAACGAGTCGGCATTATCGGGAATCTCCTTGATATCGGAGCTGAACATGGCAGGGGCCTCTGAATGAGGTCCGCGAGCCTCCTGCGTTCGCCATTGTCCCGCCGCTTGAAGAGCCCCGGCAATGGCCTCGGGAACCTCCTTGTTGTTCTCCTTATGGAGGCCTCCATTGCGGGTCATGCGACCAACACAAGCGGCACTGACAGTGGCCAGAGCCTTGATCCGCGAGTCAGACTGCGCGGCATAGGATGTGTAACCACCCGAGGCGCAAATTCCAAGAACACCAATGCGACTAGGGTCAACCTTGCCCTGGAGAGTGGTCAAGAAGCTGACAGCAGCCTTGTTATCTTCCACTCTCTGGTGGGGATCTTCAAGGCCACGCGGTTGACCGGTGCTTTCCCCCTGATACGCGGCATCAAACGTGAGGGCGTAGAAACCGGCTTTCGAGAGCAAACGGGCGTGGTCCGCAGAGGTCTGCTCTTTGACACCGGTCATGGGGTGACTGACCACAACTGCAGCACCTTTGCGATCGGGGGAGCCGGGCACAGGAGCATAGAGCTCGCCGCAGACCTGCAGCATGAAAGATGGGAAGGTGACTTTCGTTGGTGCAGCCATTGTAGCGGAGGACGATGATCAGCGTGAAGATGGTTGATGGAAGTAGATGGTGGAACAAAGGTGGAAGAGTAGATGATGGTCCTGGTCAAAAAGGTCTGGATGCTTTAAATTGGGTTGCTGTTCGGTGCTGCAGCATATCTCATGACGTAAGTGGGTTCCAAGGCCCGAAAGATGTCGGCCAAAAGAGTGGATTTCGGGCTGACAGTCTTGATTACGCTGCCGGACTTAACTGTGGATTAACATTAACTACGGAGTATATCGAGTATATCATGATGATTGATGACTGGTGACTAAAGTTGCCTCCCCGAAAGGCCCGAAAATCATGGGTCTTTATCGGATGGGGAAACGTATATGAACCCCGGAGCCAATTGTTGGTCAAGCGACAAAAATTAGTTTCTTCTTCAGCACCCACGCTTCTCGTTAAGTTCGCCCCTACAAAAAGAAGCATCTCAGTATGGAGTCAAAGTACGCCAAAGTTCATCAGTCGCCCAAGGGTCCCGGTGATGCCCGTCCCACCGCGCTCCAAATCGTCAAAGATGCCGGCCGGGAAGATAACATGACCGGCAAAGTTATCCTGATCACCGGCTGCTCATCCGGCCTGGGTATCGAGACCGCACGCGCACTCTTCCAGACCGGGGCGACATTATACCTCACTGCTCGCGACTTGGAGAAGGCGAAGTCCGCATTGGGTGACCTAGTGGACAGCCCACGCGTCCACCTTTTGCACCTGGACTTGAAATCCCTTGAATCAGTGCGTGCATGCGCCCAGGAATTTCTGTCCAGATCCAAAACTCTGAACATCCTGATTGCGAACGCTGGCGTGATGGCATGCCCCGAAGGCCGAACAGCGGATGGATTTGAAACCCAGTTCGGGACCAACCATCTCGCGCACTTTCTGCTGTTCTATCGCCTTAAATCCTGCCTCCTTTCTTCATCCACCCCGGCGTTCAACTCGCGCGTCATCATTGTTGCGTCTAGCGCCCACCGTGTCTCCTCCGTTCATCTCGACAACCTCAGTCTGCAAGGTGAATACGAGGCCTGGAAGTCCTACGGTCAGAGCAAAACCGCCAACATCTGGACAGCAAACGAAATTGAGAGACGATACGGTGCTCAGGGACTCCATGCGTTCAGCTTGCATCCGGGTGCCATTGCAACAGAGCTTCTTCGCCATGTATCGGACGAACAGAAAGCCGACTGGGAGAAGAATGATTTCCTGAAGAATTACTGGAAGAGCCCTGAACAAGGCGCCGCAACTAGTGTTTGGGCAGCGGTTGCAAAGGAATTGGAAGGGACGGGGGGCAAATATCTGGATGACTGTCAAATTGCACCTCCGGCCGACCCGTCGCAGCGACATGGACCGGGGTATGCAGAATGGGCATATAGTCCGGAAATGGAGGCGAGACTGTGGGCTAAAACACTTGAGCTGCTTAACGAAGCTTGAATATGCTAGGCGGAGACGATGGAAAGTATAGCAATGGGCTTTTTGTGCGGGCAATAGATGCACCGTGAATTAGACGATTTGGAGATTAGGACCGTGATGTATTCCGATATTGCCTTTATCCCCCTCGGTGTTATTTTGTACCCTCTATTTGTCGCTTATCTATACTTTATCGCATGACCATCTTTGTCGAGGACAGCAAGGAAATTCATGCTCTTGTAAATGTGGTTAGTAGGGATCATACAAGCTTGGAAGTAGCCAGGCTGCTGAAGCTGACTGGCTCAATACCAGGGGGCTACCCGCTACCACTTTGAATCACAAGGAACTCGATATGCCTTTTTTTTTCGATAAATCTACCAAGCTGCAGAGATCCATTGACAGTTGGGCGATTTTTCTAGCACTGAGAGGAAACGCTCAATTGCTGTCAATGAATACGATACCATCTGACGAGACTTGTTGACGAGACATAGGTACATGGGCCAATGAAGTCTGCTTCTACAATAACATGTTATCTACGTGACCAGATGCTCACATGCGCGATGCAAACTGTACGAAGGGGAATCTACAACCCTCGGAGGCCACAGATCCCGCTCGGAAACATATTGCCTGAGCTTCCGGAAGGCTGGTGCCCTCTCCCCATTTTTTATACTTCACTCATAGAAGGTACTTGAACAGCCAAGGACGAATCAGACGAAGATGGCCTGACTAGCGCTGTTTTATGCCTGTAAACTAAGGCTTTTTGTCTAACTTGTTAGGTAAGGCGCGGGTGCCTGTTATGTAGGTGGCCCATTTCGTTCCCCGAAAATCTTCTTCGGGGTGCCTTTATGACAGTATGTGACCAGAACATGCGACCATGCCCGGCGATTAAGTAGACTCCGTTCCGAGAAACGGACATAACAGCTTTATTCTTATAAATCAGAATTGCTGCCTTTCCAATCATGTCGGGTGCCCCACTGTAAAAAACCAGCATTGAAGGTATAAAATCACAGCACGAGATTCCCGGTTTATGCTCTGTTCTCCGATATTCGCATGCTTTTTATAACCCAAACTTGCCCTCCTCTATCCGGAACTGCCTTGCCTTGATACGCCTACCAAAAGCTAGAAGATGAAGAAAACAATTGTCGTCTTTGGAGCTACCGGAAATCAGGGTGGATCGGTAATCGACCACATCCTAAGCGATATTGATCTCTCCAGTCGATATCGTGTTCGTGCGGTGACTCGCAACCCAGATAGCCAGGCTGCCATGAATCTCAAGAACAGAAGCGTTGAAATCGCCATGGGAGACATGGATCGCCCAGACACGGTCGAACGGGTGCTGGTTGACGCCAGCATCGTCTTCATCCTAACGACCTTCCAAACCACCAAAGCCCACGAGATTGCGCAAGGCAAGTCGGTCGCCGACGCAGCTGTCGCCAACAACCTGGAATACATCATCTACAGCACTCTTCCCAGCGTGACCGATATCTCCGGCGGCAAATATCTTGCGGTCGAATACTACGATAGCAAAGCGGAGACGGAGAAATATATCCGCACCCTGCCCGTCAAGGCCGCTTTCTTTGCCCCTGGGTGCTACATGCAGAATTTTCAGAACGAAATGAAACCTCAGGCGCTGGGTGACGGGACCTACGGACTTGTGTATCCTGTCTCTCCTCAAACGCAGCTCCCTCTTATCGATATTGCGGAGTCTGGGAAATTTGTGGGGGCCATACTTGCCGATCCGGACAGGTTTCGGGGTCAGGTATTGTCGGCGTCGACGGAGGTTGTTTCATTTGAAGAGGTTGCGCAGATACTGAGTAAATCCTCGGGGAAAACAATCAGGTTTGAACAGACGACAGAGAAGTCGTTTCGGGACAGCCTACCGGCAGACCTTGCAGACACTCTTTTGGAGACTATGAAGTATTTTGAGGATTATGGGTACTATGGCCCAAACACCGAGGGAAAGGTTAAAGAAACTGCGCAGATTGCCCAAGGGGAATTGACCACATTGCAGAGATATCTAGAGAGAGAGCCCCTAGAGCTGTGAGGCATATTTGTCTAGTCTTCATATAGTCTAGTGCTACTTGATCAACAGCAAGTTATGTTATCTATGTCACTATACGTACCTGTTTTTCTACATTATCGTAAATTTCCTGTTGTAAATATTGCCGCTTTACTAAGGGCGCTCAGGGGCTTGTTTAGTAAATAATTCATATTACAGCTTACCGCTTAGTAAGTACTCAGTCAGTACTTACCCTGTGCTCACTAAGCAGTAAGCAGTAAGTTCTGCTATACTCACCCCCCATTTATTTTGCACGGGTAGTTCGACTACTATGATAGATAAACAGCCCTTAGGATTTTAAAGTTATTAAATTACCATAAATAATAATACAAGTCGAAATATAATGGACAGTATCTGAACATATATACTGACCTAAAAATAAAGTATATACTTAATATAAGTATAATAATAATCATTTTTAAAAAAGCTATAAAGGCAGGTATTCTCTTTCCTCTATAATAATTAATAATATAAAAACAAGATTCCTATATTCCCTAAATACTCTTTCCCTTTTATTATCCCTCTGATTATTTAATTTTTTATTCTCATAAAGTTCTATATTTAATTGTTTTATAACTAGCTAATAAGATAATAGGTAAAAGAACATTTTTCCGGAATAAAAATATAAAAAAAAAGCACTATAAGTAATAAATAATAAATAAATATATTACAAAGGCTCACCAAAACAAAGATTCTGTGAGAAAAAGGCATAAGCGGACAAAAGAAATAAAAAATTTATATAAGAAAAAAGTGGCAGATTATCAGGAGTAAGTTACCTATAAATAAAGTATTTTATTCTTAAGGTCTGCTAATATAATTTTACTAGATTTATAATAAAAGAAGGGTATAAGTTACCAGAATATCAGATTAAGCCTAGTTATCTAGCACTAAGCATTATTATTATCAAAGATTTTATCCGCTTGTATATCTATATTATTAAAGGCACAGGGCGGCTCAGTTAAAAAAAAACAGCTATAGTGAGGACTACCACAGCTTATACTAAGTAATTCTTTGGTGGCTTTAAAGAAGTAACTAGCAGTAAAATTATACTAAATAACTGTTTAAAGATTTATTTAGTATATAAATCCTTACTTCTTAAAGATAGTTAGCTAATCTAGTTAGAGTAGATTAAAAAAACCTTAATAAAAAAAGATAAAGTTAAAAATATTAAAAAGCAGAAGTTTAATTTTGACCAAAATAATTTTACTAATCTTATAGTATTAATATAAACTCGTGATTATTTTATTTTTATGTATAGACTTCTTAAAATATTTATTTTATTTATACTTTAGGTTTTTCTCTTTACAGGAGCAAGAATTAGCGCCTTTATCCTAGAATTAAAATATAAATACTAACAAGGATTTTAACATAAGATAAAATAATCTGACCTAAGTCCATTATTCACAGGCAGGCTCTTATTAACTAGTAATAATATATTTAGCTAATACTCTTCTGCAGTCTAAATTAGGACAAACCTTAGAAGATAGGTTAGTAAATTAATTAGTGTCAGATGGGGTAGGTGGGTCACGTGGGTTGAATAGAAATTTCAAATGGCTTGATAGAATAAAGGAAATCGATCAGTCAGATGAAGTAAACAGTTCACCTGGACCACCTAGATCTGAAATAGATAGACCAGAGGTCCTACCATTCGCTATGCATGTAGATAGGTGAAATTGATTAATGAATGAATGAATCAATAAGTAAATTAAATAGATGAAATCAACTTGTCAAATTGAAACAGTAAAATCAACTTGATAAAAAGAATAAATCAATGCAGGTTATTAACTACATATTTATAGACAATTAAATCAGGGCTAATTCAATCTGGCCCTAAGTAAACATTACAAATATAAAATCATCAGATCCTTCTAGGCCTTCAGCTGTGAGTCTTGTTATTAATCTAGGCCTTCAAGGTCAACCTCATAGATTATTATTAGATCAATATTTAATCATTTAAATGATTAAATAATCAAGATTTCATGATCAGAACAATCGAGATTTAACACATAAATCATAATAAAATCATTTAAATGATATCAGAATAACCAGGGTAGCAATATTCACTTTATGGCTTATAAAATGAATAGGCGAGATATTCTAGACCCTTTATATTAATCATCTGAACAAAGCCATTAACTGCAGTGGTTAAAACAAACTTTTAATTTCCTAAAAAGGAAATTTATCGAATTATGTTTTTTGATTTCTATAGGATTCTAGCGATCAGTAATTTCCTAATTAGGAAGGTAAGCTAGTCCAAAATAGGAAATTCTTCAGAAATTTTTCTTTTTCATTTTCCGCTCACATTAAGCTCAGTTTCACCTCACTTTTCCCATATAATTTGGTGGTAGAAGTAAGAGTTCGATAAAGTGAGAGTAAATTTATAGTGAATTTTGAATAATTTCGGTTGTGGGGCGAAATCAGGTGATTCTGATAAATCAGGTGATGTCAGGTGACCCTAATTAACACACCCCTTCAGTTTTAAATCAATAAAAGTATTAATTAAAACTGTAAATATTAAATAATCAATTATTTAATAAGATATTCAATATTAACCATATTTAGTTATTCAGTAAATTTCGCATATTCCTACTTAGTCAGGTGTTTGGTAAGGCCGTCTGCAATCATTTAATTAATAGGAACCCATTTTAATTCAATGGATTTCTTCTTGATTTCTTGCCTAAGCCAGTGATTACTAATGTCCACATATTTTAATTTAGTTTTATAAATTAAATTGGGCTTAGTAAGCAGGTCAATCGTTTGACGATTATCACAATAAATATATAATTTTTCTTCAGGGTTGAACCCTATAGCAGTAAATAAGCGTTTCCACCATAGAAAATGCTTACTAGCCGTAGTTAGGGCTAATAATTCTGCTTCAGTAGTAGATAGGGTAATTGTTTTTTGCTTTCTGGCTGACCAATTAATAGGTCCGCTAAATAAACAATATATAAAGCCTTCAGATAACTTTTTTTGCAATAAATCTGCATAAGCTACATCACTAGCCATTTTAAAAATTAGTAGTAATTTCAATTAATCTATTAAATTAAGACTATATTAAATTAAATTAAATCAGGTTCCATAAATGAATAAAATCAGGTGATTTGCTGCATTCATATAGTTCGAATAAGATTTGGCCATATGTTCTGCAAGGATTTCGCAACTTTTAGTAATATCTGGCCTAGAAATAACTGCAGGATATAAAACTGAGCCAATTTTCTTTTAATAATCCACGTGATAGGGCTTAGTAAGCGGTTGCCCTATAGATTCGCTTAAATTACCAGATAGTAGAGGCATTTTAGGTAAATTCTGATTAGCTAATTTAAAATAGTGAGTAACTTTTTCAATATAATCCGCTTAATTAAGCCAAATTATTCGATTCTGCCGGTTTTAAATGATCTTTATATTTAGGAATTAGTGAATTTCACCTAAATCCTTTAGATCATATATTGAAAATAATTGATCTTTTAATTCGTTGGTTTTCGATTGATGATTTCGATTATATAATAGAATAATATCATCCACGTAAATCATCAAAATCATATAATCATTCATAAATAGGCAGGGATCTTCAGGCACTAATTTCAGGCCTAATTTTTTCAGAGTATTCCCTATTTTTTATTGCCATAGTAATAGAGATCGGCGTAGTTTATATAAAGCTCGTTTTAGCTTAAAAACCTTATTTTGTTGACCGAATCCAGGAGGCGGTAAAACATGAATTAATTCGTCTAATTCACTGTTTAGAAATATATTTACTGTATCCTATTGAGCTGTTTTAAGGTTAAAAGCAGCAATTAGGGCTATAATAGTCTTAAATGTTCGCGTGGCTAGGGTAATGGCCCTAGAATCGAGATCATTAATTAGTTGAAGGTCTCCGCGAACGCATATTCTTGCTTTAAATTTCGATAATTAACCTTAATCAGTAAATTTGTATTTCCATACCCATTTCAATGGTAGGATCTTTTGAATTAAATTATCTGTTTTAGGAATGGCTTCTTAGGTGTTCATTTTAGTTAATTAATTATATTTAATTTTGCATGCATTTAGCCATTTATCACGAAAGGGCGAATTCATTATTTCATTCTAATTAGTTGGCTCAATAGGCAAATCATTTCAATACAATTTATTATTACTAATTTGAGCTAATGCAAAATTTCGAGGCATTTTTAAAGGTCCTGGGTCAGATGATTCTGATCTATTCCTTTTTAGGGATAGTGGTTCATAGAAATTGTCATAATCATCAAAATTGAATAGTGAATTATCAATAATGACTTCGGGTGATTAAGAATGTGGGGTAGAAGGTTAGTCTCCTAAAATCTCATCATTTTGAGCATTCGATTGAATTAAATCATTTTGATCATTTTGATCATTTAATTTAATAATTCGATTTTCATGTTCAGATTCATAGTGAATAGGATTATATTCACTAGACAGTTCTGATTCACCTTGTTCGGGTTCAGAATAAATATCATCAATAATTTCATCCTCGGTAAACCCTAATTCAGTGGTTTCAGGTAAATCAATCGAAATTAAAGAGATTAAATCATTAATTTCTTCAAGACTAAGCGGTTCGGGGTTTTCTAACCCAATTAGGTCTAGTTCGAATATTTGAACATTTTGTTCATCTTTATAGACCTTTATTTCATCGAAGATGCAATCACGTGCCGAAATAACCTTATTTTAACCAGGTATCCATATTCTCCATATATTTAGGGCAACGTACCCTATCAGGTAGCCAATCAGAGCTCTCGGTTTGAGCTTACTAAGCCTAGGGATATTTAAAATCCTTGTATAGGCTCGGCAACCATACCGTTTTAGGTTAGAGAGGTTTGGCAGTAGTATTATATATAATAAAGGCTGATCAAGATGTTTAAATAAGGTTTCATACGGGGTACTCCACTTTAGTGAATAAGTAGGGGTGCGATTCAATATATATATCGCTGCATTCAATGATTCTGGCCATAAATATAGCGGTAATCCTGAATCAATAAATAAAATTCACATTTTTTACATGATTAGAGCACCTAAACACTCTGCAAATGGGTTCTGCTCAGGTTACCCAATCAGGCTAGTACTGCAGATCACCCCTTCAGATCTCGCGTAATCATAAAAATAAGCTAGATTTCTATCTTGATCTGAATGAAATCGTTTGATAGTCACGTAATATTAATGTTTAATAAATTAAATCATTTCAATGATTAAATTACTCACGTGATCTTTCAATAAAATTGCCTTAGCCATATGGAATTTTGAATAGGGGCAATATATATAACTAATATATCGTTTTTGGTAGATTCCCTGATTCAAATAAATAAGGTCCCAATAAATAGTTTCAAATGGTTTAGTCCCTAATTAAATCAGAATTCGAGAAATTTGACATTTTAAAATTAATAATCAACAAATCGGGCAATGATCTTTAGTTTTAGTCAATTTATCATTAATTTTCACTCCATTAACTACTAAATCAAGATATTTTAGGGCTTCAGAGCTCAGATACCCTAATCTTAAATACCATAGTTCAGCTGTTCCATAGGAGATAACTGGTTCATTCGAATTTCTTGCTGAATAGGCCTCTAATTCATTCACTTCAGTATTTAATAGTGAATTCTGTAATAAATTCGGATAGTGAATATGATCATCTTCAGGAGTTAATTCAGGTAACCATTAGATATAATCATTAGTACTCCATTTGATCAAATGAATGCCTGCAATTTCGAGGACTTCACAAATCGGGCGGTAATTAGGGCTTTCTAGGCACATAGCCCTAGAATTAAGGTAAATACCCGATTACCTTGCCTTAGAGGCAGATAAAACATTAATATGAAATCGTGGAACAT